AAGGCCGAAAGTATTCTTCTAGATCACTATGACACGCCGTTCCGTAAGTTCCTGAACATGGGCCGTGCCTGGTGCATGAAACAAGGCAAAGGAGAATCCGCTCGTTCTTTTGGTGCCAAGTTCCAAAAGTTCCGCCGCCAGGCCTCGTTGGATGATGGTGTTCAATTGGTTCTCTGCTTCTGGTGGAATCTGCGTCCGGAAGTCCGGGAAGCTTGTCTCATTCCTTTGTCAGCCAACTATGGTACCAAGATGCCCTCAAAGATTGAGGACATCATCTCGTTGGTGAGTGTGTCAACAAGTGACTCCACTGCTTTGTTACATAATCCTGCCAATGGTACTGCCGCGTCCTCCTGGAGTTCGTTTGCTGCTCACAATGGTGCATCCTCTCTCTCTGCTGGTTCCCACAAGGGAAAAGGTCTTTCTCTCGCGAGCGTGGTTCTCAGTCTCCCAAGAAGGCATGGGACTTCAAGAAGGCGATGAAGGATGGCATCTGTTTCTCATGCAAGGCTCCCTGGGTTAAGGGACACTCCTGTCCGGAACGGGAGAAGTACTTGACAAAGGTGTCAAGGATGGCAGTCCGCTCTTCTGCTGGTAGACCAGCAAGAGCTTCCACTGTGGTTGAGGGGAGTCTCTCGTTGTCTTGGTCAGAGTACCAAGACAACACTAGTGCTCTGGCCAAGATGGCATTAGATTGTAAGTACAATCTTAAAGACATGGTTATTAAAAGAGATTTTAAGAACATGAGCACTAATATTACCTTTCCTATTTTGGCAAATAATTCTATTAGAACCATCTCCTTGTTGGACTGTGGGGCCACGTTCAGTTCGGTGGACAAGAATTTTTGCTTGAAGAATGGAATGGCCATTAGTTACATCAATCACATTAATAAAGATTTGTTGAACAAAAACAATGTTCATAAGTATTTTATTCGTTTGGCTGATAGCAATACCCAGATTAAAAGAATCGGTACTTGTGTGATCAGTGTAACTTGCAATAGTAAGACTATTCAACGCGAGTTTGAAGTGATGAATTTAACTAATAGTCATGAGTATGATTTCAGTATTGGTACTGATTATATGTCTTCTCTTGGTATTGGTATTTATGGTTTACCTTTATTATATGATGATGCTGATTCAAGTGAGGAACGTAGAGAAGCCAATAGACGCTTCAACAATAAGAGTGATCTTCTTGAATCCATTGAGAGAGAAAATGAACGAAAGGAAAATAATCCGGCTGTAGGTCCCAAACAGTTTGAGGATGCTATGGATTATATTCGACCGTTCATTAAAGACAATCAAGATATTCCTAAGGGTTCGTTTTGTACTATACCTGAAAGTGTTGTATGTTTGGACACCCCAGAAAATGCTACGGCGTTCAGAAGCCCTTATCCCATTCCTTACAAGATGCAAGGTGTAGTGGATGAACAGGTGAAAGAATGGCTGGACAATGGTATAATTGAAAGAGCGTCTGCAAACACACAATGGAATACGCCTTTGACTGTTGTCAAGAAGACAAACGGTAAAGGAGAAATTACTGGATATCGCGTTTGCCATGATCCCAGATTAATTAATTGCCTGTTGAAGTCAATTGATCGTATGCCTTTGCCATTGATCGGTGAATTGTTTGAAGATTTAAAGGGTGCGAATATTTATTCCACTCTGGATTTGAAATCTGCGTTTAATTCTTTGAGGTTGAACCCAAAGGACACACACAAACTTAGTTTCACATGGCGTGGTGTACAGTACAAACCTATTGGTACAGTGTTTGGTATAAAGCATGTCAGTTCACAATTTCAAAGAACTATGAGTATAGCTTTGGAAGGACTATCTTTTGTACGGTTTTTTGTGGATGACATTGTTTGCACAAGCAAAACGTTCGAGGAACACAAGGAACACTTGAAGCAAGTAATTGAGAGATTAACAAGGGTCAATTTGAAGTTGAATCCGAAAAAATGTCATTTCTTTCAGAAAGAAATTTATTTGCTTGGTTTTCATATTTCACCTGAAGGAATTACAATGGACCGCAGAAAACTTGTTAATGTTCTCGAATTTCCTCAACCAAAGACGGGTAAAGATATCCAAAGTTATTGTGGGTTGATCAACTATTTTAGAACGTTGATTCCGAATGTATCTTCCATTATGTCGCCACTAGATTCATTGAGAAATGAAAAGTCGATTACCCATTTATGGACAGATAAGCATCAAACTGCATTTAATAACTTGAAAAAAGCACTTTTGAGTGATCTGGTGTTGTCGTACCCAGATATGAACTCTCCTTTTAGTATCAGCTGTGATGCATCTCTTACTGGTATTGGTGCAGTGTTGTATCAAGTCAAGGATGGCAAGAAAAAATATATTTCTTTTGTGGCTAAGAGCTTATCCCAAAGTGAAAGAAAGTATTCTGCGACCAAAAGAGAATTACTAGCGTTAGTATTTGCACTCAAGCGTTTTTACAAGTATGTTTATGGTTCTCACTTTACCTTGTACACGGATCACAAGGCATTGACATATCTTCACACCCAACGTGTTGCGAATCTGATGATGATCGCATGGATGGACACGATTTTACAGTATGACTTTAAGATCGTTCATTTGCCTGGTGTTTCGAATGTGCTTCCTGATGCGTTGTCACGTTTATCTGAAGAGACTGAAACATTATCAAATGAACTGGGTGGGGATAGTGTGGTTAGATCCATCATGAGAAATAGTGCTGTCACTATGGAACCGCTACCAGACATCTTGAGTGGTGAGTACTTTACTCCTCCCACAGAAAATGAAAGGAATAAGTTATTAGTTGAAGAACATTTGAAAGGTCATTTTGGTGTAGAAGCTATACTACATGCCTTAAAGAGAAAAGGTATCTATTGGACCAGCTTGAAGAGTCAAGCAAATGATCTTATACAATCGTGTATACAGTGTCAACGTCATAATATCACAAGAAAAGGTTATAATCCTTTAAGACCTGTGACTGCAACACTTCCTGGTGACAGTTGGGGAATAGATCTGGCTGGGCCATTTACAACGTCGACTAGAGGAAATGAGTACTTGTTAGTGATGATAGACATCGCAAGCAAATTTTATGTATTGCGTGCCATACCTGATAAAAGGGCAGCTACGATTGCGTTACAAGTACTGGACGTCATTAGTACATGGGGTCCGATAAGAAAGTTGCAGAGTGATTGTGGACGGGAGTTTGTGAACTCGCTGATGACATGTATAAAAGAGAATGTTGGTTTTGAACATGCGTTGATTTCGCAGTACCATCCTAGAGCTAATGGTGCAAGTGAAAGAGCTGTCCAGTCGGCAGTGAACACCATTAAAAAACAAATAGTTGGTAATGTCGCTGATTGGGATCAGAAGGTGCCATCTGCGCAGTTGTTTTTGAATAGCAAGTATAATGCTAGGACTAAGAGTACGCCATTCTCATTAATGTTTGGAAGGAATCCAAATGACTTTGTCGATTTTAGTAAAGAAAAGGATAGTGCAACTGCTGAACAGATTCAGAAAGAGTTGCAAGAAAAAATTAAAAGAATGACTGAGATAGTCTACCCTGCCGTGTTTGAACACGTAAAGCATGTCACAGAAAAGCAAAAGGGACGCTTTGATGGAAGTCACAAAATGATAGATCTGGTTCCAGGAACCACGGTAATGATTTTGGTGACAGAAAAACAGAATAAATTAGATCCGAAGTATAAGGGATTCTACACTGTTGTTAGAAAGACTGCTGCCAATACTTATGTATTGAAAAATGAAAAGGGATTTTTAGAACCAAGGAATTATCCTCCTTCTTTATTGAAAAAAGTTTCTAACAAGGTATTAGAGCAAAAGAATGACTTTTTTGAAGTCGAAGCAATTATTGGGCACATAAAAGATGACAAGAACAATTATTTGTATAGATGCAAATGGTTGGATTATGATGAGTCTCACGATACCTGGGAGCCAGAGGATCATTTTACCGATCCTAAGTTCATAAAGGAATACTGGCAAAGAATTGGTGAAGCTCCAGAAGGTATCAAAGACATCAATAAGGCCAATAAGAAATTATTAAAGGATATGAAAGTTGCATATTCCGCACCTAAAGAAAATTCAGGTACTAAAAGGAAGAATTATGCAAAGACAGCTTATCAAAAGAAGAAACGCAGTAAGGTCTAAATAAAGAGTTATTTGAGCACCACAGTACTCATTTAAAATAAAAAAAAAAAAAAAAGAACAAGCTGGTCAGAAGAATTGCATAGAGTACTTGAACGGTATTTAGTTAATACCTGGGTGGGGATAATGTGGTGATCCAGATACTCGGATGTTGGATTTATCACATATAAGAACATATTCATATTGGGATAGCGTAGTAGCTATCATCTTGTCAGTATAAAATATATATAAACGATTAAGTAATCAGCCCAATAATTATTACAGTTAGTACTGTAGATAATATCTTAAAGATTGTTAAGATAATTATATCATACTGCCGGGTAAACTGTGTCAGATCGATATGGAGCTAATTTAGTAGGAAGTCCTAAAGCTCTAGTAAAAAAGAGAAAAGAATAGCTAAGAGCTAAAGAAGTATGATTTATGACTTGATGTCATAATTGTAACACCGACACTAGTTAAGCAGTAAATACACTCTAATAACCAAATATAGTAAAGGAAGAAAGCCTTAAGAAACTAAGACGTAATGACAAGAGCAGATTGTGTTTTCTTATAAAAAGAGACACTTTTTATTTATGAATAAAGACAACTTATATACAGTCTCAAAGTATTTCTATATGTCTCTATTATCAAATATTTTATTTTTCTATTGTTTCGTACCTGAAATACCACACTAATAAATTATGGCATTTCAATTCTATATGAATATAAATGTCATATGTAATTCATTATCTAATAGTATGTAAAATATTATCATTAACAAATCCAGGAGTCTATTTTTACAATCTTGTATGAAACTTATATAGTCTTATTATATCATATTTAAGTCCGTTATTACAGATATTTTACATATTATTATAGGATGTTTTTTGCAGTATTGATTTCATCTTCAACATTGTCATCAAAATCATTGTTGTCTCTGTCATTGTCAAACATTGAGGCAGCATCCAAAAAAGGTGAGTTGGCCTGACCGTCTATTTCTTCTACAGAATTGAAACAAGAGGTTGAGATTACTAAAAATATAGAATATTGTAGTTTATTAGTTTTTTTTCTGCTTTCAAATTAAAAATTTCTTACCCTCAGTATCTACATCTATGTTTCTCATTGCGGCTGTGTTTCATTAAAAGTTTAAAAATAAACAACATAAATAAAAAATAAAAAATAAAAAATTAAAACAATTATTATGCAGCAAATAAAAAACTAACACTGAATATATTATATTATTCTCAAATATTCTGATACCTTCAACTCTAGCTCTCTTATTACAATAAGTCTCAGTACACTTTGCAGTATAAGAAGATTTCTGATAATTGTTGTGATATTTAATACTGTGACAGTCTAAGGTATGGGCTTGGGTGGAGGGAAGCATATTGTGTATAGCTTGAATTATATAATAAAAAAGGGAACAAGTACTACAAATACTTTATTTGATGTGATTTTATAGCAAGTCAAAAAAATATGAATTTTTTATTATCCATCTAGACCAATAGAATATGATAATAGTACACCTCCAACTTAAATAAAAAAACGGCTGAGCTGAAAAAAAAACCTTGACATTTCCACTACCTTTCTGATTACTTAAAGCTATAGGATTTTTTAAATTTTTCCAGTGCATGTGTACAGACCCAGATAAATGTGTAGCTTCTGAGAGTTGAACCAACAATTTTGTCTGTGGGAGCCCTATATTATACAACAGTATTAGCAAGCTGACACGTCTGGTACTTTGTTATGTATATGGTGTATATAAGAATAGCAAGATATATTTAATAATAAGAATTGAATTCCGAAATAAGATAGGGTTATTTGAATTGGGAAAAGATTGTAATAAAATATAAATTAAATAAGAGAAACTACTTCTAGAAGGGAAAAATAAAATGAATTTCAGAAGGGAAAGAATATCTAGAACTAGCAAAAGGAAATGAATAATATTAATGTAAAATAAATTAGGTTAAGAGAAATATTTAGAGAATAAAAGATTAAAAATTAACTAAGAGAATTTCTAAGATAATTTTACAATGAAAAACAAAGGGAAAATTTAATAAAATGAAAATCATAAAATCTGAGAGGAAGAAAATAATAAAAAATAGTCAATTTTCCACGAAGACTTGACAAAGAAAAAACAGTAAACAGAAGAAAAATTCATAAGAGAGATCAGAGAAAATAGACAGCGTCTTTAGAGAAAACTTTTGTATCAGAAAAATTTGACAATTGTTTATTAATTGATTTTAAAGGGTTATTTATACTACTTCTTGGATAAAATTTATGGCGAAAATAGGTTGCACTGATGTCTAGGGAATAACTGTAATAAAAACATAGATAAAATAATTGTAATCAGCATTCGTCATAAAAGAAAAATAGTTGAAGTTATAATACATAACTACAGAGAATGGAAAAGATTGAGGAGTATGTTATAAAAAAGTAGAAAAACTATAGTTAACAATTTTGGTAAAGTAGTGTTGAGAGGAAAACGTCACATTTAGTGCGTAAGAAAAGTAAGAAAAATAAAAGAGAGAGAAACTAATTTTGAGAAAGAATAAAGGGAAGAGAAATTTGTCTTCAGAAAATTAGAGAAGAATAAAAATAAAAATAACGAGAAGTCAAATTTTTAGAATAAGAAATAAAAATAATATAAATAAAATTAAAATTAAAATTAAAATATAAAATTATAATTGGGGGTTTGAGACTTTGTGACTGATTAAAAAGGTTGAAATCGATTGAAAAAGGGACTAATATTGCAGCCAATAGAATTTACAATGCACCGTGTCAAAAGCAACTACGCCGCAATAGCTCAGCTGGGAGAGCGTTAGACTGAAGATCTAAAGGTCGTGTGTTCAATCCACACTTGTGGCATTTTCTTATGCTTTTTGGACAATTGTATTACTGTTGTTCCCATGTCGTTCCCAATCTAAGTTGGTCTTCCTTTTACTATAACAAAGTCAAAAGGTCAAACCCACTGAGGATCAGAGAGTATACGTAAAATCAAAGAGAGGATAAAAGATATTTTTTATTAATATGAATTGAATTGTCTTATATAGTTTTCTAAACTACTGGTTTTATCCATTCAATTGGCGCCCATTTTCATCTAATTAGCATCCGTTTCCATCTAATTGGAACCCATTGACATCTGATTGGCTTCCATAGAAATTGAATTTCCTCCCATTGCCATCTGAATTTCCTTTCCCCTTTTACTATTGGCGGAAGGGTACATGGCACTCAATTTTTTTATCCTTATGCCTTACAATTTTTTTATATAACCATAGTATTTTTTTTTGTAAACGTCATATTTTTTTTATATAACAATAGTATTTTTTTTTGTAAACGTTGTATTTTTTTATATAACCATAGTATATTTTTGGCATAAAACATAGATATTTTTATTAGGCATAATTAGTTGATAGAGATATAAAACACATAATAAGAAGTAAGATATAATGAAATACAAAGTAATAAAAAAAGAAAAGCATAAAGCAGTAAAACAAATAAAAAAAGAGAGATATAAAGTGGTAAAAAAAAATAAGAAAAAGAGAGACATAAAGTGGTAAAAAAAAAATAAGAAAAAGAGGAACATAAAGTAGTAAAAAATAAAAATAAAATAAAAAAAGACATAGAGTGTAAAGAGCTTAAATAGATATAAAAGACATACTTAAAGCTTTCGCTCTCTGTTCAAACAGCAAGAAAAGATTGAAATGACATGGTTAATCCAACCCAAACAGTCCAAAAGGGTGACAGTCTTAGCTGATTCTGTAATCCTTAAGATGAGCTCATCTGACTCTGTAATCTCTTCTCTGCGGATACCAAACTTGATCTTGGACCACATTTCCTCCATTGGAATCAGGAAAGGTGAATACACAGAAAGATATATACACTTGTACCCACGGGAAGAAATAAAGTCTTTCACCTCATCAGTCTTATAGATAGAAGCATTATCCATGCTGAGATAACATCCTTGCATACCATGACTGTCCAGAACATCCATTGTATGACTAAGAAAGTCAAGGTACTGCTGGGTCCTGGTACCAATTTGGCCATTCACCTCAACGTTGGTGTAGATGTCTAACTTTCTCTTCTTCTTAGTTGTGACTGCAGTAGGTTTCTTCAACAAGAGGCTAACAATCCCTCACTCACACATTGCACCAAGGATGGTGATGGACACATCTCTCTGTGTCAGGACAGTTGTCTTGGCTGGGGTGCCACTGACAGAACAGCCAAAAGTTCTCTTAATGTGCATGTTGAAGCCTGCTTCATCAATAAACACACAGTTTGACAGATAGTTGAAATCCACAAGTTGTTGCCACTCCAAAATGCGGTCTTGTCTCATCTCAATTGTGCTGACGTTGTCTCTCTTCTCAGGCAGCTTCTTCAACTTCTTCATTGTCAGGGCACACTTCTTCACTAAGTGCTTCTGGATTGCTAATTTGGTAATCTGCAGCCCAGAGAACTCTTCCATAACAGCTATCCTTGCTTGTTCCAAAGTAGCATCTGGTTTATTTTCGAAAAACTTCAAAAAAAGCAGAGTGTGCCTGGAACAAATTTTGGTTGCCATGTTTTTGTTCTTTAGGCACAGAAATCTCCTCAACCTCCATCGTCTCCAGCCCATTGGACTCATCAGTCTCCACTGTGGCAACATCAAAATTGGTCTGGATCTTCTCTCTGGTCAGCCTGACATAGTTCTGGGCAGTCCAGACATTGATCTCCGTTTCCCTGACAGTGGCAGCAGCAGTCTGGTTTTCCAAGAAAACCAAGGAGAAGAGCTTGTTCACCTGGTTTTGGTTGTACTTTTGGTACGAACCTCGACCTATGCTTTCTACAATGGGAGCAGAGTCAGGGTCGACCTTCTCCAGCAGATTTGTCTTTGGCTTCTGTGCAACAATGGTTTTGGTGATGGCCTCGTTGACTTCAGTTGGCAAAAAACTTCTGAGACTTAAGAGGTTCGTGACTGCTGGGTTTCTGGCCAAGGTACGGGTCCATTCCATATTGGCATGGTTGACAAAGACATCTGTCACAGATTGGAGTACAACTTCTCCATGCATTTTGTTGACAATCTCTTGGTTGAAATCGCACAAGGGGTCAAAAGCAATTCCAGAAAACTGGGTTTGGTCTGCAGAACCGCTGTGACTGACCATTTCACAGTGCTTGTCCATAACAAATTCGAGGGAGTTGTTGGAAGTAGGCATTTTTTTTTGAAAATAAAAAGGGTGTTAAAATTGAGGAAGAAAGATAACTGAGAAACTTTTATTAAGACACTGGGGTATATATACCAAAAAAAAATATTTTAATAACTTAAACGTTTCTATCAAGGTATAGTCTTGTCCTGTTGTCTTAATATATTTGGATAAAGAATGTGTTGAAAAATAATGAATGTTTACATATTAAGCTTCTTCACACTTTTAAGAACATTTATTTTATTAGCCGATTTACAGTTGTTATATTTTTAGAAAAGAAAGAAAAACAAAGTGCAGACAAGAAGTACGGTGAGACTTTGTTTATTGATGAAAAGAGAGATGATCTTCTATTGCTATTTGCTATGTGAGTTTATATAGACATTGTGTATGTATTTAGGATAATGATATGAGTATATCATGTGATGTCTGTTTTCTTATATCATAGATAATATATTGTTAAGTTATTACCCACACTCTTGTTTGAGTGATTAGTGATGTTGACTAAGGTGTGTGATCTTGTTATCGGTATATTCTTTATTTAATGATAGTGTGAGAAATAATGTATAATTGATACTGGTCGCTTATTCAATATGTCTTTGTCTTATTGTCTGTGCGCTCTATTTGAATCTACGATTATGTTGGATACAACACCGAGTCTGAAATGGGTATGTACCCAGAGAAATTCTTTTTTGGCAAGCAGTATGTCTTGGCTGATATTGGGTACAAGACCACTAGCTTTATAATTCCAGTCCAAAAGAAGCCAAGAAACCAGCCTATCAAGAAGTGCAATGCAAAATTCAATGTATATATTGCAATGATGTGTGTTAAAATTGAGCATGTATTTGGTATACTCAAAGAGAGATTTTATTCTCTCAAAGGAATTCCCATTCAAATTAAAAAGAAAAAAATGTTCATCAAGTAAATATCTGGATACAAGTTTGCATCATCTTGAACAACTTCTTGATGGATCAGGCCAATGATCCACTGCAAAAACAGATCAATTTCGCATATGTAAAGTATACCTAAGTTCTGATAGACAGAATAGGTAAAATTGTAGTTCAGCTCACTTTTGTGAGTAAAGTATTTGAATAGTATTTTAAGCTACTCTATTGGCTACTGGCAGCTGTGTAGCATTAGAATGCAACATCAAACTCAAATAAAATAAAAGTGTGTTTTCTTTGAAGTCTCTTTCTTTACTATTAAATACTATTGTAAACCTTTCTTTTCATTTTAAAATGGCTCCTATTCGCAAACCAACTGTTAGAAAAGAGTGTCGATGCTCTATCTGTAAAAGCAAGACACTAGGATTCGATTGTGTATCTGTTAAAACATTTAAACGTCATCAAGAAAAAGATAATCATGATATTACACATGTTCAAACGCGTACGGTTAATACATTTGCTTTACTTTACTTTATTTTATTTTATTTTATATCATTTCCTTTTTTATTATTTTATATAATAATAATAATAATAATAATAATAATAATAATAATAATACTAACACTAATAATAATAAATGTGTAGCCCATGAAGACACATGCGATACAATTAGTAGTGCTGTTTCTGAGCCTGTAAATCAAGAGGAAGATGGTTTTGAATTTGAACAGGAAGATGTTGAAATGAATTCTGAGCTTATAAGTAAGAAAACTTATTTTATTACATTGATTTATTTGGGTCTAACATTCCGCTTTTGTAGACCTAAATGACACAAATGACATTTTGGATATACGGACAAGAAACCAACCTTTCTCTGAAACGGATTGCGTGTTTGGCCCTGAAGATAATGTCCAGTATACAAGTGACACTTACGAAGAAGAATATGAAGATGAATCCGATGTTGAGATGGACAATGATGAAGGTAGGTACACAGCTTTAGATAATATTATATCCTAGAAAATAGAGAGTTAATCAACGTTCTTTAAAAAAAATCAAATTAAAGATTCTTCGTTGGAATCAATCTTGGAATTGAATTTGATTCACCGATTCATTGTTATTTCGGTTGCTCTTTTTGTCTCGCTATACGTCGTGGATGAAGGAGCTGTAATCCTGATTGCCATAATCAACAAGATACTGCAGTTTTTGTTTGACCCATTCCGCCTTCCAGTGAGTGTTGCTGGCCTCAAACGTTTGGCCGGATTTGAAGCGTTGACAAGTGGTGTCAAGAAGTATGTTGCATGTAGCAAATGCCATGCCATATATGATAATGAAGCCGCCCCTTTGTGTTGTACATCACCCAATTTTGGTAAAACCTCCTTGTGTGGCAACAGCTTGTTTAAGTCTGGTCCCGGGTCAAAAGCACCCAAAAAGACATATGTATTCCACTCCGTCAAGAAAGCCCTAAAGACGTTTTTTCAACGCCCGGATTTTGAAAACAACATCAACTCATGGAACCGCGGCCCGAAAATGGATAGCACTTTATTTGACGTGTACGATGGTGCGATGTGGAATGAGATAGTAGACGTAGATGGTATACCTTTTGTTGACACCGAGCGATCACTCATGCTCACGCTGAACATTGACTGGTTTCAGCCATTCGATGGTGTTACCTACTCCTGTGGTGCCATATATCTTACAATCAATAATCTTCCACGCAGTGAGCGGTTCAAGAAGGAGAACGTGATTCTTGTTGGGTTAATGCCAGGGCCTAAAGAAGCAAGCACTTCTGACATAAATAACTATCTGAAACCGCTTGTGGATGAGTTGATGGAGCTGTACAAAGGTATTAAGATTAAGACTCACCAATGTCCAAATGGTACTTCTATCCGAGCAGCCCTTCTCATGGTTGCCTGTGATATACCTGCTGCAAGGAAAGTATGTGGGTTCACATCCCATACAAGTACAAATGCATGCCACAAGTGTAAGCGTCAATTTTCGAGGTTGGCTGGAACGAGTTCCGTTGATTATTCTGGATTTGATTTCTCAAAGTGGCTCCTTCGCACTAAGAATGACAATCGTAAGGATGCAGAGATCTGGAGAAATGCAACCAAACCGACTGAGAGACAGCGTCTTGAAGTTGCACATGGTGTTCGCTGGTCCGAACTGCATCGTCTTCAGTACTTTGACATTGTCCGCTGCACGATCATCGATCCCATGCACAATCTTTTCTTAGGCACTGCCAAAAGAATGCTGGAGAGATGGGTTGCGGATGGATTAATCGATGATAAAAAACTCGTTGCCATGCAAAAGGCTGTTGAGAAGGTAGTGTTGCCGCCCGATTACACGTCACTTGGGACAAAGATTGCCAAGGGATTTCCCTATATGAAGGCTGATGAGTGGAAGTCTTGGTGCCTTGTGTACTCTCCTGTAGTTCTAAGGGATGTGTTGCCGTTGCCAGAGTTCAAGAACTGGATAGAGTTTGTTAACGCATGCAGATACTTCACCAAGCCTAGTGTTTCTGAAGAAGACATTGAGAAAGGACACAAATGCTTAGAAGAATTCTGTAAAGGGTGTGAGACATTGTACGACCTGGACCTTCTCTCTCCCAACATGCACCTGCATCTGCACTTACGCCAAACAATGATTGACTTTGGGCCCGTCTATGGCTATTGGCTTTTCAGCTTTGAAAGGTACAATAGTGTTCTGAAAAATATCAAGACCAATCGAAGAAACGGGTTCGAATCAACATTTATGAGACAGTTTATTGAAGAGTCGTGGAAGGGAGATTTTGTGCGTCGACTTCTGAAACCTATGCATGCACTTGCATGTTTTGAAATTTTCGATAAGTTCACCACCAACAACAACAACACCAACACCAACACTAACACCAACACCAACACCAACACCTACCTCTCTCACTCTTTCTCAATTTCCGAATATCTTGAAGCTTCACAGAATCTTTCAATGATAATTCGTGGAAACGAGCCCCTGCCACCATCCGCCTTGCCATTGAAAACAAGACCATTATCATTTATGTCAAAACATGAATATGATTGTCTTGTAGGATACTATCAAGCTGCGTACAAGAATCCACAGATCTCAGGTTGCAAAGATGTAATTGATGACTCACCTTTCGTCAATGACTGGATCGAAATGGTGAAGTCCGTTGATCTTCTTGGGCAAAGCTACAAAGGGTGCATTGGCACGAATGGCCGCGGATCATACATACAAGCATATTTTACTGAACGAACTGGGTCGGAACATGCGTATGTTGGAGAGATTCAGTACCTTTTTGTTCACAATTTTAGGCCAACTGTTTCTTCTCTAACATACAGAAATCCCCATAGTAGTCAGCATGTATTTGCATTTGTCAAATGGTTCAAATCCACTTCGGACAAAACAAGAGAATTAGAAGGAGTTGAGTTGTTACAGAATGAATTCTACAAGCAAGATTTTCAAAGCATCCTGCCAGTACATCGGATTCTCCTAACAGTTGCAATAGTAGATTACAAAACTACAAAAAATGTCAACAAAAAACTCGCGATTCCTTTACCAAAAAAAATTTACTATTAATTCTCATACACACACTTACTTATATATTTATCCTCTATTATTATTTCCTTTAATCAATTCAATTTCAATTATTACTATTTGGCCCTACAACAGAACATAGTAAAAAAGAAAATGTTTATTCATCGTTGATTGCCCAACGAGGCAATGACTGGGACAGAGTGGCAGGAACAGAGCAAGGCAACAATGTTGCTGGATATCTGTTCATTCTTGGCTTTGTTCCCACGCCCGCATTTAACACGTGATGGGTATGATCAATGTTGTTAACCATTGTCAACAATCTGTTGAACTGTATTTATTTTTATTAGTTCTTTATTTTTCTTGTTATAAAACTTATTTATTTATTCTAAATATTATTTACCTCTTCACTTCTCCAAGTGGGGCGAGCCACATGCAAACACCGTCGTGGAAGATTGTCCACAATCTCAATATCCGACTCACCATCAGACATGGCATCCTTCTGAAAGAGTTTGAGATAGGCCTTCTCAACAGGGTTTCCAGTCTTATATCCCATTGCAGCATCAATGGCTACCCAGTTGTCCATGTATGTCGACTTGCGTCGGATAGACATCTGGTTATATAGATTGTAGCTTGAGAAAATAGTAATATACCAATTAATTTTTTATATAGTATATACAAACCTGAAGAGTACGACTGTTTGCTCTCCCCTTGCTGTTTTTCTTGGCCTTCTGCTCAGGAGACTCGTGAAAAGTACGATGACTGTGCTTGTACCTGTTCTTTATTTTATCACTTATCACCCGTGGGTGAGTACCAGCTAGACGAGTCTGGGCGCTAATGTAGCTCTTCAAGTAGTTGATAACAGCTACGTTATCGCGGTGGTTAATCTTCTCGTTCAAGTTCCACTTCTTCTTACTCTCGTTCTCAGCAACAAGAGCAGGGTCGTCAGACTCGAACTTCCAGTCCCACAACTTTTCCATGAAGATTTCCTAAATACAGATTGTTTAATAAGTTGTTGATACTAACATATATTAGTATTAATTACCGAGATAATGACAGAAACCTCGGCATCACTGAGGGAGATCTGGGGGACATAGGATGGCATCAGAGATGGTCCTAGACTAGCCATACGAGTCTGATTGTTGGCATAGGCAGTTGCAAAGTCTGCAAATGCCGTATGTGTCTTTCCAGACGTGTCAACAACAACGCCCATCCTGTTTTTAAAGGCTGCCATGTTGCTATTGACAGCAGCAATGTCATCCTTGACACCGTTGATATTGTTGTTTACTTTGTTAAACATTTCAACAATTTCCGCGTATCACTGATCTTGGATAGTTGCGGATGAGAAACTGGGGGCAATTTCTCGAGGTCCAACACGGCCAGCCAAAACACGGTTTGCAGAGGTAGATATACTTGCAGATGCTTTTCCTTTTCCTTTACGGTCTGTTTTTCTGCTGCTATTGGAAGGCATTTTTTCTTTATTGTATTTTTATTAAAGTTTTATACATTAATAAATTATTAAAATAAAATAAATGTATGGGTTGAAATATATTTATTTTTGTTTAATCAAAGATATACATACAAAATAAGTTAATATAAAGTAGATTTATGAAATAGCTGAGAAAAGGAAGGGATTATATATTATTTTCTATAAAATCCTTTATAACCTTGAACAACTTCTTTAATATTCAACATAGAACTTAGTGTTACAATATAATTTCGGACTATTCATTTTATTACTATTGTATTTTACTAGAGTCAATTCTCATCTAAACTGCCTTCTGTTTGAAAGCCCACTTTTTTTTCTTCTTTTTCTTTATTTTTTTCTTATTTCTTTTTTTCCTGTTTCTTTTCCGCTTTATTTACTTTTATTCTTATTGATGTATTTGAGTTCACACCCTGGTAAGCAATTTGTTTTTATTATTCTACTGTTATATTTATTCTTAATGTTTTTTCTTTTATTATTATTGTGGTTGCTGATAGTATTACAAGTCTTTGCCATGTTGATTAATGGACAAGAACAAAAAGGTAAAACGCGGTTATTGTGTATGTGCTTCTTTATTAATTATTTTCTTTTTCTCTCCTCAGCTCATCATAAAGACATACCAACAGCAGAAATTTATCCGGTAAGTCTGAATAATGTATTTATTTGTTTTATTCTTATATCTAATTTTGTTTATTTTCTATCTCTGTTAGTACTGCCAACATTTCTATGTACCTGATTGAATGGCTTGTCTTTGAAAACCGGTTTTCTTTGGTAAGTAATAAAGCCAAACTTTATTCCATGATCTTTACTAATGCGTTTTATTAAACCTTTCAGAACAACAGTCAATGTGCAATATGCCTGGTTCTGACGAAAGTACTGGTAAGTAACCATATTATTTAAATTAAAGAAAAATAAATATTTATATAATCTAATATAATTGAATAATTTTTTAGCCTTCTCTTACTAGTGAAATACCGTAAACACGCGTTTCTTTTTAGGATTCTATCATATTGGAAGTATTTATATATTATAATATATGAAAGGGTTTGTTATTATATTAATTATGTAGTAGCTTATATATTAGATTAGACTATATATTGTCAAGCCGTACATATTATAAGCAAGAAGCTTTTTTTTTTTAAATAAAAACAATTTTTCCAAAACAATCCCTATAAAAATATTTGAAATGAAGTGCAAGAAGTATTGCAGTAGCATGGCATGTGTGAATCCTATAGTTTAGCCGTGCATAATTGTCCAATAAAAGTGTTTAGATTCGGAAGACAGTATACATAAATCCTGTTTCTTCTGTTAAATGATCCAATAGAATATCATTATTTCAGTAGACAGTTTTCTCTGTAAAGTAATCCAATAGAATTCTACTATTTCAGTAGACAGTTTTCTATCAAAAATAGATTTTTTATTAGAATCTCTGTTTCAAATCAAGTTTAATTTAATGTAACATCCAAAAAAAAATGCCATAATTTGATTATTCTCTCTGCGATTAAATAGTTTAAAAGAACCTTACATCTCTATATGGATCATTATAAGTTCAGAAGTTATATGGACAACTCACAGGTAACATAACATATTGTGAACGGAATCTATAAATGCCAAATTCCAGAATTTAATTATTCTGTCACTCAGAATTTCCCATACTATCGCATATGTGTAGAAATCTAATTCCCCAGTGTGATAGACTCACCATAAGATTGAAGGCCAGCTAGAAGAATCTGGAAGACACAGAAATGGCAAGAATTAAAGAGGAAGGAAACCCAGAAGAAGATGACAAGGAGGAGGAAGTGACTGAAACAGTACAAGAGAGTGCAAAGGCAAAATGTAATCATATAAAAGTATTAATATTTACAAAAAATAGAAAATCTTCTCTTCTAGCAGCTTAATATATATTGTTCTCTTACCTTTCATTTCATTATTTTTTCTTCTTTATATCTTTATCTATCTTCTATTGTATTACTATACTTATCTTATCTTAACTATTTTTTAAATAAATTTGACTAACATCAGAGTAAAGAATAAGAGATATGAGAAATATTTACATTAAAAATAAACATAGTATACATGAGTTACTTTATTACATAGATTCTTCTATAAAGACAATTCAATCAGCTGAGAATTTGTTTTATGAGATACTTGGTATACTTCTTATCAAACTTCTCTTCAGACCATCTAAACAACCTGGCCTTTATTTCAAGCATTTTCACTACTTGATCTTCTTTGTTCTTCTTCAGTCTCTCCAATCTTTCTTCATCATTCTTCTTCCCTCTTTCTTCTCTTTTGTCAGCAATTATCTTCAACTTGTCTTCTCTGTCCCTTTCATATTGCAATTCAAGAAGAGACACCTTTGCATCTTGGAACCATTTGGCACATCCGGAAATTATTTTGAGCTTCTTCTCTGCTCTTTCTTCTTTGCTTTCTATAATTTACACATGTGTCTGGGATCTTTTCTTTGCTGAACCATTGGCAGCTCTTAAGGAAGAAGGCAAGTCAGCTTCTGACACCAACAAGACAGAATCTCTGATGATAATGCCATTCACTCTTTTCATTTTGTCACAATCTTCATCCTCGCTTCCACCTTCACCTTCACCCGCGTCTTTACCACCATTACTCTCATCTTCTTGTGCACTATCCAAATCATCATCATCATCATTGTCAGAAAATACAAGCGGTATGTTGCTGTTTGACACACAAGGAGATGCTGTCTTTCTTGTCTTCATAATGATCTTCATCTCAAAGAATTCAGGGCAGATGGTATTTAGTCTCTCTATTAATATATAAATCAGGTTTAATAAGAGTATGGATATAATATCTGTATATCTGAAGCTAACTTACTGTTGAATTCTGCCTTTCCACTAACAGAGTCATCAAAGCCATGAGATTCTTTACTACTCTGATCCCAAACTTTATAAACATTGTGATATTGATTATTTACAAGCTTGCTTAGTCTAGTTTTGATCTGACTATTTGTTCTTATAACTCCTTGTTAAAGGAAGTGCTGGCTACACTGGTTGATGACCCCAGACTTGGTTGCTTTGAAGGTTCTTCCATTGATAATTCTACCAAGATACTTTTCCAAGTTTTTGCCTCCATCTTTAAGCAGAAAATGGAGCAGTTGTTCAATACTTGACATTTTATCTTTGCCACCATCTGGTTTAGATCATGATGTATAGAGAGGAGCAGAAGCTTGTACAGCAAATACACTAGTAGTACTGACGTTGCTTTTAGGAACAATATTCTTGTTTACAGACATAGTTTATGGATCACAAATAAAAAAATAGATGGGAAGAAAAAAAAACTTGTCAAAATCATATTGATTATATTGTAGATTATACAAAATCTTTGTAATTAAAGCATCTCATCTCATCTATACTATATTCAGACTGAGACAAAAAGAATTTTTTATTTTTGGTTCTTTTTCATTTTTGTAGGATAATAGCAAATCGATTTGATTGGGTTAAAAAGAATTTAAAAAATGGAATTTTTTTTAAAAAAATTTCTATTGTTCACCCTTATTGTTTTAAAAGTTGCATTATGTCATGGCAAAATATGTCTTATATTTGAAAAAAAAATTATTGATTAAAACATCAGAAAAACAATAGAAGAAGTGAAGAAAAAAACATCTGCTTTATATTTATTATATTTATAAATTTACAGCATCCATTTCCACTCTAGAAGGTTGTTGGATCTATAATATAAATAAAGTGTTAATTATACTTAAAATTATATATGCATTCAATCTTTAACAACATACCTCTTAATTACGTCTTGAGATTATTACAGCAGACCTCCACTTCTGAGACAAGATATAATGTGCTACCCAAGATTCTTGAAATCTGTTTAAGGCAATATGTCTCCAGGCAGCTGTATCTTCAGGGTTTTTAGTAAGTACTTCATTTTGCTGAGGGGAAATACTGCCCCATGTTGAAAAACTTTGTCCATTCTTCTGGTAGTTATTAAAAACACTGTTTATCATTTGGTGAGCCATTATAGATACCTTAGCATACATATTTATGACATTGTCTCTGTTCTCATAGGTCAGATATGTTTCAAGTGATGTTTTAACACTTCCTGCTGTGAGAGCCCAATGGTGGTGGCTAGCATCTGAAAGCAACCGTGAGATGTCATGAAAAGTGGCACTTGTAATTGTTGGTGCCTGGCAATTTTCCTGTTAAATCTGAGGTACAGACTCATACCTGTTAAGGTGTTCTTATAAATTAGCAACGGATGCCTCCAATGTTGCTAAGCATATATGAGTGTGATAAGTCTGAGGTCTTGATATTTTTTGATAGAGAAAGAAGGAAGAAAGAGTAAAAAAACAAGAAAAATGAAATAGCTGTAATTATTTTCAAAGTCATTTGAAAACCTAATACTATTTTATTATCTTTTTGTATATATGACATAATGTGTATAATACTAAAAACGGTATTAATATTATCTTCCAGCCTTTTCTGATCCTTCATCTTTATCTTATTTTACATATACAAAGAAACAAAAGTGGACATCAACAACTTGATTAATCACTACCCTGAAACCAAAACCAGCAATAGTATGGCACTGCGCCAAAAAAAAATAGGAGTTTTAGAGGTGGTTTCACAGGTGGTTCTGAAGGGAAGCCAGGGCGCGTTTTGTGTCCTCCCCCTTTTTTCCAACCCTGAGTTCATATGCATTTTAATACATCTCCACTTACCGGTAGCTTTAAGATTCTATTAATATATTTATAACCTTTTCTTTTGCTAATATTTGTCTTTCAATTGGACAAAACTTCTTTAAGTATAGTTGAAATATTTTATGTCATTGGTTACTACTAATTCATTACTCTTTTAATTTAGATTCTTTTAAATATTTCTTGCTTAATCATTGTTTTTATTGGATAAGACATAATTGTACTGTAGTGTATTTTATAAAAATACATTTTTATTGGTTTCTCAAATGGATATATTTTTTATTTATTGTTTTTATTGGTTATAAACAGTCAAATACATCATATATTTCCAACATTAAATATACTACTTTACACTGTAGTGGATAGTTACTTACAATTGCCTCCTTTGATGGTCTTTTCAGAGATAACTAACTCTTGCAATGAATGCCTAATTTTGATGGCATCTGGTGAAATCTACACCAACCCTCTTAAGTATGTTTGCATATTTATTGCAAATTATTGTTCAATCACATGAAGATATGGACCCCCAGCTAGGATGAGGGCCAAGAGCTCGTACAGAAGGAAGGGTGGCTAACTCGTTACATACATGTTTTGCATAGGTCCTGAGTGTTGCTTTTTTGGATACTGTAGCCTTGATTCCAAGATGTTGACTCATCATTTGGTAAACATGTTCTAAAGTGACATTACAAATGTTGATCACAAGTTTGAAAATAAACCCACTTGAAGTCTATTGAAGTTAAAGTTAGTTTTCAGCAATACTGTTTTGAGTTGAACTTACATTAATAAACAAAGAGAGATTTTGCTTTGGAGATCCTTTGATTATTATTTCATTCCCAAGGCTGTTAATATCTATTTTCATTTGTTTTTGATTGGCACATAAGACAGATAACTGAAGCTAAATGGCTAGGAGTAAAGATTCAATGATGTTATCTGTGTCATTCATATCGCAAATATTGTTTACCTGAGAAAAAAGATGTTGTTGTGAAAATAAGATATAAAGAAAAAAATTTTCAGTTATCTATTATTAGTTTCATAGCAATATAGACTGAATCTATTGGGTTGGTTTCAGTGAATATCAATTTTGCTTACTGTACTTACATGGCGACATGATATATATATCACTGTAGAAAAAAAAGTGCAAGTACTCGCAGAAATAATTGCATATCTGCAAAATCTGTGTAACTTTGTAAAAATCATATCAATCTTACTAAATTTAGAGTGTTCTAAGCCCCTTTTAGAAGCTGTGGACCCGCGATTAATCTTTTTTTCATGTGTTAAACTCAGACGTCTATTTTAAGTGAGAAAAAAAAGATGACTGTTCTTTTTTGTTTACAATTTTGATCAAGGTTACAAATATAGCCAATCAATCAGATATACCATTAATTCGGATTTTTGGTGATGCGCAATTTTAAATAAAATGATAATGACAATCAATTTCGTTGAGTAATATCTGAATAAGACAAAAGGTTTATATACATTTATTAAAAAGAAAGAGGGAAAAAAAAGAAGAAAAAGCTACTGGTTGTGGGTCGGCGAGGGCCAGACGATATGTCTAATGGCCCCGTCCTTAGTATCGTGGACGAAGCCAGCCATCCCCTTGAAGGACTTCACATCCACTATCCTCATTTCGCTCTGCGAGCAGTTGCTCGACACAGGGAAGAGCATGTCTGGAAAGGGCCTGACATCGGAAAGACTCTCGGTGGTTGCAAAGAGCCTGGTCACTCCTTTGACAGTGTGGGAAAAGAATTTGCAGACAAATCCATAACTTTCAAAAATCATAATTAAATTATGATTAATATCAACTTTTAACAATGTAGAATATAACTAACAACACTTACTCCCACATATGTTTGAGCATAACAAGATTGTTAGCTCGAACATGTCTACTGTCAAAGGAGGACCAGACTCTGTAAACCACCAAGTCTTTCCACATCTTCGTGGTGCAAACCACTGAGTCTTGTTCCTCGAAGGAGGAAACTCCTTCTCCTGCCCAGAAAGGCAACAACTGTTGGATGAGGTTCTCCCATTCCATGCCAATGGTGCTAGCCAACTCGGCCATGCTATACCTGGTTGGACTGGACCACAGCTGAGGACCAGCAACATCATCACTTGCAACCTCAATGTTGCTGGTCCTTCTGTCAGCTGGTCCAGTCCTGGCTGGACGGTTGCCGCAGCAGTGGCTGATGGCCGCCATCCAGAAAAGAACATTTTCCATGTTTTTTCCGGGCTCCTTTCTGGACTTGATCGCAGAGGTATAGGCACTGATTGTGCGTTCTATTGGATGGCAGCTGTAAGCCTGCAAAGGGCCCATTTCCTGCAACATGAAACCAAGATGAACCAGCATGTGCTGGTTCATCACGAATATGTTGGATTTCAGCTTACCGTCTGAAATCTTGCACCTCAGGAAGGAGTGCCAGCGGCCAATTGCCCTATAAAACTCATTAAAAACTGGATAGAAATATATATCTAAGTGACTTACTGCTCCACGGCAACAATGTCGCTGGCGGTGATGCTTCATTGTTGGACAATGGAGCATGCTAGCACCAGGTCTCTCACGGCCTGCTTTGCATCTGCAAAGCAGAGGTGGTCGATTACCACGGTTGGTACAACAAACAAGAGGAAGTCCATCCAATCAACGGCCTTCCTCTTGCCGTTCGATTCCTTCATCGACCTCCACGTACCAATAAATGCCGTCAGTATATCTGCCCTGGATGTGCTGACTGCTTTTTCGATGTCATCTAGGCTAACATCCAGGGCAAAGGGGTACTCAAGTCGTTGCAGGCGTTCTTGGAGGTGCATTCCATGGGATTTTCTGCCCAGGCCTGCAGTCCCAGAGCAGAATTTGCCACCAAGGGCTTGATAGAGCTGGTGCCCTGTTCCATGACCTATCAGGTGCATCTCGTCCTGGCCAAAGAAAGCAGAACTGGTGAGTGTGAGTAACTCTGCAAAGGCATTGTATCTCCCACCACCAGGTCTCTAAAATGATGTTAGTGGTTTTTTTTTGATATTTCATAACTTACACTTCCTTCAGCTCTGCAAATACTCCCTACATCCCTCATGGGGGCAGGACCCTCGCTCTCCAGGAAGCACATGGTCTTGGCAATGCTTTCACCACACGCAAAACAATGGCGGCAGCCGTATTGTGCATTGTGATGCATAAGGTTCATCAAGTCAGAGACAGCTGGAGTATCTCCAGTTGCCATGACAAGATGAACCTTATGTACCACATACTGGTCTCTGTCCCAGCACTTCACTCCACTTGTCTGCAAGGCTCGCAGGTCGGCAAGAATGGGCTCCAAAAACGAAGCAATGTTCTTTGGATGCTTAGGCCCTGGGATGATGGCCAGCTGCATCATGTTACCCTTCTTGTACCTAAATATATTATATTAGTATATATAAATATACATCTAAATCAATGTGTTTTATTTACCTTTCGGCAGGGTTGATATTCATGTTAATAACATGAATGATGCTAGCTGACATGGCGGCGTCCTTGAAGGGGTTGAACTGGTCAACAAACATAGACACCACCATGTCACCCTGGCCAAAAATCCCACCTGCGAGCAGTCTATGGATGCCATCTCCATCAAGGATATCCTTACGGACATTCAATCAGCCACCAGCCAAAACCTCCATGCCATAGGCGATCTTTGCCTGTTCTTCAGGGTGAGCCAACTTGAAGTGTAATTGCTCTGAGAGAGGCACTGCCTGGTATGTCTGTACAGGTGATATAGTGCCTCTCTCACACTAGTACCGCGGTCCATTGCAGTGAGGGCACACCTCATTCTCAACGATTGAGTTTCCAGGCTCAACATCAGGGAAACGAAAGCACCTACTGGCACACATGTCATACACCTGTGCCTTGACTGTGTATTCTTGCTTGAGCAAGGTATCCACCTTGTAATATGACAGAAGTGAATCCGTTTTAGCTAATACAATAGTAAGTATATGTAATATAGTAGATATGTGATAGTAATAAACTTACAGGATCCACGTTCTGTCATGTACTCGTTTACGATCTTGACAGACTGATTGTAGATTTCACGAGAAACACTGTTCTCAAAAAACAAGGAGAACAACTCCAGACTAACGGCCTCAGCACTGCTGTTGGGAGTGTACATTGGTACAAACTGGTTGTACTCAATGTTGGTCTGCTCTGGTTCAGCTTGGGCCATTCCTTGGTTTCGGACACATGTGAATCCAGGACCATTCTCTAATATATTTACACAGTTAATATTTAACATAAACATAATCATATGTAATAATGTTATTATTAACATTTTCTTTTAATTGTTCTTACCAGAGGTGTACTTCACCTCAACATTGCTGGAATTGGCTTCCATAGGAGAAGCATCCTCTTCATCGGCCTCAACGTTGTTAGTGGCAGCAGCCAAGAAACCATCAAAGTCAATTGAATCATCGACAGAGGCTTTATCGTTGATATCCATCATGTCGTAAGCTGGATAAGTGACATTGATATCCATTTAAGTGGATTGTTGCTCAAAGAACGAATTGTCAAGCATATAACTGCTTGTTTCGTTTTTGGTAACAGGGTTAAGTAAGTCGTTAATGTTCATTTTGAATTGTTGTTTTGTATTTTAAAAAAATAGGGGTGTAAGGTCGAAAAAACCGCTTGGGATGTGATATTAATTTTTATTCCATCAGTTGACAGTGAAAAATTACAAGTGCGCTAATTATCATGAATATTTTTTTAAAGGGATTCTGGCTTTTTGTTTTTTATTTTTCCTTGTTGTTTTTGTTTTTTATTTTTCAGTTTTTCTTGTTGCTTTTGTTTAACTTTGTTTTTTTTATATTTTACATCTTCTTTACAGTTCTAAAAATGTCATCGCTCAACATTGTGCTATTAAACCTTCGACTGGTGATGCTGGAGACAGCATATGCCCGGCTTGAGGCCAGGTTTGAGGCCAGGTTTGAGGGCGGTGAGGCCGCCACTGAACAGCCCGTCCGAGGTAACCCTCCTGATGTGAACCATTTGCAGCCGGTCGTTGGTGGCAACACCATCCCACGCCCTTCCCCCCAAGAACAACCTAACAGTTGGGTACTCTCAGCCGGGAGTGTTACTGCAGCCCTGGTATTACATTTTACCAGGGGTAACACTAAAGAAGCTCGGCTTCTTTACAGTGCCATTGGCAGACTTGCTCGCCAGCTTGTACAGGTAACAATGTCATGCTACTGTACGAATGGTATAGCTATACCATCGTGGGGTAGTCTTGCACCTAACCAGAGAAACATCCTGGTTAGAAACCTTGAGGAGAGAGCAGCCAGAAGAAATATTGCTCTTGATAGGTTTGAGAATTCCTGAGTGTCTATCTTTGTGCTTTCTCAGAGATAGAGAACTGCTGTCTCCAGTGGAAGACAGTAATAAAACGTAAGTTACTTTTAAATATAAAGCCATTTATAAGATCATAACTAATACAAATCAATTGTTTTGCTTTGTTTGTTTGTTTTTTATATTATTATAGTAGACAATACTGAACTTTATAAGTAACATTTATAAAAAAACATAATAAAAATACTATTTTAAAAAAATTGTTATCAAGTAGAAAGTAATTTGGTATATGCCTTGTATACTTCTTCTACTGTCATTTATTTGTTTGTTTGTTTGTTTTGTTTTGTTTCTTTTTGTTTTTTTTCATTTTTTTGTTTTTTATTTTTTATTTTTTTTTCTATTTTTTTTTCTATTTTTTTTGTTTTTATTTTTTTTCTATTTTTTTATTTTTATTTTTTATTTATTTTTTCTATTTTTTTTTATTTTTTTATTTTTTATTTTTTTGTATATTCCAGGGACCAAAAATAAAACAAAAATAAAAATAAAAACTTATTTTTATGTGACGCAATGTGTATTATTTGATCAATTAGAGATCCAACAAATTTAACAAAAAAGGGTTAGTTAAAAGTAATACACAAGTCTAATTGGCTTGAGGATGCTGAACAGCACTCGATTGAGTTTAATGCTATGGAATTCCACAAATCCGATTGGCAAAGAGTAGAAACACTAACATTGTATCACCTTGTTTTTATTGGCTGAATCTATATCTGCAAGTATGCATTTTTTACATAGTAATCTGCATTGGCGGAATTACAAATGCTTCCATTTCCTACAGTGTATATTTGTATGTTAACTATGTTTGTATATTAAAAAATACAGTCTACTATTCTATTTTTACTCACAAAGGTTATCTGAACTTAAAGTCTTTTTTTTTGGAAAAAATTAGTCCCAATGTACCGAGTTTGGAAAGTAAGAAAAAAAAAGAGAAAAAAGAAAAAAAGAAAAAAAAGAAAAAATAGTCAAGATAGGTTTAGAGAGTCCTAAATTTGGTAAAGCTTGTAGAAGATTAAAGAAGTTGTAAGGATTTTATCAAAAGTTATAAGTTTTTTAAAAAACTTGCAAATTTTCTCTTATAGTGTAAGCTAAAGGTTGGGTCATTGAGTCTATATCACTCATTATTCTTGAAGACAAAAGCACTAAAGAGCTATCTTGATAGTGGAATAAAAGAGCAATCTAATAAAATATAAATATGAATGAGTATTTCAAGCTTAAAAAATAAGTTAAATAAAAACTTACCTTTGAGTTTGCCAAGATGCATCTCATAAAAGTTAGAATCTCTACAAGTGAAAATAAATAAAAGATGATTAATATTCAATTACTTTGTAAACTAGGTGCGCAGTTATTACCTCAACTCTTTTTGACCAGATGATGAAAAGGCTAATTGTTAGCTAATGAGACTCAAGATGAATAACTGTATTACAAAGTACAATATTGCTTTTTTATTATACATACCTCAAAAACAAGAATATATAGACATGTTTTCTACAAAAATAATATACTAGATATAAACACACATAATGAACAAACTTTTGTTAGTAAAGTAGAGTAAGAAACAATGCAAAGAACATAATCCCACACTTATTCAAAATCGATTTAAAAAATTCTCATTGGTCTACTGGCTTTTAATACCAATGGTGCAACTCGCTGAAATGTTTTTAAAAAAACACTAAGTCATTCTTTCTTGGTTTGCCTTATTTTTATAAGTTAAAGAGATATGCTTTAATAATAAATAATTGAAAATACTGTTGTGGTGGTTGAAGTTGAAGAAGTTTTTAAGAGGAAGAATTGAAGATTTGAAATTAGGAACGAAGATTCGTGAGAACTTGTGTAGGTTTTGTTTATTGAGAAAGATTTTGTATCAAAGTTTGACCAGGTTCCTACACTGAACTACTACTGCTATTTATATTATTTTGGATCGGGAAAATTATATGACTGGGGTCAGGTAATCGATCCTATCTGAGCCTTAATCAGAGCAACGTGATCTTGGGATAATTAATGTATGATTAATTATATAAATGTGTGTAGTCCCAATGAAGTATTAACATCGAAAGTAAATGTGTTTATGAGTTATAATTATGCTTATAATAATCCACTGATGTATCCCATATTATGGTGATATCATCATATGAAATATAATCACTATCATGCATGCTAAACCTGTGTGTTAAATAATAAAGTAATCGGTAGACACCTTTGACTGGAATAGCTGAGGCCTTATATTATTTCCTTCAGACTTATTCTCAATTACAGCAGTAGTCAATACTCATTTACAACAAATACATCTGTAAATTATTAATAAAGAAATATATGTATATCTTTATATCTTAATTGGGTTGAGTTTTCTCTTAAAAGATTGCTTGTGTTGGGCATTTTTTACTGATATTATGTAAGAAATAAAAAAAATCATATATTTTTTCTTGTTTGCAATTTTGACAAAGTTGTTTTATATGCTAAAAATCATTGCCTTTGCTAAATTTTAACAGAATTATTTTTTCATTGCTCAATACAACCTCCAAGCTTTCTTATTCAACATTCTGTCTTACTTAAACAGCTTTTTGTTGTGATCAGAAAGGTTTGAAGTAGGACTAAACCTTCTTTTCTCCTTTATTTGGAAAAGAAAAAATTTAATTCACAAAATTACACAAAGAAAAATATTTAGGCCAATAATATTGCTTGGGTACCATACACTATCATATTTGGTTTCTAATTTCTGTAGTGGTGATACAATACTATTCACTGTAAATTATGTAAGGCATGAAGATAATAATAGGGGAATGGTACAGACAAGCTGGATTTGTTATAGCTGGACAAGCTAGAAAGTCAAAACTGAAAATGTATACACCACGGGAGATTTTTGATATCAAATAAGGAAATCCAAATTTTGAAAACTTTTTGATTGGCTAGTTAAATATATCTCTTGTGTAATTTCCTTTTATTCTCTTTTTTTAAAATTAGCAATCTCTATAAGATAAAATCGGATGTACAGACATCTAGAAATGGATTTTTGGTGTAATATCACAAAACTAAAAAACGACTTAGAAAAATTTAATTATTTTATTGATAGAATTTTAAAAAATAAATAAAGAAAATGGGTTTTTTTTGGCTGGGCAAACCAATGAAGAGAAATCTCACCCCCCTCCTTCAAGACAGAGGACAAGATACCAGAAAGGCTCTAGTAGTGCTGTACATCGACTAAAACTCTTCACTCGCATATCTTAACTACAGGAAGATATATGAGTCATACCTACCATTAGGTTCTGGCTCATCAAAAACGATAATTAAGTACTTGTTGAGAAGTAAGGGTAGAAATACCAATAAGAGCCAAACTTGCTTAAATTGATCACATATGCATCACCAACCTTTGTGTACATGTCAAGAATGTAAATCATCTTTAGTTCTTCCAACAGTGTAGACATACCAGAATATTCTCGTGCAAGTAGATAGTTATTCTTTTGAGCAATGTCAGTAGGAAGATCTATGTCAAGATGAATCACTTGGGAAGAAAAAACCTTTTCAATAATTAGATGAACGGTTTGGCTTCCACTATGCATAGGCATGAACAAGACAAAGGTATCGTCACAAAGTTCACTGTTTACAATGCTACTATCATCATTGTTATCTGCAAACTCTCTGGAACCGCCAAACAAAACATTCCAAAACTTGTGAGCACTAGCATTATTATCAATATATGTCTTAACATCTTTTCCACGAGACAATCTTAGTCCATTTTCAATGGGTCATGAACCGCCATCAAGGATATGTCTCATCATAGTTTGCTTCGCAAACTTTAGACCAATATTCTTAGAGGTATTAAGCTTGTTGATGTGGAATAGGTGTTCACGTATATGCTTATTAAATTGCTTATTTTTTTCCGTTTCAAAATGTAAGGGAGTGCCAAATCTCCTGATGTTGTCTAGAAGGTGTGTCAATAAATGTGCCTTAAGTTTCGATGTGTATGGGTTATATCCATTGAGCTCGCAGTTTTTATAATAAACCAGAAGCTGTTTGATAAGACCTTTAACAGCGGTATCAACTTCATGAATATATGTTTCTAGACCAGACTCTATGGCTCTAACAAACACAAGTGAGCAAAGTCAACCAAGTTGGACAAAACATGGAATAATGTTTTTTAATACAGAATTACCAGTAAATTTTATCACTAAAATGACTGAAAAAATCTGTATAAGACATTTGTAGTCTCTGCCAAGGTACAAATTGTATCCATTAAGCAATCTTGTGAACTTTTGAGATATGCCTTTCGATTGCTCATAATCCTTCAAATATCCTGTAAGTTGTCTTAATTCATCTTTCTTTATCAGCACTGAATTTACCAAATCATTTACCAGGTATTCTGCAATACCAAGAAGAATAACATGCAAGATCTCTACGGGCGTGTCTTGTGATGGATCAAATGATTGTAAATCCAGTAGGATCTGTGTACTGGTATTCTTAAACCTGAGAAATTCAGCCATGTGCTTGTCATCAATCAAAGGAATGTCTGGGATTACAATGAGCTTATCCAAAGAGGATGCAGCAGCAATATAATGTTGCTTTGTTCTGTTCTTGTGCCGTTTAGTATAGTAATCTTCATCCTTTAAATTCTCTACCTTTCTTCGTAGCTCAACATAACATATTCTGCATGGGTATAGCGATGTGGGACCAAGTATATCACATAACATAGAATGATATGGCATGTCGGCTTCAATCTAAATAAGAGGAGCATAGACCAAGATAAATTCTTTGTACTTGTGAGAGTACATTAAAATGCCATCTTCCATTAGTTGTACGTCTTTGACGATTGTTGGTAGCATAGAAGCTCCAGTCACACCCTTCTTCTTTCGAATCCCACCTATGAAGTAAATATTATTAATCAAATTTCTCTCTTCAAAAGTCATTGCAGCACATCTCATAGACCAACATTCATATGGGTTTGATTGTACAGCCGTAATTCCAGATGTATCATCTGTAAAAAGTGAAATAAGTGAAATCATCACTCTATAGAATAATCTGTGATTGGACTGTACCCAATGTTCTTCAGAGACACGCCTCCTCATAAAATGTGGTATCTCAAGCAGTGAAGAATGCAAAGGAATCAAAGAACTGACAGTAGTGGGTGAAACACTGTAACAAAGTGAACTACTGGGAGTAGGTAAGACACAATCAAGTCTTTCAATTGGGATATCACTACAAGTGATTTCAATACCAAACTTCCCAGTTTCAGATGACCAAACATTATATCCATGACAAAACATGTAAGAGTTTTTCATTGTATGAAAGAACTCTATTAAAAAACAAACATTATTTTGATCAGCTTTCAGCTTAACAATATCACCATGCTAGAAATCAATGTTATCAATAGTTCACATAGGCTGCTAGAATAATGAATGGGTTCTCCACTTTTCACCATTGCAAGCATACTGCTTGATCTGGTGTTTGATCAGGTAGTGAGAAAATCTTCTTTGAGGTCTTAGGGTTGGCCGCAAGAAGTTTCAGGTGCTCTGAAGATAAATTAAAACAGACTTCCATTTGTGTACTATCAGATAAATCGAATTTTACAATCTTTGACTTAAAAACAGGCATTATAGACTTTTTTCTCTTTTGAAAGTTTAACAATGCATCAAGACGCGGTAATGTAAAGGGTACCTTAGTATTGATAGCTTCCTTTTGCAGTTTAAACACAAGATTCATAGTGAACAGAATCTTTCTAATAATCCTACGAGAAAGCATATCATTATCACTATCGATTAGAGCAAGCATAATCATGGTTTGAAGGTCCTTAGACGGATAATTTTTAGGTACAAAGCTTTCCAAATTCTCGAAAGACAAAACTCCATTTGCAAATACATCAATGTCTTCCTCCACCAACGAGCTAATACTTTCTGCAGACATGGTTATGCTGCTCAGTATAACTTCATAAAGGTAATTGCCAGTACCTAAATCAGCAAAGTTTCCATTTTGTCTGTTGTTGTTCTCATTCTCACTTTCATCACTTATCTCAGTGTCGCTAACATCACTGTCAATGACATTGAATTCAGTTATATCCTCATCAAAGTCAGATTCAAATATCCCATTTTCAGATATAGAATCTTTGTTGGATTGGTCTGTGTTAAGTTGATTCTGGAGTGCTGCTCCAACATAGGCCTCAACATTTGGAAGAGTCTCATATATATGATGGTACTCTTCCAAATGTCGTTTTAGATTCCAGAGAGATTTAAAATCTTTCTTGCAATGTGTACAGATTTTTCCAGCTTCAGCAAGACTGAAGTTGTATTGCCCAGGTTGTCTAGAAGTAGGTACTAATACTCTTCCTGGAGTGTATTTCTTTCTTTTTTTTGAATCCATTAATGTTTGTAAGTGTAAATGTAAAAGTAGATTCAATAGAGAGAAAGTCAAATTTACTGTATGTGTGTTTATATAAATTTTCTTAGTGTGATAGCATGGACTTGAATATTTTGGTGAACCAATTACATTCGATTATTCTGTTGCAAATTTGGATGTCCATAGAAAAAAATGAAAAAAAATCACGCCAAGTGAATCTTGACTCTAAACAAAGTCTTTTATTATTATTATTATTTCTTCTGCCATAATCAGATAACTAATGATGCTAATAATTTTAGTTTATAATTACTAATATATTACAATATCATATGTTATCTCTTGGCTTATACAAATGACTTGCAAAAAAAAGGTATGCTAAACATTATTTTTCTTGTACAATTACTAATCAAGTCTCATCTCATCTTGAAATAGAAAAAGACCTTCATCTACCAAATTTTCAAAGGTAAAAATATCAATACAAATAATATGTGTATAAATTAAATATTAACATAAACAAATATTTTTTTTTTGCTTTAGTTCTGTTTGCTATTAAAAGGTAAGTCATTTAAAGTATTCAAATTTTAACATTACAGATTCTAATCATTTTTTTCTGTTATGTATAAATATGAAACACTTGAGGTACAACAAGATTTAGTGGCGTTTTCTATAGCTTGTTTTTTCTTTCCCTTTTGCTGTAAATGCTATTGAAGTAGCCAGCTGTATTTCTAACTGCTAGTGCCTAAAAAAAGCCTGCCAACCCTGCAATAGCTGCTATTGCAGGGCCAGAGGTGGGGGTGGCCTGGCATTGTATGGCCCCAATATTTTCAATCCACAAAAATAAATAAATAAAATATTTTTTCAACCAAATTTTTTTTTGCAAGCATCCTATTTTTTTTGCAAGCATTCTATTTTTTGCAAGCATTCTATTTTTTCCCCAATTTTGAACTATTTTTAAAAGTCTGAATCCTTAAAAATAGATCTTCCCAATAAGGCAATCGATTCACGGGGGTACAAGAAAGCTATTGTTACACCCAAAAAATCTCTCGTGGTGTACAACGTCACTGAAAAATTGGCTTTGCATGTTACACGTATGTTTTTGGGGGGAGGAGATCAAATAAATTATTCTTCAGATTGCCAATAAAATTATTGCCTTTTTTTTACTACAACATCAGCGCATAATTTTTTTGACATTTAACATGAGCAACATCAACAACATCAACAACGCCAATAAGATTGTCATTGTCAGCAAGTTGTCAAAGAAGTACGATACTGCCTTGACTGAGTTCAACTCAATCTTTCTTGTCAGAAGAGAATTCTCTTCAGTTGTAGCTGTTAGAGAAGCTGCTAGGGCATATGGTGCCAAACATAACATTGCTCTCACCACTGCGTATTCATCAAGCTCTCGCATTAAGCTAATCTGTAAGCACTCTGGTGAATACAGAGACATCAGAAAGGCTGAGAAAGCTGCTCAAGTATTGGTTAATGGAGAAAGCCCTCTTTCTGGATAGGAAAGAAAGTGCGAGAAGAATATACAAAAGCATGGTTGTCCATGCTTTCTGTATGCCTCCACCAAGAAAAGAGAAAAGCTTGCTGTGCACTCCCGTGAGGCACAGCATAATCATCCAATCAAAGAAAACCGCAGGGCTTATGCCATGCACCGTAAACTGTCACCCGAGGCAATGAATATCGTATCTAAGCACCTGGAGGAGAGCAATGATGTATCCACTATCTTTAATAGCCTAAAGATAAGTGAATACACCAATATTATTTGCCAGGACATTGTCAATATTAACAAACATTTTGGAAAGTCTGGTGAGCGTAGAGAGATGTTCGAATTCATCACCATGTTACAAGATCTCAACTTCCACGTGAGATATACCGTTGGTAATACTGAAGACAACAGCATCAACATGGTCTTCTTTGTCCACAAAGACGCAATTGAGGAAGCAAGAAGAATGCCCGAGACTGTCATAATCGTCGCAACATACAAGACAAATAGTCATAGGATGACATTTATCAACATTATTGGAACTAGTAATGTGACTGGAACCCTACGTACTACATTAAAGTCCTTCCCAATTGCTGGTGCTTGGGTGGAACACGAGACAGTTGACAACTATCTCTGGGCACTTCGCTGTCTACGAGATACAGTATGGTCTGACATTGAAGATGACAACAACAACAATAACAACAGTGACACGTTGCGTGTATATTCACATTTTCGGCTGGCCCAAACATATCCCATATCTCTAAATCTTTTCGTATTAATTATGTAAATCAATTTATTAAGTAATGATCTTGGGAAGAGCATGATTGTTACAACTGGCGCAGCAATCAATTGAAAATCATAAGGATTGTAACAGTGAACCCCAACAATGACTATCTACCTCTATTTCTCTCTCTTATTTTTTTATAGAGCATAGTTTATCCCAACCTCTTAGTAATAGCTTACTAATTATACTATTTTATTTATTATCGAAATATCTATATAAACATCAAAAGATGAAAGCAATAAAGAATATCCTTACACACCACTTCTATTTTCTTTTTATTTTTCTCAAGAGAACAAGCTGCCGATTTCCAATATTAGGGCTAAGGAGTTGTTAGAGGAGATCGATACATATTCCTTTTTTCTGTTAATTGTTTGAGTCACTTCTTTACACAAACCAACTCAGCCCGTCTCAATAGCAACAGCAGCAGCAACAACAGCAGCAGCAACAGCCCTCTTCTTCCAAGTGTATTCATCACTGACAATGAGCAGGCATTGAGAAATGCAATTACTCATGCTTTCCCTGAGTTGAAACAAATTCTGTGCTATAAGCACATAAAAGACAACTTCAGAAAACAGCTTTTGCCAGTAATGAAAGAAGATGAAAACGGAGAAAAGAGAAGTGTCTTGGAGAAGTTGTCTGGCTACCTAGACAGAATTGCTTTGGAGTGCGTGACTGAGGAAGACATGAAGAAAGAAATAGACGGATACCTTAGTTTCGCAAAAGAAAATTGTGTAGACAAAGGAAAGAGTGCCAACAATTTCCTGGAAAGGTATATATAGAACTTTTATATTAAAAAAAGAGCATGTTAAATATAACAGATTGTTTTTTATATTATTTTTAGAAAAATGAAAGATAAAGAAAACTGGGTAAACATTTATGTTTACAAATACCCTCATTTTGGGAATCGCACATCCAATCGTGCAGAGAGTGCCCATGCTTCTCTTAAGCATTCTCTTGGAACTTCCTTCGGAAAACTTAAGACTGTTACTCTCAAAGTAAAGAAGTGGTATGAGGAGTTGGTAAGCTTGTGTTACATTATTTTGTGTATTTATTGTTTAAGCACTGATAGTATTTTTTTCAATAATAGATTTTAAATTCTATAGGTTGCTGATCGTAAGCATATGCTAATGGTCGAGTGTCTTGAAGATAGCACAACAATTATGTTTGATAAAACCAATGCTATCAGACTAAATCACATTCGTCTTAAAACTTGTTGGTACGCAATGGATTAAATTAAACTACAACTGTCAAAATCTATTATATCCGAAAAAAACAGAGTACAAATGCCTCATCACACATAACAACTTGCTCTCGTGCTATCACCAACTTGCCAAATTTGATATCATTCCAATTTCCTGTATCCCAAGATGCTGGAGAAGAGAATACTTGAAAGGAGAAGGTAATATAAGAAGTTTAGCTTTTAAATGTATGATATGCTTATATATTTTTGCTATTACATATAGACCATACAAAAATCAAAGATGCAGTATCAGTTCCCGAAGACATCAATACCATAACAACAATAACCCCTGAACTTGCCCACGATCTTCTGCAACTCTGTGAAGGTTTCAACAACTCACAGAGTAAACAACTACAAATTGATATTCAACTATCAATCAAAAAAATGGTAGCTCAAATCAACCAGCAGAAACTTGAGGACCTCAACAGTCCAAAAATAGTGGAAGCAATCAAGGGTTGACCCAAAAACACAAAACGCAAGATGATTGCATTAGAGCACTGCATCGAAAACGAAAAAGAAAAAGCTACAAAAAAATAAAACCGAAAAAGAACAAAAAAGTAAGTCGTCTTTTAAAGCACATTGTTTAGCTTCAATTTGTTCAAATTTTGCTCCATTTTTTAGGCAACAAATATCCTTAGCAAAAGAGAAAAAATCTATACAAAAAATTACCAATCTTGGCTCGCCAATTGATATCACACTATTGACAAACTTAACAATCGCACCAACAGCAATATCCGAAATCTTCTCACCTGAAGCAGACGGTAACTGCGGATACAGAGCTATAGCCATGGAGATTTACCAAGACCAGGAGGAGTGGTCGAAAGTAAAAGACCAAATGCTCGACACATTTCTAAAACATCAACACACATACTACCAGGGAAGAATGGAGCATGGCAATATGCCTGCATCCACTAACCCACTCATACGCAGTCTAAAAGACAAATGCTCGCCCCTTCCCCAGCAACATTGGTTCGGCACAATCGACCATCCGCAAATTGTTGCTGATACATATAACAGAAGTGTGACAGTTTACTGGAATACTCCAACCGAGACAGGCGACTGTCTTTTCGTACCAATTTCTACCATGCCAAATACAATAGAACCTATAATCCTTATCTTGGACATTAACCACTTTCTTCTTGCCAAGCGCAAAAACATCAGAAAATTCACTTGGCCAAACATCAATCCCTTTCATAAGCACATAGTCCGAAAACATGGTCTTGATGAGTATTCAATTATGTACTAATAACCAAGGTATGGCTTTCAAAGTAGTTTTATCTTGAACCATACTAACTTTTTATCTTGTTTTTTAACATCTTTATATTTATCTCTATTTTCAATATTTTTTTGTTTTCTCATTTAATCTCTTTTTATCTTTATATCAAATCTGACCCCCCAAAAAATGCATCTAATATGCAAAACCAATTTTTTTAGTGACAATGTATATTTTCAGTGACATTGTATACATTTTCAGTTTTGACTTTTTAGTTTGTCTGGTCAACATAAATCCAGCTTGTCCGTACCGTTCCCCATAATAATATGCTTTACACATCTTTTTGTTCGTTTGAATTTTCAATTGTAAATAAAATCAAATTAACAAACTTGCGTATCATAAATTTGCATTCATGGCTATTTCAATACTGCATGTGGCGAATTTGATAGTGTATTTTTGACGATTTTTTTTGCGGTTGCGTCTAAATTTTTGTCCCATACGGCGAATTTGATATGAAAATCCTGCATATTAAAATGCACACGAACTCAGGGGTGGAAAAAAAGGGGGAGGACACAAAACGCGCCCTGGCTTCCCCTCCGGAACCACCTGTGAAACCACCTCTAAAACTCCTATTTTTTTGGCGTAGTGGTAGCTTACACATAAGTTTTTTTATATATCATTGCGTACGCGAAAAGTAAAAAGTATATAGAAAGAGAGTAGTAAATATGTTTATTTAAAACTTATACCCAAGATGAATTTAGTAGGGCACATTTGTGAAATGTATAGGGTTTTTATGTTTTTGTGTTTTTGCGAATTGACAAAGTCTGAAAACCCACTAACAAAAATCCGAGTTAAAGCAATCGAGATTCCCATGCTGGACACGCTACTAATAGTCCTAGAAATCAATTGGAAAACGTTTTACCTTTCTGCCTTTGACGACATACAAGTCAATGATTCCGAGGAGGAGGAGGTTTAGTCAAGACTCGTTTGTCAGTATTCCACTCAATATAATTTTACGACAATACTCGACTATTGCTAAGAATAATGATATATATTGTTGCTTCTCCAACCAGGCTAGGCAATCCAGATGACACGTCTTTTTCCATGCTCGGGAACATTAGTCGCAGATTCTCAATCAGAAATTCTTATGCCTTGGATTGTACCGGCATAGTCCTTTTTGATCTCCTAAGCTAGTGTCATCCTGGTTGTCAAGGTATGCGAGTAGACACGGAGAGTGGCTCTAGCAATATGCTTTCCTTCATTATTATTTTTCTATAATAAACTATAATATTATTTCTATATGTTCTATATAATAAAATAATACTTACTTCAATTAAAAGGTCCATCCTTATTGAACGAATGTTCACCGATGCTCTCTCAGCAGAAGACACTCTCCCTTGACGGCACAGGCTGGTAAAGCACTTGTGAAACTTTTTTTTTCAAGCCGCTCTATTTATGGCCACCATTGCCAATACTACTCTCCGGGTTTGGGGACATATCAAAAGCGACATCCGTATTACACCTGGCTTTGCTGTTGCTGGTGTTGTTGTTTATCGTTATACCAGTTGGTAATGTTGATCTAGGATTTGGCTTCTACATGAGGTTGCGTATGTATACCTGGTAAAAATATACGAGATCATAAATCGATAAAACAGCATACACCTTTGCACTTACATAAACATCGTTATAAGTTTGTTGGCTAGGTCTGGTTTGCGTACGGACAATATGAGTAGCAGTGGCAAGTACGGTACTCATAAGAGCAACGAGGGAAAGGTCTAACCGAGATGCTGGCTGCACTAACGGTGTCAGGGCTGTTGGTGGTAAGAACGACAATAATGCTGTTCTTAGCTGTGAGTTATTCATTGAGAAAAACTATGTCCTAGCACTGTCATCAGATTTCCACCCATGGCTGTCTTATTGTCTTACATAGTATAATCAATTTTCCAACAGCTGCTTGTTGCTAACCTCAATATGACGATGAGCAAGCGCACGTCTTTAAATGGTCGTTATTTACAAAACATATTAAAAGGTAAATCTGAAGTTAATATTAGCTTACAGTCGAATTGAATTGAATTGAATTGAATAAAAAACACATTATCTTAAAATTGCATACAAAAAAAATTAAAATATGGGAAAGAGAGAGAGAGAAAGAGAGAGACTGTAAGTGAGTCTTTATGTGCAGTAAGGATAAAAACGAAAGCAAATCCGTTATATCAAACCTAAAATTATATATATATATGATATACAGGATGTCTTTAATACATAAATCACAATAAATACTTTTTGGAATCGACGGGATGCCAGCTGGTTTTGACATTGCTTTTGGACTCAATTCATCGAATCATTCCAGTCTTTTATTTCCTTCGCGCTTCTCTCTTCAATCTTTGAAGCCGTATAGCCCCTTTTAGGGGGTACCTTCTTTTTAGTTGATGCAGAAATACTCTTTTTTAATACACCAAAAACTGATCATATATTCTGTTGTCATGGACACACAGACATACACACGATTTCTCTCATTTCAATGTATATTCTTAAGCGTGTCACTTCCTATTAACTAAGGTTAGGAATACTTCACATCATTGTCATACTAAAAAAAACCTATTCTGATTATTTATTTATATACTTTACGGTCAGAAACACTACAATAAAATAGGACCACCAGCTCCATGAAAAGACTTTATATTTCTTTATTTCTTTATTCTATTTAGCTAGAGATACAGCGATGTTCTACAAGCACCGTATTGCCCCACAATTTTTTATTTGATTTTTGTTTCTGATATACAAAATCAATTATTTTGTCTCTCAATATAACGAAATTCATTCTTTCTTAATTCTTTTCATAGGCAAAACAATTATACCATCTGCCACGCTTAACAACCCTGATTTTGTTTTATTTTTCTTCAATTAATACCTTATTTTTCCAGTGCAAGTATAAATTTGTGGGCACAAACAAAACTTTATGTATTCTTAGAGCACATAGTATTTAAATGTTTTTTTTTGGGAAAGAAACCATTTCAAATATAACAAATTTCCAGGGCAAGAGGTAACTGGAACTATTGAATAATTGTATTATTAGAACGGAAAGATAGAAATACTTTGTTACTTGCAATAAAAGTAAAAGCTGTAAACTATTGGTGGCCTAATAGGAATATGAAATTGAGAGGATTAGATAATAGCCTATTACTAGCCAACGATTTGTAAAGAGGTTGTTTTTTTTTTTTAATTATTTTTCTTTTCTTGACAATAGTCAGTATATATTTTGATAGCTGCTTCTAAAACCTAATAGACACCAACCAACACAGAGTCCCGTCATAAATATTTCCTTTCAAATGCACATACAGTGCTTGCCAATTTTTTGTAGAAAGAAAGACCTTCCCATTGTCAGTCATGTCAAGTACACATTAATCTCATATTAACCCAGTAAAATACCCTTATTATATATTAGAGATACTCATTAAGCAAATAAACTACTATAAAAGCGTTCTTGAAGTATTTTAATAGAGAAATAAGAAGTATTCTCCCATTATACTGCCATCTAATGAATCCTTTTTTATTTTACTTATTTAAATTTGTGAAGCATATTCTACTTTTCATAATACATATTCTATAATCCAGAGTAAAAGGTTCCTATTGTTAATGAGTCTATCAGGGTTACATCACAGAAACTGAGCACGTAGGTACTCGTTACATTTCAAACTACTTTTGCGATAACCAAACCATTAACCAGAGGTATATTTTAAAGCTAGGGAACAAAATATCTATACAGCCAGCTATGCTGTTCTTTCTTGATGATAAGCTACACTATCACATAATCAACACCGGCAAGGATAGTAGATAATAAATAATGCCAACATTTGCTTGTTCACTAAAGCGCGTTAGAATATTAATGCATAGCTTTTTAGGAATCCAAACTAGTAAAGTATGAATCCCATGATATCTGTACTTGATATTTCTTTCTTTCTTTGCAAGTGTATATAAAATCATCCCAATTTAGAAAATCTATATAGATCTTGACCAATTTTTTGTTAAAATTATTTATTCCTTTATAGGAAAGTCTTGGAGAAGAAGCACAGATTGTATAGTATAAGCCAAAAGTATTAATTATGTTTATTGCAGTTAGCATGACAGAAATTACAACTTAAGCGGCTAATAATAACAATTATGGAGAAGAGAGATTCTCTAGGAAGGTATTTAACTGGGAGGGGTCTCGGGTTATTTAGTCATGTTAAATTGTTGTGGCGGCATTACCTCCCTCGTCCCTTGAAACCGCCATTGCTATACACAGATAAGATTGAATATTATTGATAAAAGTGCCAATTAAGCTGTTTTTTTTTAAAAATTTTATTTTAAAAAAGTAAGAATTAGAAGCGTGATTTGGTTTGGTCAAAAACGTAAATTGGGGTGTTCAAAAGCGCGAACTAATCCTAAAAAGCGACAATTAGTACTGGAGACACTATAATGCTTATTTCGTTCTATATATGTATCTATGCACAAGGTTTGTGGAAATTTTCGGGTGGGAGCATCTTCTTACTATGTAGTTAGGTTTTTGGTCACACAAGGCTCTCTGACCAGGTTGCAATAGATGAGATAAATAAATATGAAGAAAGAGAGAGAGAATCGGTTGATTCTATCCAGGTTTTTTTATATGTATATTTGAAACATATCAAGTCTATCAATAAATTGAAATTTTAAAGAAAAAGAAGAAGATGGTTTGATATTGGTAATAATATAATATACTTCTTGTTAATTGTTAATGTTGTGTTTAAAATAGAGTAAGAAAAAAAGGGGGATTGTGAAAGATGAAGATCTAATAAAATATTTTATTCTATTCTACACATGGATTATTATACAAGACATAATGTGTGAGAGAGAGAGTGTGTGTGTGTGTGACTTGAGTGGTTGCGGGAATAAAATCCATAGTCCAAATTTGCCTATTTGTCTCAAGTAGTTGGCCGCATTAAGTTGGCTTGTGAATGTGAATAAAGTGATAGTGATAGTGATAGTAATAAAAAGATTAGGTAAAACAATTTAGATATTTAGACGTGAGATTTTGGTAAAAGAGAGGTAGACGATGGTCAGGACTAGTAAATAAAAGTAGGTATATAATAATTGATTATCAAAAGCCAATGATAATCGATTATTTAATTAACAATTTTTATATTAAATTTGGTCTTCTTCCTCTTCTTGTTCTTGCTGTTCATTATAATTATTATTATTTACCCAGAAAATAAATAAATAAATAAATAAATAAAGCCCTTGTTTTCAATTCATTTAAATATAAATTTTATATAGAAAAATATAAATATTTCTTACTCAACCCAATCCAACCCAACCTAAATCAACTCAACTCAACTCAACCTCTTTCTCTCTCTCTTTCTTTCTTTCTTATTTTACTTTTATTAATTTTAAATCCCAAGCACATACAAAACATATTCATATAAACCAAGTCAAACCAAGTCAAACCAAGCCAACCTAGTAACAATACCAATACCAAAAAAAAAAAAGAAAAAAGAAAAGACAACGAAAAGGCAAAAACATAAAATAGACACTCACACCAACTGTGGGTTTATTGTGTACAAACACATACACATAGATCTATAGATACCTACATAGAATATTTATATACTTCGGTTCTATTATCACCAAAAAGAAAGAAGGAAAGGGAAGAAACAGAATATTTTTTATTTTTATTATTATTTCAATAATAATACCAATAATTTTGCAACCTTGATAAATAAGCTGGTCTTTTCTGAATTCAACATGCTTGAGGAAAAGACTTCACCTCCACCAAAGGCAATCAACATCCTCCGTCCATCCTCACCATTCTTCCAATTCAAGCGTCCTCATCTCACCAACCCAGACGACCCTTCTCACTCGTCTTCAACAGCCTCTTCCATAAGTTTACCATCCATATATTCCAGTGCAACCAACAACAACAACAACAACAACAACAACAACAACAACAAGAATAATAATAATAATAAGAACAAAGAGAAAAGCAAGAATCAGAATCAGAATCAGAATAACAACAATAACAGTATTCGAGTCCCACCAACGATTCTGAATCCCTCCAATTTTGCATCTGGATTCCCATTATTCCACACACCACCATCGCCATGGAATCAATACACCAAACAACAAGGTAGCCAGACGACGTCAAACACCACAACCAATACCTCTACAACCAATCTCGCACACTCTCCTGCGTCGTCTGTGACAGTCTCACAACGTTTTATGCAACGCCCTCGCAGTTTTTCAAACCTCTCTCGACTATCTGTCCTGTCTTCATTTTCAGTTCCAGGCAGAGAATTATTTATGGGTGATCGCAGCAGTCTGATCAGTAACAGCAGTAACAGTAATTATAATTACAATAATAATTATAATAATGGCACCAACAGTAACAACAATAGTCGTGTAGCCGAGTCGGCGGATGAATTTAACGATAGTATTGATGGAAACACAGACGACGAAACAGACGACGACAGTGATGATGATAATGCTGATCTGGATATCGACGGTATTGATGGCATTGATGAAGACGAGACCAAAAATGGGACCAATAGTGACGACGATAATGATGATAATGATGATAATGATGATGACTCTACGGTCGGCAACCGTGTATCAGCTTCATCCGGTGAAGAGGAAGTGGCGACGCAGGTGGTGGCTAGGATCAAGCACGGGACGATTATGAATGGCAGGGGTGAGTTTGTATCCAAAGGCGAAGGAGACGATCATTTGGCTTGGCTAGACGAGGCTAGAATGCACCGCAAGGTATCGAATGGGGAAGAAGAAGAAGAAAAAAAGGGGGAAGGGATAGAGAAGGGATGGACAAAAAAAAAACAAAAAGTCAAAGAGAAACAGAGACACTATGTAAATTTGGGTGGTCTTTCTCTGCCTCTACTTCTTTCTCTCTTGCTTTCTTCCTCTTATTTCTTTCTATTTCTTTCTATTTCTTTTTATGGAAAGAACATAAGAACAAAGGAAAAGAAGAAAGGAAGAAATAAGACAAGAGAGAGAAAGGAAAAGAAAGGGGGGTTTGAGGGGTGTTGAGATTTTCATTACCTAAAAAACAAAAACCAAAAAAAAAATTGACAAGGGGTATGGTGTGGTGTGTCTATTATATACGTACGTAGATTGCAGATCTCGAGATTGAAAAGGCTTCTTTGCTGACCCTCAACACCACACTCGAAGTGACTGTTAGAAGACAAAAGGAAAGGATATCCGATCTTCAAAAACGACTGATAGAGTAAGTTGCCAAAGTCATATGTTTTATGGATTGAGATTTGGTCCTAGGACAAAGCAAGACCTCTTACTGATTTGTTTAATTATTTTCTGGTCTACAAGTAATGAGGGACCACTTACACCCGAGTCAGAAAAGCAGATGAGTGGCGAGGTAATTAAGACAGATTAGCACCCAAGATGGGATCATGCTTATTAAACATTTATTTTTTTAAATAAATAAAAATAAAAAAAAAAAGACTGAGGAGGTGGATGAAGGACCAGTGGGTGAATTGACCGAAGAAGAAATCGAAAGCGACCCAGCATTTCAACGGTTACGGACGATGTTGCAGGACTTGATCGACCATGCCCAGAAAGCAGTTATCCTAAAGACAAAGATTTCCGGCAAAGTGCTGACAAATTATCAAGCACGACAAATGCCAGATCCACCTGATGAAGACAATGAGGGCAAAGGTAGATAAATAAAAGGGGATATATGAATAAAATTTAAATATTTATTGGATAGGTAAAGAAAGAGCAAAATTGTATCGTCGGTCATGGTCACCTCCAAGTGCTCCTCGTAGACCAAATTCCCCTCAACGACAGATCGAAAGACGTGGATCGGACGGCCATGACCGCCACGGACGTCTTACCGCAAACACAAGCACGACAAGCACAACAAGTACCGCGAGTCTGGCGAGCATGACAAGTACAGGAAATTCAAACCGCCTTCACCCACAAACACAACCACAACCACAACAGACACAGCCATTGTTTGCAAAGACCCGGCAGAGAGCGACCACAATGACAGTACCGGCATCACCGCTACCACTACCATCACCACCAAATATCACTAGACGTGGACCACCCCCGATGATGCGCACTTTGTCTCAAGTGTCCTCGCCACCTGTCCTAGTTTCACCTACTAGTGCATATTCTCGTGCTCAGTCCAGACCTGACAGCCCACCTGCCATCTCAAGAGCACCTTCACCTAGACCATCCAAACCTTCTCAACTTAGAAAGTCTCAGGATAGAGAACCAGTTGCCAAGTGGTATCGTTAAAAAGAAAAAAGAAGAAGAAGGACAACAGTAACAATTGTCTACTCTTCTTGGACTTACTTATTCCTCCACCTCTTCATTCCCCACTACCTTTCTGTTTTTTTTTCTTCAAAAAGAAAGAAAGAACGAACAAAGAGGGAATCCTGATAACCTTTTTACTTCTTTAATGTTCTTTCATTATTTCTTATATGCCCTTTCTATACATCCCTCCCTCAACCCCTTCTATTGTTTCTTTCTTTCTATTATTTATTTTTTGTTATTTTGTTATATGATACCATTGTGAATTTGTGTATATGCTCTTTTTATTATTATAATTACTATTACTACTACTACTATTATTATTATTATTATTATTTTTATTAATTTTTGTTTGGTTGACTTGTCTTCTTCTTTTAAAAGACAAAACCCATACTCTAACACTCATACACTAAGAAACAGACAGATAAATAGACATACATATTATATATTAACATTGCTATCCTTGTTCTTTTGTATTAAAAAAAAGTGTAAATGTTTATAGTTTATATATTTTATGTGAGAGTGCTGTATATATATATATATATTTATTTGTTTATTTATTTATATATGACTTTATGTCATGTTATGTAAATAGAAAGAAGAAGAAGTGTCAAGGTGAGGAGGTAAAGGGGAAAGAGGTGGGAGAAAAGATAGAGAGATAGGATTGGAGATGGGGGGGGGGATATAGAAGATGTATACAATGGAATGCAAATATTTAAAGAAAAAGAAAAACATAACAAAATTAAAGCTTGTTGGAAAGAGCGGCAACACTTTGATGGGGCCAGGAGTAATGAGCATTAGTGCGATCATAACCGTGGGACTTTACAAATTCATCCAGCTCGGCTGGACCGCGGGAACCGTAGGCGTATGTGGTGATTTTCAAGTCATCGCCAGAATCCTTTCCTTCGGCACTCTTCTTGTTCTTACCGTCAATCTTGTGCAAGAGAGGGGTAAAGATTTTCCAGGCAGCCTCTAGTTCATCATCGCGGACAAAGTTGGAATGGTCGTTGCGCAAGACATCCAGAATGAGAGATTCGTAAGCATCCGGGATAGACAGTTCAGTGTAACGCTTGTGGTAGGAGAGGTCGAGATCGGTCTGGATAGTCTGGTATGACAGGCCGGGCTGCTTGTTGTTGAACTTCATGTAGACAGCTTCCTTGGGCTGGATGCGCATCACAAGTTCGTTGCGAGCCGAGCCGCCATAGAGGTTTCCGGGCACGTGTCTGAACTGGATTCTGACCTCAACCTTGGCCTCGTTAAGAGCCTTACCGGCCTTGAGGATAAACGGCACACCCTCCCAGCGCTCGTTGTTGATGTGACAGGCCAGGGCGGCAAAGGTTGGGGTACGGCTCTCCTTGTTCTTCAGTGTCTCGTCCTCGAGATAGCCGGGCTTTCCATTGGCAGCCACGTACTGGCCCAAGAGAGCATCGTCGAGGCTAATTGGGCTGATGCACTTGAGCACCTTGACCTTTTCGTCACGGATTGCTTCGGCGTCGGTTGAGATGGGACGCTCCATGGCAATGAGAGACAAGACTTGAAGCAAATGATTCTGCATCACGTCACGGATGATGCCAAAGTCATCAAAGTAGCCACCACGGCCCTCGGTGCCAAAGGGCTCCTTGAAAGTGATCTGGACATTGTCGATATAGTTGCGGTCCCAGACATTGCTAAAGAAGATGTTTGCAAATCTCATGTTCATTACGTTCTTGACCATTTCCTTTCCGAGATAATGATCAATACGATAGATCTAGATATGTATAGATTATTTCAAAGAAAATATTAAGTACAAATTTTCGGTTTCTGTTACGCGTTTTTCATTATATTCTTTGGAAGTAGTCCCCCAAAGCCATCCACTACCCACAACCACTAGCCTAACTATTTTTTACCTCGTCCTCCTTGAAGAGTTGACCCAATTCATGAGCAAGGTGGTTTGAGCTCTCTGAATCCATACCGAATGGCTTTTCTACAATGAGACGGTTGACACCTTCGTGGCCATAGACATTCTTCTTGACACCCTTGGCGACGGGGATGAAGATGGAGGGGGGTAGGGCCATGTAAAAGATACGGTGCTTGTTTCCGGATGGGATCTTGCGGTCATTTTCGCTCTTCTTGACAGCGTTGTCGAGACCCTGCCAGGCCTCGTCCTTGTCGTAGAGACCAGAGACGTAAGAGGTGATCTTTTTGAATTCTTCGATTTTGGACTTGTGTTCGTTGTTGTCGCCTGGCTTGATGTACTGGGTGATACGCTCCAGGTAGTCCTGGTGTGACATGCCTGTGCGTGCATAGCCGACGATGTGGGTGTTTTTGGGAAGGAAGCCGTTGCGGAAGAGACCAAACAGAGCAGGATAGGTCTTTTTCTTTGCTAAATCACCAGAAGCACCAAGGACTGATAAACATACATATTGATTAGTAAGAATTGCATTGAATTGAAGTGAATTGAAGTGAATTGACTCTTAGTGTAGAATACACTTCTTGACAGCATATTATTTTTGATTTTTTTTTTAAAGAAAGAAAAGAAAAAAAAGGGTAATTTACCAATGATTGTGACTGAATCACCAAGTTCAGCCTTGACTTCGTTCTGCAAGAGTTCGATTGGAGTTGCCATTATAAATATATTACTTTTCAAATAAAAACTATATAAAAAAAAAAGAGAGAAAAATGAGGTGGGATGAAAAGGGGAAGAAGAGGGAAAGAAAAATTAAAAAATTAAAAAATTAAAAAAAATTGAAGGAAAACTTAAAGGTAAAAAAAAAAAAAAAAAAAAAAAATAATAATAATAATAATTTTTTCCCAAAAAAAAAAAAGGAAAAAGAAAAGGTTAGAAAATCTTGACGGGGTTATTATTATTATTATTATTATTTCGTTCTTTCTTTATAATATAAAGTATTATAAAAATTAAAAATTCAAATTATACCTTTTTTTTTTTTTCTTTTTTTCTTTTTCGTGTTTGTATGAATTAATGTACGCTTATTTTATTTATATATATATATATATATAAAAAGAGTACGCTAGATGTGTAATAATTAACCCGATAGGATCAAAGCAAGAGCATTAAATGATAATGATAATGATCATAATAAGGAGATGATATATTGCACTTTGGACACTGTTCATACATTTATACATAAAATGCACAGAATCTGCGGCTCTAATTCCTTTTACAGTCAATTTTTATTTTTTATGAATGAATGAATGAATGAAAGATGACTAATAATATAAATTTATTGAATTCATGTTATTTTGGTCATCGTTTAAAGCAATAAAGTAAAGTAAAATACAATATTCTTTTTATTGTATTTTATCTGTCAAGCCAAAATAGAAAAAAAAAATAAGGTCATACATACAGTGTGACTATGATAGTATCACTTATTAGATGATCTATGATTGGTTAATGTTATTCTTAAAAAGGAAATCGCCTGCAGAGGGTGTACCTTTCCCGCTTCAAGGATTTCAACGCGTTTGACTCAGGGTCGAGGTCAAGATTTGTGTACACAAACACACATTGTCTACCATTAATAATCCAACCTCTACTCTTGTTTGGTTTGGCTGCTCTTATTCTTACTAACGGAAGAATAGTTTTTTTTTTTTTTTTTTTTAAAAAAATAAGCATTTTTGTGCTTATACTTAAACACCATTCATATATTCATATATTCATATATTCATTTATTCATTCATCTGTAATTTATATTATATATATATATATATATATTTTACTTTAGCCCCAACATTTTTTCTTTTTTATTTGATCATAGATACAAATTATGTGTGTGTGTAGCCATGGTGATTATTACGTCGATCTATTATCATATTCACACACATACCCATACCCATATATACTTGTGGCCATACGTTTTCTTTTTTACTCTAAAAAAGGTTCTTCCGAACAAAATAAAAAAATAATACAAAAAACAAAAAGGAGGATATTGAAACATTGTTTCAATTTACTTTATATATATATATTTTTTTATTAATTATGAATTTGCTTACTCATCCAATAGAAACGGCTAATGATGATTGAATTAACCTTTTTTTTTTTTTTACTCTAAAATGTTACAGGCACACACACACACACACACATATATATATATATATATTTACTCAACACAGGTCGGATTTAACTAGTATTATTATTGCTGTTTTAAATAAAGAAACAAACAGCTAATTTGTTATTCAATAAGAATAGCTTTGAAGTCTATTCACCATATTACTCGATATAATCAGTCAGCATGAACCCATAAATTATCATTCTAATTAAACTTGTGTAAATATGCGCATATAAAACTTACCTGTCAATAGAATCTCAAGATTCTGACACGCACACACACAAATCTGATAAGAAGATGTGTATAGTTTTTAATGTAATGCAATATAATGTATTATCGATTAAAGTGAAACCAATTAGTTTCAATCTTCCTGTATATATTATATATTACTATTTGATCTTTTTCTCTTTCTTTTTTTTCTTTTAAATAAAAATGTCGGAAAATATTTCTAGATGAGATTTTGGGTTTCTTGTAACATTCTGTAGTCCAACCAAGTGAATTTTTGTAGTCTGTGTGGATCTTTGCCCTGCCTTTTTTTTTTTTTTTTTTACTAAAAATTGTCTTGGTGATCTCTGATTGGATTACAATGCTTTTCTATGGTGTGTTTTATATAAAGCACGTATGTAAGCAATTCTTATTGGCTGATCTCGTCATTTCTTCTTCGGATATAAGCCTATTTTGATTGATTTATTTTTTTAAAAAAAAGAAAAAGGTCAATTGCATTTTGAAACAGAATCTTCAGAGCTGATCAACAGTCAAAAGCAATAAAATAAAGACAGTCCTTCTTTCAAATTTGGGCCATGTCAAACTAGCAGATTAATCATCTTTTTGATAAAGCAATAGTTTTATTGACCCAAATTCTAATTACTGGATGTAATTTGTTTTTTGGTTTTTGTTTTACAATATACGATAGCCATCGATTACTCATCAACACCATAAGATAGGAATAATTCAATTGATTTCTGTTAAAAGGACCCCATTATCATAGTATAGCAATTATATATCTATCGATTTTTTATTGTAATGGCTGTATTAGGAACATAAATAGGTATGTGAACGGACAATTTATTTTATTTTATTTTGTATTTATAATGAGGCTTTGATTGATTGCTTAATAAATGCCTACTAGTTAAGTAACTAACTCAAAGGAGAATTTCTAATTATTATATATAAAAATTGCTTTCAAAGGCTATTTAAATGGCCCTAATGATATTTTTATTTTTTTGTTAGACGAAATGTATACTTTCAGAGTCATCTTTCTCTGTTTGTTCCTTTTTGTTCCGTGATCGATTAAATTCAGTTATGCCAAAAAAAAAAGTTAAATATTCCATGGTAGATGGTAAAGTATTAGCCGATCATTTAGGCTTATCTACCAACTTTTTATTCTTTTAAATATTTCTTACAGTGTGGTCAGTGCTGCAAATAACAGCATAGAGCATAGAGCATTTTGTTCATAAAATCAACTTTTTAGAAAAGTATATAAAACTATATATCTAAATTAAAATTCAGTAGGCAGAATACAAATCATAGATCAAAATCACAAATACTTTATATTCCTCAAGTCTACAGTATAGTCAATACCACTACTTTTCTCAAGCACAACGAAACAAAATGAACCCAGAAAAGTTTAATGATTATAAGGAGAGCTGATCTGCTGGCCATACACCACAACTAGGTTTTTGTTACACTAAACAAAACTGTGGAGAGGTTTGATAGATCCAAGTCATTCTTTAAAACACTTTATCTTGACCTATAGAAAATCCACAATCATCATTTCGTTTTCTACCCTTTCATATATTTTATACTTCTCTTATATTTATATATACAGTTGCCAAGGAAACTGGCCATACTTAATTTCTCGTCCCACAAAGACCGTCTTTTTTTTTTTTTTTTTTTTTTAGAAAGAATAAAATACAAAGCACGAATTTTCATTGGATAGCAGCATTACTTTTTCGCTTCCCCCCCCTTTTTTTTTTGGCAGCACTAAATATCCTTTTTAACTATCCAATTATATTTTCTTATGCTTACGCCATAGAATGACTATAGATTTTTTTTTGACTATAGATTTTCCCGACAATTCCCATCTGACAGCTGTACAGCCATCTCTTTCTCTCATTTCCCAAAAAGTCAAACCACACTCCCATATATCTATCTTTTCTCTGACTACAAATTCAAAATCCAAAAATCTTCATATAAAATTGTCTGCTTATTAATACTAATATATCCTTTTAATTTATTTTTACTGGTTTTATAAAAATAATAATACGAGAAAGAATTTGTGGAAATATCATATATTTATTTATTATTGGGGATTGGGGATTTGGGTCAAAGGAGTAATAGAAATAAAAAAAAAAAAAAAAAAAACCTTTTTATTTTTCGGTTTCTTTTTGTCTGCGCCAACCGTGAGCACTTCTTTTGTGGTGTGATTGGCTACAGTTGTCTTGTACTTGTGTTCGTTTATCTCAAATCTGACATCATTTGTCTCAAAAGGCCTTATCTTGAACTACCAAATCGGAAATAAACGCGACAATGCGCATACAGATCAATTCCATTTCCTTTCTCCCCCCCCCTCTTCCTCCTCCACTTTCAATAATAATATAAAGCAGTGGTATTTTCATAGAGCGGCTTATAAGAATCTGGAGTCCCCTTACATTGTATTTTTAATATATATATATATACCTGATTGAAAAAAATAAAATAAAAAATAAGATCATCATCATTATTATTATACTTGGGATAAGTTTGTTCCATATGCTGCCAAATACAATAAATAAGCAGGGACCAGACTTTGATATTTGTTAAATTTCTCAAAATAATAATAAGAATTTTGACTATAAAAATAAAATAAAAGGCAGCAACATGACAAATAATAGAAAGAAAGAAAAACTAACAAAAAATAATAATAATCAAATATGAAAAAAGAAAGTCAGTATATTTGAAGACCATTAAATATATATATATATATATATATATTCGAAAACCGTACCTTGGTTGTTAATACATTACAGAGAAATCTTCCAGTTTATGCCTTTGGACTATGCTCTTATGAAAAGGGTTGATTGGCGGCCAGGGGTAACTTCTAGTGTTTTTGCGTTTTGCAAGAAGAAAGTGGTTGTCGGCCAAGATGATTATCATGGGCTCGATTTTGTCTGGGATAGTAAGAAGGGGGACGAAAAGGCAGTCGCCTGTTACCCTTGGTGTTTTCCAATATATGGCTACAGATCTGTTGAATGTGTCTGCCACAAGTTGAGGATGGTCAACTATGCCAAACCAATGTCGATCAGGGAGAGGCGAGCTTTTGTCTTGGAGACTAATGATGAGTGAGTCCATCGACGTAAGCCTATTGCCATTATCCATCCTTCCCTCGTAGTATGTGCCCCGATACTTTAAAAATGTCTTTAGCATCTCGTCTTTTACTATTGGCCACTTTTCCTGGTCCTGGTAAACCTCCATGGCTACAGCTCGGTATCCACAATTACCGTCTGATTCAGGAGAGAATATGTCGGATATGTGTCTGGGCAAAATGGTAAGATTGTCGAATGTCGATCGATCGATTGGCGAACCGAGCAGAGAGATGTCTTTCAAGGCGTCTTGCTCTTGTGTCGAGTACAATTGTTTTCTAGAAAACAGACCCAATTTTTTTTTGAGTAAATTAATTCTATACAATTTTATAAATAAAAACTTACTTTTTTTGTGGTTTTTTTGTTCCAACTTTTTTTACAGTCTTTTCTTCTTCTGCTTCTTCTTCTTCAAGGCAGTGCTCTAATTCATTTAGTTTACGCTTGGTTTTCTTTGGTTTATCTTTAACGGTTTTCGCTATTGTTGGACAATTGAGGTCCTCAAGTGTGTGTCTGGTGAGTTGTATTACGACATTTTTAATTGCAGCTCTAATGTAGGCTTGTTCTTCCGGGCTTTTGGAATTGTTATAAATCTCATAAATACGTTTGAGGTCGTATATAAATTCAGATCTTTCTTTGGAAACCTCTTTGATACTAGGTGGTACGCTTATTGGGCTGTTAATCGTTAGATGATCTATATTTAATAGAACACAAGATATGAGAACAGTATTTTGCAATTAATATAAATACATAAATTTATAGATATATATATATATATATATATTACGTTCTTCTCTCAAGTATTCTCTTCTCCAGGGTCTTGGGATACAAGAGTTTGGTATGGTATTAAATTTGGCAAGTTTGGAGGTATAATTTCCAAAGTGAGGCTCTTCGTAAATGTACAAGTTCAACCAGTTCTTCTGATCCTTCATTTCTCTGATAGTATATATATATATATATTTATAAGAAAAAGACAAAAAGTCTTTATAGTTAATGAGCTGCTTCTGCCAAGTATAACAACTCTATATGTACCTCTCAAGAAAATCAGCGGCTAATTTTCCATGGTCATTGCAATTCTCTTTTGCAAAGTTGAGAAGATTGGCAGTTTCTATTTTTGTTTCTTTAGGAGTAGTGCACTCCAGAAAGATTCGGTCAAGATAACCTGTCAATTTCTCCAAGAGAATTATTTTTTCACCATCCTCATCTCCTTTCATCACCGGGAATAGCTGTTTCTTGAAGGTAGTCTTGATATGCTTATAGCACACAAGACTTTTTGATTCAGGAAAAATAAAAGAAGCTGCATTTCTCAAGTGTCCTTCATTTTCGGTAACTATCATACTTGGAAGAATAGGTGTGAGTGTAGATGTAGCATTGTTGGTGGTGTTGATGTTGGTGTTGGTACTGTCGTCAACATCTGGCCATACTGCATCGCGCAGACAGCGAATTACCCAGAGATAATTCTCTTCTGTTTCGCTTTCCACCCAAGCACCGGCAATTGGAAACGTTTTTAAAGGCATACGAAATTTGCCTTCTGTGCTGTCAGTCCCAACAATATTGACGAATGCCATTTTATGAATATCTGTCTTGTATGTTGCATCGATCACAACTGTCCCGGCCATTCGTCTTGCCTTTTCAACTGCGTCTTTATGAGCAAAAAAAACCATGTTGTCCTTGTTATGTTCACTACTGCTGACAGAGTGTCTGACATGGAAGTTAAGCTCTTGCAAGATGGTGATGAAGCCAGACATCTCCTTTCCCACATCAGATTTTCTAAAATCTTGCTTAATATTCTCAATATCTTGACGAATAATATTTTTGAATCCATTGTCCTTCAAATCTTCAAAGATTGTAGAAACATCATCTTGATCTTCAAGGTGCTTGGTAACGAGGGACATGGCTTCCGGCGAGAGCTTGCGGTACATAGCATAAGCTCTACGGTCATCTTCAATCCCATGGTTATGCTGTGCCTCACGCGAGTTCACAGTAATAATCCCGGTTTTCTTTCTCGAAGCATACACAAAGCATGGGCAACCTCTTTTCTGCGTATCCTTTTCCCGCTGTCTCTTCCATCCAGGAAGAGGACTGTCTTCGCCCACAGAGACATTTAAAGCTGCTTTCTTGGCCTTTCTGGTGTCTCTATACTCACCAGCGTGCTTACAGCTCATTTTTATGCGAGAAGTTGATGAGAAAGTAGTGGTTAAGGCAATATTATGCTTAGTGCCATATGCCTTGGCAGCTTCACGAACAGCTTCAGTTGAAGAGAATTCTCTTCCGATAAGAAAGATTGAGTTGAACTCGGTCAAAGCATAATCATACTTCGTTGGAAAAGCTTTGCTAAAAATAACAAGGTCATTGGTGTTATCGGTGCTGTCGGTGTTGTCGATGTTGCTCATGTTAAATGTCAAAAAATTTATGCACTGATGTTGTAGTAAAAAAAAAAAAAAAAAAGGGGTAGTAATTTTATTGCCAACCTGAAGAACAATTTATCTGATTCCCCCAAAAACATGTGTGACAGAAAAAATAGTCTAGCGTGACGTCACACTATTTTCCAGCCTGTTCGTAAGTTTTACCCTACCCTCAGAACATGCCATGCTGTTTGACAGTATGTCCACCAAGAATCCTTACCAGATAATGGAGCCAGAAACACCAATTGTTAACTGTGCCAAATCTTCGGTCTATAATAAATTATCTGACCCAACTTAGGATTGATAGAGATGACATTCAGGTCAAATTACATTCTACGAAGCTACTTGGTCTAAAAAATTCGTTAAAGCGAATGTTTAACAACAGGCAACCTGGCCTTTCAAGAGCCAAGATTCTGGGCATAAAACGGGCAATTAGTTTAGGGGTATGGAGAAACTAAACCAGCTGCACGCAAAAATAACCATTATCTGGTCTGATTTTGTTTCCTACCATTTGGAATATTTCTCGTATATTCTGCCAAGAAAATTGGCGACACTAATCTATGGTCACACAAAGAGCACCCTTTTTCTCTTCTCCTTCTTCCTCTTCTTGTATGTATATATAGATTCATGTTAAAAGAGCAATAAATAAAGCACTGACTTTCGTTAGATGTCAACCATGCCAAACATGAGTGTATATTTTGTGCTGTGATTAATTTGTCTCAAAAGGTCTTTTCTTTGAACTACCCAATCGGAGATAAACGCGACAATGCGCATAGATCAAATTCCTTTTTGTTTGCCAAATAATATGTATAAAAGCGAAAATAAGCCTTGATTTTTTTTTGTTTGGATTATTATTTCATTTATTTACAAACAAAGTAAAAGACAAAAACATGGTGACGTACACAATGTATACATAAATGTATGTATGTATGTATGTGTATTTATTGACCGAGATTCCAGTCTGAAGTAATCACGGTCTCTTTTGCAGAATCAACCTTGAAGTATAAGTACTCGTTCTTGCTCTTCAGATAATACACCAAGTAGTATGAGGAATTGGATTGATTACCCCCAAGAGCACTAGCAGTAGCAGCATCAAATGCAGGTCCTATACAATGTATATGTTCCTACTGTTAGTAAAACATAAAAGAAAAAAGAAAAAGAAAAAACTCCCCCAATTCGTTTCAAAATTTATATCCATCTATCTTACCGGGCATGGTTGCAATGTGAGCTTGGCCTTGTTGTTGAAGACTAGGTGTCAATTCATCAGGCTTTCCAAAGTGTGAAAGGATATCAGCCGCAGGAGTACCAGGTAATCCCAACTGATCAGCCATGGCCTTTTATATACATATAATGTTTTACAGAAACAACAGATTCGTTACATTGAATTCTCTTTCTTTCTCTTTTTGTTATAAACATAATCTATCTATTACCTTCATAACCTTGTATTTATTATCATTGGAATCGCTTCCCTCAGTCTTGAGCTGCTGGTATTTTTGGGAAAGTGCAGAAAGGCTATCGTCAGACATGATGAAGATTTGAATATAAATATATATATATATATAAAGAAAAAGAAGAAGAAGAAGTAAAATTCGCAGCTTACATGAATTTCATCCATAATTATACGCATCCCATGACGTAATCCACCAAAATAACAAAAACAGTAATTATACTATAGACCCTTCAAGCTTCCCAGCCTATTTAAAATTATTGGCTTGATTTGGATTTACACATCGTCATCACCATTAAAGCAACAAAAAAAGGAGAAGAACAGAAAAGAAGTTCATCAGAAAGCATGGTATATTAATATATTATGTTATATGCTTTTGATTTTGATTTTGATTTAAATTTGGTTTGATTTTATTACACAAGAATCTTACTCATTATTACCATTATACTAGAAAATTGCCTGTCAAGAAAAATAAGAAGAAGAAGAAAGCGTGCGTGCGTGTATGTGTGTGTGTGTGGATGCCTTAATCTTCATTTTCACTTGCTTCCAGAGGGGAATCAACACCACTCACGGATCCATTTGGACTCCAGTCAGCTTCCGGAGATGTAAAGGTCTTGAAGGCACTTGATCCACCCAACCCGCCACCGAATCCTCCACTTCCTCCAAAAGGAGACGATTCTCCTCCAAATGTAGTCATTGCCGTGATACTGAATCCATTCTGAGTGATCGCCTTGGCTGCAGCTACGGAAGATTGCCGACGACGCACCTGAGACTCGTCAACGTCTTGTCGTTTGAGAGCCTTTTCAAAGAACAAATCCGGATGGGTGCATGTTCCCAGTGCTCGGCGCATCTGAGTGTTGACCAGATTGAGACCGAGCTGGTAAGACGCATTCATCCATCCAAATCCTTCGCGTGGCACATATTTGAAGTCTGTTCCGACATTTCCATACTCCACCTGCACCTTGTGAGTTAAACTAACCACATCATACTTTTCAGGCACAACTCCATTGAAATCCACAAAACTCTTTGTGATTCTAAAGTTGTTGATATAATGATTTATTTTAGTATTGATTAACCAAAGAAAAAGAAGAAGAAGAGAGCCTTTACTTACGTGTACAGCCAGCGGTACGCCAATCGACGTGCTACATCAACCTTGTCATAGTTCTCAAAAGCCTGCCATGTCATAATCTGATGAGGGGCCCATCCGAAAGGAAAGTCCCACTGTCGATTGGGCCGATCGAGTGAAATAGAACCCCTAGACTCTTCTGTACCTGACACAAGTCCTCCCTGAGCTTCAAACCGGTGCAGTTCAGCCGTCAGCCGCTCAGCCTGCTCATGACTCGCACACTTGGCCCACATGGCCCAATAGGCAGTCACGGTATCGTACGTGCTCTGCTCTTCTATGACAGTGTCATAGTCATAGTACAGTCCAGCCTCTTCGTTCCACAGGTACTGATCAATCCGCTCTCTGCGCTGGCGTGCACGCTCTGCCCAGTCCGACGCATGCTGGGCTACTCCCTGGAAATCAACCAGATTGTCGTCCAGGATGTCCTGGAGCGCGTCTGCAATATCGGTCTCGTACTTGTACAGCAGTGAATTGAGGTCAATCGTCGCCAGGTTCGCACACCGCTTCTCATAACGATAGGTTGTGTCGTGGCCAGACTCACGCACCGCGCGGTCGTGCAAAAAGTATTCGTCCAGTGCGGGTTCCTTGAGCGTGCCATCATTGTATCCAGTCATGTAGTCCTGCAAACTCATCTCGGCTGCAGTGGCATAGGGCTGGATGATGTGGTCAAAGTGAGATGACTCGGTTTCGGGAGGAATGCCAAGACCCTCAGGGCGGAACCGAGACAGCATAGTTTTGGGGTCTAGGCGAGGCTGGGCTGTCCAGACCGTGGTGTATTCCTTGATGGCGGCCTGCAACACCTGACTTAACCAGAGTTTGTTCTCGTCGGCAGTCGAGCTGGGCAGTTTTGCGTAGACCTTCAAGGCCATGTCGGTCAGAAACGGAGGCTGAGACCGGGAGAGGTAGTAAGACCGATTGGCATTCAAAATCTTTCCATAATGCTTGATCTCGTACACAAAGTTGTCGACCATGCCCTTTGCCAGATCCACGCGTTCGTCGATGAGCAACCCGAGCGACTCAAAGTAAGAGTCCCAGCCGTACATCTCATTGAACCGTCCACCAGGAACGACAAACGGGACGCCCTGGAGGGTCTCTTGGCCGTTCAGGACGGTCTTTTCCATGGCCAGGGCCAGAATACCTGGACGGTCGTTGATGCTCTTGACGTACTCGGGGGTGATGTTTTCCGGAAGCCTTTCGACCTCGAGATTGAGGTGTGGTCTGGTTGCAGCCACCTGGCTGTAGTACTCGAACACTTCGTCTTCGCTGAAAGGAATGTAAATGCGCGGGTTGTGATCGGCCTGTCTGTTCTTTGGATCATTGCAAATGATCTCGAGTCCCTGGCCATCGATTCTGCGGGTCAGGCCGTCCCAGAAATTGTGCCGGATCATGCGAGACAGCCGGTCGACAGGGTTTTCATTCAATCGAGCTTCATCAAGCACAATGTGTTTCCGGCCATAGTCGTCTGCAAGTGCCAATTCTTGCAAAAGGTTCGAGAGCATATAGGTTCCTCTGATCTCGATTGTGCGATAACCACCCGAGTCTGCTGTACCGACCGCAAATGATTTTGGACCGAGATCGTTGACCGTTATCTGAAAATCACCATCGGTGTCTTCTTGTTCGACCAGGATACGCTGAGTTTCTTTGACGTCGATGAGGAACCGATTGGCCTTGCTCTTATCATCTTTTATTTTTATATTTTATATTTTATATATAGATCGATAGACAGATACATAGACAGATACATACGCACATATATACATATATTATTTTTCATTTTTCATTTATTATTATTATTAAGATTTTTCAATTAATTAATTCAATTATTCAATTATTCATTCATAATTACTTCTTTTCTCTCTTTCTCTCTCTCTCGTTTACTTATATGCTATATGCTATTATTGACATAGTTATTACTGCCGCTTACTATTACTAATTACTAATGAATTATTATCGCTAACCATTGGAAGCTCTTCTTCTACGAGAGCTATTGTCAGCATGAGACCGTGAGTATCGTCCCTATAATAGACCCACATATGTTATTAATATATAAGTACATACACTCAAAAGGATATCAATTGTTGTCTCGTACAAATGTCTTTATTATCCCACGAAACAAAAGAAAGGTTACTTACGGTTAGAGTGCGTAATCTAGTACCAGTAGATGAATTATCACCAGTGGTATAATATGTACTTGCTGGTGCATGGACATCCACCAAATCATCATTAGAAATGGTCATAGTGATAAGATATTTTTTTATAAATATATAAAAAGAAAAAAGAAGTAAAGAAAAATTATAAAAAAAAAATATTCAAGTTTGTTGGTTGATTCAACTTTTACAATTTTTTTTTTTAAAAAAAAAACTAAATAAATACTCCGATGATAAAACGCCGCTTAAAAGGCACTTTTTTATATAATACACTCGTACACATTCTTATATATACACTATTATATCTATGGATTTGTGTATTGAATATTTTTGCAATAAAGGGCAATTCTCCCTCTCAAATAACATACACACAATTTCAAAGAATGTGAATTTTTATATATGAAATTTCTTTATTTTGTTAATAAAGATGATAAATTCAATAATATTTTATATTTAATTATAATTATAATTATAATTATAATTATTAAGAATAATCTAAAAGAAATTAGTTAGAACTTACCAAGGTGGTGCAAAGATATATTACAATTGAATACCTTGTTTCAAAAAAAAAAAAAAAGGACTCGCAATGATAATAAACTAATAACACGGATTATAGCCCCTAGCCAAAATATATTATCTCCAAAGAAAAAAGAAAAAATGAAAGGACCCGATATTAATAGGGGGTTTCAATCTAAATGTAATGATATTAATAACGATTAAAAAAAGAAAAAGAAAAAGAAAACAAGCGGGCAAGCAAGTAAGCAAAAGACAGGGAAAAATATTTGCATATGGGTGAGTGAGAAAGTGACACTACACTAACAAAAATAACTCAAAGGTTACACTAGCCCTGTCGTTTTTCTGGGATACGCAGAGTACACCAGGGTTATTTGTTTTAGGTTTCCTGTTCTTCTTGCTTTCTTACTAGTATTTAAACACGCCTACAAGTAACTTCCCTACGACACAACATTCTGCCTAAAGATATCAGTACACAAAGGATCGTCTTACAATCATTGAATTGAATCATTTCCTTACCCGTTCTTCGTTAAGAAAAGCAGCAACAATAAAGTCTTGTAAATTGTAGTAGATATTGATGACAAAGGATAAAGTCAATTCCAACGTTTGCCTGGTAATCAAGTAATCGTTTTCATTTATTTTTCTGTACTCTAGAACCTCAAAAATGAGTACATCTTTTTACCCACACTATTATCCGAGCATCTTAATTACTATAGCTTTTGTCCTTGTTCTTGTTTGGATGTGCTGTGTTGACTCTTGAAATGGGGTTGTCCAACAGTATCATTAATGATACTGTGCTTTGTTGTGCTTTCAAGCTCTTGAAACATTTAATTTCTTCTTCTTCTTCTTCTTATTTTGTGTATATGGATTCTTTACACAAATTTTAGTATTTGCATATTTGTGAAACTTACAACCATCACAATATGAGTGGATATGGTCAGACTCTGACACAAAGGAGAAACAAAGTTACAGTTCAAAACAGCCTTTTTGGATATAGAACAATAGAAGGAAAGAAAGAGTATCCCAAGCCTTGAGAGATACACCATAGACACTATGTATACTCTACATCTTTGTTTGTGTGTGCATAACTGTTTATACATGTATGCATATAAATTTATATATCTAATTATATTAATTCATTATTAGTGTTAGTATTTTCTACCTATGACCTTGGAGCTAGTTGTCCATACATTTTCTTTTACCTTTTATAAATCTGATTCAAGGTTGTACAACATGTCATCCTGGGTATAAGTAAGCTGGTCGCTTTAGTAATATGCAAAAGTGCTCTTATTTATTTATTTGTTTAGTTATTGATTCAATTTTCCAAAACCTTGGGTTTTTTATTTAGCAGCTTCATATTCACACATGGCAGAGGGCTCTTACCGTACTACTGTCACTGTGTACCATAAAGAGAAAGTTATATAGTAAATACAAAGAAGAAGAAGGTTTCAAGCAATATACTAAAGGAATATTGTATATCTCTAAAATGCACACAGCTTGAAAATACTTCCTTTATATACCCATATCTTTCTATATATGTGTGTGGCCAAATATAGACAGATATCTTCTTTATCAATACAAACAAACTCATGCACATAGACTTGTATATTTTATATTGATGAATTCTTTTATTTTTAGTGGAATAAATGAGCTTATATATACATAGACATAAAGACGATGACTGCGGTGATATAAATGGCATGAGAATAAGGTAGAAATGGATACAAAAACAAATAAAAACAAAACAAAAAAAAGGTACTTTTTTTTCTTTTAAGAGGAAGAAAGAGAAAAATTGTGTGTGTGTGTGTGTGTGAAATATACAAAGAAGTAGAGGTTAAAGGTAAAAGTAATAGAATAAAAAAAAAAGAGACAAAGAAGACAAATAAATGTAAGAGAGGTGAATGGATAAAGTGACTTGAAATACCCTGATTTTCTATTCCCTATTCTTATCTTCCTTGCTTGGTTTCTTTTGTTAGGGTCTAGTATAAGCACAAGGAGTACACAGAAGATAGAAAGGTAGAATAGGTTCAGGGGATTCCCCTTTGTGTTTCTTTTTTAACTCACTCCCCTTTTCTCTATTATTATTGTCTTTTAGTTTCCTTTCGTTTCCTTTCGTTTCCTTTCCTTTACTGTAAAAGGGTGCCAAGATCTTAAAGAGCTCTCCAATTTTTTCTAGCTTGCTTTTGTCGATTGGCGTGTAAGACTAGTTGATTTCCGTAATTTTCGAGCTCTTCGACTGATACATTCATTGAGTAGTTGTTTAATCGCAAAAATTCGATCTCTAGACTGTTGAGTTCAGTCACAGATATCCCGCCTACTTTGGCATAGCGGGCGTTGGTAAATGATCGATCGGAAAAGAATTTGGTTGCTACCATGACGCCAGCTATAATCAGCCGGTGTATGTTACGAGAATCGATTCTTAGACGAGAAGGACTACAGGCCATTCTGTCCAGGTAGACTAGTAGGCTTAGAAAACATTCGTTCGGACAAGGCGTGTAAACTAGAATCCGAGCAAGGTATGAATGAATGTCGATTGGAGAAGCGGTCCGTGCATGGAAGCATGACTCTCGTAAACTGAGATGGTGGTCATTAGCATGTGTGATGCACTCTAGTAGTTCAGTAATCATGCAGAGAATGTCCATGGTCGGATGACTAGCGAGATCAAACAGACAAGTGCGTGCAGGAGCCATTAGGGACTGAGGTGAGTAAGAAATGTAAGGAAGAAGAGGAACAGACTTGATAGATTTCATCTCCGACTATCGGTAGCTCTGTTTTGAAGGTTTTTTATTTTTATTTTATTTTATATATATTATTTTATTTTATTTTCCACATCATACATATTTAAATATACATACATATATTGGGCCTTGATTGATTACTAGATATACAAACCAGCTTGTAGTTATTAGTATCATGTTGCCAATATATATATATATAAATAAAATGACAATTGCCAATTAATAAGCAATACACACCAGTAACCAGGGCTGAATAAAATCATTCTAAATATTCATCTTCTTCCTCTTACTATCACAAGTATTGTTCTTTCGCAACAGCAACAGAAAAATACTCCCCCTCATTTATGAAGAGTAGCCTGAAAATTTCTCCTTATCTTTAGATTAAGGTCAATGCCCTGTGCTTTTACTTTGTTTTATAGTATAGTATAATATAACATTATTATTGCATGGAACACAATGTTTCAATTCTTATGTACAAAATACTGCTCATCAGCATCGCACAGTTAAAATATGATGCGTCAGACAACCCGCAGCTTATATTCATATGATACCTAAAAGAAGAAGAAAAAAAAAAAGTAAGAAAAAACCAGCTGCGAAATCATGTGTGACAAATGTTATTCAAGGGAGCCCCACATCAGGGCCTCACCAGGGACCCAACGCTAATTAAAGCCATGACCAAGAGTTTGTAACCAAAGAGGATTTACAGATAATCAGTAAAGAAAGATAATTAGGACCAGTAGCAATATCAATATCAGTATCGGTATCAGTATCAATATCAGACTTAACATTGATATTAATGTTAATCACCAAGATATAATACATCTATTTTGTCTAGTTATTCTGGCCGCAATTGAAATATCTATGCCAAAAGGTTAACCCGTATTATCAATCAATTGTATAAAAGGTATATTAATATCTAGAACCTTTACACAAGCTTATTTTTTCTTTCTTTCTTTATTGTTGAATTGAATCGAATTGAATTGAATTGAATTGATCAAATAAAATAAAATAAAATAAGAGTTTTACACAGGGTGATATGGACCATGTACTTTATTTCTGGTTGGTCAAGGATTATTTGTTTTCTATTCTATATATACATTTATTTATTGATTTATATATATATACCCTTCTGCCCGGTACTATGAAGCGTGGTAGATACTCTTGAATATCAATAAATGTATAAATATATATGTCAATCGATCAACTCGGAAGAGACCACTTTCGGAGAGGTAGAAAATACCCATGCATTGTGTAGATACACCGGTACCGTTCCATATGTATATTTGGTAATCCCCAGCATGTTCTAAAGCAACTTAACCTGCCACAATACCCATTTTTTAAACTTTTTTTCTTGTTAATTATCTCTACTATCATTATTTCATCAAAGTATTGTATTGTCTAATAAGCCCAGGAACCTTCTTTCTTTGTTTCTTTTCTTCTTTCTTCCTTACTTTCTCTATCTCTTTCTTTCTCTCTCTTTGTCTCTTTTGGCCACTGTCTCCACGCTCTTCTTGTACCATTTTTAGACCGAGCCCCATGAACAAAACAGTAGTACCAACTATACAAAAGCAGCTTAGCAGAAAGAATAGCAATAGTAATAGTAGTGATAAAATATACCACTAGTGGTCTTGGGTATATATATATATATATATACGTTTCTTTCTCTTTACCCTAATTATAATGCAACAAAGTCCAAAAGTCGAGTCAAGCTTGCTGTAAACTAGATATTTATATCAAGTTATTTATTCCTTGCTGTGATTAATATAGGTAAAGCCATGACTTGAACAAAGTCCCACGACAGGGTGGGGTCCCTCTTACAGAACCTCTCCCTCCCCTTCCCCTGATGAGGAGCACATCAGTATTATTAGTTATTGTTGTTGTTATTATTATTTTCCAAAAAGAAAAAAGAATGCTGGCATTTCAATGGTATGTATATACCTGGCCGTTTGTATAATTATATATTTGATTAAAAACTCTCAAGAACAACAATAATAATAAAAAACAATTAAATACAATAAACTCTAGACTACAATGAGAATAGCGTCTTGTTACCATTAGAATGAAAGAGCAAATGATATCAAGGGCTCATAGCTTTGTACTCGATTTTGATAATTTATAATAAGAAGATCAATATATAGATAAAGAGATAGATAGATAGATAAATAGATCAATAGAATTTGTAACCATAGTTACTGTAATTATCAAAGTGAGAGAAAAATAATAATAATTTCTAGTGGTTTATTGTTCCAAAAATAAACTAATATTTCTTGTGTCCAGACTAAGCTTATATTATTCAGATACACAAGCACATACATAAATTATATAATATAAATATATATAATGCTGAAACAAACACTATACTTCTTTTGATAGAGCATATTTATCTATTTATCTCTTTATCTCTCTACATCTTTATATCTTTATATATATATATATATATTATTGTGTTATACTATTATTACAGTAATGTAATGTTCATTTTAAAACTCGGTCAAAATCAATTGTTCTTTTATGTTCTCTACATTTAATGGTTGATCAATGGCATTATTTGTTAATATAAGTATTATTATTAATAATAATGTTAATAATAATAATATGACAACATTGAATACCAAATACAATTTTAAAGTTATTGTAGTTCTTATAAGGATAGCCTATAGTCTACAGATGGCGTATCTGAAGTATATATAAGAAAGATAGATTCTTTTTTAATAAAAAAATCTTGATCTGAACTGCCTTGTGCCAATTCAAATGCTTGGCCCGATTGTGTGGCCATTTGAGTTTTGGCTTGGTAAATTATTCTTTTATTTTATTTTTTTAAAACGAGTTGAACCAATTTTGATAAGCACAGCCTTTATATAATTACAAAACGCCTATTTGTACTAGATAGCAAATAATAAGAAGGTAGGTAGTGATGAATAAGAATGTTGAGCTGTATATATGCCTAGGATTGCTTCTTCTTTTGAGTAAATGGTGAGCAAATACTTGGAACCAATTTACTAAAATTTTGACAGGTGTATCTAACGTGTTAAAATAATATTTAGCTTATACTTTTAGGTAAAAACACAAACAAACACACACGCACACATGGACACGCACACGCACATAAGCACCATAAAGTACCTAAAAACTATAAAATCAATTGTAGTCATCAATTGAAACACACACACGCATATATATATATACATATACCAGTGCACGCTGTGTTTCACAAATGAGGATCAACTTGGAACTACAGTCTAAATTTCATATATGCATATATAAGTTATCTAGGCAATAAATATCAAGCTCATACTTATATATATTTATATATAGTTCAATTTATGCCAGCAAAATAACACGTATTTCTTGTATTGTTTATTGGGACAGAATATATATATAAAATGATACAAGGTTCTGTTGAGAATAAACATGCCTGTGTTTAAGTTTGTGTGTAATGATCAGTAGATTAATATCAAACTATAGTTTCGTATTGATCCTCAATTGCTAGCATTCCGTTTTCTTCCCCTTAACTGTTTGGTGTCAGAATATTAAATTGTCATAATTGAATACTTTTTGTGGTTTTGTTTTGTTGGTTAGCATTGTCATAGCTACATATTGGCGTATTAACAATGCAGGTTCAATCCTGGTATTCATCTTGTCAAACATCAGAAATGATGCTACCAAATAAGATTATTATAGTGACTTTTAGCCTACCAAGAGTATTTTAGGAATTTCTCACAATATATTATATTCTTTAATTCGGATGAGTGGCTATAATACTTTAATATGTTTGAGAGTGCTTTTATAGCCAGTATATGCCTCAATTTCATCATAATCATCATCGTCATAGTCATCATAATTTTTCTCACTCTTACACATACATAAACAGTGCACAGACCAGTCCAAAAAAAGTAAAAGATAAAAAAAAAAAAGTCGTATTTGGTTTTTGGTTCTTATTAAATCCCGGGGGGGGGGGGTTACTACTGCATCAAGTATATACTTCACTAGATAGACCAGAGAACCATAATAGATAACAGAAAAATGATTTACTCATTCTCCTTGGATCATAATGACCAACATATGATCAAAGAGCAATAATTTTTTTTAAAATATTTTAAATCAAAGATGATTACTATAGCAACTATTCTTACCCTATTTTGATTCTTTGGTCTATCCAGTGAAAAATACAACCTTTTGACCCTAGAAAATCTTGCAAAGATCTCCTACTAAAGTCGCCTTCTTTTTTTATATACTTTATTTTTGTAGAATAATACAAAAATATACCGGATCACTGCTATTTTTATTGTTACTATAAGAGTTTAAGTTACTATTGTGAATTTGTTAATAAAAGTATCTATTAAATAAAGTGGGAAATTTAATGTGCTTAATATTTACTGATGTTCTGACAGCTTAAAGGTCTTAATATGGTAACACCAACAGTTTGTCAGTTCAGATAAGGTATACAAATATCTTTATTCAAGAAAAAGTAACAATGTGTTTCTATGGTTGCAAATAACAATTATTTATGATTGTGTGAGCACCTCTATTCTCTCGGTATTATTCCATGGATACCATTATCACATAGTTTACCGGCTATTGTAATTTGATTAGATAGTTATTGACAGAGAAGAATCCCGAAGGCTGTAAATTTGCTTCTATTGCTTGTTAACCAAAGCACATGAGTTTCTTTATCATTAATAGATAATAATTTAGTGTACTATAGGATAAAACCTATATTTTCTAATATGTGCTCCTTTATATTATCCAATAATCTTGAGTAGGCATAGAGGTATCTCAGCTTCTAGTTGTCTATTGATAATATAGAAATTTTCACAATAATAAAAAGGCGTATCATTGATTTGGGCAAATTAAGGTAACCTATTTTCTTTTGTATATGTTTTGTTTTAAAAAAAGGGGGTAACCTCTTTTTGACTTTTGGTAGTTAATCTTAATAAACTTGAACAGAAGACTTGGTGCCCTTCATTGAAAAAAAAAACAGTCATAATAATAAATGGCTACCTGATAAGCAAGCATGTAAAGCAGTAAGAAAAAATAATAACATAAATTCAAAGAAGTCTGTTCTGCTATTTTTTGTATCATAATATCAAATCATTTAATAGGAACCACTCATTCTCTTGAAAAATCATCTTGACACTAACTATCGATAAAACCTCATTTCAATAAAACCCAACTTGGAATTCAAAATCCCGCCAGCTATTGTGTTGAGATCCATATAATACGCTTATATACTTCTTTGCTTTCTTTTCTGTCTTTTTTTTGTTTGAATATCACTTTAGAACACACGCAAGTTTATTTCATAGTGAATAAAGGGCTGATTCTGTGTCTACTTGTACAAGCAAAAGAAAAAGAAAAAGAAAAAGAAAATCTTTCTTTTGTGCTCTTGAACAAAAAGTGCACAGACCACTTTAGAGTAACTTACAAATCGCCGTTATAGAAACTTGTACTCCACTTTGAGAGTCATTGCTACACCGCTTAATACCGAACCTTTCATTACTCTTTTGCTTCTTTGATTTACTTTACTTTACTTCACCTCAAAAAGTCGCTTTCATAAGTACTTTGATTAAATATTATTAGCTGTTCTTTCTGCCGTAGAAAAGTTACACAAAGCAAGTAAAAAGAATATACAGCTATATCACGTTTCCTCTGACGTGGACATCTAAGACTGACAAAAAGCGCAGTCCTAAACTTTAATCGCAGATGAAAACTTTTCTGTTACTTATAGACCCCCTCCAACGCGTGTCGTTTGTTTTCTCCTTGAGCAACAACAGTCCCGGTTTCATAGTGAGGCGTCTCTTGCGACCGTTGCAGGGAGATTCTTCCATGCTACAAGCATCGGAAAGTGAAAGTTGTTACTCGCCAGCTCAGTTAATTCTGAGAAGTCGTGGGGCATGGTCTCTTTTCATTTTTGGAAGGACTACTGTGTACATCGCATCGCCAATGTGGAATCATGATGCTGGGGGGAGGGAGGTCTAACCTGTGGTGAGATGTGCTGGCTCTTCACTGCTAACCTGACTGAACTCTTTAACGGCTGACGGTGAAGCTACTGGTAGTCGAATGAGCTGGACCTTATCACCTAGTGGTAAGTTCTCTGGCGAGTTCGCACCCACATTACTCGGTGACGAGATGTGGGGCTGGATGAACGGGTGCTTTCCGTTGGTTTGCCACCATTCCAGCACCTCCTTCGCTACCAAGTCAGGTTTACGTCCTGAAGGAGATTGAGCCGCGTAATGCGGGGACAAAGAACTTGGTGTCATGCTTTTTATTCCTTTACTCATGTAAAAGAACATTAAGTGAAATTTAATCAAATAGAATAGTTTCTTTATGTATATCTTTAAATAAATTAATAAATAAAGTCTTTCTTAGCTATTATCAACTTTAATAAAAAAAACACGCTTTTAAACTTTTTTTTTTGCTTAATTGAAGAGGTTAATGTTGTAATTAGGAAGTCTCATTTATAAGAAGAATTAATCTAGTTAAAGAAATCTGAAGATTAATATATTTAATACGCCTGCTCTTATTATTGTATCAATTGCCGCGTTTTATTGTATAGGCTGGTTTTTCTATAAAGCCTATAAGAATAGAGTCGGGTAGATTTTCGAGAATGCCATTGGCGTGAAATATATAATTGAATTTGGCTAATCTGAAGGGCATTGTGAATGAAATGCACTGTAATGAATGAATGAAAAATAAAAGAGAGATGAGAGATGAGAAGAAATAAAGAAATGTTTGTTTGAAAGAGAGACGTAAAAGGTGTAATGTGGGTTGAATACTTAAGTAATGCCCTCATTGTATTTACACAGGTTGTGTACAGGTTCAATCCGAAATTATTTATGAAACAGTAATCGTTATATATATATATATATTTTATAATTTGAGTATCAATGAATTCTTGGTACCATCTATCCGTCATTGCCTTCACAGTGTAAAATATAATTTGAATTCAAATAAGAATAGGAGACAAGTAACGACGGTTACAAGACCCATACTTCAATATTCCGCATAAGAATAATTCACCAAAGATGTGCATACGGCTTCCATATTATAATCCTCAATGCCAACTTAACAGACATAGGGTATACTGAGTAAGTAAGGCATGGATATCGTAAAAGAGACCCATTTTTATATCGAATTACATAGAGTGTAGTGGAATTTTGATAGAGAGAAAACTTGTGCAGATCGAAATACATGAAATATTGAATAAGAATAATTTTTAAGAGTCTCAATGTTGCCGAATCAACCAAAAAATAACAGCTATTAAAGAATAGAAAGATGGTAAGATCAAAGCCGAATGTAATATTCAAGGACTTTTTTATCTTTTTTACTATTTAGGACAAGGCTGTATCTGCATTCAACAACTTCTTAGCTTGTTGATCGATTAAATACTAAAGACTTTATAGATAGACAATTATTTACTGTTCCGTATTATTCTTGATTGCTGGCCTTGATCGGGTTCTTATAATGAAAGGGTACTCTTAACTACCTCGTTTTATACATGTAAAGAAAACTAGGCACAATGTATTTGATTAATTTATTTGAGATTCTTATCCTTTTGATCTTGCCTACCGCCAAGACTCTCTCAACATTTTCTTTTATTTTTATTTTTGTGCTTTGGATTATTTCCGTCAATTTTAATCCGGTTGCTTATTCCATAGTTGAGAATAAGTTTGATGTCTTTGAATATCAAAGATAAAATAAATAAATTGGCAAAGAGCTTTTAGGAAACAGACTATTCAAATAGCATTGATAGCTGTAAAGAGTATGATTTCTAATTCAATAATGCTCTCACGCATAATATAAATAACCAAATGTTTAGTTGTGTTGATTGATTAACAAATCAATCAAGTAGTTTAGGACTGAAGGGAAAATAACGAAATTCTGTAAAGAAATCAACTAGAAGCTTCTGATACACAACAAGGTGAGGAGCATTGCTGTACTTTTCGGAAATATATTTCTATATAAGATTAAGGTATGTGTGCACTGGTTGAATAGGACTACTAAAATTTGGATCAGTAGAAAGAAAGAAAGAAATGAAGAAAAGCAATTGAACCTTGCCATTTTGATTTTATATCATCTTCAACTTTATCACTGCAAATGTGTTTTAAAGACCGCAAAAACCGAAAAGATTGACAGAAAAAGAGAGCTCGGAACTTGTAGTCGCGTCATTGATGGTGACTGCCGTGTCTTGAAAATGAGGGATGTGGTGACCAAGCACATCAATCATCTCAATCGAATTTTACTATTATTTTCTCTCCTTCTCTCTTTCTCTATTGACATACCCACAGAAAAATGGTTAAAAGAAAGGCAACAAACGATGGCAAAGAAGACGAAGGCAAGTCAATTTTAATACGAGTGCCGTTGGCGGGAAAAGAAACTGATGCTTGGTATTTTTTTCTTCTTTTTGTTCATACAGGAGAACAAATGATCTTAAAATATATGAAAAAAGTCAATCGACCTTACAGTGCTAGTAAAGTCACGGTCCAGCACTTATGGATTGTGTAACAGCTCTAATCTAATATTTTACTTTATTTTATTTTATTTTATTTCATTGTTCAACTATCAAGCTGATATCTTTAATAATTTACATGGAAAGTACTCAAAGCCTAGTGTTGTCCGAGCTCTAGATAGCCTGACCGATCAGAATGAATTGTTTGTAAAAACATACGGAAAAATGCAGGTTTATGCAGTAAAGCAAGCATGTGTCTCTTTTTATGTTTATTTAGGCAGTAGATGTGATTTATTAATGGGTTTGATAAATGTGGTCTCTGTAGAATATAGAAGGAATTAAAAATGAAGATCTGGAGGGTCTACAGAAGCAAGTGACTGTCCTTGAAGGAAAGATGTCGAATATGGTAGAAGACAATCGAAAACTTAATCACAGTAAGCAGTAAATGGATAAAGTCTGTGATGGGATGGTGTTAGTGCAAATAATGGCTCCATTGACATAATTGCCATTTAGCTTTGTCTGACTTGAAAAAGGAACCAACCACAGAAAACGCCAAGGCTCTTCTGGAAAAGAGGAAAAGAGAGGTAAATGATAACCAATCTTACTTGAGGCTTTCTACACATAATACACTGATTAAAAAAATATAACTTACTTTAATAGAATGCTCAAATGAGAGAACATCTCGAGACATTGAAATCGGGCGCCGTTCTTGTCACCCCAGAAGATCGAAAGAAGAATGATGCCGAATATGAGCTATACAGAAAAGAATGGCGCACCCGGAGAAAATTGGTAAGAGCTTATATAATGAAGATTTTGACCTGACATTTTAACTTTTTCTTTCTGCACACCCTAGTTTAGAGATATTTTCAATGCTGTTACAGAACACATGCCAGGCAAACCAGCAGCATTTATGGTAGTAGTTTGTTGGATAATATACATGCAAACACTATGATTTGTTAACTATCTATTGTAAAATGCCCTCTTATATATAGGAAGAGCTTGGGATTGAGGAAGACCCGGTGTCTTATGAAAAGGACACATTAGAATAGTAATTTTTACCGAGAGGAGAGTTGTTTGGTTTTACAAAGTCTGTGGCTTCTATTTTAATAAAATCTTGAATGAATACAATGTGTACCTGAAAATGACACGACATTACGCTTTCATTTGAAATATACATTTTACTGTTTGACCTATGGCATGACGCAATAGTTATAGTTAAATGTGTAACGTAGGGTATGTTTTTTGTATATATTTGTGTATTTGTGTTTGTATAAATAATATTATTTTTTTCTGATTATCTAAAATAAAATTTTGGACGTAGATACAGATTATGTACATATGCCAAGAAAGCAAAAGGAAGTGAATATCTATATATTCAATGAATAATTGTGGGAGCATTCTCAAATCATGCTATTCGCTTTTGGTGGGTAGGTGATAGAGGTGGAATTTGACCCACTCAATCGGTATGTGTGTGTATTGGATGCTGGGAAAATAGCCGGAGGATGTGATACAGGAGACGAAAGTGGACGGGGACGGTCAGGTCTTCTTGTCGTAGAAGCATATCGACTAACAGTATCAGGATCAGAATCAAAGTCTATTGGTCTACACGCTTCATCGGCCTCCGGAAATGTATTTCGGAAATCATTGGAACGAATACGAGCACCGTATGGCTTATCACAACAAGGGTGTGTAAGCGAAGGGAAGTATTGCCGGTAAGCAAAGTAGGACAGAGCGCCACCTTAAAATACAACCGAAAAAGAAAGAAAGACAATGAGAATTCAACGGTAAAATAAAAATGTGTGTAAAATTAAATAAATAAAAAAAAGAGGTGATTGTAATCAATTTCCTACCAAGAATGCCTCCAACAAAAACATCCGTCCAGTGGTGCTTGTAATCTCTTGTGCGCGAAATAGCTATCAATAGTGCACCAAGCCAAGGGAATGCAAAGATAAACCCTTTGTAGGTGTGCTGTAATTAATCAAAGTCAAAATGATATCCAGTATCAGTAAATCCAAGGCAATCCGTTGTACTCTAACCATTATATCTATCTAGTATTACCCCGAGCTCATCGAATAGATGCATTTTTCCCGCCAAGTAGAATGCCAAGAACCCCAGACCAGCAAAGGAAACTATTAACAAAATGACAGGTGAATACATAAGTAGACTTGTAATCTCAAAGATGTATATATACTTTGTCACATGAAAGAATTCAATCTATTAATCGTTTTATTTTATTTTATTTTATTTACTTACAAGAAGCATGTCCACTTGGAAAACTTTTAAAGGCATCGATCATATCTGGGGTATCTGAAGGCTCTAGACATATTGTGTAGTTTGAAAGTCCAAAGGGTGGGTCGACTGCATCTACAGGTAAATGGCATCTGGCAAAGAAGTCTGGTCTTGGTCTTCCTACAGTAATCTTGAAGGTTCGTCTGAAATTAAAATTCACGTTGATCCCGAACAACACAAAAAAGTCAAGCCAATGGTTCTAACCTTTATTACTTCGGTAACCATAATTGTCATTGACAATGACAAGCAAAGACCTATAATAACAATAATAGTTGTTATTATAAGAGAAATAAAATAAAGAAATCAATGAATTGATCTATTTTAAACCAAAAAGATATATTATTTGGCTTTCAAGTTTTAACTTGTATTTACCCAAGAAGCCATTGTGGAAATCATTTCCACTGCGTTTTATGACCAGTGAAACAAGTGCAATAAAAACCATTGGTGCAACGATAGCAACAACCTTTTGTAGATAATGCAATGATAAATATTAACGTATTCCAATGCGACTATTATTACTATTAATTTCTTTATAACATACAATCAATAGCCAGACAGGTACAGTCTCTGGTTTACTAGAGAACATTAATCGCGGATCTTTTACTGAGAATTCTCTGTGGTATGGGTGAATCTTATCAAGAGAGAAGAAGAGAATGATCATGATAAAGACAAGTAGCCAGTCCTTGAGATACGAGAGGAATATGCGTCGTCTTCGAGAGGTTTTCCACTTTACGAAAGTCATGTTCGTTGCTGTTGCTGAAATTAGTAAAGGAAAAGGAAAAGGGAAAGAAAGAGATGGCTAGATCAAGAACGGCCAAAAGGATGCTTATATTATTATTAAGTCTATAAAAATAAAATATAATGATATTATCTTTGACTTCAAATATTGGTCGATCTCATGTCGCTAGAACAAATCACAAAGTCTAACCAAAAATTCCGCGTCATCGTGAAGTCTTTATCTGTAGCACGGAAATACCAGCTCACAAGTCTGTACCGTAGTTCTTATCCTCAGCAGATCACACATTGGTACAACAAGCAGTGTCCTTCTTATTATAGAAAACAGACCCTTGAATATCATTTATCAACGACGTTATATATTCAATAAATAAATTCGATGCTTTCAAGAAGTATTAGCTTGATACACATTGGCCTTATTACTCTACCAAAATAAAAAAAAGTAATATATACAAAGGGATTCTTTTTTTCACAAGGCCAACTTGTAACAATTTCTACTGATATGGTTACTAATTACACTCACAGCATATCATACTATTGAAAAGCAAGCAAGCAACCAAGTCCAAGTCAACTGGGTAAACAAATAAATAAAGGAATAAATTGAAATTACAACATTTTCCAAAGATTTATTTTTGTAATTCTTGGGAATTTTGTTGCTCTTTAAATTGCTAATAGAATTATACATTGTAGTGTAAATTCTCAAAAGTCATATAATTTTCCACACCGGTTCAAACAGAGTATTTGTTTGATTGGTCGAGTGATTTTTTTTTGTTAAAAATATATAAAAAAAATATATTTCCTTTACAACTCCACCGATAAAGATCTATAGAGAGGTTCTTGTCCCAGATTTTACCATGTTGAGTGAATACAAAATAGTGTTTTGGGTGTTGAGGATGTCCCAACTCTATATTTTTTTTTGCGGTTGGAAATTGTGCTTTCGCATACTTTCATCTTCCAATAAGAATGTAATAAACTCTTATCGACCGATCTTCCATAAAAGGGAAAAATCTTATCAATCCTGATTGAAAATCAAATAAAAATCTGCATTTTTTTCTACCCCGTCTTATTCTGTTCTTCTTTCTTCCCACCCTTTTCTACTACATGTCCTCTGCACTGTCATCGCTGCGTATTCTGCGCCAGTCCAAGCCACTAATCTTAGCGCGTCGATTCCACGACTGTCCAGTCAGCGATGTACAGCCTTTCCGACTCTTGCTACTTGGTAGTCCTGTATGTCATCCAACCTACTCTTCCTTTTTTTTCTTTTTTTCTATCAAGACACAAAATATGAAGTGGAATTTCACTTGAATCTTATGCCTATATTTTGGTTTGAAAAATCAAGGGATCTGGAAAGGGTACTCAGTCAGAACGCTTGATGAAGCAATTCACAGCATCCCACATATCGAGTGGAGACCTTTTGCGCCGGGACATTGTCCAACAAACACCAACAGGTCGCAAGGCTGCTGAGTACGTGACTAGTGGGAAACTTGTGCCTGATGAATTGATCTTGGCTCTAATTGATGCTGAACTATCCAACATTGCCAATCCTGTAAGACAAAATCCTATGTGAACAGAATACGATATGAGTCTAGATAGGAATCTAAGAATGTATATGTGTATATGTTTGTGTGTCTGACTTCATTTTATTACAGAATTGGCTTTTAGATGGATTTCCCCGCACTTTGGGCCAGGCTCAGGCACTAGACTTAATGCTCCAGAAGCGTACAGAATCGTTGAACCTTGTGATCAACCTTGAAGTACCAGAAGAGGTTATCTTGGAGCGTATTATGGGTACGTGTGTGTGTGATTGGTAATTGTGCTTGTGCATGTGCTTGTTACCAGCAATAAATATGGATATATTAGAAACCAAATGAGAAATCAGTGAATTTGCAATTGACAAAACTTTGCTATTTGCTCTCTCTCTCTCTCTTTTTTTTTGACAGATCGCTGGGTTCACATTCCTTCTGGGCGCGTCTACAATCTATCTTACAACCCTCCACGCGTTCCTGGTCTTGATGATGTTACTGGAGAGGCTTTGTCCAAGAGACCTGATGACTGCCCCGATGTGTTCCGGGTGAGAATGCAACAACACAAGGCCATGACAATGCCTCTACTTGAACACTACAGTCCTATTGTAGCTACCTTGAGAGGAAACACAAGCGATGAGATCTACCCGCAGATCGAGCGTGAGATTGTCAACCGACTGGGCGTCTTGCCTAATCGTCTTGTGACACCTCCTGTATCTGTTTCCAAAGTTGTTTCTACGCTGCAACAACAGAGACGCACGCAGGGAGGTATACTAAACAACGAAACCGAGGCTGTTTCTGTAGGTGCAGCTCAGTAAAATTGAAACAACAGCAACAACAAAAGCCTCCACGATATATCTTTCCAAAACACATCCTTTATTTTCACTTTTATTTCTTATTTCTTTTCTCATTTGTTTTTTGCACAATTTAGTGTACAAATGAGATGTACATTCTTTTCCTTTATGTATCCAACCTACCTCTTATTTAATATTTGAAATTGGGAAGCACAATTATCCACTTTCCCTTTCTTTCGTTCACATACTCTTTTCTCTCTCTCTCTCTCTCTCTCTTTCACACACCCAATCCCTCGATTACTTCCCCTTTCGCTCTACAACCGGCATGAACAGAAACATCATTTGTATCAGATGCCTTTTCCCCGTCTTTTTTCATTATTATTTTTATTTGCTTTGTTCTGTTTGAAAACGAATGCCTATTATATACATATACATATACATATACATATATAAAAATATTATCATCATTGTCATTATTGCTACTATTGAAACATTTGTCAAGTCCTTCCAGAATGACACCACTTTGATTAAAATACATCTCTTAATCTATCTAATGTCGCCTTTTAGACTGAAAATAATCAGCTGATTTTAAGAAAATACCTTGGCTTAAATGAACATCGTTTTCTTTTTATCAGACCAAAAAATATATACACATATACATATATACTGTCAAAAATAAATGGCAATATATTAATGTAGAGATAGAAAACTATGCCTGGATTACCTAAAGCTCATTGTGTTTCCACTATCCCTTTCTACAAAAAAATAAAATAAAAAACCGGGTTCATAACCCTATTTATCATCTCTTTTACGCATGAGATTTAAAAATCAAAAATTTGTCAGCAATACTGTGATTTTCTTTTCTTTTTTGTTTAACACAAGTGAGCCAGCCAATGACCAACAATATTCACTAAGAACAAAGACTTTAGACATAAAGAGTCAAGGCAATTCAACAAGACAATGTAAAGAGAAGACAAATGAATGAATGAATTTAGGGATATTAAAGAACCCTTACGCAGGAAGATAACAAAGTCCAAAGGGATGATATAAAATGTGATGGGGTTTGGGGGCTTATATATTGGATTAAATTCTACACAGAGAATGGGGGGGGGGGGTGCATTGCCAATAAATTAAGTTATCATGTAGACTATAAAAAAAACCCACTATTTGTTGTTGTAAGAGGGCAATATTACCTTACAAAAATTGAAACATTTTTTAGCTTATAAATATTATAAACTTTAATTCTAAAGTTTGTTGGCTATGTTAGCAATTGCTGACCGGGCTTTTCTTTGTTCCGAGATACAAACCCACCTATAGTGTATTTTAGCTTTTTTTTATGGTTCCTGTTCATTATACCCTATACCCAGCAACCCAAAAAAATTACACCAACGAGTCCAATTCATCAGCTTTTTACTCCTTTCTTCTATTACAAGCAAAAGCACACTTGTATACATAGAAAAAAAAGTCTACCATCAAGCCACTCACCTTCCCGCATTATTATTATTATTATTTTTCTTTTTCTTTTATTGCCTTTGCGTCACTCCAATTCTCTTTGTACCCAATTACGCAAGGGAGTGTGAATAGCACCCGTGTTCCGACCGAAATGACGTAGGCACTACACAAAGAGATGGGTGGCTTTTCATTTTCCACTCAACCTTCAAACTCACACTAGCAAACCATTTTCTTTGCTTCCCTTTTTTTTCATTTATCTTTAATTTTCCTTTAACTTTTTTTTCACTTATACAACAATGGACAGACCTGTGATGGATCCTCGTGGCTCTTCTCTGCCACCCCCACCCCCACCTCTGCAGCCATCTCAGCCATCCTCAGATTATCCACCAGCCTTGCGACAAGAGCGCTCTCGTGATCGCTCTTTTTCGCCTCGTCGCCCTTCTTCGCGTTATGATGACCGTCGTTACAGCCGAGACGATGACCGTTACGGCCATCATTCCAGTGGAAGCCGTGGTGATGATCGAGGATATTACAGACGTGACTACTATGACCGTGGTAGCTACAGAGATGAACGTGATTACCCTCGGTCAGACCGCTATGATCGCGGAGGAAGTGGATATTATGACCGCTACGATCGTTACGATGATCGCCGTGGTTATCGTTCCAGCCCACCTCCAAGACCTAGACAATCCAGAAGACCTGTTGACAGGTACATGAACACATAACCATACACGCATATATATACATACAAATTTGCAGATCAATTTTTGCTTTTGCTTTTGCTTTTGTTGTTGCTGCTGCTGCTGCTGCTGCTGCTTTTGGATTTAAATTAAAACGACAACAAAAAAAAAGAAAATTACGCGTGTCTCCGCTAAAAAGTGTACACGTATGCAATTAATCTCACGTTTTATTTATTGTAGAGGAAGTGCAGAAGACAGAAAGTCTTCATCCACCTTGTTTGTTGGAAACCTTCCTTACGCCTATCAAGAGCGTGATGTAAGTATTATTGTATTTATATTTCTTTCTTTCTTTCTTTTTTTTTGGTCAACTAATAACCAATTTCTCTCTATTTTCTTTAATAAGGTTGCTGCCATGTTTGAGCGTTATGGTCGCTTAGCTAAGGTCACTGTTCCTATGGATGTATTGACTAACAAGAACAAAGGGTGAGCCGTTATGTTCTTAGGAGAAAGAAAAAAAACAATTCTATCAGGAGATCTAACAAGATCAAAACATGTTAGTTTTTCTTTTGTGGAGTTTGAGGATCGTAGAGATGCCGAAGATGCGTTTGATAAGTTCCAAGGTTTTAGTGTAGAAGGCCGCCGCCTTAAGCTTGACTGGTATGTATATACAGCCTATTGTTTGCATGATTTGCTGATATATATATATATACTTATCTTATATACGAATCTATTGATAAAATAGGGATATTGGATTGAACAAGAAGGATAATTATCGTGCACCTCGTTACGGAGGCGCTCCCTCAGGCGCTAGTGGTGACGAACCTCCTCTTGATGATGAGCCTCCACGTGAACGGTAACTATCATTGGCCTTTCATGAACACATTATCTTATCTTTTATAGCATTGCCAGTCCTTCTCTGCCTCCTACAGATTCTTGTAAGCCTTAATAATAATACACCCATTTATGTATATGTATATACAACCACATACACCCCACAACCACATATATGTATATGTATATATATATATAATTATATAATACCTATACATACACCTACACACACGCGTGCATACATTTTTACCTGTGCGTCTGTGCGTCTGTGTGTTTATATGTGCCTTTTTCTTTCTTTTCTTTTCTTTTCTTTCTTTTTACAAAATAGTAATTTAATGACATTATAATTGTCTATATAGATGCCCACCAACCACCTATGGAATCGCGTGCTTATAGACGTGGCTCTCCTGATGCCTACCGTCGGTAAAGCATCTTGAGTTGCGCGTTCTTTCCCTTTCCCATTTCAATTCACTGGCGACAACTGAAAAAAAAAATTATGAAGAGAGACAAGGAAGATGAAGATGAAGGAAATGTTATTATGGAATGGAATTTTAGATTTGTTGATGCAGTACTCCTAGTGGACAACCCCCACACTCACACTCACACACAAAAAAATGAGAGGACACAACAGCTATTTGAAGATGAATTATGAACCTAAAATCTATACTGGAACACCATGGGGAAGAAGGCTCGTTTTGCAATGTGGATTTGAATGGCGACGCTGTGGAAGAGAGAGAAAGAGATAAAGAGAACGGCTTAGACGACTTTAAAGAGAGAGCTAAAAGCCGACGTTTTGGGAAGTCACTTAGGACGATAAACATGTTGGATAAGCGGAAGACATTTTATACAACCTGCGTCTGGACCCAATGTCTGGTATACTTCTTTTTATTATTATAATTATTATTCTTTACAGGTAGGTAAGAAAAGAAGGTAGAAGTTCCTTCTTTTTTTTTTATAAAGGATTCCGTAAGTCAGTCAGTCAGTCAGTCAGTCAGTCAGACAGACAAACAGACAGATACATACAGACAGACAGATACAGACATATATATATATGTATATATGTATACACATACATCTATGTGATGTATAAAAGAAAGAATGTGAGAGTATATGAGAATGAAAGGTGAAAAAGTAAGAGGGAATGACGGGGGGAAAGAGTGATAAACAGAAACCTATTTTAACAATAAAAAAAAAGGGAAAGTATTTTTGGGCAGTATGAACAAGTTCAGAAAGATTAAAGGAGAGTACGTCGTACAGGGAAACGAGAGAAGAAATAAGAAAGAGAGACAGTGAGAAAGGGATAGAAAGAATATGCTTCTTTAGATGCCTTCCATGTAGTTTCCTGGCACAAGGCCACGGACTTTAAGCCTGGGGTGTGCAATCTCAACTAACCACCAACCATCTCTTTGTTTGTTAAGAACTGCCATCATATCGCCTTGCTGGAATGTTAATTCGGTTGCGATCTAATAAACATATCAATATCAATATCAATATCAATATTAATATTAATATATTAGGATTTACAAGGTCTATAATAAATTCAACTTACTTTGGCTTCATAAGCCCACAGCGCACGCGCTAATAATTATTAAATAAAAAGTTAGTATATATATATAAATTCTTTGTTAAAATGTGTGTACACATTATATGCATTTTTGTTTAATGTGACAAATCTTACCATAGTGAAGGATAAGTGTGCCATCTGCCAGACGTTGTTCATTCGGTTGTTCCAACTTTGATGGAAGGGCTTGTTCAGGTACAGATGGTTCTTTAGACTTGAACTTATCCTTCTTACTGAACAAGCCAAGTGAGAAACGTTTGCTCTTCGTTCTCTCGGCAAAGTTTCCTCCAGACTCCTTGGGTGCTTTGGCTGCAGCAGATGAATTAGGTCGGCTAAGGTTTGTCGAAGAGTTGCTCATACTTGAGCTAATGCCAGTATTCAGACCAGTGCTCAGGCTGGTCTCTGGCTGAGGAGGGGAATAGGAAGAAAGACTGGGCATGGAAATTCCAGCCTGACTGTGAGTAGGGAATTGGTGCATGCTCTTGCTTTGTGGGAAGGTAGCGTTTTGTGAATCTGTATTGCGAGCATTAGGCCATTCTGAGCGGGTGTTACTTTCTCGTGATCTACTACGTTCCTGAGAAACAGAGGGCTGTACTTGGGTTTGTTTGGGCACAACTGGAGAATGGAGTTGAGCTCGGACGGATGCAATAAGGTTTCTTGCCTCCATAGCAGTAGTGGCAGCAGAAGTATTAGCAGCGGCGGTGGCGGTGGCGGTGGCATTAATATTAGTAGTAGTATTAATTGGATGTGCAGTTGTAGTTGCAGTGGCAGTGGGATTATTATTAGTAGAATAAGGGATATCAATATGGAGTTGTGGATGGGACTTGCGAGACTTGTGGCTAGATACATGTGGTTCAGATACACTGGACTGAACAACCACATCTTGTGGTCTGTGTGTCTTTTCTGCGTAAGGACTGTAACTAGACCGGGGTTGTGTATCGGTAATTTGTTGACTCTGACGTTCAAAGAAATTGTTGTTTTGTACAAGTACAGGTAGTTGTTGTGGGCGACGACTGGACGAGATCATCCATTTTTCCTCCTTGGGCTGTGGTCTAGGGGGTGGAGAATCGTCGTCAGAGTATTCTTCTTCGCTTATGTCTTCTTGATGCGAAACATTGTCGACCCTAGCTACCGGAAGAATGGCAGGAACTGTACTTGGGAAGCTCAGGATTGGGATCTCGTGGAAGCTTGCCTGTGATAGCGGTCGTGAAATCGATCGTGATACTGGACGCGACACCGGGCGTGATGCTGGACGCGATACCGGACGCGATTCTGGGCGCGACACTGGCATGGTTCCGAAGCTTGTAGGTGTTGGACTAAGATGGTGGGCAGAAAGCGGAACTTCTTCATTTTGATTAGAGTCCCTGCTCACTGTGGATTCCAATGAGTCTGTCGAGTGGAAAAAGGCAAAAGGAGGGTCCATGCTCCTGGTGACATTCTCTGGGGCACCATTAACAGTACTGAGGCTGCTGTAGGCGGCAGAAACATCGTCTTTGACAATAGGCTCTTCCTTGATTATAGACTGTTCTTGAACAGGTACAACATTTTCCTTGATATGTGTATATCCCCTTACTGAGTTGTCATCCTTGAAGAAAATATCGTCCTTGGAAAAGATACTGTTCTTTGAGAGAACAGAGGTTTCTTCATCGGAATCAACGCGTTTGACTACAGCGATATCCTCGTTTGCGGAAATGGCATCATAACCTTTGGCAAATACGCCACGTTTTACGGATAAGTCTTCCTTGACAAACGATTCCTCTTCCTTAACAGGCAAATTATCTTTGACGGGGAAGTATTCCTTGATCGATAAGTCCTCCTCTATAAGAGTATCCTCTTTGACAGGAACGTCCACTTTGTCAGGAGAATGGACATAGGCTGTTAAGTCCTCTTTTATAGGAACACTTTTTTCGATAGGCACATCTTCTTTAACAGGCACATCTTCCTTGATAGGCACATCTTCCCTGATAGACACATCTTCCTTGATAGACACATTTTCCTTGATAGACACATCTTCCTTGATAGACACATCTTCCTTGATAAATACATCTTCTTTGATAGGTACATTTTCCTTAACAGGTATATCTTCCTTAACAGGTATATTTTCCTTAACAGGTATATCTTCCTTGATAGGCGCGTCTTCCTTGGTAGGCACGTCTTCCTTGGTAGGCACGTCTTCCTTGGTAGGCACGTCTTCCTTGGTAGGCACGTCTTCCTTGGTAGGCACGTCTTCCTTGATAGGCATAGCTTCCTTGTCATGTACATCGTCTTTGGCAAGTACGCTTTCGGTGGTAGGAACGTCCACATTGATAGGAATGGCATCTTCCAAATGAACACTCTTTTCGACTGCTGTATCTTGTTCCATTAGAGCATGTTCCTTTTTCATGACACTGTCATTGGATATCGCACTAATATCTGTGATGGCACTATCATCCGAGCTGACATGACTATCAGTCGACTTGATCTCGGGCGAGGGCCCAGTGGTATGTGTGGGTTGAGTATCTAATGTCTTTACTCTAGGTGGTAGTTCTGGTGCACGGGCTACTTCTTTTGGTGGGCTAGGATAGCTCTGGTGGATAGATTGAATATCTGAGTGGGAATCCGACTTTGGATTTGGTGGGACATTGCTGTTCAACATGCTTTCTACTTCATTAAATGCGTCAAACATGATATCCTGTTGATTGGTAGTCATTTGAGATGAAGTGTCTGCCTTCCGGGCAGTAGCAGTAGTCGTGGTAGAGACACTAGTAGCGAGAGGGGTCATGTAAACCTGTTGTGCCATAGACTCGTAGGACTCATATTGGAGGAGTTCGATTTCAGGTCGCTGGCCAGTGTATTTTTCTACCAATTTTTCTACATCATTTTCTACATCTATGCCATCAAGTGCGGTACACATGCTTTCACAATTCTAACCCCAACACACAAAACACGCTCAGTTTTAATTTCTGGTCCCCCACATCCGTAACATTCATATCGATTCCAGAACTTACCTCGTTATTGACCAAGTAGACGGTAGAAAGGATCTTTGAGAATCTACAAATAAGGGTGCAGTAGGTTTGGTTAAACAAGATGAACAAGCAAAAAAAAGATAAGAATAATTATTGGTCTATTGAGCATGTATACTCACGTCCAAAGACTACTCTTGATAAATTCGATTCGGGTTTCTTCCATATCTCGAAATTCAATGAATGCTGCCTTCCAATCTATATTATACTTTGAAATCACATCGTTCAGGACATCGACAGCGTCTTTGTATGCAGCATCTAGTATATATATATATATTTCAAATTGATTTTCATTTAGTTTAGTATTTTCTTTTGCTTGCCTTTTTTGTAAACATTTTTTTATCTACCAACTTACCTGCCGCCGCGACCATTTGCTTGGACTCTTCGACATCCTCGTTGATCTGCTGGATATCGTCTTTGGACATACTTCGTCCTCTTTCTGTGAGATATTTCTCCATACCAGCCAATTTGTCGCATTCACCAACGTAGTTGTCTCTGGCCTACAAAACAACAGGATTTCGTCTTTTGTTAGAGCTGAAGAATTATGGTTTAATATGTTGTACCTACACGAAGAACGTTGGCATGGTATGTTTCTTTTAATTGGCGTGAGCTGTCTATTCGTTGTTGTTGCTATATTGTTATGGTTGTTAGAGCACAGGTAATTGGTTTAGTGTGTGTATATTCTTTTAAGTCTATTAAGTTGATGTTGAGTAAAGTTTCTATTTCTTACTGCGAATCCTTCTTCTCGGTGTTCGATCAATAGACTCTCCATAGGTTTTTCGAGATGATGTCTAACTTGATCTCCCAGGTCAATGTGAGCACGTGCAGTGAGTTCCAGAGTGGTTGGGATCTGTGATAATGAATCTGCAAGTGTGCCCTGTTCGCCGTAACCTTCCATGAGATGTTTGAGCTGTAAGAGTCTTTCTCCATAATCTTGTTCTATCTGCGCCCTGGTGAGTTTTAGTGAAGAGGAAGATTTGAGTGAGTTGTTTAATTTTTATTTCTTATGTATATACATTTGAATGCCAATCTTTCTTTCTTTTTTTTTTCTTTACCTGAGCCTGTAATACTCCTTGACATCACTACATGTCTGAAGGGCGTTTTTTATCCTATCCGAAATCACAAAGGTGTCTTTCTATGTTTTGTTTAATAAAACTTGCGTGATAAGATTTTTGTGGTTGCTCTTCCAATTCACCTTTTGTGGCTCGTTTGGGTCATGGTTGCTTGGTAATGATGAACCAAACGTCATTATTTTTTTTTAAATAAAAAAAAATAGAGGGAAAGAGGGGTGCTCCTTAGGCGTTGTTAACGTTTAACAATGAGAATCGATAATGATAATTAAAAATAAAGGGGGTAAGAGAGAGAGAGAGAAAAAAGAGTTAAATATATATAAAAAAAAAAAGAAGAGCCAATAAAAATAATAATATATGAAAATATTAATAAAGTGGAAAGGGTGCCAAGAAAAGTCAGTCAAAAAAATATATATATACATATCCACTTTTACTGGTTATACGGACAATAACCTGACATAAATATGTATATTTTATATTATATATTTCCAAAAGTGTGTCCAATTAACTTGTGAAAAAGGGTAACTTGTATATATATCAAAAAAAAAAGGTATTTTTAGATTAATGAGCCTACATACATATTTATTGGATGGGTCAGAAAATCAATTATAAAAAAGGAAAGAGCTAAAGTAAAAATAAATAAAAAGTATAAATATAAATATAAAATATATATATATATATATATATATAATATAAAAAAATATTGATTTGATTTGATTTGATAGTTAGAGAGATTCTGTGTATATATTTATGTCAAGAGTGCGATTGTGGTTGTGTGAAAGCTCTTCATCTGCACTCGTGTGCTTTTGAGGGAGGGGGGATGGGGGAAGTGTGAAAGAATTATGAAAGAAATAAAAGGGAAGGAAGGACGGACGGACGGACGGATTGTCGGCATTTTAACCCATGACGATATCTTCATTCTAAGCCAATCCGAATAGAGTATTAGGAACATTCTTTTTTTATATATATATATATATATAATAGAAAATTTTAACTTACTGGCACAGCCATATAACTGTCCATCTGAGCATCAAGGTCTTGTTCTGATGCCTTTGGCCGGGTTTCTCTACGCTTGCTAAGACCTCCTCTACCACCACGACGGCCATTGCCGTTGTTGTTGTAGCTGGTGTTATTATTATTATTGTTGTTGTTCTGTCTACGATCCTGGTTACGCAGAGGCTGTCTGGTAGGTTGAGCAACCACGGAACCTACAACTGTAGCAAATGAAATCTTCATTGGGCGACCTGTAAATACACAATGTATATATTTAGTCATATGATTTTTATAAGCACACATAAAATAAAACAAAACAAAATAAAATAAAATAAAAAGGATTATTACCATCAAGTTCTACACTGTTATAAGTAATACGTGCTCTTTCGGCATCGCTAGCCTGGGAAAACACTATATCAGCAATACCGGCTGATCTTCCGGTAGGACCAATGTGTAAAAAGGCTCTCTTGACAGTACCCATTTGTCCAAATAATTCCTATATATTTATAAATATATAAAGCAAAGGTTATGAATATAATGAACTTATAAAATAAAATAAAATAAACAGTCTTGTACTTACGTAGAGATCCTTCTCAGTTACTCTGGGGTGAAGATTGGACACAACAAGATTGTTACGGGGTCCTCGTGCTGCGGGTGCTGGACGGGTTACTGCCATACGAGAGTTTCTTGATACATTCGGCTGATTTTTTTTTGGGCAAAGGTCAGGAAGTGTTTGATGGGGATGTGGAAATGAGGGTGGAGGAAGGGAGAATTGAAAGAGGAGAAGGAGGGGGGTGGTAAGATAGCAAAGGATAGGAAGGGAGGAAGGGAGGAGGGTTGAGTGATTTGTTGAGTGAATCTGTTTTCCACGGATCTTTAACACACAAAAGAGGGGGGAAGGTAAAGAGACGCAGGAAGGATGGTGCAAGAAATGGAGTACTATCCCCCATTCAACCAAAAAAGTCGAAAACAGATCCGAACGCCATTGTCCGCAACGTCTTTTCTCACTCTCACAAGTGCTTCTGGTCTTCACATGCTCTTCCAAGAAAGGGGGGGTCTGCAATGCTCATCTCTACCTCTACTTCTCTCTATCTTTTTTTGCAGTGTCTTTCCTTTGCGTGCGTTGTGGATGTGTGTGTGTTTTTGTGTACGTGTGTGTGTGTGTGTGTAGTGTAGTGTGTAATAAGATACTTGTCAAACATACCGAAAAGCTGTTGTTTCTGGAGGGGCGACCACCTTTCTTCTGAATACCTCCACGTGTAGAACGGTTGTTGTTGTTGTTGCTGTTATTGTTCTTACGGTTCATGCGGTTCTGGGAGATAACCTCATCGAGTGACATATCAAGGGGGCCGGTAGCGATTGACATAATGTTAAGATTGATGAAGAAACAGATAGATGAGGAAAAAAGCGACTTGGCGTGGGATGGAGGGGGGTGGAGAAGATAACACTTCGGTTCTACGTCACCAGTATGTAAACCCCGATGCTCTCACACTAAACCAATCAGAGGATGAGAAGGACTGCGATCAGACTGCAGTTGCAATAAATACACATAAAAATAGTACAGTATAATGTTGTAACTTGAGACTGGGACGATTCTGCATTTTTTTTTACACCAATCAAATGATCTTATTGAGGAGTAATACAGTGATTTTTTTTTATGAAACAAACCAATGTCTCCATAAGTTGAAACCATGTCTGCTTATATTCTTTAAGGCATTCAACTGCCTTATCTTTAAACTAGCCTCTCTTCGCGTTTATATATCCTAAAATGGCTCTTACCTACATTTAGAGACCTTGAGACCTTGAGACCTTGAGAGCCAACATGCTTAACTCCTTTAACTGAAGGAACCGTCTAATACCCCATTACATAGATCTTGGGGAGGAAGAGAGGCATGATGTTACACACAATAGCAGTGAGTAAGTAGTTCGGCAAGTGTTTCTAATTGTGGCCATCAATACACTCTGTTCATCAAGCATTTATTTTTGTTGAATATGTGTAACACCATGTTCCTCAAGATTTACGCATTCTAAATACCAAATCATTTATTACATACGGCTTGGCAACGCCACTGGCAGCCTATAATTTTTGATGGGATGATACTGTTTAGCCTATATGCAGGTCTATACTGATAGTAACCATATATATATATATTAGAGAAATTCTACGAAATCAAGAATATAACTTCTTTAACTCTCTTATCCTAACTTGTACGGTTTCACTTGTGCATATCTGAAAGCTTAGCAATAAAAATTTCTGACCTTTTGAAAAGACAGAGTACATTTACTAGATACTGAAATGTTGACTCCAATATATTTTGGGCTTGAATATTATTGTTGTCACTTATACTTAAAAAGAGAGTGAGACACCTCAGCACATAACCTTATGTTTGGTCTCTCTCTATATCTTTAAGACAAGTCGGCCTCTAACCAAAAGTGCAAACAGGTAATGAATACTTGAATTGATAACAGTATAAAAAGCACATGAGAAACTTGAGCAAGAAATATTATTATAGATGTTAGAAGATAGGTATACAAAGTATGAAGTAAAAAAGAAAAGAGAAAAACTCAACCACATGGAGGCTATGATTGCTACTTTATTTGAACTAAACATTTTCGTTTTTATTTTATAAGCGTAAAATATTTACATAAACTTTGACAAATTGGTTCTTTCTTTTCGGCCGTGATTTTTTGCTTCTTTAAATACTCCCTATGTAGATACTGGTCTATCTCGTATAAATATAATCAATCACTGAATTTCATCTTAAATTGAGTATTGAGGAGACGCAGAACGGTAAGAAAGCCCAAGTTGTGTAAAAATAAATAAATAAATAAATAGACAGCATATTTATAAGCCAAAGATTTGAGCTAGAAAATAGACGCTCTTTTTTTTTAAAAAAAAAAAAACATGCAATGTACCTTGTACAAAAAAGATATTAGGACCATGGCTTAACCTCAGAAGTTGTTTTTATTTGCGCCTAAATGTTCTGACCCGGAAGATAGAATACGTTCTTGTATATCAGCAATAAATATATCGCTTGTGATTGTATCCCTATTCAGATATATTGACGCGAATAATTGCATGAAAAGATAAATACATATATACTTAATAAATCATTTATCTTAATATATATATATATATTAGGTATATAGGGTTTTCATGAATTTCAAAGGTATTTCAAAAATGCTTTGTCCTCTAGATATTCCTGGGTATGTCTTGTAATATATTCCAGTACAATTTTGAAAAGTCTACTACAGATGTGGAAATATATATGCGCACACACACAAGGGTATTATTATTATTATTAAGAAAGAATGAAAAGTTTCAGTACAAAGATACAGGAAAGCGTTAGATAATGTATAAGCATATAAATGAACTTACCGTTATGAAATTAAACGAGTCGTGGAAATTTGCACTTTCTGCTCAGTGTCTTCTCCTCCTATGGCCCTGATCAAGGACACAGCATATTTTCATATCTCTCGTCTATATCCACTAACCGCAAAGGAAGTATCGTTCAACTCAGGAATGCCTCCCCTTGGTGCAGGATAGTCCAAAAAGGACTTGAGGGGAGACACAAACTTCTCGCGACACAGCGTGTTTGTAACACATCAGAAACTGCCGATAGTTTTCTTTTTTTTATTATTATTATCATATTTGCACGCCTAAATACACCGTCTCGACCCTCCACATTTCATAATTACCACGCCAACAATAAGGCTGTCATAGTATGGCAGTACTTCATTACGAAGAAGAAGAAAAAGGCCCGATTCAGAGAGTGATTTTTTGAAAAAGTTCATAAACATTTTTCAAAAGTGTCCTCTGAATATCCCCTCTTTTTTTCTCTCTTGTAGTCCTTTTGCCCCAGTTCTTTCGAGGTATTTTATCAAATTCATTTTAACAGGGCGAAAAACCATGAGGTCATCAGAAAGGAAGAATGTGTATTCTTTCAAGAAGAGCTCTTTGGGCTTATAAATTATTCGGCAATGCTTTACTATAAGGAAAGAGGAGAGTTAACTCCTCGTCATCCCCCCTTTTTTTATTTTATTTTATTTTCCTGGGAATATATAGTACAACGAGGTTGGTTTATGGTTTGTTTGTTTTTTTTTAAAAAAAAAAGTAGAGATTCAACATTTTACCAGTGCCTTTTGGTGTTGGAGTGTATAGAAGCTCATATCTACACCTACAAACATAACCATTAAGCAACTGGAATTCTTATTACAAGACTGGTTAACTCAAGTAAGATTTTATTGGCTTATATATTCATATATTGCTGTAAAACTATTTTTCTTTAAAAAAATACATGTGTTTGAACAAAGGTTGTTGCTTTTAAAGTAAATGAATAGATAAATCGCATATATTTTGAGATATTTAATAGAAAGAAAGAAAAAGGGTGCTTTGTGTTTATCACTTGCAATACATATTGTGCGTTCAAAGAAAGAAAATAGATAGATAAAATAGGTAAGGTAGATAAGGTGGATAAATGAATAAATGGATATATATATATGAATGTACGTATGGGAGTGCGTGAGAGTGTGGGCATGTGTAAAGAAAAAATAAGACTAAAAAGAAAAACTATGTCCACTTGGTGTGGTGACTAGAACTGCTGTAGACTGACTTCCATCAAAAACAGGCTCCATGCTATATCCAAGAGGAAGAAATATATTGAATCCAGATATAAGGGATGGGTTGCCTTGGAATATAATCAGAACTCTTTCAATCATATCTAGTGTGTCAATCCTGCGATAGTATAAGTTAATTCACGTCAACGGTGGCCCATAAATCTAGTGGTAGATTACATTTGTCTTTTGTAGTCCATCATGATATCCAGAAATCGGTTGTAATTGTATGGTTGGGTAGAAAATGTAGACTTGAGTAGATCAATATAAAGCGGCGCATCGCGACTTTTCCAGGATCGACGATATTCTTGTGAGGACATTTGGGTTATTGAATTGGTTGTATATAGCTCTTGTTGATTTGCTTGTGGGTGTGTTGAAGAGTGAATAGATAACTGTGAAAGGGTAGAGATCAGCATAGACACCATTGGTGGTTTAGGAGATCCAACAGAGGATGATCGAATACTATATATTTAAAGGTAGTTAGAAAATAAACTTATATATATATATTTATGGCTGCAGTAGCTTACAGAAGACTTTGATATTGTGGATGGTCTATATTAGACATGGAAAGGAATGTGAGTAGAAAAGATAATTGTCGAGTTTTTGTCTTTGAGCTTAGATATCCAGTTAATCTCAGCCCTTTCAAGCCTCGAGAATTCCTTTAGCCACTTTGACCGCAAGGATCTTTATCAAATAACAGCAATAAATAATAAGAATAAGAATCATAGGAATCATAATAAGAATAAGAATAATAATAAGAATAAGAATTCACGCAGGCTCATCTCTTATTTTTCATCATGTTTAGGTTCCAGAGTCTTACTGGACCAATCAATATTCTATTTCACATGAGGTTACGATGGCCACACTAACTAACAATGATGCCACAATACGGTTATTGGTGCTATTGATATTTCTTTTTTGTATATATATATATATATAAAAACAACAACAACAAAGTATAATATTGGTACACAGTAATGTAAATCTATTGATTTTTGACAGACAAGTCAAAGAAGTACAATATATTGATAGGCTTAAATCGATTATTATTAATTTATTAAATAGAAGAACAATATATTATTTGACAGGTTGGCTAATAGTAATTGTACATGGTAGGACAGGCGTTTAATTCCTTATCTTTTCTTTTTTTTTGTACACACACACACATACACAAATCGACACCAATATTTTGATAATTTTCACAAGGACCTATTCAATTTTATATAGATTAGTATTACTACCAGTGCAGTTAGATCAGGTTCAGCTCATGCACAAGATCGACGTGTATAATTACGATCGCGCATATCTTATGATAAGAATACGTTCATCAATAAAACCCAAGAACATAAGAAATACATTTGAGTGTATTTAGGTGAGAAGAAAGTTGGGATATATACGCTCAAGAGGATCAATACTTTAGACAAGATGTAAAATAGAAATATAGTCTTTTGCTTATAAATTTATCAGTCAGTCAGTCAGTTAATAAAGATTCTTTTGAAATAACTCTGCATTGAATTAGGGTTTGTCTTCTTTGTTTATTCTGTCAAGTATTTATATTTTATATTTTATTTTACTATAGCTTTTAGCCTATGACCTCTGTCCTGCCACAAAAAGAAAACACACATACCAAGCCAAGTACTTTTATATACATATAATATTTACTTTTTTTTTATTGTACAATATTCTACGGCAAAGCCTCAAACAGCCTTTTGTAGGAGTAAGATTGATTAAGGGTCTTTGCGGCTTGACTTGGTTTGATTGGTCTACAGTATTTTTCTCAGAAATTAGATTATTTCAAAAAAGAAAAAAAAGAATACGCTAATTTTAGGGGGACGACGTTTTGATTCTACCGAACCACAAATCGTGACCTTTTTGCCGACATAGAATAGCTTCTATCTGGTCCCTAAGAATTGATTCTTACTATAATAATTAATACAATCCAGGATACAAAATACTCATAATGAAAGACAAAAACACGATAAGTATAGGAAGGCCAATAAATAGTAAAAAAAAAAAAAATCAAACAAGTGTTCCACAATTTAATGAAAACAGCTCCTTATAATCTTCTGGATAACTGACTATTGGTATAGTGTATTTATGATTAATTATGATTTTTTTGTATTGTTAAATCTAAATTTAAGGCTACTGATTGAATATACAGGACTTGATTTTTGTATGAGACAGAATTTTATTATTAAATTGATCAAAGACAGGCCGTACTTCCTAAAAAAGTGAGAGAGAAATAAGCATAAAGTGTGGGGACAAGGTAGTAAAGCTAATGTGCACAATGGATATATTATGTGTGTTTTTTAGGACACGCCATTTTGCCCTGAAGGATTAGATAAAGACACCGGGTTCCGGACAGATAGTCACAATTAATTCGTCTGGTTAGATATAAACGTCGTCCCTGTAAGATTGCTGAAACTGATCTGACACTACATACATATTTGTTGTGATAAACATATATGTATAAAGATCTAATTTATGTGCTGATCATTTCTTGCCACGTAATTTACATCGTACTTGTCACTGAAATTTTAGCAATTCCACCTGTCATAATTTTTGGATCATGTAATTAATTATGTGATATGACTGTTAATGTTGGTATATACATACATTTAGTTACATTTCAAGTAGTAATCTTGAGTGCATTGGCTATTCAATTTTAACAATCATTATTATTATCAAGATGTACAATTAACCAAATGTAAACTATAAATATGTCTTCAGGAGCGAATAAGTACAAGTACAAATACATGTACAGTACTGTTCTCCTTTGATTTTAACCCCTCCTTTTTTTGAAACAATTAAATTAGATTTAACTCTACTTTACACACCTACACACTGTACATATATATGTATATATGTACACGCATTGAGAATAGTCAAACGGGGAGCCTCGAGTAAATAATATTGTATGAAAAGAGTTGACTTCTTTGAACTCTTTTGCTCAATGTTTGGTACTTTTATAATACAATATATACATATTGGGTGCAAAGATTTAGTGCAAAAATGCAAAAAAAAGAAATGTACAATGGGTTTACATCAAGCAAGTCTACCTATATTGACTGATTGATCGAGTGCGTGACTGTGATAGATCAACTTGTTTCCTCTCCACTTTAAACTTGATTTTGTATTATTCTATTTTATACTTATTCATTCAGTCATTGCCACATCTCCATCATGCCCTATATTATCGAGGTATAAAAAAAAAAGAAAAATAAGAAGAAGAAAGGAGAATTAAAGGCTTGATAAATAAGAATAGATAGAAATCCTAATGATTTTTTTATTATAACTAAATATACGCGTTCACACACACACACGTACACATGTACATATATATATATATATACAGTATGCAAAGGTAAGAACTATATCATACCTGCCTGGGTTTATCTTATAATATGACACATAATATATAATATATGATATATCCAGTCAAACCGCTCGAAATGCAAAGGTCCCAAGACACTTTGTCACCGTGAAGACCGTACAATTCGCGTAAGTTGAGCAATTTAGCAAGCAAATATAGATATATCACTATTATGACTTGTATATAAATTTAATCATGTTTATATATATATATATATATATATATATATATATATATAATCTAGCAAGGTGAATTGCGAATGGGTGTAGAAGTTGAAAGTGGCAAATACACCGGAACATCATGGAAGCATTGGTATACATTATTTATTTATTTTTTTAAAAAAGGAATCCATTTTATTGATTTTTTTTTAATATATTGAGTACAGGACTTGCGTGACTCCAAAGGTCATTGAAAACATGAAGGCCAGTTTGAGTGATCCTTCTGAGATTGAAGGATGGGACAGTCTTCGTGAAGAAGATGTCGAGAAGATTGAAAAGGCTTGGGAAGATGGAGAGATTCCTGAAGAAGATAGACCCGCCAAGGAAGAAAAGAACGAGGCAGAAAAAGACGATGAAGAAGAGTAAGGAAGATATATATATATATACGTGCGCTTTATTAAGAAAGGGGCCAAATGAGAAGAAGAAGGTTAATCTGTATGTGTGTATGGATTAGAGATGAAAAGGTAGCAAAGAAGCCAACCAAGAAGGCAAAGGCAACCAAGGCAACCAAGGCAGCAAATGAAGAAAAGGAAGAAAAGGAAGAGAAGCCAGCCAAGAAGGCAAAGGCAACAAAGGCAACAAAGGCAACAAAGGCAGAGAAGCCTACTGCACAGAAGCGAAAGGCAGAAAAGAAAGAGAAGCCTGCTGCACAGAAGCGAAAGACAAACTAGGTCTAGGTCTAGTAAATAAAATAGGTTCACTAGCTTAAATATTGGTACAAAAAGTAATCAGAACAATAATGAATAATACATAATAAGACATAATAAATATGTAAAGATTAATATATATAAATATAAATATATAATTAGTTTGTGTGCATTGATGACGTGCTGATATATAAAGATTAATCATCTTATATAAAGACATGTGTTTTGGATATAGGATTCTAATCAGGAATAACACACCTTTATCAAATAGTGTTGGATTTGTAAAAGGTGGTCATTTTGTTTGATTTTTGTTGTTGTTTTTGAAAAGGGAATATTTTGCTTTCATCTTTGATTTGTCTTTTCATAGACTTCACTCATCAAATCCCACTCATTGTCCAATAGCCTAGAGTGCTCCATGCGAGCCAATTTTTCTTCATCCTCAAGTTCGTCTGCCATATCTTGGGTCATAGGTTGGGGTGTTGGGGCTAGACTGTCTTCGTGGATTTTCTTGACTAGGTCCTTGATGAATCGGTCAATGCGAAGGTGGAACCCAAACAAGAGCATGTGTGACACCCGTATCATTGGCTTCTTGATGATACCTTGCTCGGTGATCTTGAGCATGACCTTGGTGTCAGCCAGCTGGATCTCAAAAGACCAAGATCCAGAGAACGTTGATTTGTGTCGTTCGGCTGAGGTTGATCTTTCTTCAAGGATACGGACCAGTGTGCGTTGAGGTTCTTGTTCGACATGGATCACAGTCCGCTTCTTTTGTTTGGAGTATTCGGTAAAAATCAATCGTTTACCCTGATCGGTGTCTTGTGTCTTAGGGCTCACGGTGACGCTTTCGAGTTTCGGTTGCCAGGAAGGATATGCCTGGACGTTTGTCAAGATCTTCCAGAGCTTTTCAGGCGTAGTGTCCAAGGTAACTGTACGAGACACGATATGACTGGCAGGTAACAAGAGACCGATGACATAGATCAGCAATGGGATTGTAGGCAGAACACATAGAATGATGATGATGGTGGTCAAAACTGACATTATGGAAATCAAGTATTCTTTCTTTCCTCTTCTTATTATTCTTCTTCTTATGCTTATGCTTATTAATGCTGATATTAATACTTCTTATAAATATTAAATAAGAAATAAAATAAGAAATGAAATAAAATAAAATAAAGTAAAATTAAAATAAGCAACCAAGTAAAAATCAATATAAAATCAAGTTTTGGATTTTATTATTATTGACATTATAAGTATTATTATTATTATTATTATTATTATTAAAAGTATTATTTATTTGCATTCTTTGTTTTCACTATATAAAAAAAAATCATCACCAAAATAATCAAAACAGGTTGGTTTACTGTGTAACATGTGACTTTTTTATACACCATCTAAAATAAAATGAACGCATTTCAAAAGCCATGACCGACGTAACCAACGCAAAGATGATGGCACAAAAAAAAACCAAACCAAATCAAAACAAACAAATACAAACAAGTTCATCTATTTTTATTTAGATTTATTTATATATAAAAATAAATGTTTCAAATGTTTCAAATATTTCAGCTTTTGATACTATTTTGCTATTATTTGAAATTAAATTAAATTAAATTAAATTAAATTAAATAAAATAAAATTATTATTATTATTAGAATGCATACTTAGAGAGAGAGAGAGATAGATCTTTGAAATAATCTAAATAGATAAAAGCCATACAGAGCAAAAAAAAAAAGATTATTGTACAGAGTATGCGCAAACATATTTAGCTTAATAGTAATCTATATGTATGTATGTATGTATGTATGTATTTATGTACATAGAGATAGATAGGTAGATAGGTAGATAGTATAGATAGGATAGATATATAAAGTTCTATATAAATGATTTAATAAAAACTATTTTGTATTTTGTATACTTTCATTATCCTTGTTAATCCATAGGGTCTATCTTCTCTCCTCCTCTATTCCAAATCTCTCTCCCCCCTCTTCTATGCCTATCTCTCCTTCTGGTTATCATACACACACCCAAATACACCCAAATACACACAAATACACACACCCAAAACAGACACATATTCATACAACGCAAAACCTATATATTTTCATAATATGAGAAACAAGGAGATGATGGATTGGATAAGGAAAAAAAAAATCGCTGATTGTGTAAAGGGACTGTGTTTTACCCTCAAATTTTTAGGATTCAGCTAATAAAGAAAAAAAAAAGAAAAAAAAAAGATAGAAAAAAAAAAATCATATCAAATTCGAATTAGTCACCTCTTCCCTCACTCCTCCTCCCCTTTCTTGCATTACCGCTTCCATCAATCCCTTTTCATCTTCATTTGCATTCTCCCTTAGACTCATATAGATGATGGTAGCCGCAATCAATGATGCAGCCACAAACATTGCCAATCTCCTGAAGCAGATCAACACCGCACCCACCTCCGAGGAGGTCGACAAGGCTGCCCGCGATCTTGCCAAGACGATCAAAGAAGGGGGCATCATCATGCTCAAGCATCACACCGTCCTCGAAAAGTTGGAACAGTCTTGCAAGAACAAAAAGTCTGGTTTGGAGAGAGAAGGTGGTCTTATTGGCTTCAATGCCCTCATTGAGGTAATGGGTCATCAGATTGAACCCATCATGATCAACTACCTCGGTCTCTTCCTGGAGATGTATTCCGACAAGGGCGCAGTTGTTCAAGAGGCCGCTCAGCAGGCTGCCGAAGCTCTGGTCTCCATGATCCCTGCCGAAGCCACCAAGATCCTTTTGCCAGTCCTCTTTGAAGCCATGGGTGTTAATGTGTCCGGCGGTAAGGCTCCTTCCAAAAAGTGGCAGACAAAGGTCGGCGCCCTCAAGCTTCTCAAGTCCTTCACCGGCCACGCCACCGAACAGATCGGTGAGGCCCTGCCAACCATCATTCCCGTCATCTCAAACTGTCTGTCCGACACCAAGGCTGAGGTCGCCACTGCTGCCCAGGCCACCATGATGACCGTCTGCTCTGTTGGTGGTAACCCCGATATCGAACGCCATCTCAAGGACCTTGTGCTCTGCATGGGTGATCCCTCCCGTGTAGGCAAGACAATCGAGAAGCTCGCTGCCACAACCTTTGTCGCAGAAGTCAACGGCCCAACCCTGGCCATCACAGTCCCTCTCTTGACCCGTGCTCTCAACGAACGCTCGACCCTCGTTCTCCGTCAGACCGTCATCATCACAGACAATCTCTGCAAGCTCGTCCGTGACCCCCGTACTGCAGCCCAGTTCTTGCCCCAGCTCTACCCCGGTGTCGATCGCCAGGCTGAAACTGCCGCATTCCCCGAAATCCGTGCTCTCGCCAACCATGCCAAGCAGACCCTCATTGATGCTGGTGGTGTAAAGGACAAGTCGGATGCCGAAGGTACTGAAGATGATGTTGTGGTCGTCTCTGCCGATGAAGCCATCAAGGCCGTCAGAACCGAGGCCACAAAGGTCCAGGGCTTCGTCGACTCTTACTTCAATTCCGTCATCACCTACGTTGGCACCATCGCTGCCGACTTTGTCCGTCAGGAGAACTTTGTCGAAGCCACCTGGATCGAGAAGCTCTCTGATTACCTCGCTGCTTTCCTTATCAAGTCTGACTCCCAAAAGGTTTTGGAAGGCGTTTATGCTCTCTGCCAGAAACTGTTCAAGGAGCGCGCTGGCTCGGTTGACGACAGTGCATTCGACGAGCAGGAAGGTGAAGAACTCTGCCGTGTGGACGACTTCTCTCTTGCCTACGGTACCCGTCTCTTGCTCAGTCACACCAAGCTCAAGTTCCATCGTGGCCAGCGTTATGGTCTGTGTGGTACCAACGGTGCAGGAAAGTCCACTCTCATGCGTGCAATTCATCAGGGTAAGGTAGAGGGTTTCCCATCCCAAGATGAGGTCAAGACCGCCTTTGTCGACTACGCCAACCAGGGTGCCGACACCTCCCTGACCATCGTCAAGTATGTCGCCGCTGACCACCAGATGAAGGACATCCCCCATTCCGAAATCGAGAAGAGTCTGCGCATGGTCGGCTTTGATGATGATCGTCTCGCTCAACCCGTCGCCGCCTTGTCTGGTGGTTGGAAGATGAAGCTCGAGTTGGCCCGTGCCATTCTCTCAAAGGCCGATATCTTGTTGTTGGACGAACCTACTAACCATTTGGACGTTGATAACATCAAGTGGCTCGAGCAGTACCTCGTCAGCCAGACCCATGTCACCTGTCTCATTGTCTCTCACGACTCTGGATTCCTCGACAATGTCTGCACTCAGATCCTCCACTACGAGAAGAAGAAGCTCCGTCTTTACCATGGTAACCTTTCCAAGTTCGTCGAAGTCCATCCTCCTGCCCGTATCTACTACAACCTCGACGCTTCGGATGTCAAGTTCTCCTTCCCCAAGCCTTCAGTCCTCCAGGGTGTCCGCAGTAACACCAAGGCCATTCTCAAGATGACCGGCTGTACTTACACCTACCCCGGCGCTGAGAAGCCCTCCCTTGTTGATGCCAGTGCATCACTCTCGCTTTCTTCCCGCGTTGCCGTCGTTGGTCCCAACGGTGCCGGAAAGTCTACCATGATCAAGTTGTTGACTGGTGAGTCCATTCCCCAGATCGGTACTGTCTGGCGTCACCCTGCTCTCCGTATTGGTTACGTTGCCCAGCACGCTTTCCACCATTTGGAACAGCACTTGGAAAAGACTCCTATGGACTATCTTCAGTGGCGTTATTCCACCGGTGAGGATAAGGAAGTTCTTGAGAAGGAGAGTCGCAAGTGGACCGAAGATGAGGCCAAGCAGATGGAGAAACCTATTGAAATTGAAGGCAGCATGCGTCAGATTGAGGTAAGAAACCATCTATATACACAAGCTCCCCAAAAAAAACATTTACAGATTTACTAATATACATTTTTCTATAGTGCATTCTTGGTCGTTCCAAGCTGAAGAAAACATTCCAGTATGAAATCAAGTGGAAGAACCTTCGTCACAAGTTCAACACCTGGTTCTCTCGCGAGAAGTTGCTCGAACTTGGTTTCCAGAAGCTTGTCCAGCAGTTCGATGACAAGGAAGCTTCGCGTGAAGGTCTCCTTTACCGTGAACTCAATGTGCCTTCGATCCGTCAGCACTACGCCGATATCGGTCTGGATGCCGACATTGCCCAGTACAGCAAGATGGGTGAGCTCAGTGGTGGACAAAAGGTCAAGGTCGTCATTGCCGCTGCCATGTGGAACAACTCTCACATGCTGGTTCTTGATGAGCCTACTAACTTTTTGGATCGTGAGGCTCTCGGTGGTCTGGCTACTGCTATCAAGACTTGGGAAGGTGCTGTTGTTATGATTTCCCATTCCAAAGAATTCGTTTCCGCACTCTGCCCAGAAACCTGGAAGCTCGAGGGTGGCAAACTTTACAAGGACGGAAAGTCTGCTGTCGAGGACGAGAAGCAGGTTGATGATGCTGCTGTCAAGGCCAAGTTGAGCAAGAAGAAGAAGAAGACCAGAAACGAGGTCAAGGACCAAGAAATCCGCCGTCGTGCTCGCCATCTGAAGTGGTTGATCGAAGGTGGTGCCAAGGAGCCTGATACCGACAGCGACTAAAACAAAAAAAAAACCCCCCAAGAACCCAAGAACCCAAAAAAAAGCAAGCATATAACAAGTATTTACTTTGTATGCTTGTTTTTGTTTGTTACAGTACCGCTTTTCTTCTTTATACTATTCTCTTACCGAATAACCAAAAAATCCCTTTGTTCTTATTTCTTTTTTTTATCTTTATTTCGTTTACTCACTCACACACATACTCTCTCTCTCTCTCTGTCACACACACACACACTTATTCACTTTCGCTCTCTGTTTTCTTTCATCTTATATTACTCATATTAAAATGCCTGCATTCTTTGTTCCTGTCACTTTTGATATGTCTTGGCTTTATTGCTTATTCCTATTTTTCCCTCTCTTTTCATTACTCACAATTTATAGATAGATAGACTTTCATGTTCAATAATAATGATATTGTCATTTAACATAATCATTTTGTTTACACAACCAATTGTCTTGTTCTTTACTTCTGTTTGGCTTGGCTTGGCTTGGTTTGGTTTGGTTTGATTTATTTGACAAAAAGAAAGAAAGAGAAAAATAAGTATATGCTATGGACAATATATGTATAGTTTGTGTAATAATAATATATATATATTACATCTAGAATATATATATATATAAAAAAGAAAGGCAAAAAAAGCAAGGCAAAGAATGAAGAAGAAAAAAGATAAATGATAAAAATCAAGCAAAGAATATATATAATAGCGAAAAGTCTATGTTGCATTGTGGGGTCCCAGCGTGCCAGTTGCCCATCGTTTTGGAGTTGAGATTGGTGAAGGAGGCCTATAGGGTCCTTGAGGTAGATGTGGATGATGAAGATCGGACAAGTTGTTATTGTCGTGGGGGTGATAATGATGCTGGGTAGGTGGTGTGTTGTCAGGAGCACATCGCATAGCTAAACCACTTGGTGGTATTGCTCCGAGTGGGCTTGCCTTTGAGACGGCTGGGGAGTTGTGGGTTCTGGCTTGCATGTCTTCATTGGAATCCAAAAGAGCGGCAATGGATGGTGATTGCCGTGCATCTGCCGCCCCAGAACCAGCACCAGCAGCAGCCGTATCAGCAGTTTTTCCGGAATCTGCCTCAATAATTTTCCATCTTTCACGGCATTGGTATGCTGACCGACCTACCTTGCTAGAAACCTCTTTCCAGCTGTCTGTACCATAAGCATCTACTGCTTGTCTCAAAAGATCATCCTGATCTTTAGTCCACAAAGCTGGGCGCGCTTTCTTAGATGCGGGCTCTCCCGTTTGTTGCTTTTGTTTCGATTTTTTAACCTCTTGCTTGAGCTCTAAAAGGATGATTGTAAATAAATATATATTCCTACATATACATATACACATGCCTATTCATTCATTCCTCTATTGACTAACTCACTAACTCATATATATATATATATATCTGTGGATTTTCATCTCACGTTCCTCAGTTAAAGAATAAAAACAAAAAGCGAAAAATCCATCTGCCTACCCACCTTTGTCTGATTTTGGAAACTCGAGGTTAGGAATTGATAATAAAGTATTTGCTAGGTCAATTGAACGCTTTGATCTTTTTTGATCTTCGCACGGTTTGTCCTCCAGATCGTTTGCTGCGCTTGACATGGACAACGGTGATTTTGGTGCAGTTTCATTTTCTGTGAGATGTCTTGGAATCGCATCTTTAGGTTTGTCAGGCTTATCTTTGTTAAAATCAGGGTCACTCAGCATTTGGTCAGCCACAATTCCCAAGCTATCCAAAGCTGATAAGGTATGGGGCCGTATATCACTACGCATCTTTGGTGAGTATTGTTGCTGGAAAAGGTATGGTGGGCCTTTGCGCCGTTGTTTTCCAAAAGTCGGTGAACGAACGACGATCGAAGGTGGTTGAAATGCTTCAGAAAAGTGATGGTTGTGGCTCTGATTATGATTATGATTCTGGTGCTGGTGCTGGTGCTGGTACTGGTTCTGATGTTGGTACTGGTACTGGTAGTGATGGTTTTGGTAAGATTCCAAAGCTTCGTGTAGGTAGTCCAACTCTGCGTCTCGTGCCGAAAGCCGTAGATGGGCCAGATGAAGTTTGCGCCGAAAAACCACACGCTCTTTTAACAGTGTTTCTTTATCCAATTTAGAATCCTATATAAAGATTTAATAATCATACTTTGTTAATACTTTTCTTTTCTTATTTTCTTCTCTTTTTGACATGTGTATATAAAAAAATATGTACGATAATAAACCGTAAACTTAATAACTACCTCGGCTGATACTTCCATCGTCTCGATTCTCTGTAGTGTTCCACTCAATCTTTTGAGTTTTCTGGCTAGAGCCTCGGTATCTTTGTGTGACATTCTAACCTCGGCAAGATAACGAAGTCGCTGCTCATTTTCCTGTGTAAAAAAAACAATAGAACGCCAAATTCACAAGTTATTATCATTATCACTATTTTCATCGTTACTATCATTAAATCAAATAATAAATAATATTAATAATAATAGTAAAAAAAGAAAAAAGAAAAGAAGAATTGGATGAGAGACTTGCAGACATCAGGTAGATATTTCGCATAGTTTCCATGGCTTGTACGTCTACTGAGCCAGCTTGGGACTGTTGTTGTAGCTGGGCTGCCTGAGACTGGATAATGGCCTCGAGGTATCTCTGTCGATCTAAACTATCCTTGAGCTGTAAATTATAAATTAATATTATATTGGCATAAATACACACACACACAAGCACGCGTACACACGAAAGTACTCACATACATCTGTGTATGCGTGTGTGTGTGTGTGCTTAATTCAATATAGCCAAAAGTCAAGTACCTCACGACGTAGTTCTTCTGTTGAACCCATTCTGTTCCATGTGTCGTTTGGAAATGGAGTGGCATACTCGCACTAGGTAAAAGTAGAAGAAGAAGAAAAAAAGTACAATTCAATTCGATCCAATCCAATTCAATTCAAATGATTATTATATTCTTTCGTTTAAGAATAAGCTCTTACTGGATATTGAAGGGTTGATGGGATAGATATTGGCTCTGTTTGTGGATCTGTGGTGAGAAAAGACCGTGGATGCGTCCTGGGTGAATATGGATGATCTCCGCTCACAGACGGAATTCCAAATAGCTCAGCGTGTGACCGGGCAAAAGGCTGTTGGTGCTGCTGGTGCTGCTGCGGAGAATGCATTGCATGATCCTGATTGACAGCTGGTGACAAGGTAGACCGTGCTGCGTGCATTTGTGCTTGTAATTGTGCTTGTGCTTGTGCTTGTGCTTGTGCATGGGCATGGGCATGAGCATGAGCTTGGGCTTGGGCTTGGGCGTGCTCTTGTGTTTGGATCATGGACGGTGCAGATGCTCCTAGCATTGACTGTCCCCCTGGTAGTAATGATGGATTTAATGATGATACTGGTACTGCTGCATTTAGATTGTTTGGTTTACAAGTTGGATCGTCTAAGAGTACAAGATCGATTTTCCATTTTGCATGTTCTCCCCACTTTTCAATCTTTTGTGTTGTTGTTGTAATAATTTTAGTAGTAGAAAAATTGTATACATGTATAATTTAATAAAGGAGAGACGAATGAAAGTTAATCATAAAATATGTATATGAAAATTGTGCTTCTTTATTTCTTTGTGCTTCATTTGCCTCTATATTTTCTCTCTCTTCCTCTTCCTTTACTTTATTATTATTATTTTTTAATTTTTTTTTAGTCGCATTATATTTCTTTTATATATTTTACCTGTTGGCGCACGGACTGTAGAATTGCATTAAGTTGGTCGGGAGAAGTAGTCGCGTCTGATTTTTGTGGTTCGGGTGGGTGGATCGAGTTATTGGTTTGTCTAACGGTGGCTGGCTGCATCACTGCTCTTGGTTATCGAGAATAACCCGGTAGAGATGATGAAGAAGGTGAAATCGATAGTCTTGTGATTGTGGCTGTGGTTGAATAAACCAACAAACAAGCAAACAAGCAAACAAGCAAAATCAGCAAAAAATGTAATAATAAAAAAAAAGAGGCAAAAAATAAATTGGAGAATTACTATCCAACAACAAGAAGCTTATTATTTTAACTATTATTAATGATGGATAAAGAAGTTCTTTTGCTTAAGAAAAATAATATATATTTATATGTGTATATATATGTGCGTGTGTGTGTATGCGTGTGTGCGTTTGTGTTGTCCTTTAGCAAATTGATTTTAAACGCGTTATGAGAATAATAAGAATATTGGAAATAGTAATAGTAACAGCTGTAATAAAAAAAAAGTAATAGGAAGAAGGAGAAATGAATTGAATTGGAATTATAAAAGAAATAGATATAGAAATAGAAATGGAGTGCATTGCTTCGAGAATAATGATAATGACGTCATGAGTTCGCTTCAACCAATTGTCCAAGCAAGTAGGTGAGCAATCGCAAATGTATGTATGTATATATGTATATACACATGAATTTATCAGTTATAAAGAATATAGTATTAATGGGATATTATAGATAAAAGGGTAGACAGATAGATGTATTCACACACGCACAGAAATAGATAGGTAGATACATGACCTTCCAAAGTTATAGTCCGACAATTGGTAACACGTCTTTTATGTATTACTTGCTCCTTGTTCTTACTCTTTTCTCTTTCTTATCATGTTGGCAGCTGTAGGACAGTTTTGCGCCACGTCTTCTGTGGCTCTTAATAGGCAGATATGTAATGGTCTGGCCTCAAAAGCAGCCCTTCTTGGTGCAAAGGTGTGACCATTTTATTCCCACAATACACGATTGCTCTGATTGTAATGATGATAATCATTATCATTATAAATATTGAAAAAAAAAATCAATTGAAGTATATAAGAAATTTGTACATTACGAATGAGACTTAATTTTCTGTGGTCAAGTGTAGATGTTGTTTTTACCAGAGGCATCTGATTTCATCTCAGAGTCTAAAGAACAGACATTCTCCTTGACAACTAACCTCACAGACTCTGTATTTCTTGGAGATATGAAACAGGCTGCCAAACAAAATAATATTTGGGTGTCTGTGGGTGTACATGAAAAGGTTGCTTGTCTTTACCATTACTAGTATTACTATTATCTTTATTACTTACATTAAATTTTCCCTTCGCCTTGGCCTTTGTTCTTGGTCTTGTTTTCGCTTTTGTCTCCTTCATCCTTCCTTACATTATATTGTAGGCAAAATCACCAAATCAAATTTACAATACCCATGTAATTATTGATGCTTTAGGAGAGATTGTTGCTGAGTACCGCAAGATCCATTTATTTGATGTGGACATCAAGAATGGTCCACGTCTAATGGAAAGCGAGACAACCCTCAAGGGTCCAAGTCTAGGAAAGGTTGTCCCAAGTCCACTCGGAAAAATTGGTCTTCAGACGTGTTACGACTTGCGCTTTGCAGAACAATCGATTGCCCAGCGTCAAAGAGGGGCAGAGATATTGACATTCCCTAGTGCATTTACGATCAAGACAGGAGAAGCACACTGGGGTAAGCCAATTGTGATAACTATTACCGAAAATAAAAATAAAAAGAATAGATGATATATATATATATGGCTTTAGCTACTCATAATAATAACAATTACATTTAAACTTTAATGCATTTGATAAGAGATCCTTTTGAGAGCGCGTGCGATTGAAACACAGACTTTTGTGATTGCTGCTGCTCAAGTTGGCCAGCACAATCCAAAGAGAGCTAGCTATGGGCACGCCATGGTAAATAATTATATGATTATATAATTACATATAAGAGAAAGAAAATAATAATGTTATAATTCCAAGCTAATAATTAAATGATGCTTAGATTGTGGACCCATGGGGAACAGTTTTGGCTCAATGCGAGAACAGTGGAGAACCAAGCTTAGCGATTGCACCTATAGATCTTACCTTCCAGCAAACATTGAGAGTTCAAATGCCAGTAATGGAGCATCGTCGTCATGATATATATCCTGCTCTTTGATACATACACCTTGTCTTATCTTGCACTTCTTTTTAAAACAATTAAAAATAGAATAGAATAGAATAAAAACTGCTTGAGAATTTCTTACTGACAAAATGTTGGCCCTTTTTTTTTCTTTCTTATTCTTTATATCTGTTATTGCATTGTGCCTTGAATGGTACGACGTGACTGACTGAGTAAAGATGGAGTGTACACCAAATTCACGTACACAATCAATCAATCATTGGCCTCCACTCCCATTCTAGTAGAGATTTTTTTTAAATTTTTTTTTAATTTTATTATTTATATATACATATAATCTTGTTTATAAATTCCAAACAAATTGAACATGTCAGACCATAGTGATTTCGTTGAGCCATCCAGTCCTCCTATTACAAAAGAAACGCGAAAACTTCGAAAGAAAAAAGTGTTTTTAGATGACGAACTGTCAAATGAAGAGAGTGATGAAGTCGTGACAGATGAAGATTCGGTTGACCAGGTTGACACTGATGATCTACTCGAAGAAGCCGAATCTGTTCCTCCATTCAGACCTACACTTGTTAAACGTAAAGTCAAGGCAAAGAGAAGAGCTGTCCAACCAAAGGTAAGTTGTAACGTACACGTATGTACATATATATATATATGTGTGTGTGTGAGCTTAACTAAAATAATTTCATTGAACAAAATTATTAAAATAAAATGAAATAAAATAAACTGTCTTGTCTATACATAAGAAAAAGGCAGCAGTAACTCCACAAAAGGCAAAAGTTGACAAGGGCAAAAAGGTTGAATTTATCATTACTATTATCATTACTCATTATAATAATAATAATAATAATAATTTTTTTCTTTAAAAATATCAGTGATTAATTAATTAACTATATATATATGTATATATATGTATACTCATTTGTGTGTATTTGAACAACACAGGTCAAGAAGAAGGTTGAATATATTCCAGAGCAAGTTAAACAATTGGCAGCTGAATTTCCAGATAATTATTGGAAATTTCATGCAGACACGAGCTATGATATGATTGACACTATTAATGAAGACTGTCCTCTACAGTCTATTCCTTGTAATATGAGCGATCAGGGCAAGTGGAATTATTCAATATTATTAATAATAAACTCTTTATTTCTTAAAGGATTCAATGCTTTATTTATACTATCATCAGTCTAATTGGGTGTGTTTATATATGCATTAGCTCCTATAACAAGTATGTCTATTTCGCCTGATGGTACCTTGCTTGCCACCTTCTCCAATGTGGGGGCTATCAAGATTTGGGACATAGAAGACGATTTCCGAATGGTTCGCAAGTTACGTGACATGGAAGAAATGCACATTGATGAGTTTTATTGCGGAAAATTTGTCTCAGAAAGCCAGGCACTATTGGTGACAGGTGGCAAGCTAAAGGACCGCCACAGATTTTCTGTTCAGGATGAAGATAATCATATTCTACCATGCCCCATAAAAGTAAGACAGAAAGAGAGAGTATCTTGTAAAGTTTTTTTTTAATTTTTTTTCCGAACAATCATTTGTTGTACTAGGTGTTTGATATTCAAGAAAACAAAGTGCTCAGTCGTTTGGATGGGCACATGGAAGAAATTTTGTGCATAAAGGCACTGATGTTCAAAAATGAAAACTACTACATATCCACCAGTCAAGATGGGTACATTATCAAATGGCATATGGATTCTAACTGGTCGCAAGTATCAAATCTTACTATACACACACACATATATATATATAGTCTGTAAAAAAAAAAGATGTATAACTTACTAAAAAAAAGCAAACCTTTGTGGGGTCAAAATATAGTACTCTCTTAGACTCGACACGCATGGAAGATGGTATCACTTGCATGGCATTTACAGTCTCTTTCCTTCCTAACACAGGAAATAAGTACTTTATGGGTGCTTGTGATGAGCATCTACGGTTGTATGATTTCGAAGAAGCTCAGGTACAAAATTATGAAAAATAAGAAAGAATATTGATAATTCTAATGATAGAATTAACTCTTTTTGTTTTGTTTTTATTTCTTGTATTAAAACCAACAACAATAACATACAATGGAAAATATAGCTACTACAAACATTCGAGGACATGTACTCATCTTATTGTGATTGTGGTAAATTTGTAAAATGGCTTGATGCAGCTGCCTTTGAATCGGCAAGAAAGAATGAAGACGACGCAGAAGAGATGATTGATGTGGTGAGTTGTGATGAAAATGAAGACATGGGTTATGCATGGTTTATCAGCCGAGGTGCAGAAATGTGTGATGTCAGCGAGGGTGTCTGTAAGTTATTTTTTAAAGCAATCGTTACAAGACATGTATACAAAACAAATGTATAAAATCTAAAGCAACTAACAATTTTATACTTTTTTTTTCTTTGATGTATAAGCTTCATTACCCAATTCGGCTACTCTTCACAAGTTGATCTATCCAACCGAAACAGGAGGTAAATTTGTATTGGAACAGATTAAGAAGTACAAGCACGAAGAGTAAGTACACCCGCACAATCAAACACACATATATATATAAAGCTTATTGCAATACAATAATAATAATTCCATATAAAAGTTACCACGCCAATTCATGGTTAGTCAAGGTTACTTCTAATGGGCGATATCTTTTGGCACCTACAATCTACGGCCAGATCTTTGTATTCAACATGTTCCATGGTCAGTTGACAGCTATTCTAAAAGATCATGAAGGTAAATCGCATTTGTGCACAAGATATATAAAAGAAAAGAAAAGACTGATTTGTATCTGTATCTGCTTTAAAAAGATGTTGAGGTCCGTGATGTAATATTTCACCCATACCGTCCTTTGATTTTCTCAAGTGGTGATGGTAAAGTCGTTGAATGTTTCATATATCTAATTATTACTATTACTATTATTCTTTTGTGCAAGTGCGATTGTTTCAATTAGCTGATCATTATTTGTTGTGTTGTAATATGTGTAGATGGTTGTGTCAAGGTCTACAGCTATAAAAATCTAGTGACAGATGATATTGAAGCTGATCTGCTTGTTGGAAAGGACAGTACATGATGAATAATAAGATTAAGATTAAGACAACATAGAATTCTTTCTTGTCAAAAACGTTACTTTTAGGCTTGTTTGTGTATGTTTATATACATAAACATAATATACATATGCATATACGTATACATATACATATACATATACATATACATATACCTATACATATAGACGTATACATACGCATATACATGCACATGTACATGTACATACATATATAATAATATTAAAACCAGATATTAAAACATGCTGCTTAATCCAAATCAACTTTTTTTTAATGGGTACTCTTATTAAGGATGTGGGTGACTCAAGAGGTATTCTACAGACAGACACAGACAAATACACAGAGACAAGATATAATTTAATACAGATATATAATTATTATAAATATAAAGAAAATAAAAGAAGAAATAGGAATGCAAATGCAAATAGATATAGATATAGACAAGATATAGACATATTTATTCATTTATTTATTTAAGAAGAAGAAGAAAAAGTTAATAATTAATCTTACCTTCGCACATATCTTGGAAACAATCTGAGCAATTTGAAAGACTCTTCTGACACCCACAGCCACACAACATTACTCCGTCTTGATCCATGACCGCAGCCGGGCGGTTTAGAGCTGTACTTCCTGGATGTGGTTTACATGTCGCACACCTACAATCATCACCACAGCTACATGGTTTTAAATGATGAATTTTGTGATTATGACCATTGCCATTGCCATTGACATTGCCGTGGTTATAACTGTGGCTGTGGTCATGGTCATGGTCATGGTTATGGTTGTGGTCGTGGTCGTGGTTATGGTGCGTAAATCGACTGTAGATTTTATTCATCAAGTCTTCTGAACTGGTATGCGACAGTTCGCCCAGGACATCTGTGCAGTTTACTGTTGTCAGTTGATGGTCCTCAGGTTTGTAGATCGGGGTGTCGCTGTCCAGATCGTCCAGTGGATCGTGGATTGGAATTGCGAAGTGGCGACGACTCTGCGGCAGGCCAGCTGACGCTGCGTCTTTTCGAAAAGTAAATTGGTCGGGATTGTCGAGTGGGATAGGAGAAGCATGACGATCGCAGGGTGGAGTGACAGTGCCGTCTGAACTACTCGAGGACATGTAAAAGTCACGGGTCTGATTCTGACCTGGTGGGTTACAAATGCAAAAGGGTAAAGAGCGGTCACAGTGGGTACACGACGACAGGAGATCTACACAGACAAGGCTTTTAAATTAGATTTACATATACAGATAGGTGTAATGTACACACACAGGGTAAGATATATTTAGAGAGGTAGGTATAGAGGTAGATGTATATATAATTATATATAATTATATATTTATATAGATAGATAGATAAAGAGAGAGAGAGAGAGATTATTGTCAATCCTTTGTTTGTATTAGAACCTACCTTTTCCACTAGGGTATCCTGTACCTGATAAAGAAGGATAGCTAGACAGGGGTGGTTGAATGGCTATGGAGAAGAATAAGGGTTAGAAATGTCAGGTATACTTAATTACAAGTAAGTAAGTAAGCAAGCAAGCAAGCTTTGCTATTTATGTATTTATTTATTATATATAAATATAAGTATAAAAAGATTGAAGAAAAGAAGCAGTTTTCTTCTTCTCTTTCTTCTCTTTCTTCTTCTTACATTGGGACTTTCGTGTAGTACAGATACACTTGATGTGCATCTGTTTTGTCTTTCTTAGTTCTCTACATTCAGCGCATTGTGAGACTGGTCTGCCTTTCTTTTTGATTTCAATTAGTTCACGATCAGCATGAAGACAACCTGAGGAGCGATGACCCTGAAAGCGACCAAGCGACCAACCAACCAAAGAACGAACGAACGAACGAACGAACGAACGAATGAATGAAATGATATTCATGTATTAAACGAGAAAGAATCAAACAAAAGACGAGAGCTTATTAGAATATTGGTTTGCTTGTTCTTCATCATCACAGGGTACCTTTATGCATGTTAAGCAAGCGAATTTCTTCACAACACCTTCTTCATCAGTAATGTACATCGTTTGGCCAAACCTGTGCTGCTATCGGAGATAGCTATCAATGATTTTGGGTATTCACAAAAGCCCAAAAGACTTCTTCCTTCCTTTCTTTCTTTCTGTTGTTGTTGTTTTTGTTTTGATTTTTTTGTTTGTTTATGACAGCAAAAAAAAATAAAGTCAATGTATTAAAAGAAAGCAAAAAAAAAAAAACCAAAAATTGAAAAATAAATAAATAAATAAATAAATTATTAATTTTTATTAATTTTTTTTTTGTATTTCCTCTATAATTATTTTTTGTAGTAGTAAATGAGTAGTGTTTTTTTTGGGGGGTTGTATTGTATTTACTAGCATTTCCTCTTTTCCCTTTTATTTTATATATATATATATAATTTATATAAAAGCAGTGCTTGATTTTGCTTTTTTTCTCTTTTAAAAATAGAATGTATTTACAGAGGAGATATGTATATGTATATATATATATATATATAGAAATATAAATAAATTATTATCGAAAGGAAGATCCCTTTTTGTGCGCCTTTAGGGTGTACATATCTAAATACGCATTGTATGTTTCAATTGTTGTAAAGTATAAAAATACATGTATACAATCAAACAAGTAAGCAGTCAGCCAGTCAGCCAGACAGCTGCTGTAAAGTTGAACATTAATCACAAATACAAAAATACAAAGGGTTAACAATTACAATTAATGTATATTTAGATGCTGTATGATAAACAGACTACCTTTCTCTTGAAAGCAGCTGGTTAATATTGTTGCTCTTTTTCGAGTCACAAACTACGCCGTATCATATCATACTGCCCTGCCCTGCACTGTACTGTACTGTACTGTACTGCACTACACTACACTACACAAGAAAACAGAGCAATATATATATGTCTGTGTTGGTTGGTAAGTGTACACACATATTGATTACCTTAAACGGAAGTTCACATGAATGTGGCTGTTTATTAGAATGTGTTACCTTTATCCATTCATGTATTAGCGAGTAAAAATAAATAAATAAATATCAAAATAAATAAGAAAGGGTTTTTTACATGAGCAGCTGGGTGTTCAGCTTCTGGGGTTAATATAAATTTAAGGGGACAAATTTACTACCCAAGTGCGCGCCCACACACAAGCACACACAAGCACACCTTCATATCTAAAAGCAACTATAAGTGTAGAAACGAATACAAGCTTTTAAATTTTTCTCATTTATTTTTTTGGGGGGAGATTTTGGCTTGTTCAAAACCTATTCTACCCAAGGACTCGAGACCATCCAAATAACCTTTATCTTATCTTCATCCTATCATTTTTTGATTGGATCATGTAAGTTGTGTATTTTGGGTATAAGGCTTTAAATATATCAATAGTCAAATGGTAATCAGGAAGTATAATGTCATTGATAAACAAGTAAATGAAGAGAGGAAGAAGTAGAGGTAAAGGATAGAAGAAACCATTATTCTTTTTAGAGATTTCACTTATCCCTTCTTATTTATTCCATATTTAATCGGCGATTACATAAAATTACCCATTTTTATAAATACTGAAAAAAATCCAAATATTTTTTCTGAGATATTAAGCTTACACCATCCATTTACAGCAAGTATAATAGACAATCTCTTCTTTACAAATTGCCAACCGTATGTAATAGGAGGTTTTTATTATAGATATTCACTCTACTTAAGATCAGGCAAAGAGATTAAAGATGAACAAAATGTAATCCGAGAAATTACCTAAAACAAATTATAGCGGAGTTTTTGTCGGAATAAAATGACGGGAATAAATGACAAAAGAAAATAGCAAAATAAGAGTAGATCATTTCCTTTTGAATATACATTGTATATAAAGGACAATGAGATAAGAGATGAAGCGCATGAATACATTGAGAGGAAGAATTATGAAGTTCAAAACTTTAATACTTCTTTACAAGAGCTTTCTTTATTTGATATACAATATATTTTATTTTTCAAATCAAGTTTAAAGTAGAGAATACTTTTTATCTTCCGCAATAATTGCGATTTCATATTCTTCAATTTTTTTTTGTTTGTATGGAGCTGTGACAGGCTGAGATTTATTAAAGTTCTCTGAATGAGTAGGGCAAAAGATATTCTTCAGATATTGGTTTTGTCAACGGTTAAAGTCAATTTTGAACTCGAGCTAAAAGATTCTATACAGAGCACATTTTAATATCTTAAATGCCCAGCATTTGGGCATATAATTTCCCCAATAAGCAATACAAAGAAAGTCAATTTTGACAGTGTATTATCTATTGTGATATATATATATAATTACAACTATCAACATTCTCAATACACGCACACACTTTTTATTTACTCCTTTACTTTTTCTTACAAATAATAAAAGGGGGATTTAATAGTCTTTGATTCTTGATCTTTTAATATTGAGATTAATTAAATTAAATATAAAATAAAACGGTCATTTAAAAAAATAATAAGAAAGTCAAGCATTGAAAACTGATGAAACACCCTATAATGAACGGCTAACAACAAGACCAAAGGTATAATACGTTCAAATATTATAATTGGCAAAAGAAGTAAATAAAGTCTTTAAACTATCTAATATTGAATTCTGGTTGATATACCGTTCAACTTGGATTATTCTTGTGGTATTCGGAATTGTTATTGGGTTAGTATCTCAAAAATGGGAACTTTGATCACCTTTTTGATTCTATTATATATCCTTGCCACAAGAGCATATAGGACTTATGAACCGAGTTACTCCAGTTTCTGAATAATACATGGCTTGAAATGTTGGGCATTCTCTATAGTATCTATTTTATCTTGAAAGTATTCAAAGACATGCTCAATTGGGTTTATAGATTAGGACTTTGCGACTGCCATAATCTAACTGCTAGATTTCTCCAACTAATTTGACCACATCTTGTATCCCATAATATGACAGATTGCACTATATTTCTGGAATGTGAGGATTGAAAGCATGCTCTTTATCTATTTATTTATTGTGCTCACACGTCAAGTTTGGCTTTACAGTAAGATACAAGGTCTGAAGTTTTTCTTTTCTTTTTTTCTTTGCCATTTGGGTTTCTAACTCCGTAAACACCATATATAGAATACCAGAAAGAAAAAGAAAAAAGGAATGATACTAAAAGTTCGGATCGGACAGGTGCGTATTCCGGTACAGTTGAAATTTGGGCTCATAAGAGAATGAGAGTGGCTTTTACTTATTTCTGTGACATCACCAAAATAAAAATTTTCGGACACACTGCCGGAGGCCGAAACGGCTATTGTTTGGCACCCCCTCTCTAGGCTTCGCCTCCCCCCAACCATTCCATTTCTCTCTCTCTTTCTTTCTTCGTTCGTCTCAAGACCAACCCCCTCTCTTCTTCCTTCTTTTTTTTGTTAAAAAAATCAACTTACAAGATGGCCCACGCTAACGTCTGGAACGCTCACCCCCGCTCGAACGGCAAGGGATCTCGTCAGTGGTACGTCTGCTTGTCTCTGTCTGTACCATAAAATTTTGGAGTGGGTGGCTTGGTTTTTTTCGTTCTTTCTACAACCTTTCTTTTCTCGTTCTCGGTGGCTTATACTTGTGGATTTTAAAAAAATTAAGGGCATTTTTATAAAAGAATGAAAGAGTAAGAGAGAGACAGAGACTAAGAGAAAGACGTTGAAAAGAAAGAAAGAGAAAGAGCAAAATAAATCAAAGAGCTACTCACAAGAAATTATATGTACCTTGAATTTTGCTTTATATAAAATATATGTGAAATGTACATAGACATATTTTATAGAATTGAATAGAATATGATTGAATTGAATAGAATACATTGTGTATATATGAAATTGTTCAATAAAAAAAATTGTATATTAATAATATTCTGAATTTTCTTTATATATATTTTATATTTATATTTAAATTATAATATATGCGCTTCTTAGCCGTGTCTGCGCTCACCGTGCTGGTTTGATCCGCAAGTACAACATCAACATTTGCCGTCAGTGCTTCCGCGAGTACGCCAGTGATATTGGCTTCAACAAGGTAAAAAAAAAGAACCGGGAAAGCGATGTTTCTATTGCTCAACAATAGAAATAATCTATAACACCAAACACCAAAGCCTTACTTGGCTTGTTTGTTCTTGTGTCTATCTATCTGTATTGGACTTGCAAACTTATTTTTATATTTCTGCTCTCTTAGTACCGTTAATCGGTTCATGGTCTCTCGCTATTCTAGCCTGTTCCCACCTCTTCTATCTCTCCTCATCTCCTGCCCTTAGGTGTGGGTTAAGAAAAGCATGGGTTTAATTCTTCTTCTTTTTTTTTAACTTTTTTTTTCTTTCTCTATTAAAAAAAAAAGGGTTGTGGGTTTACTATCTTACAAGCCAATTTTTTCTTCTAGATTTTTTTAAAAAAAATCAAAAATATTAAAATATATAAAAACCAAAATCGAAATTATTTTGTACATAACGAAGAGGGGGAAATCCTTGTTTGCTTTTTCCTTGGTTTGACTCGAGTCTGCTTATCATAATATTCGCTTTATACTATAAATTAATTTAAACCAAATGAGGACAAGTAATACCATTGCCATGACAATCCCAATAATAATATTATTATACAAAATTAAAATAAAATTTATATATAAAAATTAAAAATAAAAGAGGTTTCATTTTGTACAGCCTTTTTTTTTGGTGATCATTACTACAATTACTATTGAGTTTAATTGAGTTGAGTTAAATTGAGCTGAATTGAATTGAACTGTGTGTATTTTCTTCTTCTGCACTTTGTGTTTGTTTGTGAAGCTGTAGTGAAGTCATCTTACGACTAAGCAAAAAAAAAAATTCTTCTTCAGACAAAATTCGCATGAATTTGTTTGCTTGTCTTTTAATGTGAAATTGATCAATCAAATTAAAGGCTTTTGCAGATTCACCTCAAACCCCCGTCATCCAAAAAAAAGGTGAATCTAAACTCGTTCTCTCCCTCTCTTTTTCTTGGCTTTGTATATAAAAGACATTCGATTTTGCATCTTGCTTCTCTTTCCATCTTGTCAATTTTGCCTTTCTATTCTTTATCTACAGCTTTATATATATATATATTATATATTTAAATAACCTCTTTATATTATATTCACACTTACTCACATACACACACCAAAGATGAGCAGCAATTACGGTGATTCGTTTGCTATAACAAACCCAATGTTCTTGGTAACAGGTATCATGGTTATTGTAAGTATATTGTCATCAGTATTAGCACCAGATTGCTACAAGTAAAATATATAACTAACTGACCAACTTAATCATCTAGATTGGATGGCTGATTACCTTTGTCGGTGCTTGTGCTGCTGGATTTGTCGGTGTCGGTTGGTGGATGATCATCTACAACCTATTCTTTATCATCGGTGTCTGGACTGCAGTGGGAATGAAGCGCTTTATTAACAATCGCCACATGGTATGTCATTCAATTAAAGAAGCATAAATAAGAAATATTTGTTAAAATATATATAAATAAAGTATTAACCTTTATACGATCAATTGCTTATCTATGCTGTCCTTTTCTAGATCCTTGTCTTCTTGACTATCAGTATTGTCTACATGACCAGTCTCATCCAAATCTTTTTGGACAGTGACTGGAATAGAGGCAACAGAGCTGGTGCTGGTGGTGCTGTCATTATGATTATCATGGAAGTAAGTAAACAATCTCAGAATTTTGTAGTTGTCTATAGTAGATATACATATCACCTAAACTTACATCAAATCTCCTCATAGTTCCTCTGGATCTTCTTGTTGGCCTCAAACGAAGACTCTTGGATCGTCAACAAGACTAGCCACATGAACAACACTGGAATCGGTGGAAAGCCTATGATCCAGAACCGCTTTGGAAACGGTGGAAACAACTCCAATGTCCACCCCCATGAATATAAGGAATCTGCTCTGCCAAACCATCCTTCCGGTGGCCATGACTCTTACAACCATCGCAATGTCACAAGCAACATCTCTTCCGGAAATGCTCCCCCTACCCCCAGCCGCGAAGGAATTAGCCAAGCAAAGGCACTCCATGGATGTAAGTCTGTTAGCCTTTTCTTTTAGAAGGAAAGTCTTTGTTTAAATCTGACAAATTATTATTGCTCAATAGATACTGGCAGCCCAGAAGACCCTAATGAATTGTCCTTTGAGAAGGGTGAATCACTTGAAATCATCGATCGCTCTGGCAATTGGTGGCGGGCCAAGAAACATGATGGATCTGAAGGCATTGTTCCCAGTAACTACGTAAGATTTTCATCAAAGAAGAATATTTTATAAAATGAAACCCTTGTACATTGAAGAAAATGACTGATTCTAATTTATTTATGTATATATGAAACAGTTTATTTAAGTATCTGTAGTTTGAATTGGATCCAACCCAAGCCATCCAAAGAGACGATCTCTTCTTATAATTATGCTGATAATAATATAACTTCCTTTCATTTTATTTGATATTATTATTATTATATATATATATATATTATTCTTTCCTTTTCTTGTTACTATTACTACTATTACTACTATTACTCTTATAATTATTATCATTATTATCATTATTGTCCACATTAAATAAAATCCAAATATATATATATATAACAATGAGTGCTTATATTATTTTTTGATTATTATTATTATTTTAAAAGATATTACATTGGCCAATACATGTATAAATCAAAAGGTGGTTTTAATTATTACTATTGGTTTGCAAGGGATATAATAGCTAATTTCAAATTTATTAATTTATTAATTTATTTACATACAAATGTCAATACAGAATGGCTCTAGTAATAGTAATAGTAAACATATATCATGTAAACTGAACTTTCTTTTGATTCTTTGTTACTACCAGTATATCATTACAAGAAATCCATCATCATCACAATCATTTTTTTTAATCAGATTTAATTCGGCGCATGGGTGCCCATAATGCAGTCATGGCACCAATGATAGACATGACGACAGCACCAACAGTGTAGCAGGACACTGGGCCGGTCATCCAGTAAAGTCCACAGGCAGAGACTGGTCCAAGTGCACGTCCCAGTTGGCCAAAGCTACGGAACTCACCCAATGCACGGCCTTTGGTCAGCCGATCGTTCTCTGCATGATCGTCATCGCATTGTAAACTAGCCAAGCTGGTCAGACAGTTCACCACCGTGCCACTCGTAAACGCAAGGAAACACACTCCGCCGTAAAGCCATGCTTGATGGACGCGAAGAGCAGTGATCGCCAGGCATACAAGTCCAGCCACGCAAGCCACCATGCCTTGGATCACCAATGCCTTTTCTCCAATAACCTGCACCTTGCGTCGGACATAGCCACCTTGGATCAGCGAAGACAGAATTCCCATTGTACCCAACAGCTTGCCTTGCTGCATGTGACTGTAGTCTAGGACATCAAAGGTCAGAAACACCAGGGTAAATTCCATGCCTGAGAACAAGAGACTAAACAAGCACTGGAGTGTATTGAGTCGTCGGAGATTGGCCAATCGGGTTTCTACTGAACCCTGAGAGTTTAAAGAAGTAGTAGTAGTAGTGTTATCTTTGGTTTCAGAAGATTCTGTGGATTTCTGCTGCTGCTGCTGCTGTTGTTGTTGTTGTTGCTGTTGCTGTTGTTGATTGCGAGTTTCAGGTAAATATTTGGCCAGATATAAAGTTTCGATGACCAGCAGAACCATGGCCACCAGGGCTGGCATAGAGTAAGGGTAGATTCCCCACTCTACAGCGTGTGGATAAACCTGGGCGAGATCAATTGAAGCAAACCAGGCTCCAAGAGGAGGGCCAAAAGTAAAGGCAACTGCAAATGCAATTCCAACCAATGCCTATCATTTTGAAATCGATACATATAAGTTGCTTATTTTTTTTTCTTTTAAATACATATAAAAAGAATCCCAAAGAAGTGTACATATATATATGTGTACATGTTATTTTCATCTTACATACCAAGTTACGGGATCTTCTTTCTGGAAGAGTGATGTCCGAGATAATTGCAATGCTCAATTGGACATTTCCTTCGCTTAAACCACCAATTAAGCGAGCCAACAAAAAGGTTGAAAATGAACGAGAAAATAACCAGACGAGTGTTGATGCAATATTACCGACCTATTATTTATTTATTTATTTATTTATTTGATTCGATAATTATAATTATAATTATTATTTTGTAGAAAGTTAGTGAGTGAGTGAGTGAAATGGCCTGATTGTTTATTTTCTTTTAAATACCTAAATCTATACCTACCATAGTCCATAAGAGTACTTTACGGCGTCCCAGCTTATCACTCGCTCTTCCGATCCAAGGAGATACAATAAACTGCAAAAACGAGAAAAAAGATCCCACCAGTCCACCCAGCAGAACCGTGTCCCATTTGTCTCCACGTTGACCAGATACAGATTCTACTGTCACCAAACCTTTGTATTGTTCCAACAGTTGAAGTGCCCAACCCAACAGAGTACCCTTTTATACACAATATATATATATATTTTGATATTTTTATTTTTTGTATTCAGAAAAATAAAAATAATAACAATCATAATGATAATGATAATGATAATAGGTATAATCGAAATCATAGTATCAAAATGAATTCAAAGGACATAATTATTAGAAATCAACATGTTTCCTTCTTGCGCAGTTATGACCATGTAATTAAAGAGCTCATACGAAACATATAGTCTCTCTCTCCTCTTTTCATATATTGCTCCCATATACAATAGAGAAACAAAAGGAAATAATGGTATTCCCCTCTTCTTTTACTCTACATATCTATTTCTATTAATTTAGGCTTACCTGACGAGCGAGATCTTCTTGCTGGTAGTAGTTCAATAGTCGTGGAAAGAGCGGAAGAATAATGGTGAATGCGAGCAAGTCGATCAAGAGTGCTTTGAACACGATTCCAACAATCCGTTTTTCATTCTTGATTGAATTAGATTGTACCATTATGAATGAACAAATTATGTTTCTTTATAAAGGTATATATATATATATACACTAATAGTAGTAATAAAGTAGAAATAAAATAACAGAACACAAGAAAAAGGGTCGCTTTTATATATATATATTTATCTGTAGAATAGATATATTTCCTTTTTTTCCCCCTTTCTTTTTTTTCCCTGTCCTTCATTTATAAAATTTATCATTATGAGATTTTATATAGATAACTTTGTCTTGTATTCAGTCACCGCTTTTTTCTTTAGTCTTCTTTTCTTTGTCACAAAAAATGAACAGACAGGCAGACATCTTTAGTTTTCAAATATACCTTTTGTTGGGAAGAATCAAAGGCTAAATCTTCTACTTCTTTCATTATCGAGCTTTATTACACATCATACACAAGTTTGATCATTTGGTCTAAACTGATAGATTATTCTCATTGTAATTTCTTAATAGGTAGTGGACAAACCAAAAGAAAAAGAAAAATTATAAAATAAAGCCCGTTTTTAGTAGATCTGATAAAGAAATAACCGTATCTTTTTTTTTCGTATTTCCGATTGCAAGACAGTTAAGCCAATAAATTATGCTGTCCGGGCCGAACAAAACGTCGTCCAATCATAAATAAGTCTTCGCTGCCAAAAAAACCTAAAAATGTCCCCTCTTGAGGGGGTTTTTTTTTTAGGAAGCTTTTGATTAGAGTGGATGTTGTGCTGTGGCAAATTCAACTCAAATTTCCATAGATTTTGTAGCAGTTCAATAGAATTCTGTGGCAATTTCAAAATAGAAAGCAAATCTGCTGAAATACAAAACTCTGAATTGAGCGACACGAATTCGACAAATATAGAAGTGAGTATTTTGCCATACGACACCTACTCTATTATCATCAGCATTGTTCACATTGATCAATCTTTGTGGGATCATATTTTATTTTAATAGTGAACAATGCGTGTGTTCATTTCTCTTTATATATTTACGGTAGAACATACATGCACATATGCGCACACAACGAAAAGAAAAGAGTTTAATTAATTGATTATTTTTTTAAAGACGTTTGTTATCAGATCATCATGTAAAATCATATCATATCATATATATGGTTGTGACCTGTTGCTGTTACTAAAACCAAAAAGCGGTTAAATACTGTAGTAAGACAATAATATGTATTGCTTATCGAGTTCTTGTACTAATACATTATACTTTCCTATTGCACTGCTGCACTACCTAAAAGCATGAATGCTCCTTTTCTTTTTCTGTTTTATCTTACATATGTACTGTATTCAATATCTCTCTTTTTAAAACTAAACCTTGTAATTCATTTAACACAACACTTGGTGTCCAGTATATTTTGTAAACCCTGGTACAGTCATAGGCAAAACCATTTGTACCTCTGACCCCAAAAGATTTATGGGAGATATCATGGCATATATTCAACATCCAACTGCTCATCACGAATAATAGTTAATATTTGATATGTCCTCCTTTAACCTCAATTAGAACCCTTCAAATCATTAACGGTATTTATACTGTCCCTCTTGTCACTCATGCGTCTCTCGAGAGCCCACCAGAGATACTCTATGGAGTTGAGATCCGGGCTTTGAACTCGCCAGTAGTCAAATCCTCGGACCTCATGGCAATCTTTCCCACCACCTCGAATACGACCCAGTATGACAGCTGGGGTTGTCTTCTTGGAACACAAAATGCCTATTCTGTTCCCGTAAAAGATTTTGATACCAAGGGGAAAAGTTCTGAACCAAAGTGTTCATGTATTGGTCTTGGTTTACGCTACCATCTAGGAACACCAAAGCCCCGAAAACCACCGGCCCAGAAACAACTCCAGATCATCACGCTACCCTTTCACTTGGTTCCTTCAATAATATTTTCTTCCTAAAACCTTTTGCCAACGTTCCTAATCGTCCAAGCTCCTCGATCGTTACCCTCCACTGCGAATCGTGATTCATTTGACCATACTACACCTTTCCATTGGTCATCAGTGCAATTGACACGCTCAAAAGTCTATACCAGCCGTCTTTTCTTGGCTCTGGCGATCCTGTCTCATCCATTCTTAATGATGTACTTGAAGGTTGACAGACTCATGCCAACTACCAATGAAAACTGGATTTCTCCATAATTTGCTAATTGCATGTACATGATGCATCCGTATTTGTAGGGATCGCTTTCTTTAATGTGAACCAAAAGTGTTTTCTGATGAATTTGTGTTTTGAATGTTGGATTCGATTTAATAATATTAGGAGAGAACAATGTCTTTCTTTGGATTTTTTTTCTTCATTTTTCGCGGGGTCAAAAACGTTTTTTGAGCGTGAGTGTGTACTCTCTTCACAAACTGTTCGCCTTTGACCAACACAAATGTGTATATGCTTTATTATAAACAAAGCAAAATATGTGTAAACTATTTTGTATTTTATAAATAAAAAAGAAAAGAAAAGGTTTTAACTCTTCATGTGCAAGGTTGTAAAGTTATAAACATCTAAATAATTACAGGAAAAGGAATGAAATTTATAGCTTTTATAGCTTAAATTGTTTTTTAAGAAAAATAAAAGTAAACTATCACCATGACAACTCAGGATTCTTTTTTTCTTGTTTTATATATTTATATATATAAATCTAATAAGATTCTATAAAATCAACGCCTATAGCATTCAAGACATTCACATCAAAAAGTATTTAAGACTTTCTTTTGGTTTGATTGTAACAAAAATGAGAACTGTCGCGGACAGTCTCGATTTTTTAAAATTTATTCATTATTATTATCATTTAAATATGCTTCATAAAAAAAATAATGCATAATAAACAAATAATAAGTTTGTGGTAATAAGGTAAAAAGAACCGCATTATTTAATTTTGTTGTTGTTGTTGCTGCTGTTGTTGTTGCTGTTGTTGTTGTTGCTGATACTGTTGTTACACAGTTACAGTTGCTATTGCTCTGGTTGGTTCAAGAGATTTATTTCTTGCCAGCCTTGGCAGCAGCCTTGGTGACCTTGGAGGCCTTGTCGACCTTCTCGACGGCCTTGATGACACCGACGGCAACGGTCTGACGCATATCACGGACGGCGAAACGACCGAGAGGGGGGTAGTCAGTGTAGGCCTCGACGCACATGGGCTTGGAGGGAACCATCTTGACGATGGCGGAGTCACCGGACTTGATGAACTTGGGGGCATCTTCCATCTTCTTACCGGAACGACGGTCGATCTTCTCGAGGAGCTCAGCGAACTTGCAGGCAATGTGAGCAGTGTGGCAATCGAGAACGGGGGAGTAACCAGCACCGATCTGACCGGGATGGTTGAGGACAATAACCTGGGCAGTGAAGGAACCGGACTCCTTGGCGGGGTCGTTCTTGGAGTCAGAGCAGACGTTACCACGACGGATATCCTTGACGGAAACGTTCTTGACGTTGAAACCGACGTTGTCTCCGGGGAGACCCTCAACGAGCTGTTCGTGGTGCATTTCGACGGACTTGACTTCAGTGACAACACCAGCGGGGGCGAAGTTGACGATCATACCAGCCTTGATGACACCAGTCTCGACACGACCGACGGGAACAGTACCGATACCACCGATCTTGTAGACATCCTGGAGGGGAAGACGGAGGGGCTTGTCGGAAGGACGGACGGGAGGGTCGATGTTGTCGATGGCCTCGAGGAGAGTCTTTCCAGACTTGACACCAGCCTTGGTCTCCTTGGTCCATCCCTTGAACCAACCCATGTTGACGGACTCCTCCAACATGTTGTCTCCGTGCCATCCGGAGATGGGGACGAAGGGAACGGACTTGGGGTTGAAACCGATCTTCTTGATGAAGGAGGAAACTTCCTTGACGATTTCGTTGTAACGGGCCTCAGACCACTTGGTGGTGTCCATCTTGTTGATGGCAACGATCAACTGGCGGACACCGAGGGTGAAGGCAAGAAGAGCGTGCTCACGGGTCTGACCATCCTTGGAGATACCAGCTTCGAACTCACCGGTACCGGCAGCAATGATGAGGACACCGCAATCGGCCTGGGAGGTACCAGTGATCATGTTCTTGATGAAATCACGATGACCGGGGGCATCAATGACGGTGACCATGAACTTGGGGGTCTCGAACTTCCAGAGAGCAATATCGATGGTGATACCACGTTCACGCTCGGCCTTGAGCTTGTCAAGAACCCAGGCGTACTTGAAGGAACCCTTACCGAGTTCAGCGGCTTCCTTCTCGAACTTCTCGATGGTACGCTTGTCAATACCTCCGCACTTGTAGATCAAGTGACCGGTGGTGGTGGACTTGCCCTGAAGAATTGAAAGATATTTTAGAATTTTTTTGTTTTTTTGTTTATATTTCATAACAAGTAACAGCGAATACTTACGGAATCGACGTGGCCAATAACGACGACGTTAACGTGAGTCTTTTCCTTACCCATTTTCTATAAGAAATAGAATAGAAATTTACATAGAGGTTTTTTTTAGTATTAAGAATTATATCTACGTGTTTTCTTCTCCTTTTACCTTTTAAATTTTTTTTGAAAAAAGAGGGGAAAACAATGAGATACCGAAAACCGAGAATTTATATGGACCGAAACTTTGTTTTTTCGCTTTCTGAAAAGCCACCATTCGACAAGTCACACAAGCTACTGAATGTTATTGGTAGATTTTGATACCCGTAAGGGAGTTTATAAAGTATAGGCTTGTGCGACAAATCAAAATCAACTGAGAAAATAAAATTTTGGAAGCGGTACGAGTTTTGATTGGTTACATTGTAGCCCAAACTTTGGTTTCTCTCTTTCTTTATAATTTTTTTTTGTAATGGTTTGTATTGATATTATTTTCTTTTATTTTATTTTTATTTTTAGTTAGGCATAGTAATAATAAGAGGAGTATTCTATAGGTTCAATAGCGATTATAGGAATTGTTAAAAAAAATTAAGTATAGACAAAAATGTTCATTGCAAAAGTGGCAAAATGGGTAAGACAGATTGTGAAACAAATAGACTGACAGACTGAGAAAGACAGACTGAGACAGAGACAAAACTATCTCAACAAGATAGAAGAGATCGAAGCAAATCCAAAAGTCACAATTTTAATCAGAAAAATAATCATAAAAATAAATAAAACTATATTGATTTACGATACAAGACAAAATGTGAATTTTTATTTTATTCAATTTTGAAACAAATCTGTGCTATTCTTTTTATTTATTATTATTTTTTGCATGATTTCCTATATATAAATCAATTAAATAAAATGAAATGACATGACATGACATAAAAATAAATATAAATTTATGGCACTGTCAAAACTGTTTGTATGACAAGCTCAGATTTTCCTTTGACATTCATTTCTTATTTATATATGGATATAGATATATAACTATATGAGATTTTCATTGTAAATCTTTCGAAAGTAAATAATAAAAGACATGGAAAATTATTGTATTTTCAATACAATTGATTGAAAGCCTTTATTTATTTATTTATTTTCTGTTTTTTTTTATTTTTATTTTATTTTTGTATTTTGACTGTTACTTCACGTGATTCATTCTTCAAAGCCATCTGTGCAGTATTGGGTAAATAGTAATTATATAATACCTATAACCCTTTTTTTTTTGCACTTTGCTTCATGATTGATCCGGGCTGATTCTCTTACAGAGTGACCCATTAGCTTAGACTTTGTAGTTCACTTTATCAAGGTAATGAACACGTTTTATTTGTAGTCCTTTTTTATTTTAATTTATTTATATATATATATATATATATATATATATATATATTTCTGTACTCATTGGTCTTTGCTTGTCTTTAAGTTCTTAATCTATTCAACCATCTCGCTCTAGATTTCTTATTTGCTTCCCTTTATTTCCTATATCTATATTTATATTATTATATAAAAATACATACATACATACATACATACACACATACATATATATATATACGCACAAGCTTGATTACATTTTATATTTTATATTATACATACACAAAAACTCACTTCATCTTTATTATCTTCCGACATCCTTTCTCTCTCTCTCTCTCTCCCCTTTAAAGAATCAAAAAGTTGATTTCAGCTTATTTCATCTCAATCTCCTCGAACTCTATCATCTAAACATCTTTTTGGAATCAAGGTAAACATTAGAGTCTTTGTATTATTATACATGTTTATACAATGTGTATATACAAGATAGTCTTTTACCTTCTTCTTCTTCTTCTTGTATTTTATTATATTTTATGTGTGTTTGTCTGTTTGTGTGCAAAGTATTGAGATCTTGTCTGATAGAATCTGCCTGCCTGCCTGTCTGTCTGTCTGCTTACCTGCTTGCCTCTCTCTCTCTCTTCAGTTCATTATTTGACCCTCTTCCTTTATTTTTCTCTTATTTTTCTTTCCTTCTCTCGTCTCCTAAAAAATGTACACAAGAGCAGCACCTCACAGTTCACCAAGACCTTTGATCAACCCTCCAACCTACATTGAACACAAAGGCAAACGGTTTTTGATTGTCGATGCACCCAGCAACAACAACCTTCCACTCTACATACAGGTAAGTTGTACTGATACGTATATACGCACGCATGTATATGTATATGAATATGTATATAATGGTATAGTGTGTGTGTGTGTTTATTTTTATTATCATATTTCATTCTTTCAACATCTGATAAACCAAGGTTTTCTCTTTGACTTTCTATATATATATACGAACATGTATTTGTATTTGTATATGTATATGTACATGTACATGTATGTGTGTATATCTATATACCTATATATATATATATATACTTAGGAATTTGAACGTTGGAACGTCACTGACGTCGTACGGTGCTGTGAAGCCACGTATTCAAAGGAACCCCTGACAGCAAAGGGCATTGAGGTGCATGATTGGGTATTTGGGGACGGTGAAGCTCCACCAAGTCACGTCGTCGATGTTTGGCTTATGTTGATCGACGAACGGTTCGGTAATAAAGAAAGTGAAGAACAAAAACCGTGCATTGCGACCCATTGTGTGGCAGGTCTGGGAAGGTAAATATACATATACATATACATATATATAAAGGAAGGAATGAAAGAATGAAGTCTCTTGTGTGTGTGTGTGTGTGTGTGTGTGCGTATATAATGTGCAATGCGTAGTGCGTAGTTTGTGGTGTGTGATGTGTGATATGTGATATGTGAGATTTGTAAAGAAACTATAAAAGTAAGAAGAAGAGGAAGAAGTGAACGAGAAAGAACGAAAAAATGTTACAGTTTTATTAATCTTCTCATCATTTTTCATTAATTATTTTATCCTGTGTATGTGTTTGTGTATCTTAGAGCACCTGTACTTGTAGCCATTGCTCTTATAGAAGATGGAATGCCTCCACTCGATGCAGTTGCTTATATTCGTGAACGTCGTCGGGGAGCGATCAACAACAAGCAACTCAAGTACATTGAAACATACAAACCACGATCGAAGAAGCAGTGTATCATCAGCTGAATCTACTTCTCTTTGCATCACGCTGCATTCTCTACGCTTTTTTTTCCCTCTTCCTTTCTCTCTCTATCTCTCTTTTTGTGAGAGTGTATATGTATATATGTATGCATATGTATGTATGTATATTCTCATCTTTAGGCAGAAAACATCAACAACGAGCGAGCAATCTCTTCACACGCACGCACACGCACTACACCCACACATCTACCCAAATATACTCACTCGAACTACACTACACTACACTACACTACACTACACCGCACTACACTACACTACACTACACTGCACTGCACTGCACTATATACATTCACACTTTACACTTTTATACTTTTACACTTACATATACACCACCACCACCGTCACTATAACCGCCATCACCATCATCACCAACATTTCTTTTCCTTCTTCTTCTTCTTTTTTGAAGCCTTTCTCTCTTTCTCTTCCTTTGTGTTTTTTTGTTTAAATTTGAGAGGTTTGTCTGTTTAAATATATAGATATCTATATGTATATGTATATATATATATGTGTGTGTGTGTATGTGTGTATGTATAGAAATGAAGGAAGAAGAAGAGTAGAATAAAATACAATAGAAAAAAGAAAAGAAAGAATAAGAAGAAGGCAAGAGACCAACCTAGTTATCTTTTATATATATTACACCCAAATCATTATCATTCTTTTTTTTTTGTTTGTTTGTTTGTTCGCCTGTTTCGTTTCGTTTATTAGTGACATTTCATTATTACTTATATATTTAATTACACAAAACGGCCATAGACTTTTTATTATTACTATTTATCATTATTATTAATATTTTGGAATTTATTGAACTATAAATCGATCATTAAATATAGATTACAAATGAAAAAAAAAATCAACTTTATATTTATCATATACCAATGTAAGAAAGGAAGGAAAAAGATCAAATTGATGTATGGGATGGTAAGATCAAAACTTCTTTGGCCTTGGTGGTAGAATTATTTATCGATTTTCTTTATTTATTATATAAATAACTAACAAGATAAAAGATGAATTTGAGATGAACTTGAAACAAGTATATAAAAATAAGATCAAATAAAAGAAGGGAAAAATATAGCTGTAAAATAAATAAACGAACGAACGAACGAATAAATGAAATGAAATGAAATGAATTGATAAAAATGAAATGAAATAAAAGGTTTAAAATAAAATCTACTAAAAGAGAAATAGAAATAAAGGAGATCGAGTAATGAAAATAAAGGTAAGATGATAGACATGAAACTCATACTCACACTCACACTCCCTCACTCACTCACATATATATATATATATATATGAATGCTTGAATATATGAGTGTATGAGTATATGAGTGTATATAGGTGTATATTTGTTAAATCAAGGCAATAGAGCCAAAGACAGTTGAGAGCATCAGACCAACCAAAGACACTGTCAAGATATCTGCTGTGGAAGTAGGTACAGTGGTAGTTGCAAATGGACGAGACCCGATACTCGAGGCAGCTGTGCTTGAAGCAAGTAAAGTAGATCCTATAAATACAGATATGAAAATGAATAAGTATAAGTATAATTATATACACGCCATCAAAATTATATATATATCTCTCACCAAATTAATCCTATTAATAATCCTAATCCTAATCTTAATCATAATCATAATAATAGAAATAATCTACAGACAAAGGGGAAGGAGAAACAGAAAAGGGGAAAGTAAGGGGATGGGATTTGAAGGTAAAGCAAAGGAAGGGGACGAATAAAATAATTCTAGAATCTACCCCCAAAATAATAGCAATAGAAATAGCAATAGTAATAGTGACAAATTGTAGTTACAAAGAAAATAAGAGAAAGAAAGCAAAGAAAAATAAAGGTACTTACGGAGAACAGATCCAGTTTGGCTGAGCTGACTGGGAGCAGCAGAGATACTAAGTGACACGACACTGGAAGGTGCAGCCGACGACAAGGCATTTGATGGCAAGTTAGACACTCCACTGACAGTGTGGGAAGCCAGAACAGGCAAGGTGGTGTTGACGGCAGCAAGTGCGGAAGGTATACCACTTGCGGACTGGATTTGGCTGGCAGGGATCGAAATACCCGAGGCAGCCAATGCAACCGAAGACACTACGGCGTGGCTGTTGGTGATGGCGGTGGTGGGTGCTGCAGATTGGACAGGTGCTGCAGATCCGCTCACAATACGTTGGCTCACGGTGGCACTTGGCTGAACGTGGTCAGACAAGGATGGAAGTCCGACGACAGATGTTGGAGCAGGAGCAGAAGAGTCATGCTGAGAAACTATATGGCTTTGGACAACTGCAGGAGTAGTGGTAGCAGAATCTGCAGATTGAGAGGGGAAGATCGCAGCGGAAGCAGAAGTATGTTCAGAGGCAGAGACGGAAGAAGAATCGTCAGCAGAGTGTGAAACAGTAGCAGACGGGTGGTCAGATGTGGGTTCAGAAGTAGACTGAGCCAAAGCAGTGGCAGCAGATTCAGAGGAGTCAGCAATCGAGCGAAGGGTTGCGGTGGCAGATGGCTCAATAGGAGAACTAGGCTCCACAGTCGATTCGGCTGCAATGATTTTCTTTGAAGGAGTTTCTTGCACTTGAGGGGCTGTGGGCTCCGAGCTGGGCGTTTCTGGTGCTTCGTGGCTAGATTGCGGGGTCGGTTTGATGACCTCGGGCGAATCTGATTCCAAGGCATTCAAGGTTGCCTTTTGGGTTTCTTTCTCGATCGTCTTGGTGGGCTCGTTTTCGATCGGTGTCTCTTTTTCTTCAGCTGGAGGAGTAGGAGCCAGAGAAGGAGTAGGAGGGGAAGAAGAAAGAGGAGAGTATGTGGGTTCGATTTCTTTTTTTGTCTCTGTCTCTGGTGCTGTTGGTTTTGGTTCTGGTGTTGGTTCTGATTCTGGTACTGATTCTGGTACTGATGCTGACTCTGATGCTGGCTCTGATGTTGGCTCTGATTTTGGAACTGCTGTTTGTTCTGCTTTTGGGACCGTCTCTGTTTCTTTTTGGTTGTCGGAAATGGGTGTTGGTGTTCCAGTCTCCTCAGAAGTAGGTTCTTTGGCTGAATTAGTAAGGGATGTGTCTTTTGGGGTCTCGACTGGATCTTCCAGCTGGGCTGCCTTTTGACTCAAAACAAGATTCTTGGCTTCTTCGTTCTTTTTCTGCTCGGCAGTAGGAGGAGCGACGCCTGGCCAGTGATAGGCGATACAACCCGAGAAACAATCGTTACCGCTGCAATTGGCAATGCAGCTATTTGTTGTCTCAACTTTAAATGTATGTATTTATATGTATTTATATGTATAGGTATATCAAGAAAGAATGAGGTTAGCATATGTCAATTAATAATTCTGCTACTACTGCTGTTCCTGCTACTTACCACACTTGGTTTGACACACAGTATCAGATGGCTCACAAGAGCATTGTGCCATGATTTGACCAAGCATTGACATGGAAATAGCGGTCAACAAGAGGCCTTTGGAGAAAGTACACTTCATATTTCTTGATAATGAATATTAAGTAATGTTAATGGTAATGGTAATAAAAGTACTGGTAATAAAAATAGCAAAAAAAAGGTAAATAGAAGGGATACAAGAATGAAAGAAGAGGTGAAATGTGGCAAGATGGGGAGAAGTGAAATTATACAAGGGGGTTTATATAGACCTTTTGGCCGCTTCTTTTATTTTATTTTTTATTCATGGTTCTAAGCAAGGGAATTCTGACCACACCCTTTTTTTCTCTTTACATATATTTATTATTTTTAGTCCATTCTTTTGATTCATTCTCTTGGGCATATATATATATATATATATCAAATACATTACTTTACATTACATTGCTTTACCTTGCCTTACCTTACCTTACCTTACTTTAATGTCAATGAAATTGATACATTATATAGTAATTATATAAGCATATTTCTTAGTAGTATTATTAGTATTATTGTCAAGACAATTCTGTACTTGTATTTGACAAGGCAGCAAGACACATTTTGACCCATTTTTAACCTTTTAACGCTTACTGCCAATCTCACTCTCGGTCTCTATTAGTTTTCTCACAGTTTGTGGTCAATATGAGATCTTCAACCAAGCCTCGTTAGAATTTTATTTTTGTATTTCTCTTTCTTGGATGATGAGAAATGGACTGTACCATATGGTGTGCCTATTTCTTCTATATATATATATATATATATATATATATATATATATATATTGTCTTGGCAAATAAGAGTCTAGGTCTTTCAGCATTCACAGTAAGCTAGTTCTTTAAAATACCCCTATTTTATATTCACTTGCTTACTCACTTATATATATATTAATGTCTATATCAATACGAGTACCTATACCTCAATACCTGTATCTATACTTATACCTATACCTGTATCTATATACGTAGCAATGCCTATATATATACATATACATATACATATACATATACATATACCAATGCTTGTATCTATATTCACTCCCCATTTTGATTGACATCCCCGCAATCATGTTAAAAGGGAAAGTTGATACACATAAATCAATCAAAGTCCCAAGAGAATATTGGGACCCTTGCAACCAAAAGCATGCCTTTTTGGAGATGAGAAATACATAAAAGTATATATAAAGGGTCTTTCTTGAGAATATCTTCTTTATTTATTTACCTATTAGTTTTACAATACAAATTAATACACTTGGATTATACACAATTTTTATTTCATTCTTTCTATATACATGTGCCATGGTTTAAGTAAATGATACAAAATAGCTAAATAGCTAAATAGCTAAAATAATCTTTTATACTTTTGATTGTTGCTATTTTCTTCTATCCGCAAATATATATATATAGCAAATTCTTTATTTGGATTTAATTATTTTTGTATGTGTCCCGTCTATTAAAATAGACACATAGATATACTTGTATATGTTTATGTGCATTCATGTGTGTATAGATAGGTACATAGTAACAGATAGACCGACACACACACACACACAGAGAGAGAGAGAGAGAGAGAGGGATCGGCACCTGCAATAAATGATGCTTAAAACAATAATTTGTGAGTAAACTTGGTTAAGATTATTGTTTGTTTGTTTTTTTTAAAAAATAATAATAATAATATTAATACAGCTACCACATACAAGCATTTATATATATATTTTTTCAACCTTTAACACATTATCTAAAGATATACATAGGTACATTACAAGTAGAAAGTCAATGCTTAAAGTATAATGATTGTTTAAGCTTTTCCTTTTCTTTACACTGCAAAAAAAAACATGGAAATAAAGGAAAGAAGAAAAGGATCTGAGATACGATCGCCAGGAAGCAAAAAAAAATCACATAGTTTTTGGTTAATTAGGGATTGCTCATCAATAGCTAAATAAATAAAGTATTCACACCTTATTCAAGGGATTTTGTGTAGAATGGCTAGAGTCTATTCTATACACTACACTACACTACATTACATTACATTGCATGTACAAGAATTTATGATCCGTTTATTGCATTCAAAAGAAGAACACGAAACGCTCTGCCTTGCTCGTCAAGTTGGCTATATTCTTTGTTTTCATTCTTGTTCCTACAAATCTCTACTTAACAGCTCTGTACTTATATTATCTTTTTTTAAAAGAAAAGTCTTTAATATTTAATAGAAATAATAATAGTGATAATAAATTCATTTATTTTCCCATTCTCTCTCTTGGTGTCTCGATGTGTAAATGTGTATTAAAGGCTCTATAGCCACATACACATAAGAAGACTTGAAGCTACTCCTCCTTCCCCTTTATTGTTATTGTTATTGTTATTGTTATATTTTGAAATGATAATAGAAATATAAATAATAATGGACATCATCAAACTCAATTGAAAGGAGTGGAAGAATATTATATATATGTATTTATATATTTCAGGGGATCCATATTTAATATTTAATATTCAATATTCAATATTCAATATTCAATATTCAATATTCAATACTCAATACTCAATACTCAATACTCAATATTTATTTATATTGGCACATATAAAAGAAACAAATCAAAAGAATCAAATATATATATATATTATATCGTTATTATTAACCTTTCTCAAGATTATGCTTACAAGTGTATAAAATGATGTGGGACCACAGTGTGAATAGTAAGAATATATTACTAGAATCAATAACAATCAAAACAATCGATCAAAATATAGTAAAATTGCTCAACTTACTTTATAAATAAGTTATATTATTTTTTTAAGATTCTTTAATAGCTGTTGACTAACCTTTTATAAGAAATAAAGAATTTAATCGTATGTTGACAAACTATTCAAACAAATAGACCTCATATATACATTTATATATATGAACGCGTCTTATTTTCGGATCCTCGTACTTTATCTCAAGAAGATATCATTGGAAACTATTAAAAGGTACAACATTTGCCTAGAATAAGATCAAATTTCATTGTCTATCTGTGTATATTGTACAATTTGTAGTGCGGAAAGTAATTCTATGACAGATTTTGAGCCAAAAATGGAAAGAAAGAAAGAAAGAAAGTTTTTCTTTAGGCTACAACAATCACAAGTTTAAATTGATTGTAAAGATCATCACGGCCTGCATGCACATCCTCACACATAATTTATATAAGAAATATATCGTCTACATGTGCGAGTGTGTAGTTTTAATTATTCTCTCTAATGGTAATACCAAACCACTTTGTGATAATAGTGAAGGGTTGGAAGATACAATGAGGTAAAATGTCTTTTTTTTTCTTCTTCTTCTTCTTCTTCTAAAGAAGCAGAGAAATACATGCATATCGTATTCACCCATACAGCACACCTCTAGTGAATTTAGACTGCACAAAAAAAAGAATCAAACTGTCCTAATATTTCTGTTAGTTTCAATTTGATTCTAAACATATCAAAATCGATATCATTAGAGCATCTCCAGCAGTTTTCTATACATATGTTCTATACACCTTTAAAGAAAAAACACAGATGTAAGATCTTAATATCTTGGGTCAGGCTTTTATACATCTTAAGAATCTCTGAGGATTTGTAAAGATTCTACCATTTACATTATTTCTTTCTTTCTTTCATTTTTTATTTATTTATATTGTAACTTTGAATCTTCAGTTTTAAGGTTCAAATTTCGTCGAGGGAAAAAAACACATGCACTAAAAGTAATAGGTTACCAAACTTTTGCTGTGATGAATTGGGCTAATGAACCGGGTTAAATGCGGGCTAATGAACCAAGCAATGAACCTAGTTAATGACCCAGGTTATTAACGAGTTTCAACTTTTTATTAGACGTAAATTATACCACGGTTCAATATATATCTAATACTTTGCTTTGGTATTATGTGCTAAATGATCACAAAACCTGCCATGCAAACAGTGCGAGTAATTTTTGAGATACACATCTTTACTGTCGGGCATTTAAATAACATCTTTATATGGTGTAAATATCGATATTGGCATTTTTAAATCTCTCGTTATCTCCATGAATATTTGGCTGTTGCTGGTCAAATAAGCACTAATCATCATCGATCAATTTGTTCAACAACTTTACTTAGTAAAGAAAAGAACACATTTTCGATTTTTTTGGTTTATGTCCTGAGGGAATTTTTGGATCAAACATCGCTATATGGTGTTAATATCTAGATTTCTATTAGTAAATGTTTTTTTTAGAGTGAAAAAGTGGGATAATGTAATCAATATTTGAGCAATCAATTTCAAACAGCATTAAAATGATGGATAGTAATGTCTTCTACCAGGCTGCTTATTTACATAAAAGTACTCTACTTGACGTATGTGGATATATAGCTGATTTTCTGTATTTAATTTGTCATTTTGCTCAAAATGATTCTTTTTTTTTTGGTAAACATTTTTTCAAAGTACATGATGGTTATCTGTTACTCTACTCCAGCCTGATAATATATCTCACTTATTATTCCGGCTTCTTTAAACACTGTCTGCCCTGCTCTCTCTTTCTCTCTCTATAAAATCCTCATTTTGCTTATACATGCTCGGATAAGTAATAAATGCTGGCTCATATAATATACCAGAAAAAAAGAAAAGAATCAGACACATTCGGTAGTAAATTGAATTAACTTCAATGTATCCTCCCTCTATATGCTTAGGACCCAATTCGATCCACGAGCACGCGCTTGTATGTTTCAGAGAATGCTACAAAAAAAAAAGGTCCTTTGATTTTGAAAGCGGCTGCTTTTCGTACCTAGTATGCAGCTGTAAAAAGTGTTTATAATAAAAAAAACCAAAAGTTAGATGTAAGCATATACATAAAAAAAATCATTTGTTCTACCCCACCCCATACCATACCATACCAAATGGTATTTATCAAGTAAAATAAAGGAGGCTGGTAGCTGCAGAAATGCACTTGAAAACAGGGAATACATATTCACTATATGGAAGGTTGTTAGTTTTGGCTTTCTTGTGTTAAAACCCGCCTCTTGCAGTGTTTGTCAAATGACATTCATTGCCACATAAAGATTTGTAATGTTACCAGACCGCAATTTTGACTTTTAAATCAATGTTGAAGACGAACAAGATTGATCTTTCTAATACTCTAAAGCCTTTGTTTTCTTTAATGGTGTCAACAAATGATTGTAGAGTCGGCCATGTGAATTAAGAATAAAAAAAAAAGTTCTTTGTAGGAAGAGTTTATTGAGTTCCAAAAGCAACTCCACAAGACATGTTTGACTGGAGATTGTATGTTAAGGATCGAGTTTGAGGAATCAAGATGCAAAGATGCAATAATATCGGTAAATACTTGGAGGGGGTTGTTTATCTATTTATTCATTCATTTGTTTCTTTTTTGTTGTTGTTGCTCATTATCTCTGCAGGTGAAGGAGGTGAATAAATATGTAGGTAAATGTGCAGCCAATGAACAGCAAGATCGTAAAATTGATTAACCAATAAAAGTGTTTACAAAATATAAAAATATTCAAAGTGATTGAGTCCCCCCCTATTTTTTTTTCCTCTAAAGCTTTTTATATATCTATTGTGGTTATTTTTATTTTATCTTATTATTACCAGCAGCTTGTGCAGACGTCAACCTTTATTTTATGTGTGCAAAGTGAGTTTGATTAGGGTTCAATCTAAGAGCAAAGAAAACACTCATTTGTGTAAAACAGATCTCTCTTTCTCTTTCTTTTTTTTTTAATCTGTGGAAAGAATTTTTGGATTTGGATTTGTGTAATATATTTCCAGAAATGATAAATGTATATACTTTGGAGTCTGTACTATATATATATATATGTGTGTGTGTGTGTGTGTGTAGCTGTGCTTGTGCTTGTGCTTGTGCGTGTGCTTGTGTACCTGTGTTCCTGTAGATAAATTTATATGTATATTTTCTTTTTCTTTTTCTTTTTATTATTATTATATATATATTTATAATTATAATTATTTTATATTTCCGATGCGACAAGAAACCGTACAAGAACAGTATCGGGCCGAGAGTACCACCCATGCACCTGATACTCTTCAAATGCACCATCTTGATAGTTTGACCACTCTCACCAGCCAAACCAGTCCAGACGTTCCAGCAGTTCCGGCAGTTCTGGAGGGTCCAGAGGGTCCAGAGGGTCCAGATGATCTAGAGGCTCCAGGGAATCAGTCTGGAGAGAGAAGACTAGAACTAGGATTAGGAGAAGAGCATGTGGATGTGCCTGAGTCTGAGGACTCTGACGATCAAGACAGCATTGTTGATGTTCAGCCTCCTCGAAGAAAAACCAAGCCAAACTTCCTACAAAAATTGCCTATCTTTTCTGTACTTTCATTGATATGTGCTGGTTGTGCACTAGCAATTCAATCAGGTAAGAAATAATATAACAAAAGAAGAAGAAGAAGAAATGAAATGAAAGGAAGGGAAAAGACGAAAAGAAAAGAAAAGAAATTTCCGTACCAAGAGAGAAAAATAAATAAATAACTAAATAAATGCGATTTGATGCTTTGTATTGTTTTGTGTATAGCATGTAATGCAACATTGACTCGTTACGGTACTCGTTCCTTTACTTCTGTCTTTAGTTTTGGTTCAGGATTGATTCTGTGCACTATATTTTTCCTTGTAGATATCTTTATTCTCAAGAGACCACTGCCTAACATACGCAAAGCTAAAGGTAATATATATAAATATATATATATACATAAAAGGGCTGAAAGACCTAAAGACTGAAAATTGGAAATCTCGAGGCAAAGTTTTATTACATAAATACATACATACATGTGTATGCACACGGTTATAAGAAGAAGAAGAAGAAGAAAATCTGATACGACTATTACTAATTTGTTTGTATGTTGTAAATATGTATAACATATATAGAGGCACCATGGTTCTCGTGGATAGGCAGGTATTATGTGTGTGTGTGTGTTATGTGAATGGGGTTTGATTTTAATGCATTGTTCCTCATCGTTGAGAATATTACTATTAATACTATTTTACCATTAGGAGGGGTACTAGGTGCATATTATGTAATAATTAATATTCTCACTGTTCCCAGACTGGGTGCTGCTACTGTACTAGCCATCTTTGTTGGTTCTCAAGTGAGTTAAATAAATAAATAAATAAATATATATATTGGCTGTTTAATTGTTTAATTTATTATTTGATGTTTTAGTAGTAAATAAATTAATAAAAGAGTAATTTGTCACAACATGGCGTGTTATCATAGTTACTTATTTCAAATCATTATTCTATACATATAAATATGGATTTTATTTAGGTTATCGTGGCATGCATCGTTGACCACTTTGGGTTAGTGGGCATGAAGAAGAGACCATTCACTATCCCAAGGATTATCGCCTCACTTGGTCTGGTTGGCTGTGTAGTTGTGATTGCAATGTTTTGAAGCTTGTGTAAATACATCTATTCATTAATCTGTTTCGTTGGTCCATTAGATCATTTCGACTAGCCAGCCCATATAAATATATATTTTGGTTAATTGATTGATTTATTGATCAATTCAGTTTATTCACACCTGAGAAAAATTATTTACAATATATATGATGATAAAGATGATGATGAAGATGAAGATGATAATGATAATGATGATGATAATAAGAGTAAGAGTGAGAGTAAGAGTAAGAGTAATAATAAGCATAATAAAAGAAATAATAGGAATAGGAAGAAAGGATAAGATTACTCTTTAGTATCAAATTAAGTAAATCTCACTTGTTTCTTGTTTTCGTTATGTGAATATGTATTTTTTGGCTTTTCTTCTTCCTTCTTCTTCTTCTTCTTCTTCTTTTCACAAGCAACTGAACCTATAGAATTATATCAAAGTAAACCGCATATTACATAGCCACTATAGACTCTTTTTCTTTCTTCCTTTCTTTCTATTAACATGCCAGTGAAGTTGATGAAATAAATAATAAAAATAAATAAATAAATAATAAAAGAAAGGTAATGAAATTATCCTATGTGCGTGTGCGTGCATGCATGTGTGTGAGTGGGTGAATGGGTGAATGTAAGTGTGAGTATGAGTGTGAGTGTGAGTAGGTGAGTGAATGAATGAGTGAATGATTTTGAAAATGTTTTGCGGCTGATTGGTTGGTTGATGTTGTTCTTTCTTGTTATGTGGAGTGGTGTCGAGTGTAGCGAAAATGATCTTTTTTTTTTCTTAGGTCTTTCAATGTGCCCGCCTTGTTTTCTTCTTCTTTTAATGATCAACTGGTCTATTGATATTCCCAAAGTATTGTTCGGGCATCTGAATTTCAGAAAAGCGTGTGGAAGATTGCAGATATGAAGAGGCATAAGGGGATGGGCCGATACAATGTGATGACTGGACTGTAAGAGATCCTTTCCGTAAAAGCTTTGAATAATCTTGAGTAGAAGATTAGATACAATGCATCAATATTCCATTATTTATATGATTTGATATAAAAGCAATAGTAAGAATAGGTTGAGACTTACGTAGACCGCATGCATTACATAGTGTTCGTGCACCGTCTGGGCCTCGACGCCATTCAGGTGTATTGGTGGTATTACACGAGTGACATCTTTGGCCAACCATGCTTCGTTTCTACAAACGATCGAGTAATTCAATTGACATGAAATTGGTTTATGAATATTCACCAAGAAAGAAATACATATAGTATGGAAAAGCTAACAAATTCAAAATTAAAATATACAGAATGAAATTAAATACCTACACTTCGTCTTCGATATTTTGTATGAGAATTATCTTGGACATTTCGTGCCTGGCGTATCAGATCATATTCTGTTTCGTCAGCCTATTAATGGGCAAAAATAATATCGACAATATTAATATTAAAACTCTGTATACCATTTTTTTAATAATAAAATAATAATACTAACCTTTCTTTCTGATCCCATAAATGTGTCAGTAAAGTTTGTCTTTGAAGTTGATCTGCCTTCTATAACCTGAAGAGATTCCAGAATATCATTGGCACCCTTGGAAATAAAGTCAAAAAAGGCGTCTCGACCTTCTTGGGAAAGTCTGTTACTCTCATACTTTAGGCGAGCCATATCTTGACACAACGTGAAGCATTTGTCAATCACCTATACATATATATATATATATATATATATGCGTGTGTGTGTATGTGTGTGTGCGTGTGTGCGTGTATATAGTCAAATAAGCCCAAATAATAATACATATACATGTATACATAAAATAAAAGGACAAAAAAAAAGAAATATAAAAAAAAAGATGATTGATGATATAAATCAGTAAATCTGTAGCAAATGCATAAAAACCAATCATTAATATGAACTTCTTTTTTTATATATATTCTTTATATATATATATATATATATCTCTACAGAATTTCACACCCACAAATAATAGTAATAGTAATAATGCATGTCCTGAAAAGCTTCACCTCTTTTAAATCCCCTGGTTCCAAAGGCGTCTGAGCTTCGCGGTCGTCTGGATTATCGAGGTTTTCTAAGCGGGGTGATATTACAGCCGAGAATGTTGTTGATGATGGAGGCTGATAGTTTGGTGATGGTTGTGATTGAATCAATGAATCGGATTCTTCTGATCCAGGTGTGTTTTGTAAAGATCTATGGTAAAAGGGTATTGTCGCGCCTAGTTTTTGTAATAGACCGACTGATTCTTGGTTGGCTGTGAATAAGTTATTGAATGGTGGGAGAGCTGAAATTTTTGGTCTGTCAAGAGTTATTTGTTTCGATGTTTCGATGTTTCGTTATTTCGTTATTTCGTTATTTCGTTATTTCGTTATGGTTATTGTCAGTTTGGTTGTTTGGTTGTTTAAAGAGATGATTGTAAATACATTGGCAATGCATTTGTGGTATTCAAAATTATTTATTTATCTATTTCCTTTTTTTTTGGAAACAGAAACATAAAGGGTATTAAAGACATCAAAGAAAAAAAGAAAAAACCTACATTGGACTAGAATTTGCAAAATAGCCCATGTCAACCTCATTGGATGTTGGGGATTGACATGGATCTTCTTCTGGCGATTTCTGGCATAACTCTGAGATGTTCATGAGAATTCAACCAAAGAAGGAATGTATTTCTTCTTCTTTTCTTCCAAAGAAAAAAAAAGACAGAAAAATAAATAAATATTACAGAAAGTCTAGCGGAAAAAAATAAAATTAAAATATACTATATACTATATTGTAGTATAATATAATATAATATATAATATAATATAATATATATATATAATAAAATTAATAAAATAAAATAAAGTACATATAAAAATATATAGAAATATGTATGATTTTGAGGAGAATTAAGAGGAGAATAAGTAAAGAAGTAAAGAAGTAAAGAAGTGAGGAAGAGGGAGAAAAGGGTTTATCTTGTAGTATTAGTATTATTAGTATTATTATTTTAATTTCTATTGTTTTCTGGAAGAGTGATTTAATGAACAATTGCACTGTTACTTCTAGACTAGTGAGGCTTATATAAGCTAAAGAAAGATACCTGGCTGTGATATACAAATCATTATAATTATAACTATATATAAATATGTATACAACAAAAAGGTACTTTAATGAGCTCGATAAGTTTTCTTCAAGAACCCCTCCTTTTATTTTTAATTTTTGTTTTTTGCTTTTTGTTTTTCTATATAAATTCATTTATATTCAGTTGCTTGATTTAGAGTATATTTTGAATGTTTATTTTTATTTTTATAAATTAAGCACACACAGTAATTGTTTTGGCAGTCAAGAAAAAAGATACATTTTTTATATAGTCATTAATATTACTATTGTTATTATTTACGAGTTAATAAATATGCATGTACTTTTTGTGTGTGTGTGTGTGTGTGTGTTTGGCTAATGTACCGGGCCTGCGTTTACTTCCATTTGAGTTGCAGATAATTAGGGAGTATGAAAAAGGGTCTTGGAATCATTTCCCTAAAAGAAGCCTATAGATTGTGTATAAATACCCGTACATACATAGATATATTTGTATCTATTAAAAGTAATCATAATAAATAAAGAAATCATTCTGTGTACAGTTTGTAGTTTATTCAACATTTGAAGCCTATTTAGCCAAATACATATGCATACACATACACATCTGCATATGCACATAAATATCACTTATACTTGTAGTCATGTCTTTATTGCACTTCCAATAAGCCCATAAGAGAAAAGTATAACCCCAAATCTATGCTTGAGGACTCGCCAGGCTTGTACCCAACTTAAAGGCACCCACAAGGGCACCCAACTGAATGGTCTCATTTGCACCCTCACCAAGACGGTACCTTTGATAATAAATCAAGGAGAAGATTTCTTAGTACAAGTAAAAAGCGAAAAAAAAGAAACCAAAAGAAGGAAAGAAAAAAGGGGAAAAAAAAAAGAAGAAACCCTATTATACTCTATGCCTATCTCTATATCTCTGTATTTTACTCTCTCTTTATATATATAAATCATAAAGTATATTTCAAAAACTATCCTTGTAACAAAAGAAAGAAACTTACTCAATGTCTGAAAGAGCTTCCAGTAAGAAGACCTTGGAATTGGAGGGCAATTCAACATCCCTCAAGTAAAGGTGGACTTCTTCAAGGATGTCCTGCAATGCCAGTCCGGAATCTTGCTTTAGACTCTCAATCCCTAAAAAAATCAATCGATCAGCCCAATTAATCATATACACTACACTACATCACAGCACACCACACCACACCACACTACACCACAGCACAGCACGGCATAGCACAGCCCAATATAACATAACATAATCTTGTAATTAATAAACTGGTCTATCTATTTGTCTATAAATCTCTGTATGTATGTATGTATGTATATTGGTCTTACTTTGGAAAACAGTAGTGTATTCTTCTGAAAGCATCCAATGAACAATCTGATGGATATCATTTGGATGAGGGTGTCCTGTGCAGTTGTAGATCGCTGTCTCATCCACCCGCTCATACGCAGCATGGCATGCCTGTAGGATATTAAGGGCACGTCGCATATCACCTCTCGACAGTTTCAAGAGTGCCCCTTTACCATCTTCTGTCAAATTAATCCTATTTTTTTTTAAAAAAAAAAGTTATTGTGATCCCTTTTCATGTCAATAGCTGTTTCCCTCGTATTGACCCCCAATGAATTGAATTGAATTGAAATGAAATGAAATGAAATATATATACACATCTTCAAGGAGTCGAAAAAAAAACACGTACAATGCATAGCGCACAGCGTACAGCATACACGTTCAAATACAATTCTAGCTATATATGTATGCACATATGTGTGTCTGCATATACATATACAGGTCCCATATGTAGATAGATATATAATTGTATATATATATATCACTTACCCCTCAGCCTCAACAATGGTCTCAAGTCGTTTCTCAATCTGTTCAGTTTCAAGAGGTGCAAATCGGAAACGAGTACAACGCGACTGGATGGCCGGAATAATCTTACTGACATAATTACACACAATACAGAACCGTACATTCTTTGTATACTTTTCGATAACTATACAACATTTAATACATTAAGCATTCAAAAGAAAGACAAAGACAGATACAAATAATTTAGCTTTTTTTTGTTTTGTTTTTGAGTAGCATTATCATTGTATTTCCCCCCCCCCCCCCCAAGAAATAAATAAATAAAAAAAAAGGGACATTTATGTGTATATATATAAGCATTATTACTTGCCTCTGCGTAGTGCAGCTTGTGCTTGCGTAGTCATGGCATCTGCTTCATCAAGAAGAATAAGCTTGAATCCCGAACTGGATGACAATATATGTTAATCATCTACAATCTGAGCAAGTTATTCATAACACTTGCCTGTACATGGTACGAGTACTGGCAAAGTTCTTGATTTGTTCACGTACAACCTCAATACCACGATCATCAGAAGCATTCAACTAGATAGAGATGTGTGTGTGTGTAGTAACAATATGTCAGATTACGTACGAGAACAATTGAACATTCAATCAAATGATTATTTTCTGACCTCGAGAATCATGGATTTGTAATGATCTCCATACAATTTGCGTGCACATGCAAGAATCGTTGATGTCTTTCCGGTACCCGGAGGACCATAAAACAAGAGATGAGGAAGTCGATTGGCATCAATAAAGGTTTCGACTTTGTATTGTGCATATATATTTAATTATTATTATTGTTATTGTTATTATTGGTATTGGTATTGGTATTGGTATTTGTATTGGTATGGTTTGTATGATATCGTGTGTGTGTAGGTGTGCATATATGTATATGTATATGTGTATGTATGTATGTACATATATATATATATTGTTGTTATTGAAGTTGATTTAAATGGTTAGCACATTCAAACGTGCTCTTTGCAGGTATACATATATCTGTACTTTTATTTTGTATAGAACTCAACTTGTAGAGGTAATGTCTTCATGCGAGACGAGATCGCTCAATGACTTTGGGCGATACTTTTCAACCCTGATGTTTTTATGTTTATTTTATTTATTGTTGCCATTGAACGAATGAGTGAGTGAGCGAGTGAGTGATTGAGTGAATTTATATATAAAAGAAAAAAAGAAAAAAGAAATGAAAGGCTAATTATTATTACTTGTTTCTTTAAAGAGAGTATGATAGAAAGATAAAGAAGTATATATATATATATATATATTTATGAATGAATTGCTGTCTGTATGCATGTATATATATATATATATATATATATATGTATGTATGTATGTATGTGTATGGTGTTGAGAAAATGCTTTATATACCAAGGTAGGTTGTCAAGTTGTGCGCTTGTGTCGACTAGCTTTCCTTTTCCTTTTGACATGTTGAACAAGTAATTAAAGCGCGTTTGAAATTTTTCTAGTTGACTTATTTTTTTTTTAAAAAAAAATTCACAATAATAATAATCGGTGCTTAATTCTCTCTCTCTCTTTCTTTCTTTCTTGTGTGTGCGTACACAAGGAGGGAGAAAGAGGGGGGGTAGAAAAGGGGGTGAAATGGAAAAAATATTAACTTTATCAGTCACGATAAAAAAAAACAAATCGGGGAATTGAGTGAGTGAATGAAGACAAAAAAGATAAAAAGCTTGGTTTTGGTTTTGGTTTTGGCTTGAAGATTGCTCAATTTTGTTCTTATTAAATCAATCTAATAATAAATCTACATAGACACACAAATAGCCACAAACAGATACAAATGAACACAAACGGACATTTGCACAAATATATATGTATATATATATATAAAGGAAATTTGTAGATGTAGATGTAGATATATTTATATTTATTATTATTATTATTAGTAGTAGTAGTAGTAGTAGTAGTAGTAGTATTACATTATATGTGTATTTACATTTCATAATCCAAGACAATGGTGTTTACAGGTGAAGTCTGGAATGTAGAAAAAAGGAAAGGAAATCATAGGCACTAGAAAGTAAAAGTAAAATTAAAATAAAATAGAAGGGGGGAAATGGAGAGCGAATTGGAAGGGGGCGAAAAGAAAACGAAAACAAAAAAAAGGGTTCATGAGAAAAAAGCAAGAGAAATGAAATGTCTTTTTTTTATGAAAAAAAAAAAACAAAACAAAAAGAGAGAAAGATAGATAGATATAGAAGGAAGAAGTGGAAAAAGGCTATAAAAGAAGTAAGGCATAAAGGTTATTTAAAAGGAAAAGATAAATAAATTAATAATGCCAGTCCTCCTTCTTGGAGCTTTCTTTTCTGTTTTTTTGGGGGTTTGTAAAGCTAAAGAAGTGTGAGGGTATACAACATCAGATACTAAGAGTACCAAGTGTTTGATCTTAACAGACTTGCTGAAGAAGTTGAAAAATGAAAAAAAAGCAGAAGATGCCGTTCTTTCTTTTCCTTTTCGTTTTTTTGTATGTATATATGTATGTATATATGTATGTATATATGTATGTATGTATGAGTGTATGTATGAGTGTATGTATGTGAGTGCGTGGATAAAGTGCATCAGTGAGTGAGTTTGTGCTTGCTTGCGTGCGTGCGTGTGTGAGTTTGTATGTACGTATGTATGTAGGTAAGTAGGTAGGTATGTATGTATGTATGCGGTTGGTGCAATATTTGATAAAGACTCTGTCTTTAAGTCTTGCTTTCTCTCTTTTTTTTTGGTTTCTTTTTCGTAATGATTTGAAGAAGAATAAGGAGGAATACGTAGGAGGTAGGAAAGAGAAGGTGGCGGTGGCGTTGGTGGTGGCGGTGGCGGTAGTCGTAAAAGATGTTGTATATAATACATTCTTTTTTTCTTCTTTTGGCTTGTTTTGGAGTGATAAAGGGGAAGAGGGCAGATTTAAAAGTCATGGATCGATTACGGTACGTCAGTTATCCATCGATTCGTTTTCTTTTCCACTCGACGACCTGTTCGGGAAGAGCGATGACCTGCTCGTCTGTGCCGTCATGGTCGTGTCCAAGGACGATCTGGAAGCGGCCTTTTTTGATGACGTTTGTTGCTCGTTGTTGAGGCTTGGCTGTGGGATCGAGTGCAAATGTGGATTGGCGGCGGATGTGGGAAAGGAAGGGAGTGTCGTGGGATGTGTAGCTGGTGGCTTCGGTCGAACCGGAGCTGGAGTGGGCTGAGAAAGTCGAGCCGACTGATGAAAGTGCGGTGTGATCAGAACAGGCCGAGGAGTGGATTGGGATCGGCTGGACAGGCACAGATTTGCTCTTGGTCGGATGAATGCGTGAGTTGGTGGCTGCTGGATGGAAAGTGATGGCGTGAGACTGGTGGTGCCAGTAGTCTGAATCCCAGATCCGCAACAGACTTTGTTTTGCGCGCGACTCGGATGATTGGGCTGATCGGGCTGACTGGACAGAGAACTGGTAGGCGTTGATAGGAAGGTCGGTAGTGAGGGGCGCGGTGGCATAATAAGCCTCTTCTTCATCCTCGTTCTCTGTTTCGTCGTCGTTGATGTTGATATAGCTAGCATTGCTGCTGGTGTCGTCGGTCGTTCGAATCTTGATACCCGTCAGCTGGGCAAATTCTTTTGCGGTCAGATCTTCGCATTTGATCGTCGAACTAGCATGTCTATGACACACTTTCTCGGTGGCTGCAGCAAGGGCAGTAGGTGAATTATCCCAGCGCTTTTTGTTGCGTGAGTTTTGGGACCATTTTGTGAACATTGCAAGTCCCCGACGCCAGCGACTGTGATTAGCCGTCTGAGACGAAATGCTTGGAGGGGGCGAATGCTTTATTGAAGCGAGAGTCATGATAAGAGGCATAAAAAATTACACATGCACAGCAGCAGGAAGAAATTATTATTCCAAACAGTATACAAAGCTGGCAGAGGTTGGATCTGTTTAGGTCAAATTAAGTGAAGGTGGGGGAAGGGAGGAAGGGGACGTAAAGAACAAAGAGAAAGCAACAGCAAGAGAAAAATAAAGGGTTTATTTAATAGTGAAAAATTAAATAAAAAATAAATAAATTAGAAATGCTTTTTTTTCTTCAATATTTTTGTGGTTGGCGGAACATCAAAAAAAATTATTACAAAAATTAACAAGTGACTGAGAAAGTCGCCTTCCAAGGGCAAAATAACCGCAAAATAGAATAGAAATAATATAAATAAAAAAAATTAAAAAGAAAACCATACCAGGCTTTACAACGTCAGTTGAGCCAAGCGCATCTACTATATACACAAGCACATCTGTACGCACGCACGCACGCACACACACACACACACACAGGCACCCTTCTCACTACAGCTCATCTTAGCTCAATCAATAAACTCTAACCGGCTGTTCTTTCCCAAACGCCACAACAGCAGCGTGCTTTTTATTTGTAATCTATTGGCGTCAGTACACTCACTTTATCACACCCGTTTTTATTAGTATTAATATTAGGCTGTGTATATATCTATTATATATCTTCCTTTAACTCAAAGATCATGTTATCTCCTACTTCATTGAGTTCTTCCAGCAATACTACACGTGTATGCCCTTACCTTGCTCTTTACGACCCGGATTTAATTTTTTTTGGCTTTCCTACCTTTACTGTTTGCTCTCTATTTATCCAGTCGACTTTATAAATCAAGTTAAGTTACGATTTTATCTATGTAACCAAACCCCACTTCCATTTTATATTTAAAATCTTTTTATATATATAAAATAATCTGCATGTGTGTATGATGTTTCAAATTCATTGACCTCTTGTACGCTTTTCTTTTTTTTAAAAAAAAAAAACTTGAAAATAAAATATATATAAAAAAAAAATACTGTATTCATATAGGTCTTTCTGTGCTGCCATCCCAAGTCTATCTTGTGAGCCGAATGAAAATAAATAAATAAATAAATATAACATACAGGAACACACGTCCACTGATTTCCTTTCAGGATCCGATCAAATTCCTGGATAAGGTTTTCTTGTTACACGAAACCTTTTAATTGGAAATAGACGTCCAACTTTATACTGATTTCCTTCGAGACGGAGCTATAATTATTTTTCGGGGATGTTTTTTTTTAAAAAAAAAAAAAAAAGAAAGAAAGGTTCAAAAATTGAATAAAGAATATACCTTTTTGTTTCAAAAATAATATATACATAATGTACATAGTTACTATCATTATTTCTATCCCTATTCTTTACTATTTAGTGTTAATATTACTCTTGTCGTCATATTTTTTCTTAATAGAAATAGCTTGGCAACTAAATCCTATAGGTTCCAAGACCAAAGCCAAAGCCAAAACCAAAACCAAAAATAAAAATAAAAATAAAAATAAAAATAAAATGAAGAAAGATGGAGGAAATCGGGTTGTCTATTACAAATAGTTTTATAAGACAAAAGCCATAGATGGATTGTGTCTTGGGATAAAATCTCCCACCAGTCCAAAAAGAAAGAAAGAAAATTAAGCTACATAACATTATAGTAATATTTATAAACAATATACCATTCTATTCTATTGATCCCGAATGTTCCACACTCAAAGTACCCACTCAGTATCAGTATCAATGTACATGATCTCCCTCTCTCTTTGGTTTTGATTTTGATTTTGTGACTTTCTTGAGCTTAATCAAACATTTCACCATGGTGATCAATCTGACGGCAAATCACCAAAGCAATCACCAAGTCTATTCCAATCAATATATATATATATATATATATATATGTTCATCGATAACTTCCATGTGTCAGGTCATATTACACAATAAAGGTTTCTCTCCTTCTTTTTTGAAATAAAACAAAAAAAAATAAGCATCATCTATTGTATCGAATATACCATGCTCTCTTTCTCTTTTCCTTTTGTCTGTCTAAACGTGACTATAGAAAAAAGATCAGAATCATAATCATCATAATAAAACAATTACTTCATCGATTGCTATATTTTTTTAAAGAAAGAAATAATAATAATAAACCTATGCCTATTAATGATAGATCCAAAATAAGATAAAATAAGATAAAATAAGGTCAAATAAATAAAAGAAGAGCTATTTATGTCCAAAGGTGTATTATGCTACAAATGGCGTTAGAAATACGACAGGCGACACCGATCCTTTTTACCATCACAAGAAAGAAAAAGAATCAACTAAATCAATCGACTAATCAACCAATCGACCAATCGACCAACCCAAACCTCAAAGATACTCGGAAAATCCTTGGGGTGATGTCATAAGATACCACTTACTGACGTCCTTTAGTAATTTCTATCTTTCTCTTTTTTTTTTCTTTTTCTTATTATTATGCTGTGCACACATATATATATATATATAATACATTGATAGTAGTTATTTGCTCTTAACGCTACTTCTTCTAGATCAAAGACTACGAGCAAAGAAACCAAAGAAATAGCCAACTATACCTTTTGTATTGCGATTATGCACAGCTCGGTAAAGCACGGCCCTGTCTGGCAAAAAAAAACAAAATGAATTGATCTATTCAGCCATACACTACAGATTCTCATGATTCTTTTCATATGAAGGCTAAAATATTCTTCTTATGCGTATATATGTATCTAAAAATATCCCAAATATAACCCAGCGACCAATAGAAATTGTCGGGCATTTATAATTTACTATATGAATCTTAAAAATTAGGGAACGTGACCAATATATGTGCCCACATATTAAGTAGGAGATTAAAACATTTTTTTTTTTAATAATCTTAAACTTTTATTTATTTATTTATTTATTTATTTATATTTGGTTGCTTGGTTACTTGGTTGTTTTTATTTTGATGTCTTTATTCATTTAATCATTTTTGTAGCAGCAAACCCAAATGAATGGTTTGACTACGCAAAGAGGGGTAAAAAAAAAAGAAAAAAAAAGAAAAAAGAAACGTCCAAAAACCTGGAATCAAGATCTTCAATTTAGGGTACAATTGGTATTTTTAATATTTAATTATTCATTTCAACCTACATATAACTTAAGGATATTCCAAATGGTGAATAATTTGTTTCTAGAATGAACAAGAGCTTGCAAAGAAGAAGAAGAGTAATTAATCATCATACTCCTATTAAGAGAACACAGGAACGTATATACAACACCAATCATTGTCAAGAACCTATCATTAATGTCCTTATGGTTCATATTATTTATTTATATTCATAATTACTTGCTACACTTTGATAAAAAAAATAGTCAAGGAAAGATATATAAACATACTTGATAAACGTATTATTAGTGGTCACTGCACTCAGGTCAAACCTTGTAAAGTTCTTGTTGTTTTCAAAATATTGTGTTTTATTTTACTTTATTTCTTCCGAAAATATTCACATTCTCTATTATTGTAATTATAATTATAATAATAATATGCTTTTTTTTTCTTCTCTTTTTCTTTGGTGGTTATCTATAATTCATCAGGGCGGTGCTATTCCGCTCTCCTGTCTTTAGTTCCCTGATTCTACACACCACTGAGGCACAAATGAGATAATTATTATGGTGCTAAACTAGTTTTTCTCTTTCTCTTTCTTTATTTCCTATGTATGTGTGCTACTTGAGATTTGGCCTTAATAATTGTACCTAGAAACACGTTGTTCAAAGTAAATAGATTTTATATGGCCTCAAAATACAGACACACTTTTTTTTTTAAAAAAAAAAAGAGAAAGATAGTTGTGTGCCTTGTAAAAGGTTGCACTGAAATTTGATTAGATACCGCACACAATAACTCAAGCTATACAGAATTTCTGGGATTAACCTATGTACCATTTGCAAAGAATGTGAAATATAAGGCAAAGATATACTTACAAATGTGTTACAAAACCCTCGACAGAACTTCAGGTTTGGGTGTGTTACACTTGAGCCCTCTTCTTCTCGGAGTACAAACCAGCTCTAATGATTCTCCCTAACTTGGATGTTTTGGCTGAGCTTTCCCTAAGCAAAACTTTCTACCCTCTTTATTTTACTTTTATTTTTATGTATGCAAAAGAATAAAAAACAAAAATAATAGTCATAAAATTAATAACAAACATAGGCATTCTTTATATTAAAAAAAAAAAGGTCTGATTTTAATGACTTGACTAGATTAGAAAACAATTTTATTTTATTTTCTCTTTTAATCAAAAAGGTAAACCAAGAAAAATGCAAGGAAAAAGACAAGGAGAATATCATTCTCTATCAGTGACTTTTTTTTTTCTTTTTTTCTTTTTTGGCTTGGTTTGTTCAAGAGTGATACTGGTTACCTCGTTAACCCCCCGATGAAGCAAAATAGCATCGTGCCATTTTTGAAGTGCAAAGCATGCTACACAATTTCTAAAAAGTAATGTAGCATATAGTCAGAATATCTTTCTCTCTCTCTCTCTCTCTCTCCACCCTCTGATAAACTTATATGAATGATGATATATAGCAGCTTTAATTTCTTTTAGGAATTGCTATGTGCACTCTCTTTAGAGTGGGGTTTAAACTTTCTTTTGGAGACACGTTTCTTCTTTAATAAAACTTGAGCTTACTTTTGAATATGAATGGCAAGTTTAATAATTCCGTTCTTAGCTGACATCTCAAGTATATACATAATATACAATATATAAATAAATAAATATATGAAGAGAGAGAGATAAAGGGCGGTGAATCGATAGTAGAAAGGCCAAGATTATTATTTTGTAATATAAATAATAATAGGGCTGACACAAAACAACAGAATGAGTTGTTGAAAGTAGTGGAGTGTTTGATTGTAATTTATGTATTTTACTATAAAATAAAATTATCTTCAAGGAGCCCAACACAATGGTGGCAAGGAAAGGAGAGGAAAGGAAAGGAGTTCAATTTTCTCAACGAGTATAATTGGGAACTTGCCCAAAATAATTACAACGATTCAGCAAGCGGATTTCAAAAATAAAAGTATACATCTAGAACCACAAGCCTTTAGTTATTTTTTTTTACGAATAGTCATTAATTATGAAGCACACCCCATGCCAGAATCATTGTCACTAGATATATATTATCAGACTTTTACATTCATTTTGTAGATATATATAATATAATAAAGACCTAACTAAAGTAATTATGTTTGGACTAACTTATTGAGCAATTGGCCAGATCACATGTATCAATACTCGTCAATGAAGCATACTTTCCAGACAATATATGGCACATATAACACACACACACACCGACAAACAATGACGATTCGTTCATTTCAGTACCAACAAGCTCTTCTTTATGTTTTGTTTCGAACAAGACAGCTTAAAGGCTTTATTTCCATTTATATCATTAAAGGATGATGTAGAGTTCTGTAGAGATAATAACAGTGATTTTCTTTAGAAACACAAGAGTAGGCCATACCTTATATTTAGGAAGAGTTTCTGGGTGGCTCAGAACAAAATTTTTAAGCCAAAATAATAATAGGAATTGTGTTGTTTGGAGGTCCATGGTGAACAAGCTATAAAGCTCTGTACGATTGATTCCAAGAAACAATATTCCATTCTAGTGTTAAATTTATGTCTTGTCCCTCCAGGTCCTTTGTAAGCTGTCTAGACACACATATATATACACTAATCTAGTAGCACAACACCATTACACACCCTTCAAGATCTAACCTTTCTTTTTATTATAAAAGAAGAAGAAGAAGAAGAAGCATATTTACATGACAGCAGCAAATGGTGGGTGGGTGGGTTTGCTTATTGTTGTTTTTTTTTGGTGTAATACAATTAATCTACTTATCGTTTCTGGATATATAGCCAAACATATTTATGGTTTGTGCAGAAATACAGGTAGAAAGAGAACAAATTATAGTATATAAAATATAAGTATAAATTCTATAATCAAAGGTCTCTTGCTTCACACCAGGATGAGCTCTATAGTCCATTTTGAGTATCTCGTTGCCAACAAATTTTGGCATATGTATATACGCATATGACGGTTATACCTTTTTCGCTTTTCTTTTTCTTTTCTGTTTTTTTTTTGCTACAAGATCATCGAGTCTAAATTTATGTTAACAATGAAGCCACTAGATTAGTGTGACTACAACCAGTTTATACAATATTCATAAAGCTTTCTTACATACAGCGGTGTAGTTTCAGGCTACCATTTGAAGAAAATATACATGAGACATACTACGTATCTATATTTAATTAAGTAAATGACTGTTTATTAAAGCCTTTTGGATTAGGTTGATTGAGTCAATTTTTGGGAATATGATGATAATAATAATAATAAAAAAAAAAGGGATAGGATGAAAACAGTTTAGATTTATGGTAATTTCTGGCTTAGATTCTATTGAATACTTGGATACTTGAATACTTGAATGTCAATGTAATCTTTAAAGCATCTCCCGAGAATCTAATCTCGATTGTTATTATTGATACTAAATGTGGTGTACGGATCTCCATAAAAAACAGGTTCTCCCGGTTCTATGAATAGTAACAAGTAATAATAATAATAATAATAAAAAACTGGCTGGCTGGCTGGAAACATTTGTGTATGGAAAGATAGTATGATTGCTATTCATATCAATAAAAGTATTAGTAGCAAAAAAAAACAGTAAATATACAAGCAGCTCTCTATTGTTATTCTTTATTTTTTTATTTGAAAAAAAATCCTTTGTCCTATTTGATCTTCCTGAAAACTCAAGTATCACAACACATTGACGTAACTCGAACAAAAGCTATGAAAGGCAATCAAGTCTGTAAATAATATATAATCCGACTTGTGAACCATAGGGCAATTTTACTTTATTTTGTTCATCGTTGATCCTTTCTTTCTTCTTCTTTTTTTCTTTTACTACACTGCTTTTGCTTCAAATTTAGACAGAAAGAATAAATAGATAAATGAGACGAGTGTAGACAGGTGTCCGAGAAAAAGAAAGAAATAAAGTAGAGCACAATGAAATCGACTGTACGCTTTGATGTGCAAAGTCCATACCCATGTATTGCCTACAGGCTATCTTGTCAAGAAACATTAAAGACATCCCTAAATAATCTATTCTCCTCTGCTCCATCTGATATAATCCGTAATTTTTTTCCTTGGCTTGTATTCGATATATTACCAAATTTAAAAAGTCTTAATCTATTATGACAGCAAAGCCAACCCTCTGAAGTACATAAAATCCTACTACAGACTGTCAATAGTGTGCAAAGTGTTTCAATAAAAAAAATCAACTGTTTTCAATCACTAACGGGCATTATACCACCTTATATGCTAATCGATACGCATACTCTAAATGCTCTGATCTTAAATGCTTCCGTTGTTAGCACTTCACAAATCTGAAAAGCAAAAAGTTGGGACAAAATCTCCTATTTTAGCTGGGACACGTTTGTCCCATCTATACTGCTTTTTGGTTTTTCGGTTTTTGAGATTATTTTTTTTAAAAAAAAAAAACAATGACAACCGCCCTGAAGTGCAAGCATGTGGCTTTTTATGGTAGGGTTCCCAAACACGTATTTTGCGATGCCAGCCTGTAATTCCTCTTCTCCTAACGTCTCAACGTATCGGAATTAATTTCCCATCAAAGAGATTGCCGTTTTGCCACCAAATACCGTCTTTGTATATCATTCTTCTAAATCCCAAGTTATTTGCTCCTATCTGCGGACTCATCGCCTTGGATTTAATATCCAAAAAGATTCTCTCATACCACCTCTTTATGCAAGTATCTAATAGCCTACCGGGGATTTTTTTGTTAAAATCTCAAAAACCGAAAAACCAAAAAAAAAAAAAAAAAAAAAAAAAAAAACGAAAAGCACTATACATGGAACAAACGTATCCCAGCTAAAATAGGACATTCTGTCCCAACTTTTTGCTTTTCAGATTTGTGAAGTGATAAAGTTTATAAGTCTTACTGAATTCTGTTTAAGAATTAGAATTATACTATGAAAAAGTAATGGTGATTCCTGTGATGATTTTGGGAAATTTCTATTGTATCTTTCAAGATCATCACTCTCTTTTCATAGTGTCACATATTCTATCAATAATTAATCTGAAGAAAGGCTATCATTTTCGGTATTAAATAAAACACACATTTCAATAGCTAAAGTAATCATTTCAACTTATCAATACTTCTTAGAGTAGTAAAGCTATCAAACCACATCTTTTTTTTAAAAAAAAAAACCCCTTTTGGCACTTTTACGGATTACTACTGATTTCATTTTTATTTAACTAAAAACAGTAGAGGTATTATTGGCTATTGAGAAGATAAATGGTCAAAGTGTATATATTTTCAATACAAATGCTATCCATACAGCTATGATGTGTGGTTGTAGCTCGGATATTACTGTTAGTGTCATTCTTGGTGGTACTTATGGTATGTTACTGGAGTTTGCTTAGGGAAAGACCTGAGCAGAAATAAGAGCAATTGCTATTTTGCTCTTGGTAATTACTTGGTTGCTTCCAAGGTCGATCCCTCTTCCGATGCTGTCAAATACGCATCCATGATTTCCAAGGAAGCTCAGGAATTTTTTGTGGGAGCTGGACAAGCTTTTAAGGTCATAAAGAATTTCAATTCTCCCACCGCTGTTCTTGCTGAAAAGATAAGCATGCTTGTACCTAACAATCTTTCCTTTCTGCAATTGAGGTCTGACATTCATCCGATGAAGGTTATTTGTGACGTGCTTGACTCTGTTTACTATTTCTGTAGGAGTTTACCATGGTCCTTGAGTTGCATTCCCTGTCCTTGGACTCTTGCTGGGGGCGCCTGCTCCCCACATGCTTGAACAAGGAAGAAAGATCCTGGTTCGAAGACAGACTGAAGGGCAAGGTCTACAGGTTAAAACATACTGAGAGCATCCTGTTAGACCATTACAACACTCCTTTCCGCAAGTTCCTGAACATCGGTCGTGTCTGGTGCATGAAGCAAGGCAAGGGAGAATCTGCTCGTTCCTTTGGAGCCAAGTTCCAGAAGTTCCGGCGTCAAGCCTCATTGGACGATGGTGTTCAGTTGGTCCTCTGCTTCTGGTGGAATCTGCGTCCTGAAGTCCGGGAAGCCTGTCTCATTCCTTTGTCTGCCAACTATGGCACCAAGATGCCCTCAAAGATTGAGGACATCATCTCGTTGGTGAGTGTGTCAACAAGTGACTCCACTGCTTTGTTACATAATCCTGCCAATGGTACTGCCGCGTCCTCCTGGAGTTCGTTTGCTGCTCACAATGGTGCGTCCTCTCTCTCTGCTGGTTCCCACAAGGGAAAGAAAAGGTCTTTCTCTCGCGAGCGTGGTTCTCAGTCTCCCAAGAAGTCATGGGACTTCAAGAAGGCGATGAAGGATAGCATCTGTTTCTCGTGCAAGGCTCCCTGGGTTAAGGGACACTCCTGTCCGGAACGGGAGAAGTACTTGACAAAGGTGTCAAGGATGGCAGTCCGCTCCTCTGCTGGTAGACCAGCAAGAGCTTCCACTGTGGTTGAGGGGAGTCCCTCGTTGTCTTGGTCAGAGTACCAAGACAACACTAGTGCTCTGGCCAAGATGGCATTAGATTGTAAGTACAATCTGAAAGACATGGTTATTAAAAGAGATTTTAAGAACATGAGCACTAATATTACCTTTTTTTATTCTGCCAAATAATTCTATTAGAACCATCTCCTTGTTGGACTGTGGGGCCACGTTCAGTTCGGTGGACAAGAATTTTTGCTTGAAGAATAGAATAGCCATTAGTTATATCAATCACATTAATAAAGATTTGTTGAGCAAAAACAATGTTCATAAGTATTTTATTCGTTTGGCTGATAGCAATACCCAGATTATAAGAATCGGTACTTGTGTGATCAGTGTAACTTGCAATAGTAAGACTATTCAACGCGAGTTTGAAGTGATGAATTTAACTAATAGTCATGAGTATGATTTCAGTATTGGTACTGATTATATGTCTTCTCTTGGTATTGGTATTTATGGTTTACCTTTATCATATGATGATGCTGATTCAAGTGAGGAACGTAGAGAAGCCGATAGACGCTTCAATAATAAGAGTGATCTTCTTGAATCCATTGAGAGAGAAAATGAACAAAAGGAAAATAATCCGGCTGTAGGTCCCAAACAGTTTGAGGATGCTATGGATTATATTCGTCCGTTCATTAAAGACAATCAAGATATTCCTAAGGGTTCGTTTTGTACTATACCTGAAAGTGTTGTATGTTTGGACACTCCAGAAAATGCTACGGTGTTCAGAAGCCCTTATCCCATTTCTTACAAGATGCAAGGTGTAGTGGATGAACAGGTGAAAGAATGGCTGGACAATGGAATACACCTTTGACTGTAGTCAAAAAGACAAACGGTAAAGGTTAAATAACTGGATATCGTGTTTGTCATGATCCCTGCTTAATGAATCGTCTGTTAAAGTCAATAGATTGCATTCCTCTGCTATTTATTAGTGGATTATTTGAAGTTGAATTCGAAGAAATATCATTTCTTTCAGAAAGAAATTTCTTTGCTTGGGTTTCATAGTTCTGCTGAAGGAATTATTGAGGACCGAAGGAAACTTGTTAATGTTCTCGAATTTTCTCAACCAAAGATGGATAAAGATATTCAAAGTTATTGTGGGTTAACTATACTATTTTCACTTTTCCCTTTGAATCGTTTACTTTTTTAATATTGATATTAAAGTATATCAAAATAAATATCCATATTCAAAATAATATATTATCGAATAAAAATAAATAATCAAGTATTTGTATCGTATTTTAAATGCAATGATGACAATAATAGATGAAAAGACAAAATAAAGACTATAAAGCATCGATGATCTTATCTATTTGTCCTGTAGATAATATACTGCAAAAGATTATTAACTTAAAATATGAATATATTTCTATTGTTATAGCTAAGTGGCTATCATTCTGTCAACAGATAAATATATTACTTATATGTATTTATGATAAAGCGATCAGACCAATAATTATTTACACTAAGTACTGAGTTAATATTAAGACATTGCTATAAGATTAAATTATAAATATAGCAGTAACAGCTCTTTAATATCTAAATATGGTAAAGAAATAGATCCTTAAGCTAAGATGTGACTGACATCACAGATCGTATTTTTGTATAAAAAGGAGAAATTTTTATTCTTTAATAAAGGAAAACCTATATACAGTCTCAAAGTATTCTTATATATGCCCCTACCTCTTTTTTTAATTGATTTTTTAACCTCAAAACTTCACATTTTTTACTTTGAATTCTACGATGTCTTCTCAAAACTCTGCTGTTCACTCTTTTTTCCTTGAAGAACAAAACCCTCACGCTGAAGCTGGCATACTCTCTCCTGTTCTAAGTGAACAAACCTATCGCACATAAGTTGGCAATATTTCTCATCTCCTTGGTTACACTGCTTTCTTCATCGATGTTGATACCTAAATGGTTTACACCAGTCTTGGTTCCTTGCCTTCCCCGTCCGTTTCTGGTTATGTTCCTCCTTCTCCCACGTCTACTCCTCCATCGGTTGTTAATGTTAACACTAGTGGCCAGGTCACTATAGAAATGTTGTTGGCTTCTGCTAAGGAAGACCTTAGCACAAAGAAGAACAACTTTTATGTGGCCTATGCCAACTACATAGCCCTCTCCAGGGTCAACCCCATGTTGGACGCGGCCAGACATGCTTCCTCCATCAAGAATGAAGCTCAAGAATTGTTTGAGGATGCCCAGACGGCCCTCGAGATACTTGAAAAATCCAACGCTCCTGCTGTTGTTCTTGAAGACAAGAAAAGTATGGTAGTTCCTAGCAACTTACCTTTCTTGCAGCTCTGCATTGAGCCCAAGGTGAAGCAAAATCGCGGCGTGTTTGACTCTGTCGATGATTTTTGCCAAGAATTCACCATGGTCCTGGAGTCGCATTCCCTATCCTTGGACTCTTGCTGGGAGAGCCTGCTCCCCAAATGCTTGAGCAAGGAGGAAAGATTCTGATTTGAAGATAAACTAAAGGGAAAGGCGTACAAGTGGAAGAAAGCAGAAGGACTTCTGCTGGATCACTACAATACTCCTTTCAGAAGATTTCTGAACATGGGTCGTGTGTGGAAAATGATGCAGAAGAAAGGTGAGTCAGTTCGTGCGTTTGGAGCTAAATTTCAAACAGCTAGGAGACAAGCCTCATTGGAGGATGGCATCCAGATGGCCTTTTGTTTCTGGTGGAATCTGTGCCCGGAAGTCCAGGAAGCAAGCTTGATTCATCTATCGACCAACTATAGTACAAAATTGCCCTCCAAAGTGGAGGACATCATATTGTTGGTTAGTGTTGCCACTAGCAATTACACGGCTCTGCTCAACCAACGTGCAGAGTCTGGCACCCCTGCCAAATGGAAGTCCTTTACAGATGCTCATGGTGCCTCTTCCTCGATAAGCCACAAAGGAAAGAAGAGAGCCTTCGTCAGGAACAATGATCCAAAACCCGCCAAGAAGTCTTGGAGTTTCAAGAAAGCAATCAAAGACAATGTTTGCTTCTCTTGCAAGGGTGTTTGGGAGAAGGGTGACACCTCCCCCAAAAGGGAGAATTATTTGATGAAGGTATCAACAATGGCTCTGCATACACCTACTGATAGATCAGCACGTTCCTCTTCTGCTGCTGATGGTTTACCTCTTCTGCTGCTGCTGGTTTCCCTCTTCTGTTGCTGGTGGGCTCTCTTCTACTGCTGATGGGTTTTTTTCTGCTGGTGATGGTCCATCATTGTCTTGGTCAGAATATTAAGACAATACTAGTGCCCTGGCCAAGATGACACCTGATTGTAAGTACGATCTAAAAGACATGGTTATTAAAAAAGATTTTAAAAACATGAGCACTGTTGTAAATGAGTATTGACTACTGCTGTAATTGAGAATAAGTCTGAAGGAAATAATATAAGGCCTCAGCTATTCCAGTCAAAGGTGTCTACCAATTACTTTATTATTTAACACACAGGTTTAGCATGCATGATAGTGATTATATTTCATATGATGATATTACCATAATATGGGATACATCAGTGGATTATTATAAGCATAATTATAACTCATAAACACATTTACTTTCGATATTAATACTTCATTGGGACTACACACATTTATATAATTAATCATACATTAATTATCCCAAGATCACGTTGCTCTGATTAAGGCTCAGATAGGATCGATTACCTGACCCCAGTCATATAATTTTCCCAATCTAAAACAATATAAATAGCAGTAGTAGTTCAGTGTAGGAACCTCGTCAAACTTTGATACAAAATCTTTCTCAATAAACAAAACCTACACAAGTTCTCATGAATCTTCGTTCCTAATTTCAAATCTTGAATTCTTCCTCTTAAAAACTTCTTCAACTTCAACCACCACAACAAGCACTAATATTACCTTTTTTTATTCTGCCAAATAATTCTATTAGAACTATCTCCCCATTAGACTGCAGTGCCGCATTCAGTTCAGTGGACAAGATTTTTTGCTCAAAGAATGGAATAGCCAGTAGTTATATCAATCACATCAATAAAGATTTGTTGAGCTAAAACAATGTTCATAAGTATTTTATTCATTTGGCTGATAGCAATACCCAGATTATAAGAATCGGTACTTGTGTGATCAATGTAACTTGCAATAGTAAGACTATTTAGTGCGAGTTTGAAGTGATGAATTTAACTAATAGTTATGAGTATGATTTCAGTATTGGTACTGATTATATGTTTTCTCTCGGTATTGGTATTTATGGTTTACCTTTGTCATATAATGATGATGATGATTCAAGTGAGGAATATATACTGCAAAAGACTGTCAACTTGAGAATTTAATATAGTTTTATTAACATTGTTAAATTTTCAAAGAAAATTAAAAATTAAAAACTAAAAATTAGATTTTATTTTTTATTGTGATTTCTAATTTGCTTTTTTTTAGCTGTAAAATTACACCAACATCACTTTTCCCTCTGCATTTTACATGTCTTTAATATCATTGTAAATTATACTCAAAAAAATATTTATATTAAAAGTATTATATTCTTAAATAAAAGTAAATATTTTTTAGATAATACATTTTTTTAGATAAAATCAAATAAACTGTATCTTTTTTTTATTTTTATGTAATAAATGTAAATGGAAGAGTAAGTCTTTACACAAACTATTTAAAGTGATATTATTTTGAGCATGTGTCATGAAGTTATGTGATTTCATATTTTCTGCAGTAATTTTACATGTATTTTTTTTTTGATATAAAGGAGAGGAAAAGAGATTTTTTTAACACACACATTGTGAGATGTAAATATTTCTAGTTCAATAAAGTTATTTTATTACAGAGTTCTTGTAATTCCAAATATTAATTTTTTCTTTTTTTTTAAAAAAGAAAGAAAAGTATGGTTTTAATATCTTGTGAAAAATATGTCTTGTCTAGTTACTTGAAGATATATAGACTTTTGGAATAAAGTAGAGAGTAAATATATTAAAAAAAATACTTGTTACAATTAGCAGTAAAGTCTATTACTCTGTAAACAGAATCTTTATTTAAACTTGATCGTTTACATTTTCTCAGAAAACACAGTGAACCTTTGATGTTTACAATGAACTTGGTAAAAAATAACATACTTGCTATCATTATAATAATATACATTTTTTATCAAATAATTACTGGTGTGGTATTTCAGGTACGAAACAATAGAAAAATAAAATATTTGATAATAGAGACATATAGAAATACTTTGAGACTATATATCTGTTATCTTTATTCATAAATAAAAAGTGTCCCTTTTTATAAGAAAACACAATCTGCTCTTGTCATTATGTCTTAGTTTCTTAATGTTTTCTTCTTTTACTATATTTGATTATTAGAGTGTATTTACTGCTTAACTAGTATCAGTATTACAATTATGACATCAAGTCATAAATTGTACTTCTTTAGCTCTTAACTATTCTTTTCTCTTTTATACTAGAGCTTTAGGACTTCCTACTAAATTAGCTCCATATCGATCTGACACAGTTTACCTGGCAGTATGATATAATTATCTTAATAATTTTTAAGATATTATCTACAGTACTAACTGTAATAATTATTGGGCTGATTACTTAATCGTTTATATATTTTATACTGACAAGATGATAGCTACTATGCTATCCCAATATGAATATGTTCTTATATGTGATAAATCCAACATCTGAGTGTCTGGATTACTACAAGTGTTTTCAGCTAGAACTTTTAAATCTCTGTCAAATATAGCAGCTAGATACAATTTAGAACCTTAAAATTTTCATAAAATAAAATAAAAGAAACTGCTGAGAAAATAACTTTTATCTAAAAGTTCAAACACAGTATAAAAGTTGGGATAAAAGCTACTGCTGAAGATGCTCTCAATATATACTCTTAAAGGCAAGCAACAGCTCTACAGTGCGTGCGCCTGCCAGCATTTTGATTTTACTGTTTTATTTACATAAATAAACCATCTGGTTTGCTGGTGTAGTTGGTTATCACGTATGCCTCACACGCATAAGGTCGCCGGTTCGAACCCGGCGCAAATCACTTTTGCTCGTGGCGAATCATCTTTAAATATTTAAGTTCCGTTTTAATTGTCTCCGTTAAGAATTAAAGTCGGTGCTATATTTTTTGGGCTGTGTGTCATTTAGCCTTAACTCAATATCCGAATTTAATACCAGTTTTTTTTTAAAAAAAGTAAAATAAAATCAGGGTGAGATGTGAAAAGAAGGGGGGTTTCATGATCTCTATAGACAAATATATAGATTGTGGTATATTAATATTGGTGAATTAAAATTAATATAAATTTAAGAAAGTAATTGAGCTCTCCCTTTTTTTGTTTTTTTTTTTGTTAATATATATATATAAATAAATAAAAAAAAAGGTAAAATAGTGAACAGCAACAATTTTTTTTAAAAATTTTAATGAAATTGATATTTCTGTCCAAGTCAATACTGTGCTAGCTTTTAAAAAGCTAGGTGGTCTGTACCTTTATATTCAGAGACAATAAAATCCTCTAATGATAACAAGAATTCAACAAAACAACAATCAATAATAATAACGATAATAATAAAAATAAAAAGAGATACTAGATAGATAGCTAAATCTATGATATATGCATTAGTCAGTGTAGTTTAATAAATTTCGTTATTTTATAGATGGTTTTCTTTTTCGTTTCTTACATCATTTGAAATATTAAATAAATATACCTCTTTTTCTTTTTTATATATATATATATTATGTGTATATTATAGCTTATTTTTTTTTTGTACTAGCATTTAGAGTTAAAGTTTCACAGTATTCTCTTAATCCTGGGACACAAACAGACACGAAGAATAGCATTTTGTGCGCGTATAATTATTTCTTATTTAATTTTTTTTGTAGAATTTATATACAACACTTTTTCTGTAATCTTTTTATTTTTATTTTGTATATACATTCAAACATAAAGAATGGGGGAGAGAAATGAGGTCTTTTACAAATTATTTACATTATATACTTTTAATGCTCCTTGTTTTTAATCTTGTCATCGTACTGGCGATAAAGACCCTCGGTTTTGATAAGATTTGCAGCGTTTGTATAGATGTCTTCTACCGCAGACTCCTCTTCCAACTGTTCCTGTACAAACCACTGGAGCAGGTTATCGGATGTCCAGTCTTCTTCTTTGCGGGCCAGAGAGACAAGTTTATGGATCTGTCGACTGTTTTCTTGCTCGTTTTCCATTGCAAGTTTCCTTTTTTTTTAATTTGTTTTTTTTTTTTAGTATATATACATACATTATTGAATATATTAAACTAACCATGCTTCTGCTGGATTGGCAAATTCATATTTGTTCTGAGCATCGACTGTCTTGACAAGGGCACCTTTTGCACGACGTTTGATAATGTGATCAAAGATTCTGAGGGCATGGGAGCGTTCTTCGTCTGAATGGGTTCTGCACCACTCAGCACTGCCGGGTAGTTCTTGGTCATGGAACCAGAGAGATAGGGAAAGATAGGCATTTGATGAACTTAGTTCTCGATTGGCTTGTTGGATGAGACCATTGAGCATGGTATCCGAGATATGCATTGCAGTTGTCATTTTTGTTCTGAAGAGTAGGGGGTTGATGAGGCGAGGAGCTTGTGAGTTAATAAAGAAACGTCTAGTAGAAAGCATAACAGAGGTGGGGAAACAAAGCTTGGTTTATATAACAATTTTTTCTTTTTGTTTTATTTAAATAGACGATTAGAGATTGGTGGTGATGATGATAGTATTATGTTATGTGGTATGTGGTTATGTTGTATATACAGAAAGACATTGATTATTTTTCCCTTTAACAAACATAATGTATATAGACGTACTGTAAGAAATATATACTAAATAATGAAAGTGATGTGTTAATGACGTGAGTTCCATTGGCCTTTTATATACAAAATATTTATTTATTTTATTTTTGATGCCAGATTATTGTGCTTTTCAAAACCTATAAAGAATAAATTGACGTATTCTGGTTTAAAATAAATAAAATTCAAAGCATAAAACATACATATATTAATTTGTTGTATTAAGAAGAAGTATAACTAAGCAAGAAAATAAATAAATAAATAAATAAAGAAACGATATGATTCGCCAAAGAAAGTCTATTTTCTTTACAATAGAGTAGAACAGAAATACTAGCATATTTGTATGTTTTTATATAATTGATATATATATATAATCTATACATATATGTATCCATACGCACACACGCATATACGCGCGCACGCGTGCATACATATTTATACATGTGATTTGCTCTGTGATCTTGAATATGAAGAGCAGCAATTGGTACCAATCAATAGAATATAGTTGTTAACTGCTTCTTGTTCACAACTGAAGATAGAAATCAAATCATTCACCTTGCTCACATTGTTCTCACCCAATCGGCTCTACTATCTTTTTATCCTATTCTATTTTACTATTATCGTTTTTAGTCTGGTTGAATTAGGTCATTGCACAATATTTAACAAGATAAAAAAAACAAATCACAGTAAACTAAGAAAGAAAGAAAAGATAAATGAAATTGATCGAAATTCTATTCACAACCTCTCTCTCTCTCTCTTTAAATTTTTTTTCCGGAGCAACTCTGACCCGACCACCGTTTTAAGCAGCCATCAAAGGGTTCTACACGCACGTGCCACCCGTGGTGTACAAGAAGAGTGTTTTCATATATATGTATATAATTTTTTTTATCTTTTATATAGATATAGATAAGTGCTATATTATATTATATATATTAAAATAGATAGATAGATAGATAGATAGATAGATAGATAAAAAAAAACTAAAGAAAGAAAGAAAATATACCACTGCTGAATATCTAAATAAATAAAACCAAGGATTTCTCACACTCTTTCTATTGTACAAACCAAAAAGAAACAACATACAGCACATATTTATAGCTATAAAGTTCTATATTAGATTGAATTGAATTGAATTGAATATAGAGACCAAAGCCATCACAACAAATAATCATATAAAAGATTCACACACTTTCTCTGGCATGGATTAGATAATGGAATTGTATTGGTCAGAAAAAAAAATAGCATTGGCTCTTGGTTTTAGTAATGTCGATTATGTGATTATATGACGGTTGATTATTGGTTATTTGACCTGGCAAATCTCTGGTTTGGCTTGGTTTGGTCTGGCCTGGTCTGTTTTGGCTTGGCCTGGCCTGGCCTGGCCTGGTTTTGTCTGGTCTGGTCTGGTTTGATTCGATTCGATTTGATCTGATTTTTCTTTTCGGGTTGGTTTGGCCTGGTCTGGTTCGATTGTTTCTTTCATCTCCGCCTTTCTCTCTCTCTCCCCCCCCTGTGCAAGTCATTATCCCATCCTCTTCCAATCCCCCCTTTGATTTGTACTTTCTATACCTCTCCCCCACATATACACAATACGTCTATAGTATATTCAATACAATCAGTATTATATATAATTTATATCTGTATATTCTTTCTCTTGAATATTAGTCTTATCAGTTTAAACATGCAATTAAATCTATCGAAAAGACAGACTATAAAGATATATATATTATTATTATATAAAATTCATTCCCGTTTTTGTATAAGGTTTCCCCTCCTTCCCCTCTTAACTTACCCCCCCCCCCCCCCAAAAAAAAAAAAAAAAAAAAAGAGCAATATACACTATATATATATATATGTATATAAATTTTATTATATAAAGTCCCTCATAGTTTTTTTTTTCTTTTTGGGTATCACAGTTTTTTTTAAAAAATAAATATATAAAAAAAAAAAGGAAACTGTGACTGGGAAGATCTTTCTTTTTTATATATATAATTTGAAAAAAAAAAAGACAAAAAAAAACTAAACTTGTCTTCTTTATAACCATTCTTAAAAGACTTTCTCTTGTACTCTACTTCCCAGAAAGCAACCAATCTATAACCACCATAAACATGCCTGCATCTACAGCCACAGCCACAGCCACAGCCACAGCCACAGCCACAGCTAATGCTTCTGCTCCTTTGAGCAAGTCTCACTACACAGCCATTCCATCCTTTCCTGCCTGTTTAGGTGGTGAATGGAAGAACATGGTCAAGAAGCCATATCTTAAAGCAACCATGCGATTTACAATTGGAACAGTACTGGTAAATAATATTATTATTGTAATATATTTTTTTTGTAGTTACTTACGATTTATTGTAGCCACCACATCATTTTCCTTCTGTATCAAGGATCGAAGTCATTTCTGGATCTATCCAGGTGAACGATCTGCAGAACGGTGAGGCCTATCTGATCGGTCCAGGTCAGGACTGCATGATTCCTGCTCTGTTGGTTCATGAGGTCCAGTGCATCGAAAACGTCGAATTCGAATTTGCAATGAACCGAGATGATATGGTCATCTACTGGGACCTTGAAGAACGATAAACAACACTTCTTTGAATGCTAAAGAAAAAAAAAACCAATTTTTTTTTTACTTCATAATCCTTCCTCAAGAAAAACCCAAAGCCAAATTTTACATTTCCTTTTCTTGATCTGCATTTATACTTCTCTATTCATTTTTTTTTTTTTGCTTTTTTGTTTTTATATTTTATATCTCTTTTCTTTCTACACTTCTTTACCATTATCATTCTTTATCATTACTAGTATTATATTTATTTTCTAAAAAAAAATTCCAAAGAAACAACCATCAAGCACTACAGAAGAAAAAAAAATCTCTTTTTTTTTACAATGATTGTCAATTGTATTTATCTTGTCTATTGTCTACCTCTCTCCTTTATGTTGAAGGTATAGATATAAGAAAACAAAAAAAAAAGAGCTTGTGTGTGTGTGTATGTGTGTTGTGGATATTTCAATACCTTTTCCTTTCCTTTCCTTTCTTTTAATTTTTATTTTTATTTTTATTATTAATCGGGATTAATAATGATTTTATTATAATTTCCTTGGCTTGGGTTGGGATTGGATATGAAGGAAAATAGGACATACAAATGTAACAAGCAACAAGCAAGAAAAGAAGAAGAATTAAGGAACAAGGAACAAGAGGTAACAGGTAAAGAAGTAAGTTTTTTTTTTTTTTTGGAATTTACAGTCAACTTTGTTGGAAATTCTACTTTATGAATTATAGATCAAAAGAAGAAATATATAGATAGCTAAGTTGAAAAGGTTGTGTGATATATGAGACAAGACAGGACAGGACACAGAATTGAAGACCATTTTGGCAACGGTATCTAGATTATTATTGGTCTTCTTTATGTTTTATTTCTTTCTTTATGACCCACACCCAGTCCAACTGGCCCCACATCCCCCCCAAAAAAGACCCCCTTCGCCCATATTCACCCCTGTATCCCCTTCTTTTTTTCTTCTTCCTCTTTCACCCGACCCTTTTATATTTTATATTTTATATTTTATATTTTCTTGCGGTCTGTGAATGTGTAAATGAACTCAATTTGATATATAAAAAGTAGAAGAAGTGTATAGTATAATCTCTATCTATATACTAATTATTGAAAAGGTGAGTCATTTATTAAGAGAAGTAAATAATGCATCTAAAATAAACATATTTATAATATAATTTCTTTGAAGATTATCAAATTTTATGCACACAAAAAATAAAAATAAAATTCATTTTGAAGGTGAAAAATGCATTGACCAGCACTAGATTTTTTTATTTTATTTTATTTTAGAAAAATAATTTTTAGTTACAAAATGTAGTACTAGAAATTATACATTCAAAAGACAACACTCAAAACAACAAGATTCCCCCCCTCATTTTTGTTTGTTATCAATCTATTACATAATTACTACAATGTGAGTCAGAAAGTAAAAGTAAAAGTTAAAAAAAAAAAATCAAATTATTCCTTTCTTCCATTTTTATTGTATACATCTTTTTTAGGCTCAAGTATCACAAATCCAAACCTTGCACCCCTCAAAACAACAACAACAGATAGTCAAATTTATCCAATTAATTGATTGGCTTGAATGAATTGAATGAATTGGCTAATATACCTTATGTTTCTTATGAACATCTTGAGCTTATCATTGGTTGATTAACAAATATCTACAATCACAAGCCATTCAATCTTTTACCTTCTTTACTATCGATTGATAATCCTAACATTTTATCTATCTATCTATTTTATAACAAAAAAAACAGCCAAAAATTGTTTGTAACCCTCAAAGCACCAATCCATTCTCTTTCTCTTTCTCTTTATATTAATTGTAATAAATGTGTGTGTGTGTGGGTACTTATTGGTTATTAGAGTACAATGGTTCCTTGAACCCCAACCCGGTCCAAGAATAATAGCTATAGATGATTTGATCTATTCCCAGTTACAGAAGCACAATAAATAAAAAAAATTATATAACAAATCGATCGATCGAGACCCTTGTGAAATGTATGTATTTATATATATATATTAGAGAACTTACAAAGAAACTTATAGTCTGTTAGGAATGGTCTAATATGACGAGAATAAGACAAACCCAAAAAAGAAAGAAACAAAGAAAGGTACCCAAACCATTCACGTGAATGCCAACATATTACATTTGAGGACCAATCCATGTAAGAATATAGAAAAAAAAAGAGCACCCAATCTCATATCCTTCTTTTGATTGGTAATGACATGTATACATACATACCTGTTTAAAACAAACAGGTCAACACATTCTATTGCTTTACAATTCATTCTACTTCTTCTAGCTTTCCAAGAGAGTTCGTTACACACTTTCCATGTCAAATCATACCAAAAAAAAAAAACAAATAGCAAGAAACCTTCTTTTTTTTTTCTATGACGTAAACTTGTATGCATAGAGCGCATCTCTATATTGATCTTTCTATCTGTCTATACCTCTCTTTCACTATACATATACATATATACTTCTTTATCTAAACACATTTTCTCTCTCTTTGATATATATAAAATAGAATATATTTAAACAAAACAAAAACAAAAATTAAATAAATAAAGAGAATGAAAGAGAAAAAGAAAGATCAAAAGACAGAAATAATAAAACCTAAAGCCAAAGACCCAAAAGACAAAATAGCCAAAAGGAATACAGAGATGCCTAAAAAATATAACGCATCAGATGGTGTTCGACTAAACAAACCATCAAATGAAAACCACATTATAATGACAAATCGCGGAATTAGTTGGAAAAAATCGATGGCGCGAATTAGAGAATGTTTGAAAGCGTACAAAGAGATTAATCGAAAGCATAGCTTAAATAAAGGTAAGATCGTCTTGCTGTTCATAATCCTCAACTGTCAAATGTCGAGTACTTACTCGTCATCATCATAACTGACATTATTTATGATTACTATTATAATCAATAATTATAACGACAACATTCTGGTTGATGTATCTTGGTGCATTGCGTCCAACTACGGCAGATGTATTTAGTTTCACAAAAATGCCCGAAAACTACAAAATCATCGGAACAGCTCGTCCAAAACATTTACATTTAGGCAGTACATTCAACCACATTCAAGGTACACGGGTAATTTGTGTCATTTCGTCTTCTCTATAATGCTCTAACAGATACATATCTATTATCCATTATTGTAGGTCATCCATCAGGTAAAGTCTTTACTTCACCAGGTAAGAAAAAAAAAGAAAGAAAGAAAGAGAAAATAGGACTGTATTTCATATTGGAATTAAATATAATACATACACTAGAGGACTTTGCTCCTCATGTCTTTTGGTTGCGTACAAGGAATATCCTAAACGCACCTTGTAAATGTTCCCTGTGCTGTAAGCCAGACACCGACCCCGTGTCCAGTCTGTCGATCTCATCAAAACACAAACTTACCAAAGGCAGCACTAAGTCAGACGAACCCACACCCATCCCAGATCAATCTATAACTACCTCTACCACTGATCTCATCCAAAATAAAACACACACATCTTACGACCTCAGACTACATACTGACCAAACCATCTCCTCCACCAACACCTATTCCGGGCCTGTTATATCAAGGCAACCTGGAAGTAAACTTCAGCTGAAAAGTGAATCTCAAAGCGACTATCAGAGTGACTACCAGAGTGATACACTACCTCAACATCAAGCTCATTCTCAAAAAAGAAGCTCTCAAAGCACATATATAAGAAAAAGAAGAAAAACAACCACTAGACCAGCCGCATACGCTGAAGAATCCAGCGATAATACCGAATATTATGATTATGATTATGACTATGATTACCATTATCGTTATGATTATGATCATGATTGTGATTATGTTTATAATGATAATACGGATAAAGACTATAAAGAAGGCGACAACAACAACAACAACAACAACAACGGCGACGACGGCGACGGCGACGACGACGATAATGATAGTGTTATTTTAATCTATGATAGCCGTACTGGTTTCAGAAATGATAGATTCCTTATTAAAGAATGGATCCATGCCGTTGACAGTGTCGAAGAAAAAGGAGAATCCGAAAGAAAGAAAAAGGAAGATAAAAATAAAATAAAAAGCAGTAATGAGCAAGAGCAAGAGCAAGAGCAAGAGCAAGAGCAAGAAGAGTATTATGACGACATTGTTGATTACAATGATGCCGACGATGAAGCCGACGATGAAGAAACAAGTTATTATAGTTGTAGTGAAGAGTTGGAAAGGAAGAATGATAAAGAAGAGGATAAATCATGGAAAAGATATTATGGATATACACCACTTTCCCGAATGATGGGGTTCAGTCAGAAATTTAGGAGCGTTTTTTCAACAACTGAAGCCATACCATCATTTCCCCTGCCACATCTAGTAGATGCCGGAGAGTTTGGTATAGAGTCATCTACCTCAGATAAAAGCCCTACCACTACGTAACAAGAAGTATATATATAGAATAAGGGGGAAAGAAAATGAAATACCTTTTGGATTGCTACCTTAACTATTGATACTTAACTCTTGTAATAAAATGGGCATTTTTATTTTTTGTTTTATTTTCCTGTTTGTATATTAGATCAATCTCCTCTAATATATATGGACTCAGTTGTTAATGGTTTAATTTACTACCAATGTATATGAGTAAGTAAGTAGGTAAGTGAATAAGTAAGTGAATAAGTAAGTAAATGATAATGATTAGAATAATAACACTGATGCTGATGCTGATTCTGATTCTGATATCAGCAGAAATAAATAATAATAATAATAATAATAATAAAAATAATAAAATTAAAGAAAACAAAAAGGTAAACTAGACAATAAAAATTCTCTAGACAACCGATCGACGGGATACATTTGATGAGCTGGGTCCTGCCAGCTGTTGTTGTTGTTGTTGTTGTTGTTGTTGTTGTTGTTTTTGTTCTGTGGGTCTTGCTCTACCAATTTCGTATCCTGCTTTTTGAGCCTCACTAGAGACCATTCTGAACAGTACTGCGACTCCTTTGAAACGAAGATAACCAACACAGAACGATTGTATTTCAACCAGGTATTCTGACATTCTGATTATCTTTTTCTCCAACAAAGATTGAATAAATTTAGCAACCTACACAAATACAAACACACGACAAATTAAATTAATAATGAGTATCAATATATCAATATAGATGTATAAATATTTGTTGATATTCATATACATATATATATATACATATGTGTATGTGTGTATGTATGTATTTGTTATTTACCAGCTTGACTTGACGATCCTGCCAGGGTCCTTTGGCTAAAAGTTCACATGAAAGAATACTGTTTGAAATATACATGTGAAGAAATTCACTTGGGAGGTGGCATGGGTTGGCGCAGGTTACCAGATGATGAATGACATCTAATGAATGACCAGAGACAGGAACATTCAACAATGCCTGTAGATATCTACATGATCATAGATTAGGTTTCTTTTCTCTCTTTCTTTCTTACACATTACACGCATGTATATATATATATATATATATATTGCATTAAAGACTTACTCTTCAAAATTTGGTCGTTTGAGAAACATTGGTGTAATATCAGAAGCTAGTAATAAATTGAGCTCAATCCATCGAGGCAAATACTCTGGCTTTAGACCACAAATATCTACTACTTCAGGGTGGGTGTGAAAAGCGTGCATAAGAACCTATTGTTCATAAAGAGAATATGTAAATGTAAATGTAAATGTGAATGTGAATGTATATTTAAATACACGCACAGGTACACATGAGTATGTAAGTATGTAAGATAATGCATATTCAATTATAATCGTAATAGTAACTTGCTTCATTTTCGGGAATAGTTAGTGTACGAATGCAAGCACTTGCAGTAAGGTCTCTAATGAAATCAATGATATCTTGGTCCAGTTCTGTCTGACAAGTGATCTAAACGTGTACATAACACCCCACAATAATAATAGTAATAGCACATTCGTATACAGAGAGATAGAGGAGTTGAATATAATTGACATATGTATGAAATAGAATCATCAGTAAGAATTAGTCCAAATAATTTACACACACACATACACATCTTTTATTTCTTTTAAAATACGAATAGTAATAAACAATGCACCTTTTCCATTTGCTGTGACAAATATTCGACTTGATTTACATAGCCTGATTGGATCGCTTGTTTGGTATCTTTTGGTTTGTTGATAGTTTTTGAAACTCTCTTTTCACCACAGCTTTTATATATGTATAATAAATGCAGATGTGGGTATGTGTATGTTTATGTATATAGGTGTAAGTATTATAAGCATTCAAGTTTCAACATCTTTCTTCTTCTTCTTCTTATTTTATAATACATAATATATATATAAGTGACAGAACGATAATTACGGGTCATCCACTAATGTAGATACGCATGTCTTTAGTTGAGTGAGACGCTCAGCAAAGTGGTGAATTGGAGGTAGTGTACTTGGATCATCACACACTGACTGAGGAACAAGATCCTTTACCTAATAGACAATTTTAAATTGAATTTTAAAAAAAGTATATATATATGCAATATCATTTAGTAAAATAAATAAATACATATATAAATAAAGATGTTGAATGTATCATATACACATAAAACACACATACATGTTGAATTGTGCCTTCAAGAATACAGTAGACAAAGTGCTGCTCGAGTTCTCTATCGTCGTTTTGATTGCGTTTGACATCGTCATTCTCATCATCGGCATTAGGTTTGTCGTTACCGTCAATTAGATCTATAAAAAAGGCCAAGAAAGGGTTCTTTTCGAGAGGAAGGTCTGCATAAAGGCCGTAGAGGATGTAGAGGACCGTGAGACGGGCACTAGGAGGCTAAGCAAGAGTAATACAAATGAATGAATGATTGAATGAATGCGTTTCATGTTTACAGTGTTGTCACTACTGTTACTACTGTTACTATTTGTACTTCTTCTAATTATTATTAAGAAAATAAAAATATAGATAGGCGAATGATAAAAACAAGAGCTCTTATTTCTTTCTTTCTTCTTTTTAATTTCTTACGCTTGCTTGATCGAATGCAAGGAATGCATAACACGCCGCATCAAACAAGGTGTGCTGTGAAGTGTCTTCTTGGTAATACTGCACAGCTGCAGCAAAAGTGAGAAGCTCTTGCTCTGATGGCATGGCCGAGCATGAATTATTATTATTATAGAATAATAAGAATAATAATTATATATAAAGTATATATAAAAGTGATCTATTTCAGCCACTTTCTTTCTGATAAAAGAAATAAAATAAAATAAAATAAAATAAAATAAAAAATGATTCTTTAGGTATTGTGAGTCACATGACTTGGAGTTCTCACACATCTTACTAAAAGGTTATTACCTATTGATCTCTTCATACTTATTCTGTACTGACACAGCACCAATTGATTCATTTCTTAAAGATCATCTTTAATTGACATCATCTGAGACGACAACCAAAAAGGAGGTTTACGGTAATAGTACAGATGTTTAATACACCTCCTTCCTCCAAATTACTTGGAACCAAGTTCAAGGTTTATAATACCATCTTCCAATAAATATATGTATATTTAAGACAATTTTGCCACTCAAATTGTTGGTTTAGTAAATAATAATAATATATATATATATGCGTGTTTATGTCTTTAACTTGGTTAATCTAAATTTACTCTATAAACTCTTGTAATTTTAAGTCTTGACACAAAGACTTTATTAAAATAATATATATATATATTTATTTATTTAGATAGTTTAATATTATATATATTTTCTCAAGAGACAAAAGAAAAATAATAATAATTTCGTGTGCTACCAATCTACGGCTTGAATTTTATGCAAGTCATACACAGACCCATATATATAAATACCTTTAATCCTCTACAACAACCAGAAGAGATCAGTAGTAGTAATAGTAGTAGTGTGGATATGTGTGGGATATTGGCTGATTATGAGATAAAATATACATGTAAGATAAGATAAGATAGATCAAGATCCAAATCCAAATCCAAATCCAGATCCAGATCCTCCTTCTCTTCTTCTTCAAAAGAGGTAAATATACAGCAAATCAAATCAAAATTAAATTAAATTAAATTAAATTAAATAAAAAAGGATAGACAGAGTTTGATGATAGAGATGTGAGAATAATTGATCTAAAAAACGTAAGTGAAAAAGTTCATATTCAATACCAAAAGTAAATATAAATATAAATAATAATAATTAAACTACTGTTTCATTTTTGAAACGGTCTTTTGCATTACCCACACTATTACACACAAAATTAATCTTTTATATATATATATATATTTGTATTTTATTTATTTATTTATTTATTAATGGCATGCAATATAAGAGAAAAGAAAATAGAGAAATTTAAAGATATATAGATATAAGAGACATACGCTAAAGAAGTTGGGAGTTTTTTTTTTAAAAAAAGAGAATGAGGAAAGGTATGAGTAGAGTAAGGGGAGGGATAAATGTAATAAAAGAAAAAGATAATAAAAGGAAAGAAAAAGAGATAGAAAAAGAGAGATAAGCGATAACAAAAGACCGAGTTAAGCTAAGCTAAGCTAAGCCAAGCCAAGCCAAGCCAGGTCAAGTTGAACTAAACGAATAAATGAATGAATGAATGAATACATGAATAAATGAATAAATGAATGTGTGGAATAGATAAAGAAGAAGAAGGTGGGTACTTGTCTTTCTTTTACTTTCTTCTTTCATTTTTCATACTTGTCTATAGAGAAAGATATGATTGAATGGAATTTCGACCACATCTATAGATATATATATATATATATTGGTTATTTCTCAAGACAAGATAAGAGAGGAGAATGAGAATTGCAATCTTGAGATACAAGCACCGAGCTTTGGCCTGTGGTTATTGGCCAGTATCGGCGAATGACACTGCGACGGCGGCGATACAACGGGATCCAGGTGGAGGAGGTCAGTGCTTGGCCAACAGGTCTTTTGAAACGCAGATTATTATTGCTGCTGCTGCTGCTGGTGTTGCCGTTGTTGCTAGAACTGTTTCCAAATGGCTTGAATGTTCGAGAATGAAGGCGTTGTGCTGCTGTAACTGCTGCTGATGGTGCTGGTACTGCTGTTATGACTGTTGCTGATGCTGTTGTGGGTTGTGCTGCTGGCTGGTCTCGGGCCATGCACTTGGCTGAGCAATACAATGAGTCTGTCTAAGAAGGAATGAGCCTTTCTGGCTACCATCCTACTCAGCTTACCAAACCATCATCCACACGCGTATCACAGATAATACACCAAGAAAGATCCATCTATCTATATGATTTATATAGATATAGACACACAAGCAGTACACTCAATACAAGTATAAAGAAGAAGAAGGAAAGAAAGAGAGAGAGAGAGAGAAAGGAATATTAAAGATAGATAAAGTAAGTTGCAAAAATAAAAATAAAATAAAAGGATGATGTGAATTACTCGTCACACAAAGCACCTTTTTTTTTCTTCTCTTAAAAATAAAAATAAAAATTATATTATATTATATAGATTTGGTAACCATGGAAAATAATATTGTTCTAATGGATCAAATAGGATAATTGGATCTATCAGTCCTATTTAGTCTCTTTGGCCGTGTAATTATTGTCACCTTACAATAGAAACAAAATAATATATTTTTTATTGTTAATTATACAGCTAAGGATTACCAATGACAGATATACAGATACGTATATTTGCTTATATTCAATCAATGGAATCAATCAATGAAATCAATGAATTGAAATTGATTGACTAGATTGATAGATTTGTCATTCGATTAGTGCATGATAATCTGTACAGCTCAATGGAATCATAATAATTATCCTAACAAGGGAGTTTTAAAGGCTGTCAGGTATTTATATACTTTGATACCTAATACTTGCTTTTAAAAAGATAATACTAGTAAAAAAAAAAGGGGAAAAATATATGTAAAAAGAAAAAGAGGGGGTAGTCAAATAATAAGAATAAGAATAAGAAAAGAACCGAAATTTAGAGTTTCTCCGCAAGTTGATTAATAGCAACGCTGATACTGATAATAGTATTGTTATTACCAGTTACCAGTTACCAGTTACCAGTTACTTGTAATTCAATTCAATTCAATTCAATTCAATTCAATTCAATTCATTTGAATTTTCATAATTTTCATATTTATTTTCATAATTATTTCTATAATTTATTTTTGTTCTCTTTATTCCTATTCAGGCATCCGTACTTTTTCCGCGGAATGCATCCCACTTGATAATTTAATTCCTTTTTATATATATATTTTACTTTTATTTTTATTTTTATTTATTTATAAAATGTATATAAAGGCAAAAGATATTTGTCGAACAGACAACACCCTTTTCTTTCTTTCATTTCATTTCATTTTTCTTTTCTTTTCTTCTCTCTCTATAATTCAAATAAACCAATAGAAATCAACAGCTCAAATAATAATAATAATATAAAATAAATCACAAAGAATCACAAAGAATGTCCACAGAACGATGTCACAAAAAAGTTCGTTTTTCGTGTGATGTAGAATTCATAAGTACCTTTGCCAATGAAGAATATGGTAATCAATACGGCTAATTTAATGAAATGAAATCAAGTGAAACTAACCTTTATATCAATACCTTATCAATTGTCTCTATTGCAGACCGTACAGCACAAGAGGTAGCCAAACTATCCTACACAGACATGTACGAACTACTCACGCTCAAGGCAGAATGGAGACGAGAAACAGAACAAGTTGAGAAACAGCTAACCAAACCAGCTCCCGAACAGCAAAAACCTTGTGTAATTTCACAAACTGCCTGTGAGATCTGCATCTAAACTTTCTTTTTCTTATTATATTTATATTATATTTAAACATACACACACATACATACAAACATACATACAAACATACATACACATACTTGCTCACTCACAATATCATATACTTCTTTACTTCTTTACTTCTTTCTATCTTATTCTTGTACAGCCACACTATTCTTTTTAAATACTAAACATAAAGAATGATAATAAGCAAAAGAAGAAGAAGAAGAAGAATAGTGTTATATTTCACAATTTCACCCCTCCAAATCCACTCCAGCAAAAAAAAAAAATACCAAAAAAATAATACCTAATAATTATAACATTCCCATCCTTTGTTTCTTACTGTAATTATGCCACCTTTCTTCATTCACACACATAATGTATCTATATATTTTTTATATATCTATTTTGTTGTGTCTAAAATAATAAATAATAATTGAAACAAAAGCAATACCCACACACACACACTCAGATATCGATATCTATATTAAATGATATTCTATACACCATCGTTTGTGATCAATGCTACCATTGCTTGAACAACAGCACTTGAACCAACTATAGAAAACAGATAAACGAATCAATATTTTATACATTTTGAACATCTTCCTCTTCTATTATTATTACTTCTTTCTTAAAATAGAAAAAAGAAAGAAAGACAAAAACTTACCATCTTCACTTGGATTCTGAATCTTCTCATCCAACTCGACATTCAATAGCCGCTTGAGCTGATTGACAAGTACACCAATACGAGCCCACGCTCTAAACTTGACCCACCCGTCATCTCCCACCTTAAGTCCTCTACCCATATGATCCACATCGACATGACCACCAAAGAACAGGACCGCAAACGACGGAATCTCTGTGCCGTCGCGAATAAACGTCTTTGAGGTAGTCATACGCGAAAAGTAGGTCAAGAACGAAGCCGTGTAATTATTGTTACTGAACAGAATCGAAGACGGGTGAAGAAACACACGACCTATATCATAATACATTTTAGTATGCGTTTTTGGTTTCAGTTCAAGTATATGATTGATTGAATGAGTAAATATAATTTTTTATATAAAGAAAAAAAAAAGCAATCTAAGCCGATTAACCGGTCAAGTCCCCTCCCCCCTCCCCCTCTCTCTCTATCTATCTTACTCTCACTCGACACAATACAGACTCACTACAAGAAAAATTTACAACAACAATAATAATACTTACCATCGTCCTTTGTGTAAAACTTGATTTCTCTAGCTTCTTTTTCTCGTTCTACAGCACCAGCCAGGACCTTGTCATACTTGGTGTCCGGCAGTCTAATCTTGGCCAAGTTTGGGTTCAAACCACCAAAAAGAATACTCTTGATAAGGTTGGTATTCTCAGCATTGGCATTATAATGTTCTTTCTGAGATCGGTCATAGAATCCAATATCCTGGAGTGCATCTGCGTACTGGCGGCGCAGGTTCTGGATCTCATTCATCGTAGGAAAAGACACAAAATTCTCTTCACAAAACACCCGTGCCTCTCGCATACCCTTGTTCTGGATAGTGTCCTGCCACGCATCAAATGCACGCATGTCCGTCAACCAGTCACTCTTTGCACACAAGAACCGTTCACGAGCCCTATTATTATTATTATTATTATTATTATTCATTGAATATACATATATATATATATATTATTGTTTTATCTCAAGTCTTACTGTCTGGCTTCTTCTCGTCTATCTCCGGGGGATATAAAAGGACTCTTGAGAGACATGGTTGCAGCCAATGTCAGGACAGGATCAAGGCATCGGAATATGGAGCCAAACAATAGCATCTTACTGATACGTAAATCGGCTGGGATCATGGCCTACAAGTAAATACATATTAATAGATTTTAATATTTGAATATATAATTTTTTTTAAATAATAATAATCAATTTTACCATGTGTTTTCCTAATGCCGTCAAGTCTCCGTTATCAGAGCTGTCAATGGCATCTACTGCCCTCAGGGTCTTGATGGCACTGTCGAGCGCGGCAACCGAAGGAGGATCGATTGCTTCTCTAAGGAACGCCCTGACATCGTTCTCGCCCATCGACTTGACCTGGAGACAGAGCTGCTCCAAGGGTGTGCGCAACAGCTCGGGCACCTGCTGCGGCCGCATCTTCTTGTCTTCGCAGTCGCGCGTGAACAGCTTGAAGCATTTACCTGGCCGGGTACGGCCCGCACGTCCTCGGCGCTGCTTACACGACGCCCGCGACGCCCAGGTTTCGACCAGATGCATCATGTTGTTCGCCGCGTCAAACTGGGTCTCCTTGACCCGCCCGGAATCAATCACGTACACAACTCCCTCAATCGTAATAGACGTCTCGGCCACATTGGTCGCCACCACAATCTTGCACACGTCCGCAGGAACCTGCTTGAATACCCGGGTCTGTTCCTGAGGCGAAAGGTTTGCATGAAGTGGCAAAATTTCATAGGACGATGAGCTAGAGCGAGGCAAGGTTTGTTGAAGAGCCTCAACACAGCGTTTGATTTCCATAGCACCTATAAAAATCAGCAACATAATGCTTGATGAGTTGAGTTGTATAATTCTTCCTCTTTCTTTGTTTACTTGTTAAATAAACAACCGCCACCCCAGTCTCTCTCTCTCTCTCTCTCTCTCTCTCTTGTTGTTGTTGGTCATTCAACCCATTCAATCATTGCTTATTCTATTTTAGGAAGAAAATACAATAAAGAAGTTTCTTTTTATGTATAAAGTTATATGTATGGACTTACCAGGCATGAAGATCAGCACTGCTGGTTCTGCACCATTGTCGATCTTGATCGTCTCATTTTCAACAATATACCGGACTGTGTTGGCCACCAGCTCATAATCGATTTTGTCTTGGTTTCTGTACTTTGCCAGTGTACGGACCGTCTGGGCATCGTAACCTTCGTCCAGAAGAGCCAGCTGCCAATTGGCCCATTCTCCCGATCGGTCCTCTTTGGCGTCCTGTCTTGGCATTGGAAGTTTAGAGACAAAGGATGTCATACTGATGATATTCTCAAGGTATCTTTTTTTTTTTTTAAAAAAAACAGTACATATTATCCAAAAGTCAATACAAATGATACATAAATGTTAATGCAATCAATAAAGTACTTACAAATCTTCTACTGGATGAGTAAAGCCAGGAATTTCAATAGCAGGAGCACCATTGAAATAATCTACAAGAAAACAAGAACCAAATGGAAATAAATATACTGTTTCGTTGTTGTTGTTGTTGTTGTTTTTTCTGTAATTCACAGCAAAAATAAATAAATAAAGAAATTCACTTGCCAGAAAATAATTTTTGATTAATTGTCGCACTCATGAGAACCACCTTGAGATCTTTACGTTTCTTGAGAACTTGACGTAAGATAATAAGTAAGAAATCACTATCAACTATATATATATATATATATATATATATATATATAAACATACAGGTGAATGTTAGTCATTTGGTTAAACATCTTGTATAAATACATTATTTACCTGAGCGTTCGTGCACTTCATCAATCATAACATGACTGATTCCAGCCAGAGAAGGATCTCCTTGTAAACGTCGAAGCAAAACACCAGTAGTACAGAATTGTAATTGGGTTTTTGAAGACACCTAAATAAATGTATATATAAATCAATAAAAAAAAAGACATCAAGATTCACATTCACAAGTATATACACATTACCTTTGTCTCACCACGAATGGCATAACCAACAGTGGTTCCAATCTTTTCACATCTCTCGGAAGCCACACGCTCTACACAAATTAGGAAATTAGGTTTTGATAATAGAAATAGAAATATAGGTGTGTACATAAAGACACAAGGAGGATATGAAAGAAATGGTCTAGTTGATGGATTTAGGATACACAAATCCAATTCAATCTAATTTTTTTTATATATACTTATTAGGTTTACCTGCTACACCAATGGCAGAAATTTTTCTGGGTTGGGTGCACAATATGCTGCACACCGAGCCACGCCCGTTTTCAATTTCTTCATCTAAAATAAACTGTGGAACCTGGGTTGTCTTACCACAACCAGTCTCTCCACTCACGATCGTCACTTGGTTATCCAAGACCGTCTTGACAACCTTGGCCTTAAAGTCATGGGCTGGCAAACGAGACCGGACCTTTTGAAACACACTGTACTCTGGCGACTGGTGAAGAGCCTCCAGTGCCTTCTTAAGTTCCTCCGACAGTGCCTTGTTGGGTGTACGCTGAGCACCGCCGTTACGTGACCTTCCGCCACCATTGTGCCTTGTGCCGTTATTCTTTTGGTTCCAGCTAGCCTTTGCAGGACCTGTCATCTGTTCGGTAATCTCCCGAAGCTTGGGAGGGTGAGACACTATCCGGTCAGCATTCTCGGAAAGCCACTCGGCACACATGTACACCAATGGGAATCCCAGGCTCTTTTCTCCCTCTTCGACCAGACCTTTGATCATGGCCAGCTTGAGGTAGGCCGGCAAGGCGTCGCACTCGATAACAAAGATCGGAAGGGACTGGGGGTACATCGAGTCCTTGGGCACAATGCAGTCCAAAAAGAGCGGAACACGTTGCTTTCCGGTCTGAACCGTGAGTTCGATACGGTGGTACACACGTCCGTCTTTGGCAGTCGTCTTGGTTTGGTATCTCGAGGCATAGATTGCCTCAAGCGACATGGCTTCCTCTTGACGAAGCGACTCCAGATCGTCAGGGTCGCACAGGTCGGGATCGTCGATGGTCGGCAAAGGTTCATCGCCATGATGAAGGCGCCACTGGAGCAGCTCGAGTGCCTTTGCGTCGTCGTCGTTGGTCAGGCGCATCATGTCCTCACACAGGGCGGCCGGATAACCAATGGCTGTCATGCTTTTCAAAAGCCAGTCTCTACCCAGTGATTGTGTGGTATGCGAAATGGTAGTCATGGTGGGGTTGTAGTTGGCGTGCATAAAATTGGCAGGAAGATCTATATATACATTTTTTTTTAGGTATTATATATTTGGTTGATAAATTGAATCAAAATCAAAATCAAAATCATAACCAAAATATAAATTAAATTTTACTACAAAACTATATAAATATTTACCATCCTCAGGTACATGAAGGCCTATATAAACCAATAACCTTCTTTTAGTCAAATCCATCTATATTTTCGCTTCTTTTTCACTTTCAATATCACTTTTTTTTCTCTCTATCTTTAATATAGAAAACAATAAATTGGATTCCTTTTTTTATTATTATTATTATTAGTATTATCATACATAGCCAATCGAGCGCAGCACCCATGTCTCCACAATATTCCAATGCTTCCTCCACATGAGCTTTTCGAAATCCCATCCGAACCAGACCATGGCTGATGTCCTGACGAACATTTTCAGGCAGTGGTTTCTTGAGTGGCTCGTAAACTGTATTCGATCTCTTGACTACGTTTTCAACCAACGTTCTGTTCTCTGCACTCATGTGCACGGCAGGTAAGCTCTCCCAATACTTTCGCATCTTTTCATCCATTTCTTTTGGTTTCGGTTGCTGATACTTATTGTTATTGTTATTGCTATTAGTCGAAGTTGAATTCGATCGAAATTCTTCACTAGAATTCTGTTGTTGATCTTGAGGACGATTTGGCATTGGAACGGCTGCACTTGCATGTTCTTTTACCAATCGTCGATCGACACCCGTTTTCGACTTTGCAAGACTCGATGGCGGTTGGGCTGTAAACGGATCGGGCGAGTACTGCCACTGATTAGAAGCTGTCTTTAGTTGATCAAACGTGTGCCAGTAATCGCGGTACTGGGGAGGAAGCACTCGGTACATTGGCATGTGTGAGTTGATGCGATGAAGTGCATAGGTTGCAGCAAGATGTCGAGCTTCGATCGAGGTTGGTAAATAAGGATCCGGAGGACTGAGCGAAACGGTTTCCATCTGAGCCGTCTTTTTGTTGCGTTTGCTGAGCTGCACAATACCGATAAACCCTTGTTTGCGCTTGACCATCTCAAAAACGGCCTTCTCCCAGCCTTGCTTTTGACAGTGTTCGTGAAGAAGCGAGACCGGGGTCTTTCCGGTCCAGTCTCCAAACAGAGATTTCTTTTCTGGCGAATCTTCAGATTTAGGTGTTGCATTCGAAGAAGCATTGCCATTCTTTACGATCCGTTTGGAATTCGAGCTTCCGGTTTTTTTGGATGCTCCAGTAGGAGGGGGAGCTGGAGACGCCGCAGCAACAACACTAGGGGTTTGCTTTGCTTTCGACTTTTTACTTGACATTACAAAAAAAAAATAGAGGAAAAGAAAAGAAAAGGAGAGAAGAGGATATATAAATAAATATATATAAAAGGCAAATGTAATCTAACAGCGATAAAGACAAAAGTAATAATTTTTTATCTTAAAAATATGTATATATATATATGTGTGTGTGTGTATAGATTTATAGATGTACACACAGTGGACATAAGTATCAGGTTTGATTAGAGTTGCAGTGACTGCTTGATCTACGATTTGCTTTACTTGCAAGTCAAAGGAGACAAATATCGAGAGATAGAACGAGACGAAGAAAGGGAATTTATAAAGCAGTATTTTATAATTTGGGATGTCTTTAACTACAAATAAACAAATAAACAGTACAAACTATACATGTGATTGAAGCCCCACCCTTTCCACTATCTCTCCAATTTCATTTCTTAATCAGCCTATTGTGTGATCTGTAGGTGGAGCTACAAGAGAAAATTAGATGAAGTTCAGCGTTGATTACACTGTTAGGAGCTCAGGCTTATCGGAATCTCAATCCTAGGCCAAAGTATTCTTCCACATTGCTGCATCAATACCTTTCATACAAACCTCAGTAGTATGTTAGACATATACCGCAGCTGCTGTAGTGTGTAGCTACTTAACATAACTGATAGAATAGTATAAATATCAACAATTTCTTTCATTTTTTTTTACAAAGTTCACCTTATTTCTCTATAACTCAAAGATTGTTATAGGAAATCTTCGGGCTTCCACTGTCTGAATAATTCCATTCTTATTTTATTCTAACAAGATATAATCTCTTGAAAGTACAGAGATTCGATATCATCCTGCTATTCAATATTCAGAGCAGTAAGACAATATTAGTGAACGTACACTCTTTTTAATTTCATAATAAAAAGAAGAAGAAAATCTGTAGTTTTTCCTACCCATTATAATGGTATGTATATATATATATATATGTTAAAGGGCATTGTATATAATATCCAACTGTTTTTATTTGTTAATAATTACACATGTTTAAACCATAGTTACTACGCCTTATACGTCAAATAATCCACAAGTGTCTGTAACTTTCTTCTTTTCAGGTCAAATATTCTAGTGGCTATTGTTCTTGAGATCAAGAGAAGTTTCGGAAGTATACCCAAGCCAAAAGCACATGGTCTTGTGTAAGTAACTAATCTTAAGCCCCTTTCTCTCTCTCTCTCTCTCTCTCTCTCGCTAATATGTCACTAACAATATTTCTAATATATACCCACAGTTTCAAATGACAGAAAAAAAGGGGGGTTTGAGTATACAAACACATAAATACATACATAAACACTGTATAGAAACTGTATTATATGCTGTGTATATTGTATAGAAACAAAAACAATAAGTGAATTAAAGCACAATATTATCGTATAAAAGTATGTTTAGCCTATCGAATGATATTGCACGCACTTCAAATTGATTAACATCATCATCATCATCATCATCATCATCATTTAATTGCTAAGCCTTTAAAGTTTCATACCAAGCCTCTAAGAGTAAATATATACATATATAGGTATCATTGTTGTTGATGTAAAGTAAAAAAAAAACAATAACACAAAATGTAATAAATGTAACAGGATGGGTCTTAATTTCATCCTTTTCTCTCTCTCTTTATATCTATACACACACACACACACATATATATATATATGTATAGACTTTACCTACAATTATTTGGGCCTGTATAATGTTTCTACAAAGATTACAGTTCATTTTATGTATTATAGTATCGATCTTTGTATCCAAATGTCGTGCTCCGCCAATACAGCAAGAATACACTATATCAGCTAGTGGACTGGCAATATTCTCGATTCTGAGAGCTGTCTTGCTTGTCTACATGATTCACGTCGTAACTGTTCGACCTAGAACCGGAATCACAGATTTCCCTACTCTTCATCGACGTATAATAGCCTTTATATACCCTACCGGTGGAATAGGCACATCGATATATTCTATGTACAAATTATTCTATGCTGATAAAATACTCGGAATCAGCCAGTACAGCCACTTGTTGAAAAGATACGAAAAAGAGGAACAAGAAGAAAAAGAGCAAAAAGCAAAAGAAGGCAACGGTATAATGGCAGAAAATACAAATTCACCACACACACCGCTTTTACCCAAAATATCCACGCCAGAGGGCGAGAAAAATCAGGTGGACAGCACAAGGTTGACAGAATCTCAAACACTTTGCTTAAAGGTTTCCAAATTAAGAGAACGACTAGTCAAGGCTATGAAAATAGAGAGAATCAAGATTGACGAGTGGGACAATTCGCCTCATCTGGCAGCATTTTTGCATGTAATTGGACCGGAAAATTCAAGGAAAACAAGACATTGCATCTTAAGTGGTTCGGTAACCATCGGGTTCGACAATAAAACATCAAATATGTACATCGGAGACAGGTGCAAAACCAAAGAAATCTCTGTACTTGGACCAGGCGCAATCTGCGAAAGTCAAGGGAAAATACACCCAACTTCCTTGCGATACATGTCGATTGATATGATAAACCAGCTCGAAACAGCCTATAATACAGATAATACATCCTATGTCGAGTTATTTGTCACAATTGGCCAGATATTCTTTACCACACTTGAATGCCTAAACTTAGACGGAGACAGGTGGATCAAGGTTGTCCTTATTATATACACAGCAACGGCAGCCCTTCAGACCGTCTCGCTCCTAGTCCTACACAAGCAAACAACAGCCTTTAGTATCAAGGATGAGGAAGACAAACAACTAGTGGACACGTATGAAAAGCGTCTTTTAACTGAAGAGGATCGGGAAATCTTTCGCAAAATTATAATCGACTTGGATCAAAATGTAAATCTGACACTGTACGGAATCCTTTTTGGAATAATAGTATCCCTGGCGATTGGCGTGTGGGCGGATTACAGCATCCACAGTGTAACAGAATGGCTGGTAATATCCTGGATCCTTAGCCCTTGTCTTATTGCTATATTTAATCAGGCTGTTGCATCTCTTGGGCATTGGGATAATCTTGTGCTTACGATGGCAGTTCCTATCATATCGATGCTTTCCTTTGGGTGTCTCATTGCTGCTACAATTACTGGATACATGCCAGAATAATAATAATAATAATATACATATAATTTAATTTATATCTTGAAAGATAAACCCAACCCAACCTAAACCCAATACACAGCTTTTACTTTTATAGCAAATACCTAAGCAAATGATATTTTAAAGAAAAATAATTCTAGAAGTGTACTCTGTTTTCACTAGTAGTTCACATACAGTTAATTATTAATGAAAGCACAATATGCCAAACATTACTGCAAGTGAAAAGTTTAACTATACGCAGACCATTAACAGAAATACAGTTGGATTAAATCTGGAATATTTGAAGCAAACAAAGACAATCATTTGTATTCTGAAACCTACAAATTTTAAAGCTGTAACACTTAGTAAGGGATTCTCTATTGATATTATAATTTATTCTTAATGCTAATAAGAGCATAGAAAAATATAAGTACGTGCTTATATATAGATTCACACAAAAGAACAAAGGGTATTTTCTTATATTTTCCCATTTATTCTTGCTATCGAAAAAGCACATTACGCTTATATAATATCCTCAATTTGCACTGAAAGGCTTTGAAAGAAGAATACAAAAACATCTAGAAGATTCTCTTTGACGAGTATAATAGATCCCGATCAAACTTACTACGTCTTTTATATTCACTTAAATTATCTGTATAGCTATTGTTTCTAAATTCAAAATAAGCTTCGATTTGTGCATCAATGCATATATTGTTATATAGCTTATTCCTCGTTCGACTATAAAATAATAGTAATCAACTGCCAATGAAATTGCTTTTTCATATCTCCAATGAGATTTTAAGCACAAGCATATATACAATGAAAGTGATCGTGTGCTTTACATATTGGTTTAAAGCAATTGAATATCTCAATAGATCCAAAGCCTCACTATTCTATAATTATATCCCATACACTCTGGGTTTAGTAATATTTTATTATTTGAGAGCCAAGCCTTTGGTTTTAACCTTAAGCCCATAAGAGTAATATATAAATGTTATTACAGTTTATTACAATTAATGTCTTTGTCTATTTCTCTAGCAATTCTATCCAACAATTTTTCGTCACTCTCCCTACATACACTTTATTTCTGGCTACTTATGTCTATACAATGCTTTTACAAAGATTACGTTTCATTCTATACATAGTTTTGTTGGCTTTTATTCCTAAATGCTATGCTCCACCAATAGAACAAGACGATGTTAAGTTCACCAGTAAACTACCCGTAGTTTCGATTCTGCGGACTGTCCTACTCGGGTATATGACACATATTGTAACCATTCGACCTAGAACAGGCGTTTCAGGCTTCTCTACTATTTTTCGGCGACTTTTAGCGCTTTTATACCCTTCCAGTGGAATTGGCACAGCAATAGAATCCATGTACAAATCTTTTAATGGAGACAAAATACTCGGGATCTCTCAATACACATTCTTGTTGAAAAGCTACGACGATGAAAATAGCGATAAAGCAACAGAGAAGAAAGACGGTGATTCTCACTATCCAAACAATAAAGCTTCATCAGACTCATTGCTTTTGATCAAAGCCTCCGCATCAGAATGTGAGAAGGATGAAGAAGAGAACACCGAGAGCACTGATGCACAAGAACTTCATTTGGAGATTTCCCGGCTAAGAGATCGATTGGTCCAAGATGCAAAAAACAAAAACATTGATATTAAAGAATACGACAATGCACCATATCTGGCAGCATTTCTACATGTAATTGGTCCTGAGCAAGCAAAGAAAACGAAAGGTTGTATCCTAAACCGCTCAGTTACTATTGGATTCAACAATGTCAAACCAACTATATATATGCTGTCCAGCCGTGTGACCAACGAAATATCTGTTACTGGCCCAGGTGCAGCTTGTAAAAATCAAGCAGAAATATTGCCAAAGGTGTTCCGCTATATGTCGGACAGTATGATAGATCAGCTTGAAACAGCCCATAATATGGATGAAACATCATATGTCGAAATACTTGTTACTATCGGACAGCTATTCTTTACCACAATCGAATGCATGGACATAGATGGGGACAGATGGGCCAAGGTTATTATTATCATATACACTTCAATGTCGGTTCTTCAGACAGGTTCTCTAATTGCCCTCCACAAACAAACGATGGCCTTTAGTATCAAGAATGACGGGCGCGAGAACATGTTTCTTAACAGCAAAGTCCTTACATTAACTGAAGAAGAGCGTAAACTCCTAGGGGAATCGACTAATAAGTTTGAGAGCAATGAAGAAGTGGTCATCCTTTCTACATTTACAGGCATTGTAGTATTTTTACTAATTGGAATATGGGCAGATTACAGTAGCCACAGCATAACAGAATGGCTTGTACTGGCTTGGATTCTTAGCCCTATTCTTGCTGCTTTGGGTTTTTTTACTTTTATTTGTAATAATTCAGATATTATGCTTTATTTAATCCTCGTTATTGCATCTATTAGTTCCATTGGGTGTCTAATTGCGGCTACAATTATTGGATATTTACCTAAAGAAAATATTATAATCTCCCCTGTGTTGTAATTTATATCTTGTAAGAAAAATGCTTTAATTTATTACAATACACTATAGCAAAGAAATGGTGCTTTTAGCAGAGGATTCTTTTTTTTTTTGTAAAATACACTTCCACGCAAAACCCTGGGAAAATTAAAAGAAATACACCCTTAGACACACATACTTTCCCGTAGGAATAGCTGATAAAAGTTATGGACTGAACCACAAAATAAATATATTTCATTAATTTGATAACTATTATACACCATATATATTTATTAGAAGTATAGTAATTCTATAGTTTCTTAGCAAGCAAACCTCAAGAGAATAAAGAAAATGAATTATTGTGCTTATTTTTCTTTAGTTTTTTCTTTATAGAAAATTAAGCACTAGACTTCTACCCCCCAGCATATACATGGACATAGAGTTAGTATTCTTTTTATATATATATATATATAGCTTTTATTTTTACAGATTTTAACTATCTTTACTTATATTTAGATTTCTGAAACAGTTATAAGATATTAATCCTATCAATATAAATATATAATTAGTTCGAGGATTTAATAGTGAATATATGATCCACTTTGTCCCAAGTTCTTTGATTCGATCTGACATTGCCATGCAATGCATTTCCATCACTCTTTCTTTTTTGGGTATTTTCTTCTATTAATCTTGAAAAGTGCAATCCAACAATTGTGTATTCTTTTACTTTATCCTTTTATCTCTCAGCTTACGTTCAAAGTATGCCCAGATATTGTTTATTGAGTAAATCTTAGGCATATTAAACTCAGTATATGCTAGACACGTCAACGTTACAAGTCCTTCGAATCGATCGTATTTATAAGAATTCTCGAGATCTTTGTAGACGTCGGTAGTCTCAATATGAAGTAGGATGTAACCTGAATTCAGGGGGTGTTTGTTACCGAATGGTAAGCCATTAGATTTGAATAATTTTATTAGCTTTATTTCTGTAATGGTTGAAGAAGTTGGGAAAAAGGTGTTTTGCATTGACTGCAAAAACATGGTGGGGTAAAAAGGGGAATGTATAAAAGAAAGATTGGTGTTTATTAAAATTCCACTACAAAACACACTTGACCTCGGGAAACTTGCAACAATCTCACTAAAACTGCCCTTTTTGTTTTCTATAGTGTATTCACTCTATATTACCTAATTTTACTGCTGATTGGAATGACAAGCATTTATTGCAAGATTTAATCTGTTTTTGATGCGCCTTTTCGTGAAGAAGACTTATTTGGAGCAGAACAAGACCGTAAACCAAGTTTTTTCAAGTTATTGCGAACAGCATCCCTCTTAATTGGTACACCTGAAGATTCTTGGATTGCAGCCGTAATCATATCTAAGGTTGCGGATGGATTATTCCGCACAATATTTCCCAGAACTCTCAAATCACGATCATTTAAGAGAGTAGGTCTTCCTTCACGAGATTTACAAGTAGCGGTACCCGTTTTCTTCATTCTCTCAATAGTCGTTGTCACCGTTGTATAGGGTAAATCATATTCGCGCGCAATCTTTGCCATGGAAATTCCAAAGTCATAGGCACCGACAATCTTGCCTTTCATATAATCTGAAAGTTCAGCACTCTTTTTAGGAGCTTGCTTAACAATTTTATGAGACATTGAAAGATTTGATTAAGAAAAATAATGAAAAAATAAATAAAAAAAATAAAAACAACAATAGGTGGTTTTTACCAGAGCTTCCTTTTTTGGTAACACGAACCCTTACAAGAGTTGATGGAATATTTTCAAGCTCAACTAAATAAAAAAATATATTTAATGCATAGTTGCTGTGTCCCCCCCTTTTTTTTAAAAAAAATAGCAATCTTACGGGAACGACATTTCTTTGTGGAGGCACGACATTTCTATCTACCCGGACTAATCAGTTGTGACTACATGCCCGAGACCCGGTGTCTTTCTCTAATCCTTCAGGGCAAAATGACGTGTCCTGAAAAAAACACAATATATTCATTAGGTGCTCACGGAATCAGTTATTGATATAAAATTTCCTATTGATTACTTTACTAAACACCATATATAGTGATTTCCAAAATTCAAAAAAGGCTATTTCGCTTTAAAGTCCGTGAATTTTTCCCCTGCTCTCTACCAGGGGAAAAAAAAAATTAATACCCATATATGGTGATTTCCATAATTCCTATCGACACTGCGTGTAAGAATCATCTTGTTTTTACTATATTATCTCATTTTCTAGGCTTTTTTATATATATTAAAGCTAGTATTTTTTAGAGAAGCATACAATACATTACTGTAAATAAAATATATTGTTCCGAGCAGTATATTTTGTACTTCTTTAACAAGAAATGGGAAAACAATCGATTTTAATATGCTATATGTTCAAACAAGGTCATATCTCTTGAGTGTAGTACTGATTACAGCACCGACTTAAAATTACGTAATTAGCACCTATACTTGGTAATTAGCGCTATCCTAAATATGGTGTTTAGTAAAGTAATCAATAGGAAATTTTATATCAATAACTGATTCCGTGAGCACCTAATATGCGCATTAGCTTTACTACTTTGTCCCCACATTTTGTGTTTATCTATCTCTCCCCAGGCACGTAAATCTCGTTATTTTAAGAGCTATAGTCTGTATTTGAGAAACTTAATAATAAAATACTGTCTTATACGAAAAACAAATCCTATATATTCAATTAGTAACCCTAAGTTTAGACTTGACACTACGCCAAAAAAAATAGGAGTTTTAGAGGTGGTTTCACAGGTGGTTCCGGAGGGGAAGCCAGGGCGCGTTTTGTGTCCCCCCTTTTTTCCAACCCTGAGTTCATGTGCATTTTAATACATCTCCGCTTACCGGTAGTTTTAAGATTCTATTAATATATTGATAACCTTTTCTTTTGCTAATATTTGTCTTTCAATTGGACAAAACTTCTTTAAGTATAGTTGAAATATTATATGCCATTGGTTACTACTAATTCATTATTCTTTTAATTTAGATTCTTTTAAATATTTCTTGCTTAATCATTGTTTTTATTGGATAAGACATAATTGCACTGTAGTGTATTTTATAAAAATACATTTTTATTGGTTTCTCAAATGGATATATTTTTTATTTATCGTTTTTATTGGTTATTACACTACACAATTACATTTTATATATCACTTTTATTGGCTGTTATGATAGACATTACATTTTATACATCATTTTTATTGGTTATAAACAGTCAAATACATCATATACTTCCAATATTAAATATACTACTTTACACTGCAGTGGATAGTTACTTACAATTGCCTCCTTTGACGGTCTTTCCAGAGATGACTGACTCTTGCAATGGATGCCCAATTTTGATGGCATCTGGTGAAATCTATACCAACCCTCTTAAGCATGTTTGCATGTTTATTGCAAATCATTGTTCGATCACATCGCTGGTGAGAATCCAATTCCTGCCAGCACAATGATACAGCTTCCTCTGGGTAGACAGCTTGCAGTTGCTTTGGCCAACGACCGCACCAGAAAAGAGATGCTGTATCGCCACAATCATACGCAAAAGGCTGATGGCAGCATTTCCGATGTCTTTGACGGACAGGCATACCAGTCAAAGAAGCATCTTTTCTCGGGTGAAAACGACATCGCCATTTCGCTGTCTGTTGATGGGTTTGCTCCCCATAGTGTTCCAGGTTCGGTAACCATTGTCCACGTTACCAACCTCAACCTTCCCCCAATGATCCGCTACGAGCGCAGCCGTATGATCCAAGTCGCGATCATCCCTGGTCCCAAAGCACCCGCCGACTTCTGGTCATTCCTGGAGCCTGTTCTGAAAGAACTTCGGGTTCTCCAAGCCGGTGGAATGGTTGTGAAGACACCATCTAGAGATATTAGTGCAAAAGTCCATGTACTAATGACAACTGGCGACATCCCAGCTCTGGGAAAGATGGCTTGTCATGTGGGCCATATGAGTAAGGATGGCTGCCGCATCTGCCACGTTGTGGGTCAATCTCCTGGCCATGGCCAATATTTCCGAATGCCATCTGCCATCACCATGCGCACACCGGAAAGTTTCAAGCACTTTGATGAGGTGGCCTCATCCAGCAAAAAAGGGTTAACTGGCCAATCTCCCTTCTCCTTACTGGGTTCCTTCTCTGGTCCGTTCTTCTTTGCATTGGATGAAATGCACGGCATTTGTCACGGCATTGGCAAACAGGTCTGGGGGCTCGTGTGTGGCAAGTATGGAAAAGATCATCCTCTCTCTCTCCCTTGCTGCTCAGAAAGAAATTGGTACTGCCATGGTGTCAACCAGAAGAAGTATTCCGACATCTTTCCACGGTGCATGGATCAACATCGCAACAAGATCAGGGTACTTCCGGGCTGTGGACTGGGCTGACTTCATTTTGTTTGTTATCCCCACGCTTGTGGCAGAGCGTGTCCGTGACCAAGCTGCCCGTAAGGCATTGCTTGACCTGGTGCAGACATGCAACCTACTCATGAGCTGGGAGTTATCAGCAGAGGAGAAAACCTTGATCAAAACGTAAGCTTTAATTATAATTAATATTATTATTTTATAACTTGTGTTAACTTATCTTTTTTTTTAGAAATCTCGTCGCATGGAATGCGTATCTGGAAGCCTCGCTAGCTAAAGGAGAGGTCCAGCTCAAGGTCTTTACGATCAACCAGCACCTCCTGCAGCACTATCCCGCAATGATAGAAGCGTATGGTCCCCCCAGAGCGTATAGTGCACGATCTGTCGAGAGGGCGATTGGGGAATACTCGCGAGCAATAAAAAGTAATTCGGCAATTGGAATCAACGCTGGCAACATCATGCTTGGCTTGACACAGATTCGACAGATGAGAGTTGAAAATTAAATAACGACAACAGCAACAGTAACAGCAACAACTCTCCTTCAGTATGACGATCCCTCTGCTGGTTGGCCAATTGACCGAGAAGGTAGTAATTTTGGTACTGATTCTGACATTGAGTTCTGGGGGCCTTTGAGGAACAGAACGATTGTTGATAGTTTTGGAGGCATTTCTTGTCTTCCAGAGCTTCTTCAAAAGTTCTACGAATCAAAGGGGGAAGAGTGTAGTATGATTAAAGCAGCCATTAAAACAAGCCGTAAGGCATTTGTAAATGGTTGTGTTATTGACTCTGCACTCGACCATAATTGTGTAAGAGAGGCACATAACGTCAGACTTCAGGTTCAGGTTGATGAGAACCGCAACATTGGGCAAAGCTACTCTCCAGTCTACAAGGATTTCTTTGGGAATGTCGTCGTTTTCTTTGAGCACAAGCTCAACAACAAGAGGTGGCCGCTTGTCCTTGTCAATGTTTATGCAGTTCGTTTGGTAAATAGTATACCAGCAATCAACAATGGGCAAATGAAGCCAATGGTAGTTCACCTGGCAGATGTCAAAGAATTAGTTGGTTTGGTGAAGTCGGACGCGACTATAAACACAATAACAACAACAGCAACAACATATGTAGTGTGGCCAGAGCTTAACCGCGGCCCAAAACTGTCACTTGGTTCTCTTGCAGACTTATAATTTTTTTTTTCTTGTAATACATTATTTTTTTTCAAATTGTCTTAACATATTTTATCCTCCCAGCAAAAAGTTTAGATATTTTTCTCTCTTTTACCTCTGACTTTTAATAGTCATCAATTGCAATCTACATTTACTAAAAATGTAAAATCTGTAGTTAAAATGTACTTTTGTCTATCAGGAGATTTAATTTTAGGTGGTCAATCTGCTTTTTGTCAACCTTTTCAAAAAACAGAGATTTTCTAGTTTCAAATTGGATTTTTGGTGATTTTTTAATTATTATAGGCCAAAAACAAAGTCACAAATACAAAAAACCGCCCCTATTTGTCGTAGTGTTCGCTTTCATTCTTGCATCATGTTTCATGCTCTCTGCATCCTCAGCTGGCTTGACACAACAATCTTTTGGTAAATGCCCCCTCTTCATGCAATTCCAGCAGAATAAGCTTTTTTGTTGTTGAATAGGACAGTTAATGCGGGTATGACTAGCTTTATGACAGTAGATACAGTCTTCAGATATGGTATTCCAAGTAACACTAATAAGGTGAGGGTCCGGAGGGAATGTAATAGTACGAGTCAATGGGCTGAATGGTTGAAGTCGAGAAGAATCATTTTGTTGAAGGTCTAGCACTGCAAACCCAGTGCCCATGTAAGTTTTGTACTTTGGTTCTTGATAAATGCCTGCGTCCAAAACATTTCCGAATCTGGACAAATTTGTCTGTAAAACAACCAAAAGCTCATCCATATCAAAGCACGGCAAATTAAAGAGGTTGAGTTTGATAATCTTGGCTTCATGACTCATTGCTTGCATTCCAATCACTCTTTTTGATTGAAATTCGAAACCATCCTGGCATGCTTGAGCAACATCAAGATTGTTACTAAGAACAAGTTCGAGATGTTTCCGGTTATCTATTTTATGTTCTATAATCTTGACAGCATTTGGATAAGTTTCGGACAAAGCAATCATAACATGCAGCTGGGATCCTGTAAAAGATACTGTATCGAAAAGAACACTGTTTTCCGTGGTCCCAATGTGCCATGTGTGGGTGCGAATTACAGAGATGGAGGAATCTTCATTAACATTATTCTTATGAAGTAATGATACACGCTCTGTGGCAAGATTTTCTCCGAAGGAGCTGTTAAAATTTGACTTAGACTTGTATGAATGAGAAACATTGAGGGTAACAAGCCAGATTGAATTCGTACCATTTTTAAGATTTTAAGCAGAAACCATGACTAAAAACACACACACACACACATACTTTTTGTATTTAATTTTGAAATAAGACAATGTGAAATGTATTGCTTATATACATATATTTAGAGATGTACATAAGAAATTTAAGAATTACATTAATAAAGCTTGTCAAGGTAATGAATAGCTGACATATATTTTTTATTAAGATCAGTTTTTTTTATAACCATAAAAAGCTATTGAGAGACAAACTTAGATACAGCTCTATTCAAGAAAATATTCTGAAATAAAGATTTCTCCACAGGCTTTATCAAAGCTTCTTGGAGCGTAAACAACCAATATACTATTTATGATGATATTCTAACGATAAATTTAAGCAGTGACAATACTTTATACATTTACTTATCAAATAGTGTATATCCCATTAATGGACTGTGGGGTATCTATAGAGTCTAAATGAATAAAATATAAGCATATCATCAAGCTAGAAGTAGAGATAATGATATTCGGTTCAGTGTAATCATGGTCATAACTTGTTTGTCTTGTGATATTGTGTTCGACATTCTTCGTAAAACTGCCAATAAAAATAATATTTAGTTTGAAATGGATGTGTGTGACTAAAGTGAGTAAACGTCACTCAGACTGGAGGAACATATAGTTGTGGTAATTTTACCTATAAAGTGGAATTATTGTTCTTTTCTTGAGATTTCCGGCAATTGTAGCACAGAGCTCATCAGAATCGCCAGACATTACTAGATCTTTAAAATCAGAAGAAGAATCAACAAATCAGGGATTTACTCCAATGGGTTCGTAGAAATAAAATTGAAGCACTCCAAATGTCAAACAAACTATTTATTAAAAAAAATTATCTGAGGTAGATTCTAGTCTAATGTCTGCAGATGTTCTCAATGGAGCGATTAGAATGCGAAAAAAACGCACGAGAATCAAAAAAGATTCCAATAAAAATGCTATAGAACTACCCAAATCTAATATAAAAACACGAACATATACAAAGAAACTGAAAAGTGAATTCAATGGATCGATCGAAGAGGTTGATAAATCCATTCAACAATCAACAGTCGCTAGAAAAAAGCATAAAAAAAGTAAGATAAAGGTGTATTGATCTTATACAATTGATGAACTAAATTGGGGGCGTACAGAAAAAGAGAGTTCTCAAAATGGTCATTATGTTACTCGAAGTTTAAGTAAAACAAGAGGTGACTCTGTACTGCTTGAGCCTTTTGCAAGTAAGTTTAGTTGGATCTCATTAAGTCTAAAAAATATTGGCTAACACACACATAGATCCAGGACGTATACCTGCTGCCAAACTTCAACTATATCTCGGTGCTTTAAACAGAATATCATCAGAAAATCAGAAAGAAGTTAATGAAATGACGATCTTACCTGGTAGCTGTGCCCAAGCGAGCATCCTCCGTGATGATATTATAGCTTCTATAAAGAAAAGTAGCTCAGATCAAGAGGAAGAAGACTTTTTTGATAAAATAGTTCCAGGTACAAAATACTCATTATTTACAGTTCTAGATATATCTTCTCACCATTTAATTTCCTTTTAGATATCATGGCAGAAAACGGTACAAGTGCTAGATTCTTTGAAAACCTAGCTCATCTAGACGAGTGTGAAAGCAAGGATAATATACATAGAATACCAAAAAGCATCCCTGTGGACAAATCAATCCAGACAGAGCCAATATCAACCCAAAAGCGAAGAAGTAGACAGTATTCAAAAGCTGATGTTTCAACTCAAACGCAGCTTTCGAGCTTTGATTCATATTTATCTTGTTCAGATGATGAGTTTTGGGAAGATGCATTAGAACAATTATAATAGTAATTTTATTGAGTCTCTTTAATTTATAGAGCCACAATAAAAAAAAAGAATCGATGCACCAAACCAATTTTGAAATAATGTCTTAACAAAACAGTTACATGACATACCAAAAGACAAGTAATACGATGCTACATATGCTACTTCTTCTAATGCTCATATTTTTACTCAAACAAAAAATCATTTACCTTTCTTCTTAGTTGCATACATAAATAGTAAGTCTGGTAATATTTACAATCCTAATATATCTATATATTTGTTTCTCAAAAGTGAAGCTAAAATGGTCTGAGTGTCTTATTGGATATCAAAACTTTTTTTTTATCCTAGTAAAGTATATAAAAGTTGACAATACTTCTTCCCTTATTATCACTGTGATAAAAAAAAAGAGGTGGCTTTGGCAGGAAATTTTTGTAAGCTCTTCTGGGGAGAGGTTTTAAGGGTTGTTTTAAAGTCGAATTTCGATTAAGCACTTTTCCCTCCTTATATATATGTGTGTGTCTCAATTTCAATCTCTCTTATTTCTTTACCATTATTATTGTTCAAAAGTCAAAGTAAAGGCACACTTTCAATGTATCCCACTTTTGACCCACTTTTTTTTTGAAATCGATCCAAAGCACTTTCATATTCTCCAACCCTATCCCATCACAGAAAAAAAAGGGTAATGTTAAAATAGCTCACTGAATTATTCAAAGAATACAATGACTTGCCAAAATAACATCTTGGGAGATACTTAGCTATAACCAAGGTGAAATATTTATACTTTTCTTATTCTTCTTGTCAGAATTTGTCTTACACGACGACCCTCCAGAGCATCATATCCTGGTATTACTGTACTTCCATATAGAGATCCTGTTTTTAAATTGAGGGCTATAACCCACTCATATTTTCAAGGAAATCTACAATAAACAAGTCTAGCTCACCAAGCCTGTTCAGAAATAGCTTATTTGATTTTCCGAGAGTTTCTAGAGTATAAATATAATTGAATTAGTGACCATTCTTTATTTATGTGGTATGGGATTACTTATTTTTTTTAATATACCCTAATTATCGCGATACTTTGAGTCGTTAAAGAGATTATCAGCTGTAGAAGACAGGGAACATAAAACATGGCAACATTTTAGTCACATACTGCTGTTGTCACTGTATGACTAGTAAATACAAGTTTTTTTTTGAATGAAGAAAGTATAAATAGAGTGAAATTTAACTTCAAAGATCAAATTCAAAACCTCTTTTCTTTGAAATAAAAATAATTAAAGTCCAACCTTACAATTTCTTTACAGCTATCATGTCTATGAGCCCTTCTGCAAGAGCTAATGATTCTACAAGTGCTTCACAGTTTATGTCGCGTGCACTAGATACGGCGCGTCCATCCCCACGCAACTCTATTCATAGTGTTGCACCTTCAGAAAAAGAGTCATCGTAAGTAACGTAGTATGAATCAAGAACCTCTTTTAAACACACTATGTATTTAGTTCATCTTACTGCTGTTGCTGCTAGGCCTGGTTAATAACCACATCGCTTTTGTTTTTGGAAAATACAACCGCTGGAAATATTTTTTACATGATGACTTATAGCTTTAATGCCTTTTAATTAGCAAGATTGATTCATGATTACGTTCATTTAACGTTAACAAGTAATAAATCTCGTACTTTTTTTTGAGGGTGTAATTAAACTCAATAATATACTCTTCCCTGATAATCTAAGTTTTTAAGCTATGCTATTTAGCCCAATGTCTTTAGTGACTATACTTGCAGTGAAGCAACTCAAAAAATGTATTTAGTACAGGCAGATCTCTTGTACAGTTATCTAGACAGTCCATGAATTAAATGGTACTTATTATCGATACTTGATAATACAAAAATATTATATTTCAAGTATATGCCGAGAATAAAAACAAGAATATGATATTTCAAGAACTAAAACTAAAACTAAAACTTTTGCTTACGACATAACTGGAACCCACCTCCTTTTATCTCGCTTTAATAATCCATGTAGTTAACCAGCAAAATAATAACGAGATAAAAAGGTAAAGAGATATTGTGCTGTAGCTTCTTCTTGCTTAATTATCTTACCAATACCATTATCTTTCACGCATAGCTACTATGATATATCCTTTCTCTAAAGGCACTCCTATGTCTACACCCAAATCAGGTAAATATGTATTATTTTAAGTATTCGTGGGTATCTATAATATAATAAACTAGTCATCTGATTTTACTCTATTCAAAAGGCGGCGCTTATGTAGTTCCGTATGGATATGGAGTCAAAGACAAAAGATTATAGTAAGTGAAAAGAACCCCCCTCAAAATATGATGTACTTTTAACATGTTTATTACAGTATTCTATTATGCTTTTCAGGCAATCCGCAGGTTTAAAGACATCTGCTTATCAAGACATATTATTTTTTCTATACCAATCTATCTTTGTAAATATCTGTAAGCCATCTCGAGTATTATTTTCAATAAAAGTGATTGTGAACATAGGCAAAGTGTTTTAGTTATGACTTCGTACCAGCTGTATTACACTATGACAAAAAAACTGCGATTTTAATAGGCTTTTTTCGATTGAAAAATACACTCCTAAATACCCATTTTTTCCCTGTAGTGGTAGCTCTCCACGCTCAAATTAGTACCGTTGTAAATTCTATAATTTTTTTTTGAATTTTTTTTCTAAGGGTAAGCATTGTCTAGAAAGGTACAGATACGTTACAAAGCAATTTAAAGTCATCATATTGCATTTATTGATTAGCTAAAAATTCATTGTTATTATTTTATGTAAAGTACGAGTGTATACAGTGTATATGTATTATAAATAAATATTTCCTTTCTTTCTATTAAAAAAAGAAGTCTTGCTAAACTATCTCGGCTGGTTCATTATCGAAACGTATATACTTTAGAGACTATTTACTCTTTTACCTTTGGTACACATTTTCAATTCAAAAATAAAACTTCAGTAAATTGGCTGCTTGCAAATATATATATAAATAAAGGGTGCAACACAGTAGCAAAGTAGTGATCTTTTTATAAGAGTATAATTCTCGAGATTATCGAATTAATTTTCAGAGTAGTATACTGTGAAAAGAATACTTTATTAGATAAGCACCGTACATAATTTCTCATTTCATATCAGTGACCAAATATTATTACAGCTATACACTCTTTGAATAACTGGCTTATGAGAACAAGCAGTAGTCAAGTTACTTGTACTGTCAAGATGTATGTGTTCTGAAAGGCAATGTACATAACAAGGTTTAGTTACTTTAATTATACATTTATTTAATGAAAATGTTTTCCCAGAAAATAAATAGTAACTTAAAGACAAACACTTTACTGCATAGTATTTGCTTCATTTCACTTGTGATAACAACAGAGGAGTATAAGCTGGTAACAAATTGTTTACCAGAATAATAAGAATTAAGATTGCCATTAAAGAGTAGTTTTTTCTTATTATAGTGTGTGTTTGATGTATTAAGCCAATTGTATAAAGAACATCATGCTAAGGTAGTTCAACAAACTGAAATATATATCAATGCTGTTTCAGAGAGTATGGAATGCTATTATGCTTATTGCATATGATGTACTTTTATGCTCTTACAATTTTTTTATATTTACTTTGGATTGATTCCTATATTCTATTATTATTTCCTTACATGACTTACTAGAAAATATACCCATACAAATGGGGTACAATATATCTGAAGTTCAATCCTTGGTGAAGTGGGACAAGAGCTATGATTTTCTATCCAGGTATCGCATGTCAAAATTCGGTACAACACAAAAAGTCAATGAAAATGGCCGATCTTTGTACCTTTGTCGGTCCAGAATTACTGAGTATCATTATACTTGAAATCGGTGATCTCTGTACATATAATATCTTGTATACTTCTTTTTATTTAGAAAGCTGGATATATTTATTATTCTTGTATGTAAATTAAGTATATATTTTACCATATACAGCTATTTATGTGATGTTATATGGTATGCAAGATACAAGTTATGAGATTCTAAGATCAGACCAACCCTTGAATCAAACATGTATATATGAAACTTCCTCTAATGATGGTTTTTGTATACATAAGAGAGATAAAGAGAAAGAGAGATATAAAAGGGGAGGCAAATCATATCACAGGATAAAAAGAAAGAGAGAAAAAAAGGGGAAATCCAAAGACTTGGTCCCCTTGTCAGATAGGATAAGAATTCAAGAAATCATTAAAACAAGAAGAAAAAATCTTTAAATAAACTACAGCCAAGTAATTTATTCAAAGAAGTTTTATAGTTGCAGATATTTACGTATGTTGTATGTATTCTGGGTTGGCTAAATAGAAAACAAGATATTGAAACAAAAAAGAATACTTTTTGCCCGAGACAAATCTAGACCATGCCATGGTAATAAATTTGGAACCCAATGTGGCGTCTTTGGGGTTGTAATAGGTGGATTTTGATTGTTTTTCTAGTATATTTTATTTGTGTTTGTGTGCAAGTACAAGCGCAATGGTAAAGGAGATGCATCTGAGGCGGTCCTTACATGAGGATGTGCATCTTTGCCAAAATAAAATACATAGTATTTCACTATAAGGCTGCTTTGGAATATCATTATTTTTTGCCTGGTTAAAATGATAAAGATACACGTGCAGAGCAAAATGGCTCCGATCATTTGAAAAGGATTTTTACGGTCTTCAAAAAAAAATTATATTTTTGATATCTTCTTTCTCTTTACTATTTACTTACTATTCACTATTTACTATATACTATTTACTATTATTTAATATTTAACCTATACCCCCTCCCTCCTTTTACGTCTAACCATGCAAGTAGATACCTTACAAGGTTATGTTAATAACGAATACCCCACCAAGACCGCGAGAAAATCATATTCAAAATCTACTCTGAAACACAAAACCAGCACACAAGACACCTATTTCACAAAACTACCGCCACTCGACTCGTCAAGAGAGCAAACTAGCGTATCGAAAGCGGCCTTTGAAGATACTGATGGGTCAGAAACTGAGACTGTCTTGGACACCCCAACTGGTTGGGCAGATACCTACACTCTTCTTCGACGTTCATCATCATCATCCATATCATCTTCTGTCAGTAACAGGAATCGACAAAAACATCATTACTCCAAAAAAGGATCGGATACATGGGCAAATAATCATTCAGCTCCCGGTAATAATCCAATCTTTCGTTCTCGCCTGAGTCTTCCACCTCTCCCTCAGCACGACGAGTCGATGGCTTTGGTAGCCAACAGGAAAGCCAATGTCCATGCGACAAAGCGGAAAACATTTTCAGGATACGAAATATCGTCCGACGATGACGAGGAAGATCTTCCCGAGGGTCAGGTACAATTTCTTGAGCGACAATTGCAACAACTCCACAAAAATATGGCACAACAAGAAGAGCGAGAAATTCATCTACGTCAACAACTTGAGAGCGCACTTCGACCCAAAGAATCAACGAACTCGGAAGAACCGCTCGGACTGTACCAATCCACCTTTCAGCAACTAAATAGTCTTGCAGATGAACGCTTAATGTCTCGCACCGCCCCAGATAGATATAGGAGAGGATCATTTTGGAACGATTATCAAAATGCTTGGTCTGGATCAGAAATTGACCACCTTTTCTCCTTGACATCCCAAGATGCCAACGAAGAGGTATCAAAAACAGAGTCTTCTCCAAACAGCAGTGTCACAACTCATACATCCAAAGAGACAAAATCGGGGGATGAACTGCGCCGACTTAAAGCAATTGTGTGCAATTTTCGTGACACAATTGGACTGACCGGGACTGATACCCCAGTCCAGGCAACTTCATGTTTAAAGCAGCAAAGCAACTTGATGGAATACGATGCCTTTGATCCAAGTTCAGTCGAGGCAGGCGTTAAATGGTATAAATCTCAACATGCCGCCTTTTGCTCTCAAATATTAACGTACCTTGATGAGTGGATCGACCGTGACACCACAAACAAGCAAGCAATGGCCGACGGTGTACTAAAACAGGGTGACCGGAGCGTGCTGGGGAGGACAAATGAAGAGATTTCATTAGAGACAATCTCATTGCGTAACCAGAACTTAAGTCTAGTTCATGCCTTGCAGAAACTCCAGGGGCACCATGCTGCACTGTCTGCGTCCCTGAAGAAGAACAAGCGAGAAAATACCAAGTTGCAGGTCAGAATTCAAAAGATTGAAACGTCTTTGTCCAAACACAAAGAACAGACCATCAACAATGTGTCAGTGCCATCTATACCAGTCAAAGCAGACATTATACCCATCGCACAATGGAAAAAAGCACAAGACGAATGGAGTAAAAAAATAGAGAGCGAACGTGAACAGTCCGAATCAACAATAGCAGCACTCAACAAATCGATGACCGAGAGCTTGGAAGAAAAGGAGGAGATCGAACAAACTCTGGATGCCATGCGGACTGAGATGGAAACAATGTTGGAGGAATTAGAGGAATCTCGACAGGAAAGTGAGCGTTTCCGAGACCAAGCTAATGGCCTACGCTCTGATCTTGACCTTCTGTCAAAGATGGATGATGAGCACAAGTCAGATCATGTGTTATATTTACTGCAAACAGAAGCACAAGCCCAGATCAATGAAATGGAGAAAGAAACCAAGCGCCAAGATCTAGTAATAAAGGATCTACGCAATGATCTCCGCACCATAGAGTCACTCTACAGAGAAGCTAAGCAGGCCAAAGCAACTCAAGATAAAGAACTTGGGCGATTACAGAGTATCCGAGAACGTGCAGCTGAAGTTGACATCCAGCGCAAGACGTTGGAAGCCAAATTGTTCGAAGCAGAAAAATTAAAAGCTGAAGCGGAGCTCAAGGAAGAAATGGTAAAAGCGCAGACCAAACAGTTACAAGAAGATTTTAAGGATAGTATCACCAATCTGCAGACTCAACTTGACGAGGCTAAGAATGAACTGGCCGCAAGAAGACCCAATGGTACCGACAATGAGGCGGCAAGTATCGAAAAGGCGCTGGAGAGAGCCGTTGCAGAGAGAGATGCAGAACTTTCCAAGCTTCAAAAGACACTCGAGCAGACTGAACGCAAAATGGCACATCAAGAAGCGTCGTATATTACACGCCAAGAACAAGAAAAGGCAGCATGGAAAGTTCTTATTGAAGAGCAATCTGGACTGGAACATCAACGCAATCTTGATATATTCAAAGTACAGCACTCACGAGATATCCGAGAGATGGCCTGTCAGATTGCCGATCTTGAGAGCGAGATCGAAAGTCTTGAAAGACGACATTCTGAAGAATCGTCCCATTTTGCAATAATTAAGAGAGAACAGACGGCTATTGAAGAAAAGGCACGCCTAGAGAAAGTTGAATGGATAACTGTCGAGAGAGAGCTTCGACAGTCAATTGTTGTACTGGAACAAAAGACGATTGGTTTAGAAGGAGAAACTGTTAGACTTTATGGAAAGAACCTGGATCTGGCCCACCGTCTTGGTCAGATGGATCCTTGAGTAATATCCTGTACATAAAGCATAATACAATATAATTAACTGATTGGGGGAAGGAAAAAAAAAGGTGCTCTTTTGAATATCTTAACGTCATGAACAATAATACATACACACAGAAAATCTATTTCATAATAAAAATTGTCCAACAAATATTAAGATAATCAGACAGCGTCTGTAGAATTATCTTTTCTTATTTATTTATTTTTTATCTATATAATTTTCGTCTTTGCTCACCCAATACTTCTTCTACAAGTGTAATACCTCCCCCCTCGAGCTATTAACAGATCCTGATGAGAAACAATTTAGCAACCAATAGACCAACCTAGCATGAATAAATATCCCGATTTGATGATTTCTTTCTTTTATATTTTGGCGCTTTACTCAGCGTAAGGCGTAAAAACGTCCTTTTAACCTTTTAACTTTCTTTAGAAAGAAGCTATTTAACATATACAATTATTACTATTATGTAAGAGAAAAAGTAATATATATATATATATATATATACGATCGACCTTTCATTTTTCATGAACGTTTATTACTTGTAATATTTCTCAAAAAAAAAATTCCGGAAACTCAAGAATATTTAGGGCGTACAGCTGATTATGTATACTTTTATTTGGGTGCTGTAATAATACAACCGGTTTCTAATTTTTTCTTGGATTGATTGTTCTCACGGAAAGTTTCTTATTGTCTGTGGTATATATCTAACCCATTCATAATCAGAATATTATGTTTACTCCTTTGGGTAGGTTAATGTAAATGTAGGTATACCTGGAAAGAATAGCTGCAAGAATTGATAGTTGAGTAGTAATTGCCGATATATGTATATTTATTTTATATTTTGCGTTACAGGGTGGAAATATACTTTTTATATATCTGACTGTTAAAGTTTGGCCCATGGATGGTTCGATATTGGTATCCTTTCCAGTAAATATCACTACTACTATTATGCTACTCATATACCCAGTCATAGTAGTCAAAATAAGCTTATAAAACCTCGATGGTTTTCTGAAAAAATTGGCATCTTATAATGAAGTTATTTCTGGTGCTGGCTTTAATGTTACAAATGTAAAATGTATCTGCTCAGCAATAGCAGGAACAACAGAAAGAACAGGCCTCAGAAGCTTAATAAAGCACACAAGGCTAGAACTTAAAGTACTTGCCACAGTTTATGTATTTAATTATTACTGCTTGTTTGTTTTCCTATAATTTCAGCTCAAATTTGTCAGGAAAAGATTTCGAGTCTCAATTTATCTCGCCTCTTATACAGCTTGTAGAAGTTAGTAACTTATCTTAAAAAGGGAATTAGTGTAGATCTCAACAGAAAACAGAAACCTTTTTAAAAAAACTTTGGGTTGATCTGGCAGATCATTTCTGTTTATTGTCATACTTACTTCTCACACAGAGACAAGAATAGCTACAATTTGAAGTACACAGTCTGTAAAAAATTGAATACAACACAATATATACATATATCTGTATATATGTGGAAGATATAAATATATCCTAATTACCTTGGTAATATTTCACTGAGAATTAAGGATTGACAGAACAAAAAAAAATCAATAAAACCATGTTAAAAATGACCCGGTTACTGGTCAGGCACTTTTGTGGTATGTATATATTAATATTAATCTTCTTATTTAACTAGTAATTAGATATGTATATGTTACTTATTTACAATTGTACTTTGTATTGAATCTATTCGAAACATATCCCATCAAACGAATTACTCTAACAAAGGTCATGGGCATGACTACCTCCTTTTGAACGAATTTAACAGTCACTTGGCGGATTAGTTAGCCAAAGAACAGGGAAAAAAAAAGTTTGCAGAAGAATAAGAACAATTCAATGTCAAATGCAGTACTCCGTTGGCATTCTTTTTCTGAGCAATTGGACTGTGCAACGCGTTTGTCAAATAACCCGGGCACAGCATGTCAAAAAGAAATCGCCCATCTTCAAAATTATCAGGTCCGTTTACTAATCGCTTTTATTCTTTCTTTCTATTTCTGGTTCGTTTTTTTTTGTATTTCAATAGTAAACTTAAAATTATCATATAGCCATAGCATCTGATCAGCATCGTGCACCTTCAGACAGCATCAATGATGAATCAGATTATGAATCCGACCATTCAGAACACACACCTTCTCCACCATCCACCCCACGAAAGAAACAAACCTTGGTAGCAGTAACTCCAACACCTATACGAAACATTACTAGGGAATTAGCTCTTGCTCAAGGTGAATATAAATCACTACTATCACTACCATCACCATAATCAAGAAGGCGAGTTCTGACAATTTTAGCCAATGCTTAGTTGCCTCTCCACACAGAAATGGTCAATCAAGTTTCTATCTTCGTGCTACACCTCGTACTTTAGCAAATGGCAACAAATTGTGTCAACAAGCCAAAGCACTTTTCCGGAGAACAGCCATTCCTTCTCGGTTGGTTGGCCGAGGAAATGAACGGTCGACTATGATGGATTTTTGGAATGCTCATGTTCTAGGAAACAAACCTGGCTGTTTATATGTTTCCGGATCTCCGGGTACAGGAAAAACTGCCATGCTGACCGAGATTATTCGAATTACAGAAGATGAGGTCGGGGAACTGCGTACACACCAAGTTAATGTGGTAATGGTTAATTGTATGAGTGTGGGAGATCCCAAAGCAATCTACACCAAGATTGTAACAGAGCTTAAAGGATCAGGATCCAAACCAAATCCAGACATGGATGCAGTGCAAGAAGCAGAAATGCTGTTGAATGGCAAGAGCGAAGTTCTAAAGTAAGTTTATGCATACTTCAATTATCCTTGAAAGGCATTGACCATTGAGGCTTTCTTTTTCTATTTCTTTCTCTTTTTTTTATTAGTGTAGTAGTCTTGGATGAGATCGATCATTTGATTACAAAAGATCAAGATGTACTTTATAAAGTTTTTGAATGGGCATCTATACCGTCCTCTCGTCTCGTTCTCATTGGCATTGCCAATGCCCTAGATTTGACTGATCGTATCTTGCCTAGACTTCGAGCGAAGAATTGTAAGTTTATTATTATTAATCTTTGGTTGTGAGTATGGCACATACACAAACAAACTTATATTCTACATATTGTAGGTGAACCACAATTGCTCAATTTTAATCCCTATAGTGTTTCTGAGATTACGTCGATCATCAAAGATAGACTTTATTCACTAGTTGAAAATGAAGACGATCCGTTTGGTGCTGCTCCAACACCCAATGAAAATACGCCCTTGCCACTCATACAGTCGGCCGCAGTTGAACTGTGCGCGCGTAAAGTAGCGGCTTCTATGGGAGACTTGCGAACTGCCTTAGATGTCTGTCGCCAGGCTATCGAAATGGCGGAAAATGAATGGAAGAAGAAGACGGCTGCTTTGATAGCCTCTAATCCTGATGCTCCACCAATTGTAGCCAAAGTTACAATTGGTCATGTTATGAAGGTTCTTCAGATTGTTTATGGTAGTCCCAATGTCCAGAAGCTCAAGCAGCTGAATCTTCAACAAAAAGTTGTGATTGGTGTTTTGATGGTTATGAATCGATCAACAAGCGGGTCAACCAAGAGTCAGATCACAATGACAAAGGTAAATATCTAGAACAAATAAATAAAAATCAAAGATTTATGAGACGTACAAGGTATCTAATTAGATCATATCTTACTTGCAGTTTCGTGAACAATATGGCGTCTTTTGTTCAAAAAGTGGAAGTTCAATATCACCAGTATCGAGAACAGAGCTCAACGATCTTATCTCGATGATTGAGACTACTGGGATGATCACTCTCACAAATCACAAAGATGAACGATTGAGACGCATTCAACTTTGTGTTACCGAAGACGACATTATGCAAATGATTCGAAGCGTCAATGTACTAGACACATGGATAGCTGACATTCTTGAGCAGGATCCATAATATTCATATATCAATTCATTATTCTACCTTTTTTTCTTTATATATTTATACTTATATTTAGACTTGAAAGCATACACTTGCTTACAAATTTAATACACACCCATCATTATTCATTATTCATTACTCATATACAATAACTAAGCTGCACAAATAATTACATTCAACAAAGGTTACAGGACAAACATTAACAACCACCAACAAGTATTGAAATAAGTTTCAAAATGGTTATTATTATTCTTATTATTTTTTAAAGACAAAGACAGCTATTGATTTATATATCTGAATGAATTGGTGAGGATTATTAGGTCAATTTAGACATACAACATTAAATAAATAAAAGAGCACAATCCCCAATCAATCATTCACTGGAAACAAAACTAAACCAATTTTTTTTTGAATACCCCTGTTTTTATATAAAGAGTACGATTTTTAGACGAATAATATAAATATGTGTATATGTGTATATAAAAATATTATAAAAATAATAACTTACAAGTTTCAGTAAAGAAAGTATGTGAAAGAAAGTTTAGAATAATAGAAATAAATAAATTTGAATTTTGGATGAATTTATAAAATGCCTGGTCAGAGGGATAACATACAGCTTTTTGAGCTTAGAATTCAAACAGAGGGAAGAATATAAGAAGAAGAAAAAGGGAGTGGAAGGAGATAAGATTATTGAAATACTATGAAACATTTACTCAAGAAGTTGGCTATTATCGAAAGGGACAGTAAGGGAAGAGAAGAAGGTTCAAAAGCATACTTTTTTTTTGAACGCAAGGTAATTAAAAGAAATGAGAATGAGAGCAAGAACGAGAATAAGAGAAAGAAAAATGAAAATGAAAATGAAAATGAGAACGAAAATGAAAATGAAAATGAAAAAAGATGGAAATCAAAGTAAAATAAAACGAAGTAAAAGTAAAAATATAAGAAGTATAATAAGGTGAAGGAGGAGGAAATTAAGAAGGAGAAGATAAACAAGTAGAAAAAGAAAGCAAACAAACAAGGAATAATATAAAGAAATGAGTATGGCTGTGAATAAAACAAAATATCATCATTATAGAAGCTTACTATCCTCCTTTTAACTCTCGGGAATATTGATCAAAATCTAGTTGGAAAAAGGGGTGTTTGAGGGCTTCACTTGCTGTGATTCTTTCGTTCGGATCATAGGCCAGCATTTTCGAAACCAAGTCCAAGAAGTTCCGCGTAAGAGTTGTTGAAGGGACAATGATCTCCTGTACAAAAAATATATAGATGAGTTTCTTATACAGAGATATATAAATACACATTGTTCTCGTAGGTAATTGCTAGAGGATTTATTCTATGAGCATGTACATATTCTTACCCTCAATGGTCGTAGAGCACGAACGTATTTCTGACTTTGCCTTGAAGTTTCATTTGTAGGATATCGCAGTTTTCCGTTATCAAAGTATTTTTGTGGCTCCCTACTGATATGCCACACAAAACAGGTGTGTTAATATACAAAAAAAAATGAATCGAAAATTTAGTTTTGATCAATATTTACATTGTCCTTTTCTCTCTCTTTTTTTTAATATTTTGTTTACCTTGCATTTCTTGATATCCTTAATGGTACCTTTCCGAGAACTGCCTCCATCATCGCCAGATGTTCCAGGTTTTCATGCGTTTGGAAGAGTGCGTCCCCGGTAAAGAACTCAACAAGAATGCACCCAACTGACCAAATATCACATGGATAGGACCAGCCCATACCTATCATATTTTGATTAAGTACAGACGTTCAATTGATAGTAGCAAAATAAATATGTACCCAATATAATCTCTGGTGCTCGATAATGCCGCGTTGATACAACAGAAGAATGGTAGTCTTGTTCAAATGTGGCTGATCCAAAGTCTATCAGCCTAATGGACGTATCTTGTAATATGCGTGATTTTGTGTTAGGATCGCGCTAAATAAATAAAAACAAAAACAAAACACCCCCAGAAAAAAAAGATAGAGAGATAGAGATTTGGTTAAGGTCCCAAGATATGTTTCTAATTATCATTATCATATATAATCTTACATGTCCATTGCATAAGGTTAGACTACTGGAATTATTCACAAGTAAAATATTTTCAGGCTTGAGATCAGTGTGAATGAGTTTGAGGTTGTGAATGACTAGTGATTAAAGTAAGACAAATGTATAGATATAGAGTGAGCCGTTATATGCGTTTGTTCAAGGTTAATTATTAGGTCTACTTACAGGCTACACTATTTAAAAGCTGTTTTGCAAAGTGTTGGATCTGATGGGGTGGGAATGGTCTGAATTCATTAGATTTCAAAAAATCAAAAATAGACTGTCCTAGTAGCTCAAACACCATGCAAATATGATTATTGTAATCAAACCAATCAATTAAATGGATGCACTGGCTAATATCTGTTAATATAATGCATCGATAGATTATCGTGAAATTTAAGAAATACTACTTACTTTGAGTTAAAGGGGTCCTTGGCTTTGAGTGTATTGAGGACTCTAATCTCAACCTTACTGGCTTCTCTATATTTTGGAATTGCACGAATGATTTTGATTGCACAATGTTCTCTTCTAACCCGGTCGTAGCACTCGATGACCTTTCCAAAGGTTCCCTGTCCTAGTAATCGCATCATCTTGTCTATTTGAATTGTCCAAATCAAATCAGACTTTCTTTCTTGTTTTCATTTTCATTTTCTTTTCATTTTTTTTTACTGCAGATTTCTGCATTTTACATGTGTCTTTAGTATAGCTTACATCGTACTGTTAGAGATTCATTTGGGTTAATTATATAGTGTCCATCCTTATCATCAAATAAATTCTGTAAAATACATGATTGTTAATAATCCTACTAAATACTAGTCATCTTTTATATACAAAATATATTAAAAGAATATAAAAATATTCATGTACCCGAACAGCTGGTGCTGGTGCTTGTGCCGATGCTTGTGCTGGTGCTGGTGCCGTTGCTGGTTGTGGATGAAGGGATTGGTTGACTGTATACAATGTTAATTATTTGGAATCCTTGTTATAGTTTATATATATATATACGTGTGTGTGTGTGTGTGTATGTGTTTTATGGTACTTGCCTGAATTAGTGGTAGTGGGTTGGGCCCGATTATACTCTTTTCGCCTCTTTTTTGTTATCACAACTTTGGGGCCAGGCTGTTGGGATGCACTTGTTTCTGTTTCCTGGTCTTGGTCTTGATCCTGGTCTTGGTCTTTCCGAGACCGTTTTGAGCGTGTAGAAGCCGCCGGTGGCCCGGTGTAATATAAAGCGCTGGGATCTGCTGTGAGTATAGCAGGTCGGCGGGTAGCCAAGTTTGTGAGATGAGTTTGCCCAGAGGTAGCTGTATTGGTAGTTGTATTGGTAGTGGTGGAAGAAGAGGAAGAGGAAGAGGAGGAAGTAGTAATTCCATCAATTATACCAGAGGGATGTGTATCTGGTGGAGGTCGTTTATGTGTCTGAGTCTTTGTCATGGGTTGCGAAGGTTGTTGCTGCGATTGTATTGCCATTGGAGGTGGCGAATCATCAATCACAATGACATCTTTAGGGTATCCATTCTTGTAAAAGTCTGCCTGCCAATTTTCTCGTCGTGTGCGCCTTAGAGATGTTGTTGCATTCATAGCTAGATAAATAAACCCTTAAAGATATTAATGGTGCGTAGTCGCGAATGACTTTATTTTGTATGTTTATATATATATACAATATAATATTTTATTTTTATTATTTTAATTATTTTAATTATTATTTTATTTTATATATGTAAGCCGTGCATTTGACTTTGACAATGAAAATGAGGCAATTGAACATTCATGCTGTTCAAAAGAACAATGAGATTTACCTTTATACTTTATTACTATTACTATTACGGTTAAAGAAGGAAGAAAGATCGTGGCTGGTTCCAAGTGAGATGCCTAGCGACGCGGTCAATGAAAAATAATAATAAATACTCAAGTCTCTGTCTTTCTAAGAGCTCTGTTGAACTGATAAGGAAGTTGATGGGGAACAGTAAAAGTGTGTCTGTTTCTGTGAGTGAGTGAGTGAGTGTGTGTGTGAGTGCGTGTGTGTGTGTAAGAAAAAAAAAAGGTGACAAGATTTATCGTTTTTTATCTCTCTCTTCTTCTTCTTCTTTTGTACCTTTTTCTGGGTATTTTCTCTTGTATATAATCCTTCTGTTTTTCCTTCTTCTTCCTCTTATTATTTTCTTATGGAGATGTATTTATAAGGCATATATAACTGGTTTACTTTGCATGTTTTAAATAAACCAACCAACTGGTCCAACAAAGTCTTCGAATTGCTGGGAATTGAATGAGCAAATTTGGAAATCGCGCATTGACACTCCGTTGTTGTTTTTTATGTGCCTGCGTGTGGAGTACAATATTATGAAGATGAGTAACTTCAAACGGTTTACACATCTATTCTAGATATAATTGTACAATTGACACAATAGGAAGTAAATGTAATTATTTTTTCTTGCCAGTATTATCTAATAATACAATACGAATAATCAAAAGAAGAGAAAGATCGATGAAAAAAGCAATATATATATATATATATCAATTCTATTTAGATAAATAGTGGGGATACTCAGTCGATTTTATCCTTAAAAGTTCATTTTTTCTCTTTAGCCAATAATATCAATTTACAATCCAGTTTCCCTAATAATTCCATAGGTTCAATGACAGTAACATAGTAAATACGCCTCTTACGTATGTATATCCGCTGACAAGAATAATATCCGAAGTAGAAGAGTACCCAAAGAAAGAAAGAAAGAAAGAAAGAAAGAAAAAAGAAAAAAATCACTCCACCGTTTCACTTGCACTCAGTCATTCATTAAACTCAAAAAACTAAATGTTCTATTAGAGCTTCTTTATACAATATGCCGTGTCAGCTTCAATTTCTGATGTGATATTCAAGAGCAATGAATTATCATCCAGAAGAATTACATACATTTATATATTCATATATATGTAGTAATATTTAGGCGAATAATTTATTTGGATAAAATATCTAGGCTTGTCTATTCGGCTTCAGCATATACCTACAGATACCTTAATATTACTTTGATACAATTGTGTGAACACACTTACATTCTCACGGCAAATAATCCAGCAGGAAGTCCATTTTGGACCTCTTCCTTGATTACAGACAAACCAGCCTCATTAAACAAATGTTTCAATGAACTATTGGGTCTACAATTCAATCAAGTTTAGTTTCGATTCTAATCAACGCATCCCTTTATTTTTCTTACCTTGTAACACTACTATCCTCTTCGTCAATTATAGCTTCCCTGGACGCATTATTCTCCTTGACAGCAATCATGCCATTGGGCTTGAGCCCTTTGATACATCTCTTGAAGAATGCCACCAAGTGATCTAAGTTACATCATATCAGACAAGCACGTTCACCTGTGTGTGTGTGTGTGTGTGTTCTTCACATTATATAATAATGTATTGTGTCGTGATATTGTATTATGTTAATCTCACCATCTGTTAAGTGACCCAATACCCATTGACACCAAATAAGATCGTATTTTCCCTTCTCAGGTGTAAAATCTTGAAGTCCCATACAGAATATATTGCCTACGCGTCCAGACTCTATCTCATTTGCAAGGTAGCTTTCTTTGGCTTGCTCAACAAAGTTGGGTGCCTGCTCAACCAAATCAACCTTTTGAAAGGGAACCTTCAACAAAAAGTTTTTTGTGACTCTTCCAATACCAGCACCACAATCACAAGCATAGCCGCTATCCATTACAGGCTCTTTTCGAACAACATTGTTCACACCTCGTACACCATGGACAAACTCATCCACAAAAGATAATGATCCCTTGACGTCAATGGGATCAATAGTTTCGAATCCACCAAGCATGCCATTCACTGTAGGTGAGACGGCTGTCCAGTACTTTTGCGCATTATCATACCAGTCCGGCTGGCGCATAAGCTCAAGATTGTCTTCAGTACTTTGGTCCTAAAATATGCACAAGGTAATTTATTGTTGGTAAAATAATAATAAGAATAAAAAGACAGTAAGGGGGAAGAGGGGGGCTATGGGACAGAGGGAGACTATCGAAATTGTCAATCTACGTACAATAGACATTGGAGATGAGTCAAGTTTTGAAATCCTTTTATTTCTTCCAAAGGTTTGCACAACACGGTTTCTATAATTAGTGGGACTGCTTACTAGAAGCCAAGTATTTTTAATATCTTTTATTATTATATTATTATTACTATAGCAACCAAGTCCAACTCTTTGTCACTGGATAACCAAGATCGTATTCTTTTTAAACACGATACTTTCTTTAATTAATATCCTACCCTGTATTTCTTAATTAAAAACAAAATACTATTGAGCTGGTGATCAAAAAAAAAGAGAGAGAGGAAGAAAGAAATAAGAAGAAGAGAGAGAGAAAAGACACTTCTCCACCTCATTTTTTCTTTTGCTTGTTTGTTTAAAGAGACCACGGGTTCTGAGCTAGTCCACTAGTCAGAACTTCTAGCTTGCCTTCTTGATTAACTACAACAATGTCTTCGAGTCTAATACCAAACTCGCCGGTTATATAAATTCCGGGTTCTACACTAAACGTCATTCCAGGAGAAAGGTGTTGTTCATGGTTTCCTTGGTTCATATAAGGCTCTTCATGCATCTCCTCGCCAATACCGTGACCCAATCGATGGGTGAAAAACTGACCAAAGCCAGCTTTTTCAATTACCCGTCTTGCGTAAAGATCAACTTCTGCACATGAGTCACCAGAATTACTACGGTTGAGAACATTCTCCTGTGCTCGTCGTACTGAATACCAGGCATCCTCAATTGTCTGATTGTGTCCACGCTCACTCAAGAAAAAGGTTCTGGTCACATCAGCCTGATATCCTATACACAGACATACACAGATATATATATATATATATTAACCAATTTGAACATATTTCCAGCCAAGGGTTGTGCCAAAAAAAGGTAGACTGATTTTCTTACCGAGTAGTCTTCCACCAGTATCAATCAGGACAGTACTGTTTTCAGTAACGGTTCTTTGTATACCGGGCTCGCCGTGAGGGAAAGCAGCATTCTCATCAACCAAGGCCAAGACCCAAGTCTCATCAAGACCTGCTGTCTCGAGAGCATCGGTCATCATCTTTGTGATCTCACTTTCGACCATACCGGGCTGGACATAGGTACGGACGAGTTGTAGAGCAGCCAAGGTAGCATGGTTTGCACATCGCAGAATATCTATCTCTGCAGAAGACTTGACCATGCGCAAGGTACGGATAGACCGAGGAGCCATCTTTACTTTAATTTCATTAGATACATCATCGATTCCGTCAAAGATAAACATTCTAATGTCCTTGTCTACAAAAACGGTTCCCTCATTGGCGCCTCCGAGTGCCTTCTTGACAGCCTTGTAAGGTGAGCCATCTTCGACCCACTCGATCACACTTGGCTGGATCTCTTCGGATAAATTGGCTCTCTTGAGGGCTTCCAATGCTCTGGTGGCCTCAAACATAGGTGTAACGATGGTCATATTGATTCCTGAGGGAAGCTCATCATCCAGACGCAGGACGACCAAAAATGGACGTTCTGTAAGAGACCAGGCAATGTTGGTATAATATGTCATCGTCGGCCCTGGCTCCACAACCAATGCACCGGCGTTCTCGTCTTTCAAAACCTTGGCCAATCGTTTCTGACGTTCGACGTACTCGCCAGGTTGAATAGGAAGTGTGTCTTTGCAATAACCTTCCAATGACGAAAAGTCTCTTCCGAATTCCCCAGGAAGCTCTCCCCAATGGAAGATTGCCCAACCGCCACCTAACACTGCACCAAGTACGCACACTGCAATCACAGTCTTGAGAAGCTGAGTGTAATAATAACAATTAGATGAATCATTAAGGAATGGGATTAGGAATCTCCCCCCTTTTTTTATATAGAAAAAAAAAGGATAATGGTAAAGCATCATATAGTTATTGTTATTATTATATGTATATACACCCTACCCCATTCTTTTTGAAGTTGGTCCAGGAGCTATTTCCTTGACTGTGACCAAGTATTGGGGTTGTTTCTTGTGCCGTTGCCATTTAATGATTAGAAACGGAATCAAGTGAATATAATATATAGATAGATATAGGTATAAATATATATATATGTATATGCGTGGGTGTGTGGGTGTGTGTATGTGTGATAAAGATAAAAAAAAACTCTACAAAATATAAAATAAAATAATATATATATATAATGCCACGCGTCTGCAAATATAAGTATTGGTTGTTCACTACAGCTGGTGTGGACAGACTAAAAGTTCAAAAAGGGTAAAAAAAAGGGCAAAACTTTAAGCCGTATTATTGTATGAGAGTTTTAAAGCAAATTGTCTTTTTTAAAAAAAAACGACTCTGATTGACTAGTCCTCTTCTATTGCCACATGGTTTGAGAAGAAGAGTATATTTCTGATAAAAGATATATGCTATAGGGTAAAAAATCTAGAATAACTCACAATAAAAGATTCTTACTTAATTACAGAGACGACATTATAAGCACAACTTTTGCTAATATGTACTTGAACTAATTTTGAACTTTTTTTCTTTAAGAAAAAAAAGTCCAGACAGTCATAAATTAGTCTGACTAACCAAGTTCAAGATGAACTTGTTTTACTCTTTTTTTTTACCCTCTTTTTGAACTTTTAGTCTGTCCACACCATTAGATTTTATTACCATATTTGTCGAGTACTATAATCATAACTTTCTTTTGTTATCGTTTTTGTTGTTCTTATTGTTGTGTAGAGGCAATTATGCTTTAAATAGAAATTTAATACAAGCCTAACGAAACAGATTTGCGGAACGTATCTAGCAGCAAAGAGCTATGAGTGAAATTAGGTCTCTTTAACTTATTAGCCAATATATATATGTATATATTAGCCCCAAACAGAGGTTTGCTAAAACTTGATTTTTATTGTGCCAAAACATTTGGGTGTGTAATATCTTTTTAGAAGGGATTTTATTCCTTTCATACTTCACACAGGTACAAAGTTTTTTTCTCTAAAAAAAATCAATTGGATCATCATATTTAATCAATTATTCGACTCTCTTGTGTTTTCCAAGTATTACCAAACCTAAAAGAGTATCTGATATAATGACAGTTTTTTAAAGAGACTATCGATAATTAAGCAAGTATTAAGATTAGCAACTTGTGTAGTACTCCTGTGATCTTGTTTCTGCTTAGAAAATATATTCATTAAAATACATAATATATATAAAAGAAAAAAGAAGCGGTCTATTAACACAATTCACAATACCCCAATACAAAGTATTCGTTGTCTGGTTGACACCCTCATATTGGATCATGTGAAGAAAAGGAACAAGTCCTTGAATTAAGAGGGGAATAAAAAAAATACTTTCTTTTATAGTCACACCAAACAATGACTAATGCATTTGTATCCATTGTTTAAGATAAGAACATCTTATTCCAAAAGACGGCTATATAGATTTGTTACTTTTAGGTTATATACTTTGAGTGCACACATATACATATATGTATACATATAACAAGAGAAACATGGCCGTAAGTTGTCATTTATCGGCCTTGAGCGTCAATTATGGGTTGACACTGCCTGTGCATGCTTTTAGCTAACCACCTTGCATAATCGATGTCTAATCTAGCCCGATTGTTATCTTGCTTTCCTAATACCACTATAGGATTATCCAAGCTGCTGAAAAAGGTCCTTTTTTTTTGGTTGTTTGTTCAATAATCTTTGAACTATAACTTTGGACAGTAGTGATAGTAGTAGTAGTAGTAGTAATTGACAAAGTCTCTAATCTTATGTCTTTTAGCTGTGTAACAAATTACCTCATTTTCTTAAAAAATGCAAGTATTTCTTTCTTCTTTAAACAAGGAAAGCTGTTTTTTTTTACCAGAAATAACACATTTACCCTGGTTTATCAGTTTCAGCATTCACGATTTCCAAATAACCCCCGAATCTTAGACATCAAAAAGGCAGCCCCAACCAATAGCTTCATCAAAGAGGTGGTTGTGCTTATCTTCATACTGTTTTCCAAGCTTTTCTTTGAGCCATCGTTAGCTTACAAATATTTTTTAAAGAAAAAGATTAGAGTGTAGCTCGTCAGAACATACTACAGGATCATTACTTTATTTATTTTCTGTTAAAAGAATAAAATAAAGTGGTATGTAGCTCAGTGGTCTTTTTATGCACTACTTTAGAAAACTATGCCAGATTGTATTTTATGTTTGAGCCTGGCGCTATAGAAGGAGCTTGACGATTTGCTTAATATTTTCAAGAGAATTGGCTGAAAGTACTAAAAAAAGAGAAGAAAAAAACAATGCTTGGATGTGTGAATTCATCAATAGAAATATATGCTGTTAAATGAATAAAACTTAGCAGTTGCTTGATAGTAAAAAAAACATTATTATTCATAACAAGTTGGTGGAGAAAGAGAAAGTTAATATGAGGTCTTCTTTTGAATCTCTTAGTTTCTCTCTTTCCCTTATTATCCATAGTGTTAGTCTAATGGAGCACACTATTTGTGCTTCTTAATTAATAGTCGCTTGTGTGTTCCACAACAGTGTATGTTGAGACACTCTTAACAAACCAAACGACAGTGTAAAGATGACGACATTCACTTGTTGGTGCTGATTTAAGCTAATTGTAAGAAAAACCACCGGACCATTTTATTTGAACCACAACGGCTAACCAGTTCATGATGCATGTAATGTTGTAGAGGAAAAATGATACAAATGTACAAATGAATCCTCGGTTTCCTTCTCTCTTTCTCTCTTTGACAAAGAAATAAATTGTTGTCTTGGTATACGTAAGGAACGTGGATACTTTATTATGTAATATTGTACTTTTACTGAATATTGAAGTGTCTCTTTAATTGATGGGATAGATTGAGGAATAGCAAGTTGTGTCTTATTTTATTTTTGAAATGTATAGTAAACAATGAATGATGACCTTTTCTTTTGGGGGTACTTTTTTTCGCTTATTAAGTATATTCAACGTTATTTCATGTGACTGTCGTGATATTGCTATTTAATGAAAATTACAAAGAAATGAAGAACAACTGTAGGTAATTTGAGCTTGTGATTAAATCCATATTTGTAATAAAGGCGTTGTCTTATTTTTACCTAGATTTCATTTATTATGCACATAAACATACATATATATCCAAAGTTTATATATTAAAAATAAACGGCACAGGTGAAGAATGTTATTTATTGATAAATTGTTTCAAAGATTGGGGTTGGGTATTTGTTAGTTTGTGTGTGCCTATGTGTCTGTGCTTAATACATGCAAGTGTTGATTTTGTGTATGTTTGTGTGTTGAAGATTTATATGTGTGTTAGTGGTTGGAATACATAATCATTTTTCCTGGCCAGCCTAGAGTGGAATGATTGATATCAACCAACAACAATAATAATAATAAAAGTAAGGACAAACAATTCGCTCTCACTATCTCTCGTACACACTCTCGTTTTCACTCTCTTGCTATTTCTCCATATATATATATATATATATATTACCTGAAAATATCTTGAAGAGATAATCCTTAACATATTTTTCTTGTAGTGCATCCAGCCCAGTGCCTAGCTCTTGTGGGATTGCGAGACTCAGGACACCCAAATTCTCACATGCATTTCGAAGTGCAATTAAGCACGCTTCCAAGTCAGCATAACTAGGTCTATTGTAGATCTTTGGTCTTGTAATCAAATAAAATACGTGTCGTCTTTGGCCTAGAGAAAGACACGCCACTTGTCCAACAGACTTCTTTTGGGCTTGAAGTTGATGAACATTACCGAATTTTTGGCGAAATGTTGCGGATATTCCTTGTTGTGTATGACCATTAGATTGTTAAAAAATAGTGTGTGAGTGTGTGAGCATGCTTTTTTCTTTTCTTTTTGTGAATATGATATCAATGATAATGATAATAGTATCCACCTTTGCTTAGACGCATGTCTTCACTGACACATACGACTAGACTATCAGTTGGTGATATACAATCAAACATATTGCCTGGTCGTTCTTCAAAGTCAAAAGTCATTTGTTGGATTAAGGAGTAAATATAATTGAGAAAGGTAAGGAATGAAAAATGAAAACAAGAGAGAAAGAGAAAATCAAATAAAGGAGAAGAATAAAAAATATAAAAATAAAAAAATGGCTCTAAAATATAGCAGAGTTTATTGTGTGGGCGTGGGTGTGGGTGTGGGTGTGGGTGCAAATGGTTGTATGGGTGTGTTGATGGGTGAGTGGATTGACACTATGAAAAAGAAAATGCACACAGTTTTAAATTCATTTTCCGATTCACTCCTTCAATCAAGTTTTGATAATCTTTTGTGGGTAAAGAAGTTGGCCTCTTTATAAGATTATAATAAATATTAAAAATCTATATATAAAAGTGCATATATACTTATATTAGGTTTCTAGAAAAAATGTATTAGGGTTATGTAGATGATATTAAAGGAGCCCATAGAGTTTTGTACCCCCAAAAGAAGCAATATAATTCTTGTTAAAAGATGAGCCAAAATGATCAGATATTTCGGAGATTTAAGTTAATGAGTGTCTCAACTATGACAGTCAAAAATAATAATAATAAAAAAGAAGCAAATGAAATAAGCACAAGAACAAATTAGAGTACATTAGAGGTATATAGAAAAGGGTTGACTGGTGGAAGATTATATCAGCCCATATTTACCATTATTGAAATGACCTTTATTGAAAATAAATATGGTATATCTAACAATACAAGTGTTTTGCTTTTCTTTATAATAAAAATATAATATAAATCGATTCAATATATATTATATATATGTGTGTAGTTACAATAATAAAAGGTACTATTATTGACAATAAAAATTGAACAAAAACTGTAATCTAACAGGATTCATTTCATTACATCATTAACAAAAACAAATGTAAAGAATTACTCTTTAACGATCTTAGATTACGATGATCGATGTTTAGATTAACACTTTGGCCATTAGTTATTGTTCTTTACAAAAAATATAATAAAATTGATGTCACATAAAAAATACATACATAGATAAATGTATAGCTGCTAGTCCTCTAGACTAATTATTATTTACAATAATAATTACATAAGGATACTAATAATGTGAATCTTGCAGCGTAAGTATTAACATAATCAATATCAATATATATATATATATATATTATTTAATTGAAGTTATTAAAGACTATAACATTCATTGGCTAAAATATATAAAAGAAAACCTGCACTGTTCTAATGATTGGCTAATCAGCAATAATAATAAATAAAAATTACGCGTGAATTAAGCAACATGCAACAGCGAACTTTATGATTTACGTGTTCTCATACTGCAGATTTGGATGGACCTAGAAAAAGATATATGTATAATGCATATACACATATATACACATATATATATACACTATCTTACTTTGTAGTTGATAGCGATACTTTGTTCAATTTTATTTTATTTACAAAATTTGAGCGTGGTTTTCATTTTCATTTTCATTTTTCTCGTTGCTTTTTACTATCATCAAAGAAATCACTTGAATTTTTCGAGATTTATGTTGATATTCCTTTGATGTTGGTTCCTAGGTTACCGAGATTCACAATAGAATAATCGTCTTTTGGACAATAGAAGAGGTTGAAAAAGAAGGAAAATACACTCGGAGATCAAAAGAACCTCCTCCCATCTTTTCCCCCCAGAAGGAATACAAAAATAGCCTTGACAAAAGAAAAAAGTACTTGGCACTGTAAGTGTATGTAGTAGTTTGTATTCAAAAATTATAAGGTTGTTATCAACGAAATTAATAACTCTGATTACAGTTATATAGATATATAATTTACTTGGTAATTATTCACTTGTTTTCCTTTGAATAAAAAAAAATCTTAATACTATTCGAGAAATACTTTGCATTTTTTTAAAGGCTTTTTAATGAGAGAAAATAAATGAAGTCGCCGCTTTGTAAAAGTAATTAATATCTCGCCAATAATCAAGAGCGCGAGAAACTCAAGAATGCCCTTTATTTTATTTTATTATTGAATTTTGTAGTGTTAAATAAATAGTAATTATTCTTATTATTATTATTATCTAATCAACCAACCAGCCAACCAATCGATCAATCGATCAATCAAATAAAAGAGATGCTCCAACTGAAGCCATTTTTTTATTCTTTATTTTTTCTTTTAAAAAAAACACTTTGCTAAATACACAAATATGCTCCAAGAAAACAATACAGATATCACTAGGTCTCATAAGACCATATATTTTTTTATATGGCCAAAAAATCTTAAGTTATATTATTATAAAACAAAATAAAACACATGTAATCTGCTCTATTTCAAATATAAATGTACGAGCTTATTAAACTCTCTTCTACGACATAGCCAATAGAATCGTCAATAGCGCGAGCAATATATTTGTGGTCGAGTATTTTATTTTGGCTTTTTTTTTTGTTTTCAGGCACGCTTCTTGACGCGAGCACCTCAAATGCCATTCTCCGCAAGAATTCTATCCTACAATGTTTCACTGATTGTCTACGCCGACTCGATAAGGATCGTCAAGTGTCACATGTAGTGCGATTAGTATGGCTTAGGCTCCAGTCTCACAAGACCATGCTTACAACGCACACTTTTTTAAATGGTTGTTTTGTGTATATGTATGAATATATATATATATATATATATTCATTATTATTCCTACTACTATTTGCATTCGATAACCTTTCTTTTTTTTTAAGAAAAAAGGTGTCCAAGTATCTAAACTATAAGCACGTTCAGCGACACTCAAATATATATATACATAAGTATTATAGAAAAACAATAGAAATTTATAACAAGATGCCTCAATAAAGTTGCTTTTTTTAAGGAGCAAATTATGGTATCTTAGACTGTAGAGATGTATATCCCACAGAATACACCAGTCACAATTGATAACTATTCTGAAATAGGAAAGTGAGCGTGATGGAAGAAAACTTGCTCACGGTACTACTGTTTTGCGCACACTGACTTGTTAGCTTATATATACAAACTTTGTATACATAAATAATATAATTAAAACTGCACAGACTCCCTCCCTCACTCACTCGCTCTTTGTGTGTGTTTATGTGTATATTTGTGTTTGTGCTTGTACTTGTGCTTGTGCTTGTGTTTGTATTTGTATTTGTATTTGTATTTGTATTTGTTTGTTTGTATGTCATTAATATGTAGCCGAATAAAGATACTAATTTTATTAATATTACTATTTCTATTAAACATTAGATGCTTTGCAACGACACTCCTTTTATATTCAAAGGGCAAGCTTTATTATTCACGCAATTCCTTTTTTAAAAAGGAAACCTGCATATACATATATTCCGCGGCTCATTCAGGTATTGAAATGAATATAGTCAACTATTGTTATATTTGGTTATTATGATTGTCCTCATGCCTTGACAGTAGCTTTTCATTCAGTGGCATGTGTATCATGATTTATTACTAAATCAGCACAAACCGAATAACTTTAAAAAGATAGATAGAAAAAAAAACAGTTATCATGAGGTTTTTTTTTAAGAAAAAAAGTATGAGAAAGATAGCATCATTATTTTCCTTTTTAGAAATGTTCACCACTATACTTTGTCAAGATCCTCTTCTTATATTTTAACTTTGACCCCCCACTATTTATTATATATATAAAAAACCTATTTTGAATTAGTAAATAAACCTTTTGGAGCTTTTTTCTTTTTATTTTATTACTTCTTCATCTGGAGACGATCACCAGGAGATTAAACTCAGCCTGATGGTCAATAAAGCAATGAAAAACAAAAAGCAAACCAAATACCATATTGAATTTTTGTAAATACGCAACTGTACATTTATGTATATATACATAAAGGTGCAAGCGTTTGCGTGTTTGTGAGTATATTTAAATATTGCACAATTATACAATCAATAAAAGTTTTTTTTTGGCATATGCATACGTGTGTCGACAATTATATTTTAAATTTTACATTTTACATCATAGATTATTTATTTACTTATTATTACATATAAAAACAAAGAAAGAAGAAAGAAATAAAATAAAATAAAATAAAATAAAGAAGAAGTATAGGCGTGATTTATTGGTATTGGTCAACGTTGCGATAGGAGCATAGTCCTGGTTGTCCTTCATTTTTTTTCTGAAGAACACTATGATCAAGATGGCTTACATAGGGTGGAGGAGTAGGAGGAGGAGGGTAGCCGGCTGAGTACATTAAGAAAGGAGGGTTTTGCAGAGAAGGGTGGGGTAATAACGCTTGATGATGAGATTGTTGTTGCTGTTGATGATTTTGCTGGTGCTGGTGCTGGTGCTGTTGTTGCTGTTGTTGCGGTAATGTCATATTTGTTGTTTGTCTTAAAAACATAGTATTTACTGTCGATGTTGTAGGATAGAAACTATCTCTCTTGTCGCGCTCCTCATCTTCTTTGCCTATTGGCGCGCCAGAATGGACACGAGCAAAGCTAATGTCATGGGTATTGGTGTTGTTGGTGCTGTTGGCGTTGTTAATATCATCCAAACGGTGCCGAGGGTCTGAATAAGGAGAGCAGTCGTCCTTCATCATATGATTTCCATGAATTACAGAAGACGAAAATTCTCCAACCGATGTATTATTTGTTGTGCTCGAATACATTGAGGTCTGAGGGTACTGTTGATGAGAATGTGTGGAGAGTTGCTGCTGGTGTGTTTGATTACCGGAGCGACGATTAGAAAACGAGGTCGTAGTCATATTTGGCAAAATATTCGATTTTGGAGATGGCTGTTTGCCCACATTGGCCACCTCTGCTGTCGTCTTTAAACCAGGAAGCATTGCAGATGAGATAAACTTCTTTTCAATGATATTTGGGTCATTACTGCTCACACGTACTTGTGAAGTATTTATGGGACTAATAGAAGTCGGCAAAAACATGGAATCTGCCATCGAAAAGTCTGTTGGTACTGCCATGCGTGGGGTTGTGTATTGTTGTAGGGAATTCGGGACATAATTTGAGAACGAGGTGTCGAGAGGGATTATACCGCTTTCATAATTAGACGGATATATGTAGCTTTGTCCTGTCATTTGCATGTGTCGTTGGGACATATTGGAAACTATTGGAATTGTCTGATATTGCTGTTGTTGTTGTTGTTGCTGCTGCTGTTGCTGCTGTTGTTGTTGTTGGTGGTGGTGGTGGTGGTGGTGTTGCTGCTGCTGCTGTTGCTGCTGCTGTTGCTGTTGATGATGAATATGTGTTTGATGTACGACTGGCATATGTGAAGATGCATCGCTCAAAGACTGGCTGTCATCAAACTCTCTTTTTGGCGATTCTACGGGCGATGACTGTGTTGTAATTTGGAGAGAGTTTTGTCGTTTATTTTGTTTTCTTGTTGATGGCTCGCTTCTTTCTTGCCCATTATCTTCCATCGTCATCTGAGATCTTGATCTACGGCGGCTCTTTGAAGTCGGAGAGTCGTTCGTACTTCGCTGCGTGTGAACCTTCACGATGTATGAATGTGTTGGAATCGTTACCACCGTGAATCCCTTGGGCTGTTTTGGGGTTGGTATTCCAGTCTTTGCAGCTGCCTACACGACCATACATATGAATATAAATATAAAATATTAGAAATTGTTATTTCTTTGTACGCTTGTAATTCGTAATGGCGAATTTTCCAATCGGCTTTTTTTTTCTCTCTCTCTATTTCTCATTTCTCGTCTTTCTTCTCCCTCTATCCCTGACTATATCAATCTCTCCTCATGCACCGACCCAACCATGTAGGGGAGGGGCGCTATTTCGTGCTACGGTATCACAAAAAAAGCGTATCACGCTATCTTTCGTTGCATACAGATTGTAGTAGCTAATTCTCAACGCCCAAACCACCAGAGAAGAAAAATAAAGGAGAGAAAACTTAAAAAAGAAAAGCGCACACACGCACACACGCACATACGCACACACGCACACACACAAACACACACCTGTGGTCTTTGTTGATGGTGTATATTGTTTTCTTGCTTGACTGGGTCATCAGATTGCTGTTTGGGACCAGGAGACACCTCAAATAGTTGAGCTTCATACGACTGACTGTCCATGGCTAATGATGATGACGGTGGACCATCTGGAGTGAGAATTCTTGTGGGGTCTGGCGAGATATTCGATAGTTCTGAAAGTACTAAAGGCGCTTCGAGGGTTTCTGGGTCGATTTGAACCATGGAGCAAACGTTTTGTATTAGTTTCTGCATCTCTTCTTCAACAAAAAAGGTCAAGTCTTCGCTTCCGGCCGTGGCCATGCAGATACGTGTCCAGAGACCAGTCATTTTCTTTGCTCGCACGACGGTCTCGTTCTGTTTGATCTTTAGTCGCTCTTCCGAAAGTCTGTTGTAAAACCTTCTTTCGTTCCAATGAAGGCCGACAAATTGAGTTTGTACGCGTGCGCGAATATCTTGGGTTGGTAGTCGTTGGCTGGCCAGTTCGCCAATTAGCGCAGCAACCTCCTTTGGCCAGGTCATCTCAATCTCTTCTGGCCGCATGAGTTCGTGGTTGTGTCTTGATGCAGTTGGGTTTAGTGATTTTCTAAACTCCCATCGATCTCCTTCTTTTTCAAAAAGGACTACTCTCCATCTGCAATCACATCGTTTTGAGGGGCGCTTCCGTCTTGGTGTAGATTTTGGGTTTCGGTGAGAATCTGGGAATCCTTCTCTCGAGCAATAAACGTAAATATTCTGAGTTATACCGAATGTGAGATAAATAGAAAAAGGTAGAAAATAATAATAACAACAACCAAAATTAAACGTAAATACATATAAACACACACAGAGCAATATAAAAAAAAAGAGAGAGAAAAGTGTTGATCAGCAAAAATCGTGTTTTTTTTGGCGTTTTGTTGTTGATTGTTGTTGATATAATAATAAATAATAATCAAAGTCTTGGCGAGTGTTCAATGCGTGAAAGACAAGCAAATCATTAATCATCAAATCGGGTTGTTCAAGCTTGGCTCCGAGCCGTGTTTAATGTAAGTGCTTTTTGAGTGATAACATTTTTTTTCTGTTGTAGTACAGAACAATGTAATTAACCCAATTTCTCAGGCTTTGTTGTTGTTGTTTTTGTTGTGCTGTTTTGTAATATTGGTGGTGGTGGTGGTGGTGGTGGTGGTGGTGTATTATCATTATTATGTAATAATAATAGCAATAAAGCAGAAATTGTGCTTTTAAATAATAATATTATAGAGTTCTTCTTTTGGTTGCAGTAATAAACTTCTCCTAAAACAATAATAAACATACCCTGTGTGTACTTTGCTCTTGCTTTACTGTAAATCCATACTGTGCACAAAGATCACGACAATATTTTATAGCCGCTGCTTTGCTCTCAAAATCGTCGGAAAGCAAGTGCTCATAAAGGGAATCGAGCTGGTAAAATGTGACAAATATATATATATATAAAACAAAATAATAATACGTGAGTATTTATTAGTTTAGTTCACATTTAAAACACCCATTTCAAATAAATAAGAAAATCAATACCAAATAAAAAACGAATTCTTTATTGTTCACACTATACTAATATTAACTCTAATACCAATACCAATACCAATACCAATACTTTTACTATTACTTTTACTATCACTAATAAATTTATTAGAGTGACCTACTGATGAGCCTGTATATTGATGTTGATTCTCACGCGACATTACAAGATCATTGCTTGTGTCCATGTACGATTCCGTTTCTTCTGACATGATGAGATTGAATGACAGAGTCTGTGTATTTTTTTAGTAGAAAAAAATTAATATAAAATAGTCATTAGAATGTCGAATGAGAATGACATCTCTTTTTAAACCTCATCTCGAAATGGTCGAACTTGCCTTTTTTTTGGTTATTCCTTTTTCTTTCTTTCTTTCTCTTTAAAAGAGAAACGAAATTCGGGTGCCTGAGGTTGATATATTTAGAAAGTACTGGTTCCAGAGAGAATTGTTCTGAAACAAGCCGACTTGTATATACAAGTGAAAAAGAGAGAGGAAGAGGTAGAAGGAGAGAGGGAGAGGGAGAGAGAAAAATGACTATATATATATATATATACAAATGCGTATGATATATATATATATATATTCGTTTTAAATGATTATGTGTTTTTGTCTGGTTTGAAAGATTGAACCGGATTGAACTGAGCAAAATAGCGTACACAATAGATGGAGGCTTTCGTCAAGTGGCTTCTTGATCCACGAAAGTCTTTTTTTTAAAAAAAAAAAAGAGGAAAAGAAAGAATACCACAAGGGTTAGGGTAGCGAATAAGTATGGTTAATTATTGATTCGCTTCTTTTTTGACTTTCTTTTAATTTTTTCCCTTTTTTTTTAGCTTCTTTGCTTTTCTGGCCTTCTGCTTCTGCTTATGCCTATTTTTTTCTTATGTTCTTGATTGTACTTACTTGACAGAATAGGCTTGTTATAATTGAGTGTAAGTCTGTGATTGAGTATACATATATGTATATATATAGATATATATATATACGTGTGTCTGTGTCTGTATGTATTTAAATAATGTTTTGTCCTGTTTTTTGTACTTGTTGGTTCTGATTGTTGTACTGTGCCTGCTTGTTTGGTTTGTCGATTGATAAATAGAGCAGGTACGGTTAAGATAAATCAAATGATAGATATATAGATAGATAGATATATAGATAGATAGATATATAGATGTATAGATATATAGATAAATATAATAAAGATATAATATAGGTAGATATATATATATATATAAAGAAAGAAAGAAAGAAAGAAAGAAAATATGATGGAAGAAGAGGAAAAGAAACGTACCCGACTTCAACTCGGTTTTGTCTTCCGAGCAAAAGGGGGGGCTGCTGTTCGGAAAAGAAAATTGACAAGCCGTAGTTATCCTTGTAGCGAATCGGTTTGTGTGTATATAAAAGGCCGTTGCGCAGGCCTCATCTTGTAAGTGTGGTCGAACATAGCATATGAAACCTCTCCAATAGCCGTCGCCTCAAAAGGGTAACAAGTCTAGTGGAACATCGGAGAACTAAAATATACTCAGAGGGGTTTAAATACTCAGAGCAAGACATTGGGTTTTTTTTATTTTTTTTGTCCAGGGAGAGGAGGCTGACCTGCTTGCAAAGTATTTTATAATATTTATATGATTTTTTATTATATGATTTTCTTTTTATCATTATATATAGAAATGTATATCATTTTTTTTGTCATTTTTTTTGGCTCAATAAATATATACATATTAATTAATGGTGCTAATAATAATATCTACTTTATTAAGCATTCAGCATCTCTAGATTAACAAAGTCTGTACTTCCAATAAACGTATTTCTTACAGGTCCATACTAACCCTTCATGTTCATTAAGCCGCTCCAATAGAGATTGCCCTGAAATCTCTCAATTTCTCTCCCTTTCCTTCTCTTTTCTCTCTCTCTCTCTTCTTTCTTTTCTCTTCCCTTTTAAAAATAATAATAATCTTTTAACCATCAAGTGCTTCAAATCAAAAAGAATGAAATAATGAAAGAAAGATCAAGCTTCCCCACATGCACAGTGACACCCTATGTATTCCACAAACGGACCTAATGTGTTTAGAAGTCTCGTTTTTTTTGAAGCATTTGAGTCATTCGCATACCTGCGAGTTTGTACAATCTCACTGAATTATTCTAGACAGTAAAGAATGATCTATTGTTTGATTTCAATAGTAGTACACAAATCCCAAGCCTTTATATATCTATATCTGTATATACTATTTAGTATATTGAAAAAATATAATCAATCACTGTAAAAATATAAAAAAATGAAAAGATAGAAGCGTGCTCTTAATCTTGGTTCCTTGCACACGCACACGCACACGCACACGCACACGCACACGCACACGCACACGCACACGCACACGCACACGCACGTACGCCCATCACATCATTCAGAACACTCGGGTCCTCCTTGGCTTTTACCTATTCCAAAATGAGATACACGGCCGGGCATCTTTTTCTGGACAAGTCTGCATGGTTTCTCAGTGGACGAAAAGTTGTTATTTTTTATTTATTTATTTATTGTGAAGGTCCGCCGCACCCCAATAAATATCCCGGGAGAACCAATTAGTATCTAGGTAACGATTCATTGTTAGTTGCCAAGCAACCGAAAGAAAAGAAGAAGGGAAAGAAAAGATAAATAAACATGTTCAGCATTCAGATCCTACTTTTACAAAACTGTTTTTTTTTCTTTGTACAAACTGTACAAAAACAACAAATAAAGATTACAGTTTTTGATACATCAGTAGCGATCGTAGTTTTAATCTTTCTTCAAATAAGCTATGGACTGGGATGCCCCGTGCGTTCTAATTCACCAGTCTTTTTCTTATTCTTTTTTGGTTGTCGTTGTTGTTGTTGTTGTCGCTGTTGTGATGGTGATGGCTGTGGTTGTGATTATGGCTGTTACTTATTTTATTTTTATTTTTTTTCTTATTTTTTAACCCCGGTACCGAGACCTAGGAACCTACCATAGTTACTATGGTTAACTTGCGATTGGAGTTAGACTATTCTACACAACCAATGGAGGATACGAGAGAGAGAAAATATAAAAAAAAGCAAAAGCAAAAAAAAAGAAAGAAAAGAAGTTAAAATACAATAAAATAATATATATATACAACGTTTAACACGACCGTATTCTGGGAATGTGTGGGATAGTATATAGTCATGGACGGTCACAGTTGCTATGTGATCATAAAGGTAACACGGCACATGATTATTTTGGGTGTAGTCCCGATGACTACCAAAGTCAAAATAAAAAATAAAAAATCTAGGAATCATTGCCGAAGCTGTTACCTCTCTCTAATGAAGGCTGTGTAATAGTATTGTTTCTTTTTTTTTGGTTTTCTCTTTTTTGATAGGGGAACTGTAGGGGAGTTGAAAGGAAAGATCTTGTTTGACACAACTGTCAAATGAACATGAACTAATCTCCGATTGTTCTGAAGGGGACCTTTCGCTGTGTACCCACACATACTTACACACTTACACACTTCTACACTTTCGCCTGCACTTACGCTTACTCTTACACTTACACTTACACATACACATACACAATATTTGTTGTTTATTTCTTTCTTTGTAGTATAGTTTTGTCGGTTTGTTTGGACCCACAAGCCCAATATGTTTTCTCTCTTTCTCTCTTTCTCTCTCTCCAAAATAAATAATTAATTGACTGTATACAGATGACGAACAAGGTACAACGTTCCTTATTTTGTATTTCTAACAACAAATTAAGCAATTGAACTGGAATATATATAAAAATCAAATGGACTAACACAAAAAACCAAAGTGTTTGATAAAGGGGCTTTTAAAAAAGGTGCCTTTATGGAGACGAAAATCTCTCTCTTTCTTTCTTTCTTTCTTTCTCTTTTTTTTTCCCTTTTTTCTTTTAGGCCGAGTGATACAAGCCATGGCCAGTTTCATTCCATGTCTTTGTCTCACACATGTCAGCTAGACTCCTTTTTATCGTTATTATTTATTATTATTACTATTATTATTTATACTCACACCTGACATGAACAGGGAGAGGGAACCAGCTCATAAATAAATAATAAATCTAGTGTATTATTATATTAGTGCTTTCTTTGTTTTCTTTGTTTTCTTTGTTGCTATGCAAGGTATCTTAGCAACAAATGAGTTTCCGTAAGAAAAACTATGGCAAAAAATTACTGTTTATTATATATATATATATATTTAATTCCACAGTTATTTAATAATTATAATAAAAAGAATAAAAAGAAAACAAAAGAAAATAAAAAGGCAAACATCATCCGTCAAAATTCAAAACAGCCGGAAAGGCCATTTTTAGATTTTTTTAGATCAATGGGTGCATGGAAACAGCATGGACGAACAAACTTATTTTATTTATATACATGTATATATATATATATATACATATTATATATTTATATAGAAATCTAATATATATTATTATTAATTTGCTCACCATAAAAATAAATAAATAATAAAGAAAGAAAATAAGTTACACTCGTTGACATGGTGACAAGGCAAGCTGACTTGTTTAGTGTAGTAATTTCTTCATATGAAGAACCTGTGTACAACCAAGAGAATATTTTGATCGAAGAAATGAAAAAAAAAGTAAAAGTCTATTCTCCGTCTTTAACGAGTAATAAATAATAAAAATTATAAGAATCAATAGCGATAGCAATATGATATGATATGCCTTGTGTATATGAAAAAAATTAAATAGTAGAATATAAATAGACCCTTATTCCAAGCACAGTTTCTTTCAATTTTTTTTATTTTTATATTTTATTTTATTTTGGGGGGAGTTGAAGGCTCATCTCACAGGACTGATTCAACCTTGTCATGGGGCACCCCTTTTCTCAAGTAGGACAAACATTAATACATATATACAGAGAGAGAAAGCAAAGCGGCCCTTGTCCTGCGGAATAAACCTTTCACAAGCGTAATGAATATATATATATATATGTGTGCATGTATATAAATCGGGGAAAATTCTCAAGATGTACTGATAATTTAACAGAAAAACTGTCTTGATTTGTTCACAAAGTTCAATACCTAATGACCAACTACACAGTAGAGAATACACAATATACTTTATATATATATATATTATTTATTATGTGTGTGTGTCTGTATACATCAAAAGAAAGTTTCATTCCCTAATTTGTGTGTAGTATGTAGTGTGTTTGCTGTGTGCGTGTGTTTATTTTGTCTTTTATATACATCATTGGACTGTTGACTGTCCAGAGCGGGGTTCTTTTTCCTCATTAGAAGTTGGGGGTCTTCCCTGCTCCATTGAAAGCTCAGTGATCTCAGCTGGACCAACAGCGCGACCTGATCGATCATCTTCAAGTTCAACTACTCCAAAATCACGATTGCGCTCTTCTTTACCCACCAAAACTACGTATATGCGTACATATCATCGATCAATGAAGGACTCGATATATATACCTATCAATATTTTGTAAGATCTATAGCATACCTGTGATAATTAAGCATGCACAGACACACCCCATGAAGATAGCTTGTGTCAGGCCATAGTTTGCAATATTCTTTCCGTCGGAATCTAGCCTGTAACTACCGTCCTCATTTTTGATTGGGTTATTCTCACCAATGACAGCCTGTATTTGACTGCTTGCAGCACTGATCTACAGAAAAAGAAAATTAGAGAAAGGAAAAAAATGTTAATGAATGGATATACTAATATATGTGTATATGAATACGATGGGAGGATTTGTGCCATCAAATGAAAGAAATTGATATAAAATAGAAGAATGATAGTAAAGGTTCAATCTACGCACCAGGTTTCCTAGTTGGTATGCCAAACCCGGCATCAAACCTCTAAAGGCAGGCGGGGCCAATTCATTAATGTGAGCTGGAATGACGCCTATTGAAAAATAAAAATAAAAAATCAAGGTGTGTGTGTTTGTGTTTTTTTTTGTTATCAATAAATCCATTCAATTAGAAAATAAAAGATAGAAGGGCAAGAAAAAAAAAGAAAGAAATCATGGGGATCAACAATTACCCCAAGCGCCTTGGACAAAGAATTGAAGAGCGAATGCACCGAACTGAAGGGATTGAATATTTGGTCCAAATGCCCACAATGGGATAAAAGCACCTGTCAGGATTGCACAGACTGCAATACAAAACCTCCGGCCGAAATAGTTTGAGTAGTAGCCGACAATGGTGCCACCACAGATTGCACCGAAATTGTAAATGACACTTGTGGCAGTCTTTTGATCATTGTCGTAGCCAAGTTGGGTCTGTAGGAAAGTAGGATAGAGATCCTGGGAGCCGTGGGATAAAAAGTTCATAAAGGCCATGAGGATGACCATGTAAATTAATCTGAGCCAGTGTTTCTTGATAACGACCCAGGTTTCCTTGAAAATAGATCGACCCAAGATCTTGCGAGCTTCTTTTGTTTTCTCAAAGGGCTCTGATTCTGGCACCCAAAATCGAATAATGACGGCCAATAGGGCAAATGCAGCACCCACCCAGAAAAGAACACGCCATGAAGAGCCATTCCGAACGACACCATAGTTTGCAACTGTGGCCAAAAGGTAACCAGTCGCATATCCTATTTCGTGGTTATGATGTCAATAGTCTGATCTGGGCTCGAGGTGCATGTGTTGGTCTGTTTGTTTGTTTGTCTATTGATTCATTACCTTGCTGATAAATTCCAGAGAAAAGACCTCTTGCTTCAACAGGGAGTGATTCTAGTGCCAGACTTGCGCCAAGTCCCTAAGTAACCAAAAAAAGAAAACAGGACGGCTTAATAGGTAGGACAGACATTTACAAAGTGTGAAACTTACCCATTCACCACCCATTGCTATACCAAATACTGCTCTGAGTCCAATAAAGGTTTGTAAATTGGGCGCGAACCCACTAGCCATGTTGATAATCGAATAAAGCACAATATCAATCATCAGGGGCCACCGGCGACCGTATTTATCAGCCAATGCACTACACGATATGATATATCAGTCATTTGATCTTGCTTCCTTTGTTGAAACATTACCCAAAAATAAGTGCACCAATAGGTCTCAACATCTACAATAATACATATGTGAATCCATATATGAGTGTGTATATTTTTTTTTAAAAAAAAGATCATTTATATTTCTATAATGCTTCTTATTGTTATTATTATTTTGGGTGTATTAAATTACCAGGGTTGTAGTAATGGCACCTAATCAAATATAAACAACAGTTAAAATTAATACTTCTTTCTTTTCAAAAAAATAAATAAATAAAACTTACTTGTAACATCTGAAGGTTCGACACCAAAGTCTTTTGCTAGAAGATGAAAGACAAAAAGAAAGGCAGGTTAATGATTGTACAATATGCACATATCTTGCAAAGTACAAACCAATTGATGTGGCTGTCAAAGTGACTGAAAAGAAGTCAAACGCATCCAAGGTCCAGCCAAAGAAAGCTTTTATAATAGAAATATCCCAAAGATGTATTAGTCTCATGTACCATCATCCTTTAACCGAACTTACCTGCAGCAAACGTAATACGCTGAGTGTTGTTGAGATTTGTAAGGAGATGCCATACATTCGTAGGCTTTTCTGGCTTCTGATATATGGAATCTTTTATCTTTCTCAATATTTGCCTTGTTTTGCTTTCTTGTACATTCTCGATCTGCTCAACAGAAGAGACATCTAGATCCTTGTTTTCTTTAGCCATCGTGTGTGGATCTGGATCTGTACCAAGTTTGATGATAAAGAAGTTTAAGCCTGTAACTTTTCTGGTTTTATTTTATACAGATCAAATGAATTTAAATGTATTTTTTTTTATTTTGTCTTTGACCAGTATCAGAGTTCTATTTTTTTAAGGTTTCCCGTTAGTGATCATAAAGACGTTATGCGATAGGTATTCCCCACACTGATAACATTTGGTACAAGTCCGAGGAAAACGGGATTTTGTGTTCCCAAACTAGTTAAATTGTGCTTATTGTTTCCTTCTTCTTTGACCTGATATGAATATTTTTTTTCTCTCTTTTCTTTTCCCTATGTTCTTTGATCTAATTGTGTAATTCGTAGATCTTTTGTACAAATCTACATCTTGTAAATTCTAAAAAAATTCTATATCTTAGATTCTATATATTTTTTTAACCTTTTTTGCTTCTTTGTATACATATATGTATATTTATTTTATTTTTTCGGAGGTAAACTGTTTATCCGTTTCCCAGAACATATATATGTTTCCTTGAGGTCTTACAATTACCTAACCAACATCACACAATGGACTTTGGCTATACTCAAAAAGAAACAAGGCTCTAAATAAAGATAGTTGCAAAAGGAGAACCCCACACTTGGTGTTTAGTTTTTGTTCTTTTTTACACACGCTGGAAAATTAATAGAAAAAATGGAGAATTTTCACAGCCAAGATATTCATCGTTGAAAAATGAAATACTAATAACAGAATTGAACATTTTTTTTGTTTGAATGACTTGTGTATATAAATATAAATGGAGGGGATCTTTTTTGATCTTTTTAAAAGATCTGAAAAAAATTATTACTATTGCTGTTGCTGTTGCTATTGATTTCTATCTATTGTGCTCTTTTTTGCTTTTTCTTCTTTTGAGACATAGAATTGAGTACGACTACATCAGAATCCTTGCGTTTTGTCTCTCTTTCTGTCGTTGGGACAAATACGTGTTCATCTGCTGGGATTTCTACAGCTGGAACTGCGGGAGTCTTTGGTGCGACCTTAACCTTTAATCCCTCACACGGGAAAGTCAGCTTTATAGTAGCTCGGATCTGATCTGCCAAATTTTGTTCTGGAGTAGGCTCTATTGACTCTGTGAGAAGTGAGTGAAACAATGATGATGTCTTTTTCAAGAGTCGGCTTGCTTCTACTTTTCGGTCAGCAGCAATCTTTTCAAGATCAAATGCAGAGGGATCTAGCTTCTTCTTTACGATCTTTGGTTGATTTTGTTGTTTGCTTTCTTGTGATTTATGACTGGGATTTTGTAAAGAGTTTGTGTTTACTACAGCACTGGCTTTCTCGACAGGTTCAGACTCTTCTGTTTGAGAAGCTCCCACGAGTGCATCCGCCTTTGCGCGCTGGATCAAAAGCGCTAATGCTTGTGCATTTACGCGAACCAAAAGAGGGCAAGGGTTACAGCAGCCAATGACACCTGCTGAGTCAATAGGCATTTTCTCCACCAGTGCAAAGAGCATGTGGTTTGGTAGCACATAACGAACAGATTCATCCTCCTCGCGCGCAATGTGATCTCTCCAATAATGCAGCTGTTTGAATACACTCAACTGTTGGTCGTTCATACGATACTTCCACTTATCCAAAGCATTCTTCCACCCACCAGGACCCAATCCATTCTTAACATCGTAAATCTCCTTTTCGTCTTTGTGAAGTGATAGTTCAGCCGAACGTTGGAGAACTTGGCGAAGTAGGTTTTGGTTGGCACCAGATTTTTCCAGCAGCTCGTTACGCAAGCAATCATAGATGTAAGGAAGATAGTGCGTGTCAGAGCGCGCATAGTCAAACATCTCTTCCGGAACAGGACTAAAGAATAGCAATTATTACTATAGCCCAAATGTATCATATATTAAACTTGCATACCGAATTCTCCAATCTGCCAGCTGGTATTTTTTATCCGCATCGAAATCGCAGTACTTTTTCAGTAAGTAGGCAAGGCTGTGATGAGGAAACTCTAAAATAATGTACACACACAGAGAGAGACAGATATAAAACATTAGTCATCAACATCTATCGTAGTTCAATAAACTAATGGAAACAAAACAGCAATATTTTTCCCGTTATTTACCCAAAACTTTGGTGACAAAATATGTATCGAAAAGGTTAACGATATAAAGGCCAAAATCGCGTTGCAGCCAAATAATATCACTGTCAGCACCATGGAGAATCTAAAAACCAAAACCACCAACATTTAGTTTTTGCCTTTTTTTTTGGAATCTACTTTAATTTTCAACTTCATAGCTAAAAAAAACCGAGTTTGTACATACCTTGACGATATTGGGATCGGCAAAGTACTCATTCAACAACCACATCTTGTCTCTGAGTTCGAGGGTGTCAATGATAAAATCTTCATCACGGGTGCTGATTTGCATAAGACAAGTGAAACCCAGGTAACTTCTGTAGTTGTGATATTCTAAATCCACAGCCAGTTCTTCTACATCCTCAAATGTGTCCATCATCTTTCTCAATCCTTCCTCTGTGTCAACCCATGTTGCAGAAGTTTTGTCAAAAGGCTTGTACATCTCAGGCTTTTTCTCCTTGAACATGTGTTCGGGGTATTCAAGGTGCTTTATCTCATACTCATAAGGATGGGGCAGCGAGTAGACGATTGATCCGCTGTCCATTTCCAAAGTCTCGGCTACACAAAATAACCAACCAAAAAAAAAGGGCGTAAATTCTCTCTATCTCTTATCTCTATATTTCGCATATGTATGTACGCATGAATGTATTTTCCCGTTTGCTTACTATTGTCTAAAGGAACCTTTGCGTGGGGTTTGTAAACAATCTTTCTTTCAATTGGTGCAGTCAAAGAGTTATTGATACGATCTTTGAATTTGATCTGAGGTCTAACAACGTTCTTGGCGTGCAGGAACTTGTACTCAAGTTTTCCATTTTGCGACTTTTGGGAGACTTGTGTGACTTCGGGAGCAGTCTGCTGCAAGAAACTTTCTGGTTTGTGAACACGTCCAACCATTTCATCCAAGCACAAATCCTAAAAGACATACAAGTGATAAGAGTAAGAAATCATTATTTTTTTTTGCCTTTAATATTTTATACTTTTAGATTATTATTATTATTAATGCAGCCTAGAATCTATACCGATAATCATTTGTGTACACAAGAAGAATATTGTTAATACTTACAGTTCTTTCCAATAAACCATCAACAACATCAACAACACCATTAAAATTATCGACTACATCGTCAACATCCTCATAATCCTTGGCACTTATTCCAGTATCGTCCGAGCATTTTTGAAGAAGGTTGTTTGAAATAGATAAAAGACGTGATCCAACATGGTCAATGCCTTTCGAAAATTCTTTGTCTAAGGTTCGGTAGAATCCCATGTCTTCAATTGGAAGCGCATTAGACGCCGAAGCTGCAGAGACAAGCGCTTTGAATAAAGACGCCTGGTACTGCTTGAAATTAAGTGTTGGATCAGGAATCTCTGATGACATCCTTTCTTTCTTTTTTTGGTTGGCACAATGTTCTGTACATCGCTTACAAGACAACAGCCTTTAATCAAAAAAATCTCGCCAACAAAAGCAGTCATGTCACGTGTATTACAACAATGCATTATGTATATTGCCTTTCTTTTTCATTTTATTTTTTGAAGGATACAGTGCTTTTAAGTACTATGAATTTCTAATCTTATTGACAGCCAAAAAAAAAAAAAAAAAAAAAAAAAAACTAGTGATTTTATTTTACTTTACTTTTTTTATGGCTTTGATCTAATATGTAGATAATGCTAGATAATTTATGAGATTAATTTTCCTATTGTAAAGAACAAAGAAACACCTAGTACTGGCAACTCAAAATTAAATGGAGGACATAATTGTATTTCCTTAGGTATATATAAAAATGGAACCCAGCCATAATAAAATGATTTTCTTGTTAAATTGCAGAGCACAGAACAATGCTATAGCAACAAAAAGATTTGGGGGAGTGTATTTTAAATATCTCTATCAAAAAGAAAGGAGTTTAGAGACGGTATTGATGGACTTTGCTGTAATTGTAGTGCGAGTGGATGGTAATGATGTGATGTGGTATTTCTTATCGACCATTTGCTTTTGTGATGATTGTGACAAGAATCGAATGAATGAATTGCTTAGTAGGATATATTGTGTGTAAGAAAAGATACTTCTTTTTGTCGCAGCTTCCATGAATATCTCAGTAAATTTAAATGAATTGTTTTAATATTTTACGTCTTTTCTGTTTTAATTGTTAGTTGAATATTGTATTAAAAATAGATAAAGTAAAATAAAATTGATTCATGGGATAAGTATAGGATAAGAAAATAAATGTCTGGGTAATTTTCTATGGCCTAGCCTTTTTCTTTTTATTTTATTAGAGACAAAGATATGATGACGTCAACAGGCTTAGCAAGTAAGTAAGCACAGCCTTTGGTGTTTACTATCAAAATTCTTGGTGCACCTAGCGATTTTCTATCCTTTCGCTTTTTACCAGTCATGCTGAACAACGAGTATCCAACCAAAAACGAAGCCCGAAACGCCTGTAAGGCATATGCAAAAGAACAAGGGTTTGCGCTTTCTACTGTTAGAAGCAATGCACTTGTGGTTACAATGGGATGTGTGCACCATGGCCACCCACGTAATCGAGAGGAAAAGGCAAAGCGACGAGAAAAAAAAGATGAGCTATTTGTTGAGAGCACATCTATGCAAACAGGCCATCCTACTGAAGATTCAGTATCACTTTTACCAAAAGATATTATGCCAAAGCGAACACGCAACAAGGATTCGATGCGAATGAATTGTCCATATTTCATCAAGATCAGACTGCGAAATGCTGTATGGGTGGTGACTGAGATATACGGTGGCGATCCCAACAAGGATGGCTGTCCACTTCACAACCATCCGTATGCCGATGATATTTACTATTATTCTCAGCACAGACGTCTAACTGAGGTTTCACGTACACTCGCACTGAATATGATGGAAACTGGCGCAACAAACAATACAATCCGCGATTTCTTGCGGGAACGGGGCGAGGGTGCCACGAACAAAGATATCGCAAATCTTCGTCAGCTTGCGTTCAACAACAACCCAGCACGAACAATTATGCGTTTGATTAATCAACTGCAGTGCAAGGAGGAACAATCTTAGTAAAAGAGGAAACCAAAAAAAAAGATATATATATATATTCAACAACACCAGTACACTCACAAGCACCATCAACATCCCCCCTCTTTCTTTCTTCACAAAATCACAAATGCCTCTCCTCCCCTCCTTCCACTTCCTGCCTTCTTATATATATATATTATATTATATTATTTTATTTTATTACTATTCTACTCTATCCTATTCTATCCTATTCTATTCTTTCTTCTGCCAATTGCACAAACTTCCTTGAAAGCTGAGTCAAATCGAATCAAATCAAGCCAAGCCAAGTCAAGCAATACTTTGTACAAGACTTGTAGTACTCACATTTAAAATAGAATAGAGTTTACTACAAATTTTGTCCTTTGCAATTCCTTTTTTTTCTTTTTTTTTTCTCTAAACACATACACACACGTATATATATATATATATGTATATGTATATGTATATGTATATGTATATGTATATGTGTTCGTAGCCTGTGTTCTCAGATACTGTACATGAAACTTTATTATGGTCTGTGAGCTGATAATAATGGGAATGAAGCCCAGATTTGAGGATACAAGCAAAATATAGAACTTTTGAAATACTTCGTTGGTTTTGCTTGGCAAATGATCCTATTCAAGGTTATTTTTGACACGATTACGGTATAAAGTTAAAACGAACAATTACACACATTAATACCAAGACAAAAAAAAACTTTCAAACGTCGGTTAAGTAAGGCGCCTGATTATTTTTCCTTCTCTCTTTCTAATATAAATCTAGTGGACTAACTTGTTTTGTTATTGTTTTTATTATGTCCTAAGGACAGACTACACTAGTCCGGCCCGAACATGCATTCATGGTTTCACTACTACATAAAAACCGACACGTTGCTGAATCCCACAGCCTAACACGATCAAATGTTACCAATAATTCAATATTAGTAAAAACCGAACAAATCTCACGTAAGACAAACATATGCAAGTCTTTGCCAAGTGCTTTTATTTATGTGTAACAATGCAAGATATGGGGTTTATTTTCTTTCTCTCTCTCTCTCTGCACATATATAAGACAAGAATATCTGATTCCAAAGCCCAGACTTTCTTTTTTTGTTTGTTTGTTTTCAATTAACGAATAGTTTGCGAGAAATAAGTTGTTATGGACAATCAATATATTTTTATGATCTATGTATATATATATATATATATATAGGGCTCTTGACAGCTATAGTTTGTATTACAGTGTAATGATGAGTCCTAATGAGCTACCAATGAAGATTTAGGAAGATGTGATGTAATAGTGAATTATAGATGACTTGCATATTAAGATTAAAAAAAAAAGTAAAATAAAAAAATGGTAATTTATGTACACATGTGCGCGCATTTGTGTGTGTGTCTTGATAGCTAAAGCCTTGGAGATAATAAATAAAAATAAAAATAAAAATAAAAGCTTTTAAAGGTTAAGAAGTTTCCAGAATACTGTCATGGTAACTTGGGTTTTGTTTTAATATATATATATATATATATATATAAAGGTAAAAAAAGTATAATAAAATGGTGAAGAATATTAACTATGCTTTGGGGGATAATATGATAGCCTGTATTTTGTTCACACTGTTATTGACTTGAAACAAAGATGTGTAGATACGAAGAATATCATTGTAATGAAAATTTGTAATCTGGAAAATTTAATACCTTTGAGAAATTGGATTCCAATACACATGTTGTAGACTCACAGCCACGCCCAAAATACAAAAATAAAAATGACATGAGGTCAATCGTGCATTTTGTACACATCTTAGTTTCCTATTTATCTATTGATTAGAAATACACAGAATGCTTACAAATCATTTGTAATATTAGATATATCGAAAATTTATAGACCCTGGAAATTTACTATTTAAACAGATCAATAGAAATCAAAGCATTAAAAAAGAATATATATATATTCTTTTGACTATATATTTCAACTATCACACGCCTATACAAACACTACAAACACTAGATACACTAGATACACTAGATACACTATATACGCACACAAGATCACTTCTGACCACTCACATATATGTATATATGTTATTCACCGATATATTTGTTTGACTGACACATTCTGCCTTACCTCAACCAGTTTTCCGAAATCAAGTTCAAGAAATTACGATTTGACTCAATAAAATTTAAGGTTAACTTTTTTATTTTTTAAAATACAACAAATTTCTTGATTTAGTTCAGAGTTATAATGGTGGAACCGACAACCATGGCAGCCTAAATTGAGGGAGGTGAATATAAGAGGCCAGATCAATAAATTCCTCATGACCACTTTGGATTATTAATGTAATCCTTGACTCAAAAATAAATAAATCGAAAACTATAAAATTAATAGCAATAATCATAAAGAACTTGTACTTCTGATTCGGCCTTTGTGGTTTCCAAATTTTTGTTTTCGTTTTTGTTTTTGGGAATTTAAAGAACACAATAGTTGTTAATACAACTGTAATTAACAATAAGACATCACCTCTTTGTGGGTAAATCAGATTGCTCTACCGATATCTTCCCATATATATATTTATTACACTCGTCGCTCCAATAGACCGAAGATCCGCGAAATTTTAGGTATACAATTTTTTATATATTTTTCTTGATCTGATAAAATTATGTTTAAGTTTGAAGACATAAAATATAAAAATAAAAGGAGATTGAAAAATAGACTATGAGGCCCAGAACTTACTTCGCCACAAAACAAAAAAAAAACAAAAAAAAACGTATCTAATTGACTAGAAGTTACCTGGCGAGTGGGTCAGATATGCTAAATAGTATTTCAGACAAGGTTCCACTGCATCGATTTATTATACTATTTCGATCTGGCATAAATACCAAACAAGGCATATACGTATATATACATATATACACAGTTACATACATACAAGATACACAGATAATGGATAATAGATAAAATAAATAAAGCAGTGTGTGTATATAGTGTGTGTATATAATGTGTGTTGTGTGTGTGTTGTGTGTGTGTGTGTGTGTGTCTGAATTAGGAAAGCTGACGCGTACATCCACATGTAGTATATCAGAAGTTAATAGAACCATAGTTTAGAAAGAAGTAGGATAGAACAAAAAGTATATATCTATATATATTTATTTATATTACACTATATATAATGGACTGTTGTACTTAAAGTATCTAGGCACAATAAAAATAATAATAAAAAAGAAATCTACCCCCCCTTCTGTAAGTATCTTTGTCAAAATGGAATCCATTATCCCGGGCTGCCCGCCGGCCACCGGGAAGGTGCATATCCATGGAAAGAATAGGTAAGTTGGCTTGAGCCCCTCCTTAGTATGTAATCATCTTGCCTATTTTAAGATACTAAATTTTTTTAACTGAGAATAAAAATAATAAAATGAGAAATCTGCGTTCAGCTAGATTTTTCAAGGTTATTTCCTGCCACTTGCATGCTCTAAAATATAATTGTAAGACATATTGCAACTGTAGAAAAACGCAACTACTACCGAATATACGACACTTTGCCAAGTTGGAGTAACCTGCTTTACCATAAATAGAGACATGATCTATTCCTGTCTAATGCAAAAGAAAGCAAAAAGGTATAAAGATATAATAGTATCATAGTATAAATTATACTGATCTTTACCAAGACGAAACAGGGTCCTGGAACACGCGCTGGCATCTCTGATTTTTTCTTCCTTTTTTTTTCTTTTTTTTTTTCAAAACTCATTCAATTTCCGTTAATCATTCCGCTTGAGTCAAAAAATAACTTTTTGCACACTATCCCTACCGGACATACTAAAGACAATCCCCCAGTGACTGCTCGACTGATACAACAAGTAAAAAAAAAAAAAGATAAAAAGGATGTTGTTCTTTTCGTCGTCTTCCTCCTCCTTTTATTTTATTGTCTTCTCTCTTCTTAATATCTAATGTCTTCAGTATATGCCACCTATAATTTCTTCAACTCCCCAGTCTCTTCTTCAGACAAACTATTGTCTGATATTAGAAGCCCGAGTGTCGACCTGAACGACATACTTTTTGGAGATCAAATTACGAGTGATCCTAGACTACCAGATCATGTAGAAGAGGACTGGGAAGACATTTACGCAAAAATGATTCAGCAGATGTATAACACTACCAGTGTCATATTACCATCACCTATACGAATCATCGCTAAGCACACCCACACAGACAAGAAAAATGTGCCTGAATTCTCCAAACATGCCCACTCTATCTTTGATTCAGAATCCCTTTCGATCAAGGACTTATTCTCATATCGACAACTTCGATCAGAAAACCTTCTTCACCGTATGATACATTGTCTCAATGTCAATTGCGAAGATCAATCTTCAATCATTCGCCTCTCTAAAGGTGTTTTCGTACATCAAAAATGGCAGACCGTGCCAAAATGCAACTCCCCGACCTTGTCCATGTTTGAAGACTGCTTCTTGCAGAGTCTAGACAATGGTACGTTTTTTTTGTTTGTTTTTCAAATAAATCTAAATATTCATACCAAGACATTCAAATATCTAATCATAATAACTTATATTTTTTTATATGTGTGTAGTCGATGCGCCTATTGATACATTTGACTACAGCTCTCTAGATTTTATCTCGTCACAGACAACACCAAGCTCAATATCAGCATCAACTTGGTCTAGTACAGTTGCAACCTTCATTCCTTATAGTTACACTTTTGGTGTTCGATACACAAACCCCTATGGTGGTGCAAGTGATGTTTTGATTCGCGGTCGATTACCACTCTGGTGCCACAATCTTTTCTTGGCTGAATGCGCGCGTCAAATGCCCATCAAACCTAATGAAACCCGGTACGGTTTATTTCCGTTTGCCCCTCATGTTCCTGTTACCTTTGGCAGCATGGACAATTACGCTGCAACAATCGAAGGAGAACCAACTCCAGATCTCACAGTCGTATACGAACGTATTGCAATGGAATTAATTGAACCCGAATTTGCATACGACGAGTTTCACGATTCTGCTAATGTTAAACAAGAAATTCTCAAACATATTTTGTATTGTGATATCCCAGACAATGTTGCTCAATGGCTATCTAGTCTTGCCGATTCATGGGCAACTCCTCCAATCTTCTTTTCTTAAGCATACCATTTTATTCTTTTTATTTTATATATTTTTTATTTCTTTTTCTTTACTTTCCATCCATGCTACATCAATGACACATCCCATGACCATATATAATCATCACCAAAATCACCAATTTTCTATACGCCTTCATCATATTCTGTCTTTACGTTCATGCCTTTCTTTCTTCATTATAGCTTCTATCGTTCTATTGTATACACCTTCACTCTTCTTCTTCTTCTTTTTCTTCTTGTTTTGTAACTACGCTTGCTCTATTTTATACTATTATACTCATTCAACATCGTTCACATTAAATAATTACTACAATAAAAAGACATTTACATATTCCATTTTACAAGCACACATTATGATTTTTCTTTATTAGGTTTTTTTTATGCGTCAATTCAATGATCAAATATAGTATAATTCGTACATTTATTTTTTCTATTATTGTTATTATCATTATCCATGTGCATTAAAGTATATGTATATATGTGTATGATTATTGCAGATTACTGCCGCAGCAAAACAATAAAAATAATATAAAATAAAATAAAAAAATTAAATTAATAAAATAATAATAATTTTGGGTTATGATCCATGTTTGGTAAATTATGAAGTATTCAGTGAATGTTAAAAGAGAAGGTAGCACATAAAAAACGTGCTCAATTGTTTTAAACTTCTTTAAAGCAATATGTTTAATAAGCATATTATAGACACTGGGAATAGCTTGGCAATATTCTCGCCCTTCTGTTGTGTAGTAAAAATAAAGTAGTGTTCGTTTTGGTTGATCAAAGTAAGAACATCAACACACTATTGAAATTTCGATTTTTTTAAATCAGAATTACTCCCCCCCCCCTCCCTCCCTTCTATTTTCTAGTAAGTAAAAATAGCTAAAACATACTACTCCTTCTTTCGATACTTCCTCCTCCTCCTTCCCCCTTCTTTTTGCCTTTGCCTTTGCCTTTGCCTTTGCCTTTCCTTTTTCTTACCTTTAAACTCTCATTTTATTCTAATAGCTGTTGTTTAATAAACTTAATGAGTTAATTACTAAGCAAACAATCAGATGTCTTGCTTGTAATAAATTATCCAAAAAATAAATAAATATAATATCTCACCATCACAACAATATTTTTTTTTAAGATTAATTTTTATATAAATCCCAAAAATACCTACACACATTTAAAATATTCTATCGCCTCTTTATATATACAAGCGTCTATTCCTACAAATCCCAGCATCATGAGTAGCGTGACCGCTAAAGAGAACTATTTTCACACTCAAATTTCACTCTCACATTCACTCAATACATACATAATAATATATTTATTATTTTCTTTTTACATTCTAAAAAAGAAAATTGCATACCAGGCACAACCTTTGTACACACGCACGCACATACACACAGAAACATAGAAACACACACACACACACACACACACACACACATACCCACAAAGCAAAACAAAAAGATACTCAGATATACACACGTACGAGCATCCAACATACCTACACCAAACCTTTTTTTTTCTTCTCTCTCTCGTACACACACACGCGCGCAAAGAACCAATTACATTAAGACAATGAAGCCGTCAACATCAGCAAAGCTCATGGACGGGCTCGTTTATTTAGACGATTATGTTGACAGTAAGACCAAGTCCGCTATAAAGAATAAAGAGAAAGAAATATAATACATTCGACATTGAAAATGTGAAACTATAGCAATGGAGGCTCTTCCTTTGGAGCTTCAAAGAAACTTTACGTTGATGAGAGAATTGGAAGGCTACGCTCAAGGTATAAGAAAAGAAAAAGAAAAAGAAGAAGTAAAAAAAAGAGAGAGAGAGAGAGATAATTTAATTTTATAAATTGGTAACTCATCAGTACCTTGCACACAACCTTGTAGAACTATTGGATTCCACTGCCAAGGGAGCTATTGACCTAATTGACAATGTCAAGGAAATGGATCCCAACGAGAGAATCGACAAACTTAAAATCCTCAGTGGTTTTTTGAGCGAGACACTTAAAAGAGGCGAAGAAAAAGTAGCTCTAGCAAAATCTACATTCGACACGGTAAATTTTGATGATCGGATTGGCGGGACTCCCATGGTCTAGTTTTATTTACCTACTTACTTACTGTGTGTATATATATGTATGTATGTGTGTGTGTGTGTGTGTGTGTGTGTGTGTATTGTTGTGTGATAGGCCGAGAAGAACTGTAACCGATTAGATGCGGACCTTGTAAAATTTGAGGATGAACAGGTGCTCGGAATGAGTCGTGTTACTTCACAACCTGGGCTTGCACCTTCGGCTCGTAGTTTAAAGGAAAGCGCTGATTTACGTGACAAGGCCAACAAAAGATCGGATAGAGAACGAAAAGACGGGAAAAGTGAAAAGAGAGGTAAGTTCTTTGTACAAAAGTCTTTGTTATATATTTATTAATCACTTCCTCTCTTTCTTTATCTCTTTATATATGTATATATATATTGCAATTTATGGTTTTTGCTTAGAAGTGTTGGCTACAAAAAGTAAGCTTTTCTTTTTTTTTTTTGATAATTTCAGTTGTACATTAGGACTGACCTTTATATGTACTGTATTATTTGCATAGAACGAAAGACAGCAAAAGACAACGGAACTCCTCCTCCTGCATCTTTGCGAGCCCAGACTCTTAAGGATGCTAGGATTAAGACACAGATTGAAAAAGAGAAGCAGTCAAAAACAGCCATGGGAACAAATAAGAATGGCAATGGAAAGGCAAAAACGTGAGTCTAATATTTATACATCCATATATACATAAATATGCATGGGTGTATGAATGAGTTGGTTTTGATAGTAAACTAAACAATATTTGTAGCGTGGTGCCGGCTGACCTGTCTATCGATCCAAATGAGCCTCTTTACTGTTATTGTCAGCAAGTATCGTATGGGGAGATGGTTGCATGTGATAATACCGACGTAAGTTTCCTATATTTTTTTCTTATAGCAAGAACCATAAGTTTACAATCTCCTAACTGTGTTTCGTAGTGTGAGATTGAGTGGTTCCATTTGGCATGTGTTGATTTAAAGACAGTACCAAAGGGTAAATGGTACTGCAATAACTGCTCTACCAAAATGAAAGGCAAACATAGAAAGTAAGCCTTTTTCTTTCTTTATTCTTCAACATTCTGTCCCTTTTATTCCCTCTTCCTCTGGCTATTGCCTCTGTGTAAATAGTATTTGAACACCAAGATTTTTATATATATCTCGCAGCAGATAGTGTACGTTCAACCAACAATAGCAACAACAACAACAACAACAACAAAAAAGAAAGAAAAAAAAAGAAAATATGTTCATCGCAAATATTCTTTCTTATCATCATCCCCTCCACTTCCCATTCTCTCTTCTTTTCCCTTTTTCTTTTCTTTTTCTATTTATTATCTTGAAGAAGTATTAACAATAGTAAAAAGAAGTAGGTTCAGTAATACATTTTAAAAACAAACAAACAAACACAAAATAAAATAAAAACCAAAATAGATGAACAAAAAAAAAACCAAAAAAAAAAAACATGGAAAACGAGCCTCTTCTTTATTATTATTACTATTATTACTATTTAATTCTATTATTGGAGCTGTACTGGTAAAAAGTTTCCTACAATAACAGTCTATGTACAGCCAACGGGGCAAGTCAATATCAAGTAGATTGATACGATGAGATCGCACTTACCGGGATGTTGTATTTATCTCTTCTGATGGTAAATGAGAAACAGCATGAAATTACGCTGGTGTTTTCTGGATCAGGACTTTTCAAAAGACACGATGTCAGGACAGCTTTTTGCCCGGGATCAAAAGCAATGTTGCCATATTTCTCCCAGTAATTAACTGCAGATTCTTCTGCCATTAGTTCATAAATGCACAGACGCCCCTAATAATTAAAATACATACAATTATTATTATTTGTTTTCAACCAGGGTGGCCCTCTTTACTGTCTCTTTCTTGTCGTGCAATTATTTTTATCTCTTTTTTGTTTTTGTTTTTGTTTTTACCTCTCTCAAGGTTTCGATGGGTACATTCACAAGTGAAGCAAACTCTTTGTTTCCCTTGTAAATCTCACCCGTTCGACGCCAAAGGCATGCTGGAATTCCCATTGAGCTAAACACACGATCGTAGTCCTAAATAGCAATTGGTTAACAAACAGATACAGAGGAACAATGTATTCATATTCTGAAGGTCATTACCAATAAAAGCCTCTCAAAGGCCTCTTCTACTAGAATTAAATCGATGTCTGTCAAAGACTGTGCTACAGATCTGAATGCAGGACGAAAAGTGCCCATGACATTCAATATACGCTGCCTACTTGATGCAGACATACTACGGAAACCAGAGTAATAACAAAACAAAACAACACAAATAATAAGAATGATAATAACAGACACACTTCAGTCGAGGAAAATCAAAAGCCATTCCTACTTACTTATTATCCATGTATTTTTGTAGTCGTGCATATCCATTGACATAGTTGTAGGGTTTCAAAAATCCGGCTTCGTATTTCGCATTGATGACTTCTGTTAAACGGTCTTCCAGTTTACCATCTGATGGATCAGCAGCCGTCAAGAAGAATTTCTCGGCAGTATTTACAGCAGATGTAGGCGTATTTGGTTGTGTCTGATGGTTTTGGTGTTGCTGATGTTGTTGATGATGATGATGTTGCTGTTGCTGTTGATGGAGTTGTTGTTGGTGGTGGTGTTGGTGCTGGTTTTGCTGATTTGACTGAGGTTGCTGCTGCTGCTGTAAGTGATGTTGTTGTACTTGTTGCTGTTGTTGCTGGTGTGCTTGCTGCTGCTGCTGCTGTGAGCTTCCATAGATAGGATGGGTATCACTGCCAAGTGAATCAAGAAAATCGCTAAAAGTACACCCATTAAAATTGAGTCACCAAATTGCTTTCTTATATATATACACATATACATATATACGTGCCCACATTCATTTATACTATCTCTTATACACACTCTGCTGTTTTTACCATACCTTATAACCGATATTTCATTACCCATGTGCTCACTTGCAAATGTAAGTTGTCCGGTACCCATTTGCCCAAAGAATTGAAGTGGTAATCCACCTAAATTGGTATTGGTTCCTGCACACATGAAAAGTACATTCAATACATTTATTCATCTATACGCATCATTCATAGCCATCCCATTCTCTTTCTCTTAGTAGGAGCATTAATAGACACTATACCATTAGTACCAGACATATTTGCCAAAGACATATAGTTGTTGTTTGCGGGATTTACTCCATTTGTACTCATAGCAGTGGTTACAGGTGTAGATGTAGACGAGGATCTTTTTGCAGACTGTGTAGACTGTGCTGTACTAGGGTTCTTAGCTTCATCATGACACATGTGGCCTATACTACGCTTGATACACCTCTGACAAGGACGACCTAAAATACAAAAAAAAAGAGATTGTTTATTTTATTGAATGATTGATTGATTGATTCGCTGATTGTAATAAGTAGATTTACTCTAATCAAGCCGATTTAATTGCCTCTTCTTCTTTATTTTAACTTACCATCATCGCATGTCATGTGAGAGCGTCTACAATACACACATGCTATTCAATTTGGACGTAATTAGGTCTCTACAACAAATTGTAAAATTTTCCTTTAATCTTCGTACCATGGGTCACCTTGCGTCGCTTTGGACCTGTTCTCTTCTTCTTTGGGTCAGCAGAACTACTCGGGGATTGTTCTGAAGCAGAATCGCCACCGGGGGTGTTTGGAGTGCCAGGTTGGCTACTGTCGTGCGATTGCTGCTGCTGGGATTGGGTAGGTGAATCCATAAGAGAAGCTCGAATTTCGGGTTTGTAAAAGGAATGGGGGAGGTAACTTGTAGAATGGATCACACTCTAAAGCGCATGCACCTTACAATCACGCACAAAAAAATAGAAAGGTACAGAGAGACGTGAAACCGACACTGGAAGTAAATAATAATGCGGATGCTTTTTTGAGGATTTGTGCAGACAAGTGAACAAGGACGATGAGGCTGTTGTTAAAAGAGATAACAAATGATACTTGCTCGGTTTTCTAGGGGTTACAATCCCCGCTTGAAACCAACCAAAGGAGCCTTTCTGCCCGAGAATGGAATGTCTTTGTAAACCAGGAAAGGCTTCTTCATTTTTATATATCTCACTTTATTTTCATTTTCATTTTTCTTTGGACGGTACTTTACACTTCTTCTGAATCAATATAACTATCAAGGCATACGCACCTCCCCAACTTCTCCTCCTTCCTCCCCTTGGCCAACGAATTGTGTACTGAAACAAGACATGGATCGCTTTAATTAACGATTTATTGTCCTTCTATTCAAATCTTCCATTTACATATTTAACTACTTTATAATTTAGTGTAGAAAATCACTTGAACCAAACCTCTGGACCAAAAATAAAATAAAATAAAATAAAATATAACAGTAGCAATGATTTTCGATTTTTTCAATAGTAAGTTTTATACGCGCACAAATGATATTACAGAATATCATTAATACCAAAAGTGCGCGGAAAACATTTATTCTAATAATAATATGGAAATTTGATATTAAATGCGTATCTCCGATCTTCGCTTGAAATTAGCCCAGACACCATAGCGAGGCTTAGTAGTCAGGACAATCTTGGTATCAATGACAGAGCCTTCTTTGAGGGAGCAAGTGAATTCGTTAATTGTGCATGCAATTGTTGTACGAAGCTCAAGAATAACCATGTTTTTTCCGAGACAAGAATGAGGTCCCAGAGTAAATGAAAGATCAGGGAAGTTGTACTGCTGGTCGGGTGTGACAATGGGACTTTCCCGGGTGTGATCGGCCGCCATGCTGTCGAACCCACCTAAAGTATCATTCGTGTCTCCCGGACGAATCCAGCGTGAGGGGTCAAACTTATCCGGGTTGGGGAATATGTTGGGGTTCATCTGGATACCACGTAAATTACACCATATTTCGGATTCGGCAGGTACTACCACACCATCGACATTTGTGTCGTAGTTGACATGGGCGGGAATAAATGCAACAGCAGGGTATTTGCGTAATGTTTCGCGGTACACTGCTGAAACAAGTGGCATCTTTGCTAGCTTATCCGCCGTAATTGACTCAGGGAGCACGGGAGGTGGACCAAGTACGGCCCGAACTTGGAGGAAAAGTTCTTCTTGGAGGGCAGGGTTGCGTGCCAGCTCAGAGAAACAAAAGGCGAGGGTGTGAGCAGTTGTGTCATATCCAGCAAAAGTGAGGGACAATAAGTCATTAATGAGGTCGAATTGATCCTCATGGTATTTCCCACTGGAAAGTGCAGCAGCCGTAACAGATTGGAATTCCTGGCCATCTGACTTATATTCTGCTTGCTTTTCTACAGCAAGAACAATTGAATCCTTGACAAACTCTTTGAGATGCTCACGCGAGGGTCCGAAAGCACGTTGGGCCCATTTTGTTTTATTGATACCAAAAGGAAACCATGCTTCGAGTGATTGGAATCCAAGGCCGAGTTTGTGATGCATATGCTATTCAAACAGACAAACGTATTACTCCACTGTTCACCGTTTCTTCTTCTTCAAATATTTCACTTTTAATACCTTAAGATTCTCTTTTCCTCCAACAAGTTCATAATTGAGATCGCTACGACCATAGAGATAAAAGTTGATGACATCCATAGTCAAATCCTGGAATACACCATCAAGCTCAAGCGCAGTTCCTTGGTCCGAAGCCTTTCCAAACGTATCTAAAAGTTCGTGGGCTCTTTTGACGACATATGGAAGTAAATTTGGAACCAATTGACGAGGTTGGAAAGGTGGAAGAAGAACATGTCGACGCCAGCGCCACCCCTATAAATCAAAGCACAAATATGTGTGAATATCCCTTATGAGAAGGATTGCTATACATATACCACTTACTTCGCCTGTTGAATTGTTGATGTTTTCTCCACCAAAGACATGATTTTGAATCAATCGGATAAGATTGCCTCGTTGTACATTAGATGGTCTTCCCTGGACCTTGCTTTTAACCTGACCGTATACTAGGACATCCTTGATGCCTTTTAATGAATTGACTATCACCAGGGGAGTTCCAAAGATTGACCAGCTCACACTTAGTGGGCTTTGTTGAGTGTCTTGACCGACACTTATAAGAAACTTCGAAAGCTCATCTACGGTTTCATTCTCATCTGGTGGAGGAACGAGACCAAAGTAAGATATCCAGAAGTTCTTAGTAGGAATAAGAGGAGCTGAAGAAAGAATCGAGTTTTTGCGCCTGTAGTAGTAGCGGAGTACGAGAAATATAATTCCTGCAAGTGGAGAATAAACTCCAACGTAAAAGGCTGTGGTATAAAAAGAGATGTTTGGCGAAAGAACAGAAAGGATGTTCATAGCAAAAGGAATGAAAGGAATAAATGTGTGCACCTTAAATTATCTTACCAGATGTATTTATTTTATAGATCCAAATAACAATGCACTATTGCTTTTCTTGTTGTTGTTCTCCTGTATTTTTGGAGGACTTGCAGCTATTTGAAGAAGCCAAAATGAATACTTGTGTCTCCATTAGATTTAAAGTACCGTCCTATTGACAACCTCTGCCAATAAAATTGTTCGAAATCCTTTTGCTCACTCTCATCCAATTGTTCTGTCAATAGACTTCAACAGTAATCATGTTTTTTTTTAATTCTCTTCACCTTTAAGATAAAAGCCGGCTATAAACCTTTTTTTTCTATTCATTGTTCTGTTGAGGGACAAGGTATCACAGTCGTATTATCTATCAAGGATTAAATTACTTAATTTTAGCGGAAGATTAATGATATTGGTAAACACTCATATCTTGTACTTTAGCAAGATGATATTATATATATATATAAAGAGGGGTAGAAAAAAGGCACGCACAGAAGGTGAGAAAAGCTAGCCATCTCTTTAGCAATTATATACATATAAATTAATTTGGATTATCCCCTAAAGTGTTTCCCCTCTCACTAATCGCATAGAATTAAGTACAAATTTTAAGCTATCTTTTCAGCTTTCATTGATATCCTCGGTATCTCGGTCCTGTAATAGATTTGTATCATAGTAAGTATACACTACACCAGCAACCTTAATAAACTTATTCGTTGTTTTAATGAAGCCTAACTAAATTTCATCTTTTCTATTTTATTGAACATATACACAGTCAGAGAATGTATTTTTCCAGAATAAAAAATGATTAGTAACTCGGTTAAATTGCTCATATCTCTGTGGATGTCAAAGTATCATTTGTAGACGTATCAGCTTTCAATAAATCAATAAGCTCTGCGAATTTACATGCGAATATGTGTGTCACATTTGCAATAAGAGAATCAATATATTCAAATGCGCGACATTTAGCTGTTTATAAATCTCTCACAGGTGTTATGAATATACAATGATTGTATCTGTGGTCGCAGTTTTTGGTCTTAAGGCTTGTATCAGGCACATATTATATTAAGTATTTACATCATACACCAATATATACTATATATATATATAATTATAATATTAATATTAAAGAAGTTGTCGTTCTCTAATAAATATTGTTTTAACTCTATACTTTAATTATGGTTCGAATATTATGCTTATAAAGGCTGAATAAGTAGTAATACTATATAGAGAAAGAAGAAAATATCAATGCATTATTATGAATATAATAGTGAAATCTTGTGAATGTACAAAATTTATATATACCATGTCTATATAATAGATATAAATAATGCCACTGTGAATAGATAGATTGACTAAGATTCAGAATACGCTTTGTTCTCTAGACTTATAAACTGGCATATTAATCACTTATATGTAATACTATTAAAAGACCAGTCTATATGAGTGGATAAAAATTCAAATATAATTGATATCTCAAGCAACCATAGATATATTTGATATTATTATTATTATTAAAAAAACTACCATTATTTATTCACGGATCGGGTTTTACATCGAATAGACTTTTGACTTTCTGGTATACCTAAGAAATGATATCTGTATGCTTCATGTAACTTGTTTTTTTTTAGAAATAAAAAAGCATTAATGAAAATATATAAGAATATCATAAAAAATATTTTTATAAATATAGTACGAGTCATACCAATTCATGGATTCCGGCTGCTTTAATAACTAGTGGTTCTTCTTCTACCACATTAAAAAAACTTATAGGTTTGATCATAGGAAACCGTACTTTTTTAAGCAATAATCCAAACTGTTGATCTCCATCATTGTCCTTATTCCTTCTTCCTGAATATTTGGGAAATAAAATAAATTACTACTTAATACATTTATATCCCAAGATTAATTCTCTGACCTGCTTCTTCTTCCTCAAGTTGATGTTTTCTCCAATTAATCAAAGATTGGTAGAATATTTTCTCGTCAACAGATTCGCTTAAATTATCAATAGAAAGTACTCGTGAAACAATTGAAAAATCAGCTAATAACCACTCAGGCTGGGACAAAAGGAGTACAGCGTTTAGGCAAAAGCATTCTTTGTAATATTCGTCCATTTTATCACAGCCGCATGCCACTTGTAACAAGAAAACATATATTCTTAGTAAATTTTTTCTTATAAAAAAGGACACCCTCTCCAATACACATATTCTTACAGTTATTTAATTATAATTCTCACCTGCCCATTTCCAACTTGACCAAATATTTAATGGGCTCACTTTCATTTGAAGATAAAGCTGAGCTTTCGAAACTACCTTTGGAAGTTGCAAGTAATCCGCAGCCAAAAACAGTTCTTTCGCATCATCGACACACTTGAACTCAATCATATCCACATAAATATAGTAAAGCAGACGTCCGAAAACATAAGGATCAACCGAGAAAATAGTTACTTCTTTTTTTGTGCCATCCCCAAAGTCACTAGTGAATAACGCGGAGAAGAAGTCTGATGCGGCTGACAAAGTAAGTCGATGACCATAGAATATTCGAAAGCAGTTATCTTTGTTATCTTCTATACAAACCAAGAATTAATGTTGGTAATTGTATAAAGCCACCTTTTCTAGTATCCTAACCGTTGCCCAGTCTTTCGTTTTCTGTTACTTTGATGATAACATCATGAAACTCCATGAAACTCATATATCTGTCAAGTGCAACCTCAACCTCTGAAGCACACGCAGTAGGCTCTTTGTTGGAATTATAAAAACCATTGCTATCAGTCAAGTGCTTTGGAATAACAAAGCCTGGTGGTCTATAATAGCTGCTAATACTCAATATCTTGATATCAATAGAAATGCAAAGGCTGTCATCGTTGATATATTGGTCAACAGTAGAAAGGTCGAAGAATTTGTAAAAACCGAAAGGTGCTCCGACTATAATCAATAGAAGATTATTATTTTTTGAAGAATGCGTACAGCATATTCAAGGTAGCTTACTGTCTGTATACGTGTGATTAAAACCTTTTGTATAAAATAAGTTTTTACGATATTGATAATGAATTATATCCGAACTTACTACTGGATATTGCTTTTTTATTATTGCCTATATATAAGCTTGAGTCTTGAAGTGTAAACTCAACCTTTACAGAAACTTTGACAGAATTGAAAGCAAATGATGATATTCCTCTCAATACCAAGTAAATCGACACAGAGCCCTGAAAAGCTTGGCATTATAAAGAAAACACTTTTATGCTTTTTGGTATAATAATTTTAAGAACTGTACTTGCCGTATTAGGCATGACTCCTTTTTGCAACTGTAGCCCTCAGAGCAATATCCATAAGTTATATCGAGAGAATAGTATTTTAAAAACAAATAAACAGCATGGGTTTTATTTGTCATTACCAAAGTACACCTGAGAAACCAGTTCAGCAAATTTATCTTTGTGGATTAGTATATAGTATTCTTCTATAGATGGTAACATTACCACTGGTATTCTGCGACAGAAAACTTTGGGCTAGAGTACGAATGGTCATTTGGAAGACTTTCCCATTGAGATATCTTCCAAATTTGAAAAGAGTTAAAGGAGTAGATATCTCCAACAACGGGCTGATCTAAAAAAACTGTCAAAAATGAAGACTTTTTTGTTTGTTTGTTTAATAGAGAAACTTTACCAATATTTATTAAAGACATTTAGAGTAAACCAATTCTTATTATTCGTGTTTATAATGTATGTATGTTAGTGAATATTATAGTTGAGAAGAAAAGAGGTACATATAAATTTTCATACAATTATTCTGGTAAAATGCACAGGCGGTGATAACTTGTAATTTTTGGCAGCTGATCGTGTACGCGGAAACCCATCGAGGAAATAGTTAGCCGTATTCTCGTGGTCATTATTAAGTGATAAACAAACAATAATTATACGAAGATCAATAAAGAAGCATGGTTTATGTACTTAGGTTTTAGCGAAAGCTTAAAATAACCTAAATACGTACTTACTTTTGATATACTATAGTCATATAATAAATGCTTTACTATAAAATTGCATTTAATTTAATTAAAAGAAACAAAAACATCGACAATAGCTCATAAGAGATCTTTGTTTTTTTAATATGTGTTTCATTGATTAGATATGTATATATTATGCAATCTTCTCTGTATCAGAACCAGGTTAAATGAGCTGTTTACCTTTTCTCTAAGAAAAAGAAAACATTTACTTATAGCAGACATGTAATGTACTTTTGAGGCTATATATGAGCATAATGCTTTATTGCTTTATACTATTATATATAGTACTATATTATATTTGTTAACTGGGCCTTTGTCATGGATGAACAGCCCTTCCTTCCTGGTGTGATAGCAGCCAAGGCACTTGTGTTTATAAGGCTCTTCTTGGAGTAGTTTTTTTTTTACCTTTTTCCTCTCATATAAATATTGTAATAAAAAAATTCAGATATAGTAGGCTAATCGCTCAGTGCTTTGCACTGTAGCCGACCAATAAATACTTTTTTTTGTATTTTTTATTGGAAAGTAAATTAATAATGAACTCTATATATTGTTGAATGAAAAGAGCTAGGGCGACCAATATATACAAAGAATATTCAGCGCGACTTACAAATGTGTTTTACTGTATTTAATGAGCTCAATTATACTATCACACTCGTCGTCAATTCTAAACAATGAGATAATAGCCTCTTTGTCACAACTCTTCTTTATAATACAATTAGCTCTAGATTTTTTCAATGATTCTTCGAATGCAAAAATATAAGAGATGTTTAAACGCATAATTTTATGTGTAGAGCTCAAACTTGGGGATACTAATCATATTTAATACATAATATCCACACATCATTTTATCTATTTTGCCATTAGGTTTTTTTTAACAAGATATATTGTATTATTTTACTATGAATATATCAGTAGAAACTAATCTTAATCAATGTACTACTTAAATAATCCATGTAATCACGTTAACCTTACGGTCCTAAGCATATTACATATGGTTAAAATTACGCATGGCTATTTCTACCAATACTTTAATTACTGTTAATATACTTTACTTCATAAAGTATATATATATATATGTATAAAAGAAAAAAGAGAACCCGATTATACAAGAAAATCAAGTAACTGAATGTTTCATCTTCCAAGATGACTTTCATATTAGATACCATTGTAAAGTTCATTACCTTACCAAGTTTAAGTGAGCAGCTATGTGTATGTGGGTATACTTTCAGTTACGATGTTGTTTCAAGTTCTAGTGTATTGTCCAGGCCAAGCTCCTTGATAGTTTTGTGGACTATACGGTGGCTCACAGAAGCAGATACAGCGGCCTGGAGTTCATTGGCAATGTCTTTTAAAGACGCCTTTTGGTTATTTAAGACAATACGGCTGAGAATCTATTTGTTTTTATCAGTCATAACAGGTGGTCTTCCTGGCCGTCTCTTTGTGAGTGCTGTTCCGGTTTTTTTACTCGATTAATTGTTGCCCGGACTGTTGCTTCTCCGAGACCAAGTTCTCTTGCAATGCTACTCATGTTTGAATTGTACTTTGACATGCCAACAATCATTCCTCTTTGGTAATCTGATAGCTCATGTCCCCTATGAGAGTTTCTGTCTTTCTCGGCATGATAGTTCATATTAAATTAATGAGAATGTTGAAGAATTAGTGAGAAACGAAACTTGAATCTGAACTTCTTTACATATTTCTTTAAAGATCCGAACAAGCTTAATGCATGTGACTAAATATTTGTAATTATAATTGTAGTGGCACAGAGATTTACCACATTAAAATACAAAAGGATTATTATTTATATGATACAATGATTACATGTTCTAACTTTCTGGACTGAATTTACAGGCAGCCCATAAAACTATTCTAAAAAATATATCATTATAATCGTGAGTAAATAAAGCAATCGTTTTTATCTGTGTATACATTTAGAAATGCATATATTTGCATATTTATGTAATTCACAGCACATAAATTATAGACATATCAAAACAGCGTTCATTACTAATGTATTTGTTTTTTGGTGCCTTAAATATAGTACACAAAATATGGTTTGCGCAAGGTAAAGAAAGTTCCGTAATTTCAAAAATAAAATAAAAAATGATGAGGTAAAAGAGAGGAAAAGAAATATGGCAATGGCAATGGTAAAGAAAATCAAATAAAGAAAGTAAAGAATGTAATATGTCAAGGCGGGCCAAAAAGAGAACAAATTGTTTATGACCTATAGACATGAGGTACGAGAGTTGGCATACATATCGTCTCTGTCTCTTTAAGCAATAGTTGATTTAACTATACTTACTGCTGCTCTCTAATAAAACGCATATACACACAAGAAATATTTTAGAACATTTTACAAAGCATCTTTAAAATAAGGTACTTACGTGAATATAAACAGGTTATTGGTTGCAGCAACAGCAATAGTGTTTTCTTGTGGATGCCACGATGCGTGGAGAATCTTCTTGTTGAAGTCCATAGCATCTCCATTGCCCATGCCATTATTCTTTCCTGATCCTCTAGCCAACGACATCTTGTTCTTGGCCGATCCGAGACGCTTGGCCTTAAAGGCACTCTTGTCTGCCTGGAGAGAAATATCAGTTTTTCCTTCACAATCATAAAGGTGGAAGGTGTTGCTATAGGAGCCTGTCAACACAGATCTATAAAACGATAGGTTAGAATTTTACATTTTAGTTTTCGATCCGAGATATCCTAATAAATAAAACCTGCCTATCATCTCCACTGAAAGTGCACTCAAACTTATCAAAGATGCAGTCGTTTTCATACAAGTCGCACAGTTTTGACCTAAGTGGCTCATGGATGCTGATGGTTTTGACAGGCTCTCTGTCCATGTTAAGATCCCAGATCTTCAGAGTGAGATAGTCTCTGGAAAGAATGTAACGACCATCATGGCTAAATTTAACGTCTGATACCGAAGAGATGATCTCTGAGAAGAACGATCGACTAGATGGATCTTCTGGTTCCTCGAAAACTAAGTTGTACAGACAGATTCTCAGTCAAATCCGCTAACACTCAATCGTATCGTATTACCTTTGGCGTGCTGATCACAAAGAGCAGAAGCTCTCATATCACTTAATTTGATGGTGCCTTTGCTCGAACTGTACATAAACATATTACAGTGGTATGGGTGGAATTCCGCAGCAGTAATAACTTCAGTCAGTTCTTCCATATTGGCTGGCTTGATGTCAACAATGTCTGTGGTAGATTAATTGTATGAATGAATGAGTGAATGAATCTTATGTAACTTTTGTACACGTGTGTGTTTGTGTGGCACAAGTTTGACTTACTGAAACTTTGGTCTGAGATGTCCAAGTTCCACAGGTTGATCCGCAAATCATCCGCAGAAATGTAAGTTTCGCTGTCAGAGTTGATTGAGATAGAGTTGATGTGATATGCATGAGCTATAAAACATATAAGTTTTCTTTCAATAATAATATTCACAATTAGATATTGTTCTTATTTATACACCTTACCATTTGCATAGACCTTTCTTGGCACAGCAGCGACAATTGTGTCTCGATGAGCTAATTTTGGCACCCGAAGTCCGCTAGAAACCGGTTGAGGACCATCACCAAGATTGTTCTCTGCCACAACCTTGAGTGATTTCTCAAACACTTTCCAGAGCTTAATGGTCTTGTCTGTTTAATAATATTAGATTTGAAGAAAAATTTTCTGTACATACATATATTCCATTGTAAGATAGAATAAAATAACAGCTGTTACCATTTGTTGACAGTAAAAAGTGAGCTGAGTTTTGGCGTTTACACCACTTGATCTTATTGATCTTTTCTTCGATCTCCAAACTCTTCAGGTAGTCAAATTCTGCTTCATGGGATTGAAACTCGGTGTGGAATCTGTATTCACAGCCTTTTTTCTGATAGTATGCATGTTAGTCAGATCAGCTGATAAGGAGTGTCCCTTAGAGCGTATTCTCTAGGAAACACAAGAAGAAAAGAGTTTTTACGTGTGTATTAACGTACACTTTCATTTCGCTCAAATAGAACGACACGTCCTCCTTTGTCGCCAGTTGCAAGGTAGTCACCGGTCTGATCAAATTCAACGGCAGAAATGATGTCGGCTAACAAGGAAACAGCATGTCAATCAAGAGAGTAAGACAATCCTTGCAAATGCTTTCTTCTTTATTTTCTTTTTCATTACAGACAGACTGCAACACTTCATAAAAATGTATCTCTCTTGACTATATAGTATATCGCGTCTTTCTTTGTTTTGTTTTCTTTCACTCTGAGGTATGTTCGTTGTGGCAAGATAGTAACAAAATATAATAAAATATATATAAAAAGCGTACCATCAGTGACATCGTCCGATTCGCCTTTGTCGCCAAAGCATTGTGCAAATTTCCAATTATTTTCTTCTGCCATTTGGATGTGAATGCTTAATTAATATATTTTTTTTAAAAAAAAGAGAATAAACTATAGGTAGACGCAGTAAGAGAGAGAGAGAGATAAATAGCGAAAGAGAAAGAGAGAGGGAGAAAGAGAAAGAGAACCGCAAATTTTTTTACACTGTGTGTGTGTGTGTGTGTGTGTGAGTATGCTGGTGTAGGTGTGTGTGCAGTGGGTAAGATGTGTGCGGCCGTGTAAACCAAGGGATTTAAACACAGAATGGAGTAGTGACGCCCTTGGATTTTTACAGATGATGAAGAAAGTCTTGCATTATGCATATTCAAAATGGGTAAACCGAATACGATGAAACACGTTTCGTGATGGTTCAATTTCTATTCGTTTTGTCTTTAGGAAATCTTTTTTTATAAAGAGCATCAATGCAAAAATCACTGCTTTCATACTGTGTTGAACGACCGGAGCTCAACCCGAGGAAACTAAGATGTTACACAAAGTAAGCAACGCTTTACGTGGTTTTCTTTACAAAAGAAAAAGCTTCTCCTTTTTTAAGCTGTTTTCAATCGGCTTTCATGTCATTACCTCTTTGAGCAGATTTACTCCCGTGCTCTACGAAAGTGAGATATATCAGGAAAAGCACCTACAAATAGGGATTAGAAATCTCAACTTAAATTAATTCTCTCCCTTATCAGAATTTAATTTTGCCATATATTTTCAATTATTTAATATTTTGCATTACATACACCATAAACCAAGTCTTCAAGTTCAATTCAAGTTGAACTCATTTCTAAACGGTCAAGGTTCTCCATTTTGGTAATATATAAGTCACAATATACGTCACCCTTGTTTACCAACATTAGTTTCAAGTGCCGCAGTGGTGTCAGTCCCCAATAGATGTCTCGTAAAAATTTGATACCAAGGCACCCTACAAAAGAGGTGACACCAGTTTTGACAGACGGCGAGGCTTAACGTTTGCGCCACAACCCAGTCGACACATAACACGATCTGGACACGCATACTTTTGGAATACACTCCTTTGAATCGCATACGGCGCTAATGTCTTTATTTAATGGCACTCACTTGTACCGCCAACTGTTGAAGCATCATCGATGGGTCCTTGAACAACACCTCACGTCTACCCTAGTTCTAACACCAAACAATGGAAAATTCGGCTATAGAAGTATTACTAATGCAGTCCTTCACGCTCCTCCTACAAAGCACAACCCACACCCAATTGCAGAAACGCACCTGCCAGGCGACACAAAGACCCCACTTAGCTCGGGTCTCAAAAAGTCAGGCACGACCAAGAAGAAGAAGACGCTTCCGACATTCGACATTAGTGCCATTGAGAATGAAATATGGGAGCACTTAAAAAGAAAAGACTTTTCTGCAGCTGAGCGTGCTTTTAACAACCTTCTCAAAACAGGCACCAAACCACGCGTAGTTGTATACAATGGATTTATCAAGGCACATAGTTTAGACTTTCGGCATTTTCGACATCAGAAAGCAGCTGAAGATATTGTGAATGAAATGCTTAAAAAAGGAGTCCAGCCAAACTCCGAGACATATATGCAGATTCTCCTAGGCTACTCGGTCTATTGCGACAATGACCGAAAAACACTCAAAAGGATTACTCATTGGTTCGAGCGCTTCATGGCTGTTGAAGCTACCAATAAATATACTCGAACACACAAAAAAATAAAAAAGCTCGTGGAAATGATGGCACCCACAAATAATCGGGCGTTGTATCCTATGGTGCGGACGGCTCTGGCAGCCGGGATTCTTTTCGACGAGGATATGCTGATCACGGCAATCAAGGGATGCATTGTGGCTGAACGGCGTGAGCTGGCAGAAGACCTTTTGAGTATTGCACGGAGGCGAGATTATGCATGCGTATGTTCCCCAACATTACCAATGTACGATATATTGATACGAGAATATCTGTCTGGAAAAGTAGAGCTGGAGTCAGCAACACGGATATTTCAGTGGATGTTAGAAGATGGAAAGGTCGCAGGATCGAATGTGTATGGATACTTTTTAATGGGATACTCAAGTACACCGCTTAAAGAGGATGAAGCAGCCGAGCTGCGGATAGAGACGCTACAACGATTATGGCAGGCCATGATAACTATGAGCAGCACAGAGAGCGGTGGATTTAAAGTGGATGTGAATGTATTAGAAAAACTGTGCAACTATTATGTCTCACAGAACGCACTTCATGAGGCCGAGCAGATGTATTGGGATTTACGAAAACACCAAGATGTTTTTGAACGTTCTTTGATGCCGATTTTCTACAATCTTATCATCAAGTTCTCAGCAAAATTACAAGTACCGTCAGCAATGACACTTTATTATGATATGCTTTCCAGAGATCACAAGCCCGGCAGTGAAGTGATGTGTGCTTTAATATCCGCTAATGCTGAACGAAACGATATTGAGTCAGCTAAGCAGATGCTCGCAATCACACAAGAAGTTTATGAACTAGAGAACAAGGGCTGTGTACCTGACATGTGTTATGCAGTATTAATGCGTGAATATGTCCGACTCGGGAAGCTCTCAGAAGCTGAGGATGTTTTCCGAAATTTTGAGAATTCAGCAGACAGTATCCCTCTCGAATTGGCTCGCGATGCCATGCTTCGTGTATATATGCGACAAAATCAAATTAAAAAGGCAGAAGAAATATGGAGAATGAAAACAGAAATAATTACGGACTCTCTCAATGCTATGATCGAAGGTTATGGGCGTGCTGGTCAATGGGACAATGTTGCAAGCTTGCTGCACAACTATGGTGCTCAGGCAAGCCCGCGCACTCACGAAATTGTTGTGCAGACCCGATTACTTCATGGCAATATTACTGAAGCACAGTCATACCTATCCAGCATCATGCAGCAACACATGGTTGCTTCGCTAATAGCTCCCATACAAGCCATTATTGCCTCTTGTGCCATTGATGGCCGGGCAGATGATTCCCGGCGTTGGTACAAATTGCTTGTAAGCGAGTCCGATATACCACTTGAGCAGAAAGAGCTTGCTACCCAAGTCATGACCAAGTTCTCCATCTCTCTTAACCCTCCTTTCCCAAACAATGACCCATAATATATGCCCCTCGTTTTTATTAAAGATATAAACACTTGTATAAATTCCTCTTCCCCGACTCACCAAAAAAATATTGTTATTAATATGATAGTAATAGTAATAGTAATAATAATAATAATAATAACTATATATACGCTTTCTTTGCATTGCATAGAAAGAACAATAGGCTAAAATACTGATGTGAAACTGATGAAGTATAGGGACTTTTTTTTTGGATTGTGATTCAGTCGATGATCAGCAATTCTTGAATTTAGTTTTCTTTTTAGTATAAAACAAATTATTATTATTTTGCCTGTAATGGGTTAATAGTACATCGTGCCAGATTTTACTACATAAGACCAGGCCAGGTGCACGGTTCTTGTGTAATTCTTCCAAAGGTCTGGTAATCTGTCAAGGTATCTGCTTTCATTTTTCTCTTTTATTTGCACTACGTGCCGTTGTGCGAGGGTCACCATGAGAATGATGTATATTAAGAGAATATAATTAATATTTTCGATTTGATTTTGTAAGAGATTAATAAATCGTTACATATTAACCATACATATACCTAAGCATAAGTCCAGCTTTAAACATTTTTGTGCACTTTTGTTCATGAAATAATGACGCATGAGGGATATTCTACAACCACAAGGTTTGTGGTCATTATTGTATTGATTGTTATTTGAGGATACATGCGTTTACGATGTGCTGGTAAGAGAGTAATCACATGTACTAGGTGGGGCTGTATTGGTGTAATACTTGAAATTCAATTGAAACGTATGTTTGTTTCATTGTACGTTTAACCTAGCCGGATATTTTGTGATTGTATTCAATCTTGTACAAGAGTAGTGCACCTCAAACATGCCCTGATTTCCACCAACCAGATTTTCCTATAGATATCCCTGTCAGATCATTCGATCTTTTAATTAGGCCACAAACGCGTGGTGTAATAGCAAATGCCGTCAATTTTCTCTCTCTCTGTGTGTGTGTGTTTTATTTTGGTTTCTGGATGTATAAAACACTATGACCATACAGTCTAATATATATGTTTGCATACACATGGCAGCAGCTGATAAGAACAAGATAATCAAATTCAAAAAAAAATTCAACTATACAGTCTTGACCAGCCGATAAGAATACGAAGATAAAATTACATAGAGATGAAGAAAAGGTAGAAGTATTGTCCAGAGTGAATTCAGAACAAGGAATAAAGAGGATTGTGAATTCAACCGCAGTGGGCACTCCAGTTGGTTTTGACCCCAAACGATTGAGGTAACTTGAATGTGCGATTGTGGGAGTAAAATGAATAAATGTGGATTGTCACAGGAGCCCACCAAATTAGGACTCACCGAGTTGTATCAACCGGGTTAGTCTGCAGTCAAAAGGGATTTCACGACAGTTCTGCCAGACCACCCCTTGAAATACAACTGTCACTAGAGAGGACTGAGAAGGAGATTTGCTGGAGATTAAAAAAAAAGCGAGATTTTTGTTATTTATTTATTTTTAATTTTGCTCAGAACTATATATATATAACTTACTAATCTTTCAAGCGCTTCTTTTAAGTAGCTCTAAATGCCTAAAAAATTGATAGGAAATTTTGGGTGTCAAGAAAGGCAGTAATATAGCCGCCTGACTACAGGCAGTGTACAATTTCTGGCTTCCCAAACAGGTTCGATAACATGCAGTCGTGTATCAAAAATATAACATAATGACACATTGGTCGTCAAACAAGCACTCCGATGGCTAAAGACAAATCAAGTAAAACTCAACCACGGATGCGATTTCACCCTTTCTGGACTCTCAAACACTAATTTAGCAAGCATTTCTCTATCATTAAAAGTAAGCTTGCCCGATTCTACCAGGGGCGCCATATAGAATAGACAGTCACATCCGTAGAGCGCCTTCACCAGTCGTTCCTTCGGGACGATTTATTTAACTTTTTTTTCCTGAGCATTTTCTGATTTGACTACTCTTTCTTCCTTACTTTACTTTCACTCTTTTGCTCTTTCTCTTTTACCCTTCTCTTATTCTACTTCTTTTTCGTCTAGGTCTAGGAGTCTTTCTCCTTGCCTCTCCCATTGAACACCTACTCTAACTGTCTGATTTACGATGTCTCGGATGTTTGTCGATGTGCGGGAGAAGTTGCACCAATTTTGGGACACAAGAATGCATTTCTTAGAACTGCATTATACCTATATCGCCCTCATTATCTTTGTTTCATCTGCATTTTACTACTTTGAGCCTGGCACCAGCTGGGCATACATAGATGTATTATTCACAACAACTACAGCATGTACAAACACCGGCCTTAACGTCGTCCCAATGTCATCAATGGGTACTTACAAAAGCCTTCTCATGTTTTTCAATTCTTTCATTGGATCGCATATATTCATCTCTATCGTCGTCGTCCATGTTCGGAAATATTACTTCTCCAAACGCTTCGAGGATACCCTTATATTCAACAAGGCCCGACGGCTAAGAGAGGAACACCGCCGTCAGATGGCATTGGATCGGCAGAGTTCTCCAGACGAATCCGCTACTACTAGAAATCGACGAATGTCTTTTGCTTCGACTCGTTCCACGCCTGTCGCTGGAAGCAAAGGTATCCGAGGCTTATTTCACAGCCGACGCCTATCACTTGATACAGAAGCCAACCCACCAAACGATATCTACAAGCTCATTCATGAATATGTAGAAAAACATCAAAACGAAAACGACGACACCCCAATAAGTATAGAATCACCTCAAGCAATATACCCAACCCAAACCGATACTGTAAGCCAACTATCTGAACCTAGACATCCTTATGATCCAACCCCTCAATTAAGTGCCGATTCTCACAACTGCTCTGAACATTCGCCCTCACCTACAATGCCTGAAGACGATACACAACATTCTGATCACCTCCGCCGTGTTACCAGTGTCGAAGACGCGACCGAGATTACGGAGCCCCAGACGGTATCTGGTCCGCAGGGCATTGCCTTTGCAGATAATATTATTCGCCAGCGAGAGAATGCCAGAATGCGTTTGGAGAAAACACGCCGGATCGAACAAGTATTGAAGAAGATGGCTGATGAGACATACACCGTTCATGACAGCAATTCAGAAACCGATAACCAAGACGCCGATCACTATGATGATATCATGCGCCAGCCAATCGATAAAAGCCAACTGACACGAGAACAACGTTATACTCTTGGAGGTGTTGAATACAGAGCCCTTGACATGCTTTCTAAGCTCGTGCCAATATACTACATTGGCATCATTGCTTTTTTCGCTTTTCTTTATCGTATAGAAGCTGCCGCATCTTCATATACCACTGCAGTTCTCCAGACGTCTAATACGAACGGACCTGTCAATCCTTGGTTTTACTCCTTCTTTCTAAGCATCTCAGCTTTCAATAATCTAGGTCTCTCCTTGCTCGACGATAGCATGTCACCTTTTCGTAACTCACCTGCACCACTTATATTCGCTATCATATTAATTCTTGTTGGAAACACAGCGTATGCTATTATTCTACGCTTCATAATATGGTGCCTCTACAAACTTACTCCAGAATCTCGATCACTTCGAAGAGAAACTTTTCGGTTTCTTCTTGAACACCCTCGTCGATGTTATACCACTCTTTTTCCAGCCACACAAACTTGGTGGTTACTCATCATTCTTGTTGGTATTACTTTAATTGAAGTAGTGGCCTTTTTGTCGCTCAATTACTGGCTCCCTGTTCTCGAGGGCATTGAATGGGGATCTCGAATTCTTGACGGTGTTTTCCAGTCGGTAGCAACCCGTAATGGTAAGCAACAATTAATGCATGAGCTATGTGCTTAAAAAAACATGTGTATTCTTATTAACCCCTTTTTTTCGAATAGCTGGATTTAGTGTCTTGAGTTTGGCAGACATCAATCCAGGAACCCAGCTTGTTTATATTGTTGCAATGTACATTAGTGTCTACCCCGTAGCTATTTCGATGCGTAACAGTAATATCTATCAGGTAAAATTTTTTGCTTTTTCTTTTCAAGCAGTACAACTTGGTATAGCGCAGTGCAGTACATTGCATTTTTATATATTATATATATATATATATATATATATATATATGCAGTTTATTCTTTATTGTTAAAATATGACATATCACTTATGCATATTTATCTCAAAAGGAACGCGCACTCGGCATCTATCGAGGCGATAATGATGAAGAAAAAGTCGAGTTTAGTGATCAAGATCTTAATGGACCTGCACCTTTCATCAAACTGCGTCGTCACCCTACAATTTCGAGTGTAATGACTGCCTCACGAAAGGTCTTACGAGGTCCAGATTTCTTTGTTATTACTCAAATCCAACGCCAGTTGACGAGCGATATTTGCTGGGTTATTTGTGGTGTATTCACAATCTGTGTAATCGAATCGCAAGCCATCATGTCCCCATCTCCAATCACTATTGCAACCGTCATTTACGAATGTGTCTCGGCCTTTGGTAATGTCGGCGCCTCTACTGGCTATCCTGGTACCACAACATCCCAAGCCGGTCAGTACCGTACCCTAAGTAAATTGGTTTTGATTGCACTCATGTATCGTGGCAGACATCGAGGTAAGGTTATTAGATAAAATATTAAGCCGTGGCGAGTCTCAAAATAAAATTAATTTATCTATTTTTTTTTTCTTAAAAAAAAAAAGGTTTGCCTGCATCAATCGATCGAGCCGTTTTACTACCTTCTGAACAACTAGAAGAATTTGAGCAGAATGATATGGAAGACAAGATCACTCGAAGACGCAATACTTCAACTTCTCAATCCAACGGCCCTAGTCTCTTGGTATACAATCGGTCCAGTACACTCTAGATATTTACCCCTTTTACTAGCATTAAATACCCAAAGGGAATCATAATGATGTGGCCGACATAGACAAACACTTGTAATTTATTACAAACCCACATCATACACTCATTTTCACACGGCATTTTCACTTCAACTATTCATATATTATCTCCCAGTTGACCTCTACATCTTTTCCTTTACCTCTCTGTATATACTCTTTGTACCTTAATATCAATTTGACTAGAACCAATATATTGGCTGTGGATTTTTCTGCAACCAATTTAATAATCATATAATAACAATCATATTATATCTTACACAACATATTCAGCTGTATATTTGGCCGTTTTGATATATTATTGTGGCATTTTAATTTTACTAAAAGTGAGACTTGGATTATCTTTGTTTTTTTTTCTTTAAAAAAAAACAATGATATTTGGATTATTCAGGGATTAGGATCTGATATTTTTCTATAGAAACGATGGGGTTTTGAATTTTGTTTGTTATACCTGTCTTGTGGATCCAGTGTGAAGCCAATAATTGTGACAGACAATAACACACATAAAATGGAGCACAAGCCGTCATTTTAGTTACAGTTTGACACAAGAAAACCATTTCTTTTTCTAGAGAGACACAAGAATTTAATCACTCATGGAACGGACGCGGCACGGCTACCGCAATTGTCACCTGAAGCCCTCGTATCTTGAATAATTTTGCCGTTCCCATCGATATTAGGGTTAGCAGGTATCATATTGGCTATAATCATTAGACGTCATCATTTTTTATATGAGTATGGGGATTTCATGTGAACAATGAAAGAAACGAGTGGTTCTTTTCCACTTTCTTGGAAGCACAGCCTGAATATAGAGTTTTGGTATGAAAATAGATTAATGTTTCTTAGTTAGGCCGTCACCGCTTCTTCAACCTCAGATTTTCCAAAAATAATATATACATTTCTTCCGGAAATTATTGGTGTAAAAAATAAATAAAAATCAATTTGGCGCAAAAATGGAACACATCAAAGTTCACCAAAACAAGATGAATTTAGCAGAGAAATCGATAAAAAAAAAGCACCGATTTTCTCAGTTATTTTTGCACCAAATGGCAACGTCGATGAAACGAAGACAAGAAGACGTGGTTATAGGCTTCCTAGCCGCGCCTTTATTCTCAGGTTATAATAAATAAACTCTTCTGCTATCTCTCTCTCTCTCTTCTTTATACCTTTCTTGTAACCATCAAAATCTTGGCGAACTAATTTAGATGACAAGAGGAGGGAAAGAAACTCAATCTAAATAACTTTTACAAAATATTCTTTTGTCTAAAAAAAAACTAAGAGATACTCCTTCCCTATTAAACTAGGCCAGGTGGCCTACCAGATCCTCTGTCTTCGTTTCACCAACGTTACCATTTTTTGTAGTCAACAAATAGCCTCAAGGTTGAAAAGGGCTTTCGATCGGTTATCTAAGAGTGGCACCAAACTTGAGATTACTACAGATTAGTTTTATTCACAAATGATATAAGCAGTTATACTTGAATAAATTAATATAGGAGAGATTGAATTAGTAAATATATGAACAACAGAGGATAAGCGATAAAAGGGCTTAGGTTCAGTTTGTTTCATCATCTTCATCCGAGTCACTGCTAATGGTTCTTGTAGGCTTCTCACCTGACTTATTTTTGTGCTTGTTTCTTTTGGGACTGAAAAAGGCTCCAGGACTTGACGAACGCCTGACGTGAGCATTGCTACATCTATGCATGTTTAGCACTTGGTTTTTCATTTGACGGTAACAAGTGGGCGAAGATTTCTTTTCTTTTTGATTTGAAATTGCGGTTTTTAAAAGAAAACGATAAACAACGTTTGGTTGAAATATTTAAGGTACGAGAGAGATAGAGACAGGAAGCGCTAAATAGCTAGTGTGATAAGGAATATATGCTGAATCTACGTTTCTAATCGTCATCATGCCGCCAGCACTAGCTACAAACAAAACAAAAAGCACTTTAACCAAGGTTCTATCTAAAAGCTGCACTTAACAACAATACCTAATCAATCGACCCCCAAGCACAAATACGTTGCTCCTCTGATCATCATCAATTGGCATACTACCAATGTCCTTCGATTTCAGTATTGGTTCGGATATTTTTTCTTTATTTACTGAGATCCGCAGAGCCTTTTACCAACATTGGGCCTTTTCTGCTCCGAGGATCTCAACTCCGTGCTCGTAATTTTCATTAAGATCGATTCTTCTTCCATTTATACTGAACAATTTTATCGTATAAATCACTCACTTTAAAGCCAAATCAGTTTCATTTTTGGTCTCGGACTGAAAGAAAAGTTACATATAACTGCCTAAAAGACTCTGGGACCTCCCCAAAGGGAGAGGAGTCCACCAGGGTCCCCCCGACAGGAAGGAGGAATGAAACTCCTGACGAATTATATTACATCTGTTAAGCAATGATTTAAGTCCAATTTTGCAGTGTGTATATTTGTTTGACATTCGTTTGTGCCGAATAATTCGCATGGTTGCTTTTCTTAATACAGTCCGGCTGGAGGATATTGTCGATCACAGAAAAATAAAATTATTGGTTACAAAAAAGGGAAACTTTACGGACAGCCTGGTAAGACAGCCTGGAAGTATGTAATGTCACTCATAATAGAGGGTGTCTTCAAGCCTGAATTGCGAACGTTTGCAGATTTGTATGTACCGCGGCGAATTAAATTCCAATATCTGTTTTGTAAATCTCTAGTAAAAATTAAGCTTATTCTCCCAACTTTAAAGCAAGGTATATTATATCCAGGAGTCTCTTTACATTTACTTAACAGGGTAGGCCTCGGAAAGCTAAGTTTGTTAAAGTCTCTTTCCTTTACATTTTTTTTTAGTATTAATGTTTTCAACATAAATCCTCACAGCTTTATCTGCGTTTGTATCATCTTTGATTGAGTTTTAGAAATAATATTTTTTTTTAGCTGTCTTGAGATTATCACAACTCGACAACCTCTCTAATATCTACTAGTTTTAACTACAAATCAACTGAAATCTTAAGAGAATCAAAACACTTTATGACTAAGGGCTATGAATTAAACCTAGTGGCATATTTTTCTTTTATTATTTTATTTATATTTGACCAACAATCTGTTTTTCCATTAACAAATTAAATCTTGCCTTTCGACAATTATATCTTTTTGTAACCAACAATATCCACCAGCCAGACTGTATTTCGGGTCTCAAAGTCAATCGTTTTTAGACAAAATTGAACAAATTCACCAATTTTAGGAGACTAAATGAGTAGGATATAGGTCTGAAACATTCTAACATAATTACACATAGAGATACGGAACTTACAAGGAATCACCCCATGTGTGATTTGTTCTCTTTTATAGACACTTTTTGGAGAATACTTTTTTTTTTTACATTCCAAATTAGGCCTGGCTTTTTATAATTCCCTCATTTCATTTTACTGTCTAAAGTCTCACTTCATCTTATCAGGCATTAATCAATATTTTTCTTTAATCAAGTTAGAAAATCTAAAAATTTATGCTTCATAATAAAAGGCTATTGATATAACATAAGAGTTTGTTTATAGATGATAATGAGAAAAGGTGACATATACTTGGGGTTTCATTTGACAGCTGTAATACAACCCCACTAACAATGGCGTTATTGCCTCAGGGAAAACGTACTAAGATCAAAGAGCGTTTCGATCTGCTCTTTCGGAATAGAGTTTCTGCCTTTAAAAAAATCAAGCAGGGACGCGACAATCTTCATAAATTCGCTGAGATTCTGTTGATTAGTATTCGCCCCAAGTTCCGTCATCTCTACCGGGTAACATTCTTTAAGATATTCTTCGCAGGTCAATACAGTGTATGACCAAGGATCGGTTTCATAATCCATCTTTAAGATACTATATCCACAAACATGTTTAGGGTCACAGTCTGGGACAGGCCTGAGAATAATTAGGGATACATAGTCTATCTTTTTGTGCAACAAGGCCTTGATCCGATGAGGTTGCTCTTTTTTACACATATCAAAATAATCTCCAATGTCCACAGTGTGTAAATCAATATAGTCTCGGTCCTCTTGATCGAGACTATTTTCTTTAAATAAACTTCCGTTTGATGAAAGCAAAGGAATAAGATAATTCCCGATGTATTCTGGTATATCGCATATGGTAGTATAGTAATACAGGGCTTTCCCAAGATTTATCATGGCTGAAGAACCATACATCCATGAGTGTTCTACAACTTGTACGTCTCGTATAGTATATTCCTTCTGAACGATGGCATCCATCATTTCACGAAACGGTATCTCTTCAACATCATTGGCTTCAGAGTTATGATCTGAATCCGAATTAATATTATGAGTAGATTCAGAATCTGATCCAGGATTTGATCCAAGCGAAGGATTAGGGAATAATCCAGAGTTTGATTCAAGTGGAGGGCTAGGAAATGAGCCAGAGTGAGGACCAGAGTGAGGACCAGAGTGAGGACCACCGTGAGGATCACCGTGAGAACCTGAATGAGAGCCAGGTGGGAGCGTAGAATGAGGACTGGAGTAAGGACTAGAGTAAAAACCAGAGTAGAGACTAGGGTAAAGACCAGACTTTGATTCAGAGTTTGATCCAAGTGGAGGGTTAGGAAAGAACTTAGGGTGATAGCGATATACTGGGTCAGAGCTAGATACTAAAGTCAATCCAAAGCTATGACCAACTATTGGGTTGGATCTTGGGTCAGAAAATAACCTAGAGTTAGGGGCAATTGCTAATTCAGAGCTTGGACCAGAGCTTAGACCAGAGTTAAAACCAGAAGGAGAACCGAAGGGAAGCCTAGAATGAGGACCAGAGTGCAATCCAGAATGAAATCCAGAATGAAATCCAGAATGAGAATTAAAAGGTAATTCAATATTAGAACCAGATAGTAAACCAGGTGTATGGCCAGGGATTGATCCAGAGTGATGGCTCGAACTTAAGCTAGAGGTTGGGTCATAAGGTAATCTAGCGCGAGGATTAGATGATAATTCGGATCTGGGGTCAAAGAGTGATCTAGAGCTTGAACCGGCGATTAATCCAGGATGAGGATCAAAGAGTGGTTCAAAGTTAGGACCAGAGTTAGGATGAATATTTGGCTCAAAGGGAGAAGCAGACAAAAATCTAGAGCTGGTTCCAGATACTAAGCTAGAGTTGTAACTAGAGGATAATTCAGAATCAGGACCAGAGGCAAATTCAGCGTTATTACTAGTGTTAGCATTATAATTATAGTCCGAGACAGCGATGGAATCAGTGTTGGAATTAGCATTAGAATCAAAGTTGATGTCAATAGTGGGATCAGCATCCGAATCAGCATCTGAATCAGCATCTGAATTAGCATCTGAATTAGCATCTGAATTAGCATCTGAATTAGCATCTGAATTAGCATCTGAATTAGCATCTGAATTAGCATCTGAATCAGCATTGGAATTATCGCTAGACTCAGCGCTAGACTCAGCGTTAGAATCAGAGTTGGACACAGAGTCAGGTACCCCGTATAATCCAAAGCCATAGATAGGGCTAGAGTTATTCATAACTACATCGCTTGTTTCACTGTCGCCCAAGATGGCAGCATAAACTTGATGTGTATGTCCATTTACCACAGTAGCCCAAGGTGGAATCCAAAACTTCTTGTTTACTTTATCGTGGTCTAACCGTGAAATGGTTTGGTTTGAAGGAAAGTCGAAATACACATGCTCTAAATGACTGCAAGTATCCTTAAGAATCCCGAATGATACACCAATAATTCCGGTGCACCGAAAAGCAACAATTGTACGGAGTTCATTACATCTTGTCAATATGTTAAGTCCGTCGTCGGTTATATTGTATAGACCGCTGATATTGATATATTCGATATTAAAACAGTGAGATACAATTTCTCGCAGGCTATTGTCATCGTTAAAATCGAGAATTCCCGAAAGATCGAGCCTTGTAAAAGAAGTGGTCGACGCAAAAAGTAAAAATCCTTTCTTGTTAAATTTGTGCGAAATACGTTCAATATACGGAAGTATATTTAGAAGCATGTCTTCTGAAAGATTAAGTGGTGTCCCATTGTTGTATCCAGCGACCCCCTTTTCTGCATTTAAGGCGATACCGGAAGGGTGCGTATTTCGTGTACATACGTTCTCAATGGTACAAGTTTCACAAAATGTAATATCTACAAGCGTAGGCCATATTTTTGCTAGATGTAAAGGTGGGATTATATCATGATGGTCTATATCTTCTATATTCTTTATGATATGAGTATCTTCGCGGTCTATCTTTTTATAAAACTGGGAAATGTATTGTATGACCGATATTGGGTACCTGCTAGGCACTATATATTTTGTGAGAATCTGTTTCCATTCGTTTCCCAGTGACTCTTAAAACATGTCTATATGCAAAGCTTTACCTTCTTTGTGTACATTTCGTAACATAAAATAACAATATTCTGGCTTACAAGGATCGGTAGCGTCAATAAAATTTATCCAGCCGCCATTTTTATTCAAAGTTGGATCAATTGCGTTTATGACTTTGGAATTAATAGTCAAGCGAACATTGGTTTTGCCGTTATTATGGGTATTGATCTCAACAGCAGATCTGACCAGCCTGGTAGTAAATGTGTGAAGCCAAATATTGTCGTGCTCCCGTTTCTTTTCTTCGCGATCAATATCATTATCATATGCCCTGAATTCAGACTCTAGCAGAGAAAAATTTCTTTCTAGAGAACATGCAATCCTTTTGATGGATCTGACAGAGTCTAGGGGACTGCTCACGTAGTGGTGGATGGTAGCAATACAAATGTATCCATTATGGCGGCCCTGGTGTCTTTTTGCATTACTTTTTCGAATAATATAAGTCTGTGTTTCTATTGTCATTGCACAATAAGAAAAGTCAAGAAGATGGAACAAAAACTACAGCTTATTCACACTTATTTTTTTTTTAAGAAAAAGATATAAGTATGAGCAATATTATGGCAGGTATGAAGCCTTGGGCGGAAAATTTTCTAAAATAATTCAATTGTATAAAAACCGAGATATTTTCTGTAAAATGAATTGAAAAAAAAAATGCTTTAGGTAGAGGCATGAAGCTGGATAAAATATGAAGAAAAAGCTGATGTTCTACTAAAACTTATCATTAAAAAAATACATATGCTTTAAAATACTAGTTTTACTAGGTATAGCTTCACATATCTTTTAAAAATTTAAGAAGGATCATAACGAGTATATGGACACATGTATTGTACAAAATTAAGAAAAAAAAGTATAAAGTTTTACTAAAACATATTTTCAAAATATGATTTATCAAAGAGTATTAGCTCTAGACATAATTACTACTTGAATATATGCTGCTGGTTTAAGACAGTATCGTCAGCAATAGTTTAATTTATGGCTTACTTATACAATATTAAATCTGGGCATATAATCTGTGAAGAAGTAGTAAATATATTAGCGCTCTAACTTATTATTGTACATTTTTGTAAATACTTCTAACCTATATGTATTTATTTATTTTTAAAAAAAAAAGGTTTAAATGCCGTAAAACATACAGATATATATTATATAAGCTCTGACCCATTCTTTAGTTAAAATAGATTTTGTACCAAAAAATGGACATAAATATTTTTCAGTGACTCTCAATAAAACCAGTAAAAGTTATATTAAAGTGTATTTTTATTTTTCCAGGTAATCTTCAATAGCAGATCTCTCCTTGGGTTGGTTAGATCTTATAGTTAATTTTTCAAGATACCATATCTCGTCATCATCGAAAAAAAAACTAGAAATAGTCGATCACCTAACACATATTTAATACAGTTATAGCCTCAACACATCTGTGTACCGAATATAAATTTATACCTGTACATATAAGAATGTTTCTAGAATAACTTTCTTAAAATGTTAGTACGTTGCATACTTTTGGTGATACTGTGTGTATATGTATTGGGCGTACTTTTTTTTTTACTGCTCCAAGAAAATTAAGCGTCATGCTTTGAGTCTATTCTACAATTTATACTATATATACAGATATACCCTTGAATTGTTTATTAACAATAAATACCGTCAAAGTATTAAGTAACAACTGCATATTTACATAGGTAATTGAGCTTAATGATACTTATAAAGCATATCTAAAAGAAAAGTAAGGTAAACAACGCTTATCTCAATATTTCCTATACATTAAAATGTTGGATTTGCTCTATGATTTTTGATTCCATGTTTTATTACACTTACAGCAATTCTTAAAATCAGCCTACTTTATGGCATGGGCTTTGTAAAATAAATATAAGTTGTACAAGATAGATATAATATATTTATTAGTGAAAGCTGTATTATATATTATGATAAACATATGCCCTATATACTTATACAGAGATATGGCAAATGTAGCAATTTTTCATCCTTGAAAGAACAATACAAATGCAACCTCATATTTGGTCCATTAGATGCTTATTAAGAACAGTTTTTTTTTTTAGAAAACATAATACTAAAAAGTACTTTTATTGTCATTTTTTGTTTGTTTGTTTGAATGTAAAAAAATAGTTCACTAGTTTTTAATCAATCAATTTTCAAATACTATCAAGGGAACAATTAAATAGATTTGAATAAATAAATAAAGTAAAATTAAATGGACACTATGGGAAAAGAGTGGTAATTCAAGTAGTATCTTTCAAAATCCCCGCCCGAATCACCACTTTTTTTTTGCGTAGTGAGAATAAATAAATAAATAAATAAATAAATAAATAAATAGAGTAGACATCCGGTTATACGGAAGCAATATCTTAGCAGATGGCACTGATTCCAAAGTACCTAGAGAAAATTAAAGCACGTTTAGTCCTCTTAAAATTTGGGAATAAATATAATAGTCTTACTTGGCGTGGTCCATGAACGAGGTAAATGGAACAATGGAGTTGGCACAGATCTTTGAGTCAAGGGAAGTGTTGCAAATCTCTGTTTTTTTTTGTTTTGTTTCAGAAGAAAGGAAAAATAATTATAAGTATATATTCTCATAATGCAAGATTTTTTTTAGATTAATACGTACTGACAACGGAGATGTCATTGGTGATCCAGTATTCAATACCGGCGTGCAAGAAGCCGAACTTTTGAGGGGGAAGATGGGGAACAACTAAAAGGTTACGAGAGCAAAAATAAGTATCCTAAAGTTCTTGTTATATGTAATTCTATAGAAACTTACTATCACGATCGTTGACAGTGCGCTCATAAGTAATGCCAGTAGCAGAGACATAGTAAGCGAAGTTGGCGTTACCAATACGAGGAGCACCTAAAATAATACAAAGTTACAATTATTGGTAACTTGATTTTATAAAGTGCTTAGAAAGCTGGAAAATACTTACCGTAGGTGTAAATGAAAAGGTTAGACTTGGTAATTCTGGCGTCGCGCTGATAAAGATCCAAGGCAGCGAGAGGAGCAAGAGCACCACCAAGGGAGTGTCTGAAATCAAAGGCAAATTAAGTTGAAGTTCCAAAGATATACATATGTTCTATAAGCTTACCCAGTAACAACGATTCTGTAGCTGGGGTGGGCTGTCAATTGAGCGCGGACAAGGGAAAGGACAGTAGCCTGGCTCTGGATATAGGCAGTGTAGAATCCTAAGGTATTATAATAATTAGCTTCTGAACTAAAAAAAATACGGCGTTATATATTGGATATATACCAGTATGAACACTAGCACCAGAGACAGGGGGGTAGGCTTTCTTGATGAAAGTAAGATTCTATTATAAAATAAATGTTAATATAATGAAACAAAGTCTGCTTTTTTTTTTAAAAAAAAATACAATTAGATGAGTACTTACAGCTACCCAGTTAGCGTTGGATCCAGAGCCTAAACATCTTGATTAGTATCCGAAAGAGAATCTTGTTGTATTAAGCATCTTTTTACAAACCTCTGAATACCAATTCAATTTCTTTAGTCTTGTCATTTCTGGTAATGTAACCATTGGCATCGAGAGATCCACCCTTGAAGGACTTGATGAAGGTGTACGCACTTCCACAGGTGCTGCAGGTCCAGAGGCCATCGGGACAGACAGATGTACAGTAGGCACTGGCGGAAAGAGACATGTAGGTCTTCAATACGGTAATTTTGGCGGCAGTAGCCAAAGGAAGAACAACCTTGGAAACAGTAGTGAAAGTTGCAAGAGGAGGATTTGTAACATTGCCCAAGTCCAAAGAAAAGCCACCCTTGGTTTCAAGGTAAGTGGGCAAAGGACCATTGATAGCCTCAACTTGAGCTTCAGCGTCTAATTCGACGACAGGGACATCCGTGGGAGCGGAAACACGATCCTCGAGCAAAGGAGGAAGATCTTCTCTTGATACAAGGAGACCATTTACTTCACGCGGAACAGGAGTAGCCGTGACAGAATTAAAGGCCATTAGAACACCAATAGCGGCGGAAGTCAAGATAGAGATCTTCATGTTTTAGCTTGATCAATTGATTATGATAATAAAAGAAGAGAATGAAGCTAATGAAGAAATCCACAGTCTCAAGATACCTTCTATTTATACTATTTTGAAAACACTGGGTTATCTTTCTTGTGCATAAACTGATTAGGCGAGCCTTCCTGAACTTTGGATATTTGTGGACCCATTAAACTATATCATGGTGACAATCCACTCTCTAGTCTCTCTCTATGATGTTTTTGGAGCTTGTAGCAGGTCGTATAACTAATTTGTCTGGGCTGTATGTAGCGCGTCCTGCTTACATATTAACTTTCTAAAAGAAGATATAATCCCTCGCACAAGATCGATTGCTAGAACGTAGTACTGCTCTAGTCTTACAGATCGAAAAAACCCTGGTACACACTATTAAGTATCTTTTGGTACTCATTATAGGTGTAACAGGCTATAGAGTCCTGGCAAGTATTTCCAAACAAAGAATGCCATTATTTGGGGGTAGGATACATTAACATGCTCTCATATAGATCATATGGCCTAATTCAACAGCACCAAATTTCGGTGTATGACAGTAAATATAGCGCCTGTTCTCTCTCTGTCTCTGTCTACTATACATTCTCCATTACTATTATTTGATAATGAATAGCTAGTTGCTTATCTTAGTTTTTGGTAAATTAGGGAAGTATACCCTTTCTAATCAACTACTCGAAATAAAAGTGTATATTATCTTTATACAATGTACTGTATTATTTGTCAGAATACTCATTTAAAGTACCAAATGAGATTTATTCTCTGAATTCTTAATTTTTTAAAATTAAAATAAAAAACAACAACAAAAGCTTAGAACGATTACACCTGTAATCAAGTAAATTCATCAAAGTAAACATTTGAGAAGTTAAAGAGGTTATCCTTAATGAATTAAGCATTTTCTAGATTCTTGTCAAGCTCAATGCTTAAATTAAAGCTAACTATTCCCCGTTCACATGCATACATTTATGTATTTACTTTAAGTAAGATAGACCCAAGAAGACGGAAAGCTATTTCTTGGATATATTGACAGCGGTTTGTGAAAACTTGTATATTAATTTCACCCAATTTTCTTTTTTTTTTAATGCAAATAGTAAATCAACTATACTAGAAAGTTCTATTCACTCGCTTTTGAAGCGTTACTTAGAAAACCCAGAGCTATAGGAGGAAATTAGTATATACAGTTCAACTACATGCTTTTAAAAAAATGTCGACTATAGCTTGGAAGAGCTAGGCAGTTTACAAATAGGTACTTGGTGCAATTGTTGCTAGACACTATTTTACTTTTTATTTTATTTTAATAATAGCTTAGTTGATATTTAGTCATTAATCTCTTAGAAGTGGCTTATCAGAGTAACTATAGATTCGAATAAAGTTTTGTCAAAGGGATAAATATGGTTCCTGAATATAAAGAGGATTTACATATATTGCAAAGAATTCTATATTCAGACAACATAATTAGGTACTCAACTCTATAATGTGTAATCACGCCGTGAAATTTGAGATGCGCTTTATTTACTTTATTCAAGGGTTATACTGTATTCTTAAAACAGAAATCTTGTAGTATGTTCGATCAGTGTGCCCGACACCAAAGAGATTACTCGGAACACTGTAGGTTCCACCATATCATGCAACCTAAAAGGATCAGTAGAAAAGAAGTCTCGCAAAAAAAATATGTTTTTTCTGATTCTCTATCAAGATGTTTCCTTTTTTTATATATGCCCTGATACCAATTTAGAACCAATTGAAGATAATGGCTGTATATTAAAATACCCAATATCTAATCATCTTACTAGAGCCTTGGCTTTTATTTTTCGGTTGAAATGCTTTGTTAATCTAATTGTTAAAGAGAATAACGTATAAAGAATAGCAATTGAATAAACTCCCACAATCCCTTTGGGTTACACTCTAAGCGCGGGAAAAAAGGTACATAGAGGACCATGTAATGAGGATTCAGGCATATATTTCCCATGTTTTAATTTCAAGTTAATTCTTCCACAATATCTTAATTCGAAGCTCAAGATCTTTCAAAATAGTAATATTAGCATAAAACAAGCCATGTCCTTATGATATGGGAAGATCTTTAAAAAAAAATGTTTATATTTAACTATTATCCTACAAAGATAAACTGAAACCAATATCATCAATAATACAATTATAGCTTTGTAGCTTGGTATATTATTTATTTCCAGCCAGTGGGAATTGACAAACTTTATGAGCTTCTCCAATATATTCTATATATGTAAGGATCATGGTTGGGTACAGAGGGTCTTATCCTAGTGTAACAAATAGACTTTTTTACATACTACAGTACATTTAAAACGCCTGTTAGTGCGCTTCATTAGACTGTGCTATGTAACTCTCTCTTTATTTCTTTTTCTTTTTTTTTACAAAGTGATACGTGCTTGGCTAGATAAAGCAATAGAAACGTAGCTTTGTTTATCGAGTGACCCTGGAATTCAAATGAAGTAGATTTGTTCTTTATTTGATCTACGTGTAACATATGGCGTATTTATCTGGTAGTGGTTGGTTGTACTGGGTTATTTTTTTTTTTTAATTTTTTTAAGCTTAGAATTTCGTATTTTTCTCAATACAATTTAGCTATACTATTGTATATACATTGATTGTAGGCATCCAAACAAAAAAGTCTAAACGAGCACACGCAAACGGAAAATGCGAATTATGTCTACTTGACCAGAGTAGGATTCAATGTATATTTATTTAAGTACACCAAGAAAAACTATTATAATACATTATATATGTTTTATCCAAATCTTCTACTTATCGAGTTTTATTTAAAAATAATACACCGACGCTTCTATTTGAATTATTAGAATTGTTACTATCGTGATCTGTAAGACTTAAATCAAAGATACACCGTAATGATGAGTACTTGTGTAAGTTACAATTGGCTTTTTTTTTAACTTCTAATCTAAATGATTTTCCGCTAGTCTCCTGTTCTAATATACGTATTCTTAAAAAAATAATAAACAGCAAGGTACTACAGTATACATTACTGGACTTGACCTTTTTTTTATGGGTTCGATATCAATATCAGTTGTTTCTTTATATATATATATATCTACTATTCTTGTTACAAGCAAACCCCAATGTATGAAATATAATTAAAATCTACAGATATTAGAGTGCTGTGCTTAATAGTAGTAATAATGATATAGCTTTTATATAGCAATATGTAGTAACTAAACACTAAAAGAAGTCAGCAAGACTATTTGGTAATAAAAGCATGTGGGTAACAAAAGAGTAGAGCACACAAAGAATATCTGTAGTATTCTCTCATAATTATTGGTCCAAGTCTATACATCTACCTCTAGAGCAGTTATATTCTGTCTGCTACCAGCAAGTTATTATAGATACATATATTATATAAAGTTGAATCAAACTGGATCCTGAAAATTCACCAAGTTAATTGCTAGAACCCTTATCGGCTCAATGCTTTACTTGATTTAACCTATCATTATGTTTTTGTTTTTCTTTGTGGCTTGAAATCCTTTTGATAATACTTCATCAGAAAAACCTTTCAAAAAAAAGATTAGTAGATAAATAGTAACTTGCGTAAGAGTTGTTGAATACAGCAGGGCTTTTAAAAAAAGCTTTTCGTTATCAAATTACAATGTACTGCCTTTAATAATAAACTCCACAAGTGCTTTCTTTGCTTTTAGTTTATTTTAGAAGTAGTTTCTTTTGTTTTCTTTGTATTTTATTTATCTGCTATCACTCTCCGAGTGCACTTTCTAAAGTACTGTCAGAGTAGACTTAATTGGACGAGTAAGAAAGTAAATATTAAGAATAAGGGAGGGAGAAGAAATATAATTGGATACATTTTAGAAGTATGGTACGAGCTGGAGAAAACATCATTTTTTTTTGGTATTTTGAAAAGTTCCGTAACTTCTTCTACAGACAGATTATTACGAGATTCCTTTAACATATTTTTTTTAAGAAAAAGAAGGCTTGAATAAAAAAGCTATCAACCTTTAAATTAAAGAGGTGTCACTAAGGAAATAACAGCTTTAATATTTTTCTTCCTAATATTGAAATAAGAAAGATGACTGCCGCATTAAGAAATACATTTGAATGCTTTTAAAATGGATATTCGTATAACATAAACCATCATTCTTGATGTTCTTCTATGTTATCGAACATCAAAATCATTTCTACTATCGAAGTTTTCTGAGGAGAAAATTAAAATAAATTAGAAATTCTCGATATCTACCTTCGATTACGCCATAGTCCTTTATTGTTGTAAAGATACTTGTGTTAAGATGCAGTACCAATAAATACAAAAGAAAAAATCAGGTAAGACACACATAACGTCTTTACTGAGATAATTCTCTGATAGGTTCCGTGTTTATACTAATTGCTTTTATGATAAAAATTCATTATCGGTGTACAAGTGAGAAATCAAAAGCCAACAAACGGAGTACTAAATTATGCCGAGCCCAAGAGATACGTTACCATTGGATATATGTAAGTGGCAAATGTCTAAAGTATAGTTTTCTTATCGATCTTGAAAAAACATTATGTTATCATAGTTGCAAGAGATCCATACTTTGCATTCAGTAAGTACGTACACTTTATTCTTTATAAATGTGAATAAACTGTTTGTCTTGAACAATATATATACCGTTTTACGTGCCTTCCTTGACAGTATATTCCTCTTCAATGACATCATTAAAACAAATTCAACTCTTTCATAATATTTGTAAATCAGCCCCTAATGGTTTATGGAAACTGTGGCTCATAACAGCCCGAATTTTAGATTAGTAGGACATGAAAAGTACTTCATAGCTAAAGTGGCAAAACATTGGATATTTGAATTCATTTTTTAATACAAAAGATGCGAATTTTGGTTAGAGCCATGGTATAAACTATGTCTCTAAAGAATTCTTGGATTATCGTATGTGGTCTTTTATTTACCTTTTTACCAAGATGTCATGCCCCACCAGTAGATCCATCCGACTCAGAACCAACCAGTGAGCTACCCGTAGCCTCAATCCTAAGAACTATAGTTCTCGGCTATATGGCACATATCGTAACAGTTCGACCACAGACAGGAGTGGATAACATGGGTACAAATGTTGCTCGATTTATATGCTTTACGTATCCAACATGGGGAATCAGCATCGCTTTTGACGCAATACATGATGCATACTATGCCGATAAGATTCTTGGGATCGACAATTTCAAAATCCTGTTAAAGAAGTATGAGGAAGATAAAGATACCACAAGTAAAAATGAAGATCATAAAAGTCTCGATTCAGCCGAGCTAATATCACCACTATCTCAGAATGAGCTTATACCAGAATATTCCCCAACTTTGAAAGATGATGAACAAGATTCTCCTTCGGATGTTATTCTATCAAAAACAAAGAATTTAAGAGACTGGCTGGTAGACTACATGGCAAAAAACAACACACCGGTCAAGGAATACGATAACGCTCCTTATCTGGCTGCTCTTCTACATACAATAGGGCCCAAAAAAGCCAAAAAAGTAAAGCATTGTATACTAAACAAGCATATGCTTTTGGGATTTGACTCCAGAACTTATAAAAATGTACCAAAGCGAGAAGATACAAGAACCGAAAATATATCAGTTACCGGCCCTGGAGCAGAATGTGAATATCAGTCCAATATTCAGGCAGAAAACATTCGGTACCTAAAGACAGAAATGATAAGCAAGATACGCACCTCTTACAACGTGGACAACATTTCGTATATCGAGACATTTATTACAATAGTACAGCTCTTCTTTACCACAATTGAGTGTATGGACATCAATGGAAATAAATGGGCCAAGCTCATCATGATTGTATACACTGCAATGTCAGTTATTCAAACACTATCTCTTGTTATTCTACACAAGCAAACAGAGCCTTTCAGCTTGCACTACAATGAAGATGTGCCTTGGAAAGAAGTTTTAGTTGAACGTGGAGCAAAAGAGCCATCTGAAGAGGCGAAAATCGATTTGGCTGACGAAGATATAGAGGAGACTAGCGACTGTTTTAAAAAGCATCAGAGCGATTTATTTTATAAAAACAGTTTCTTGCACTTTGTTATGGAGAACCGATACTTAGAAGCAGAATCAGATTCTATTTTAACAAACTATTCCGAATCTACTACTATTGCGTTTTGTCTCTTTGGTGGAATGGCAGGATCTTTGTTGATTGGAATTTGGGCTGACTACAGTAGCCACAGCGTAGTTCAGTGGATTGTTTTAGCTTGGATCCTCAGTCCAATGTTGATTTTACTGGGAACTATTATTGACGGGTTCTCTCCTAATCCGGATAGCGACACATTTATTTTTCTTAGTATTATGGTCAGTGTGCTTTGTAACTTTGGATGTATTATCGCTGCGACAATTTACGGGTATATAGTAGATAACGAGCAAGGCTAACCTTATAGCTCAACTTAACTCTGACCCTTATTGCCTTGAATCAGATTTATATGGATTATATGTTAAGCACTCACAAATAAAGCAACAATAAAACAGTGTTTACGTTTTACTCCTAGTTATTATTTTTATGAAGATGGTCTTAAGTAAAGAAGCCTAAACGCCTGGCGTATATGTATTGTAGCCTATTTAAATTTATATAGCCCGTTTTTCACCGCCTTTTGTGTTAGAATGCAATATACATAGATAATATCCTAAACGATAATAAGCTTTATGTTTTATGTTTTAGGTATAATATTTGCTACTCACAGACTTTCAATCTACTAAATACACAGCTATAAGTATCAACTGTAACCAAGTAAAGCTCATCTTGGTCGATTGTAAGTTTATTGTGCTTGGTATGAAATATAGTTAGTGTTTTTTTTTTTTACTAAAAAAAGTTCTTATTACAAAATAGGTGTTTCTAGACCGAATTCTGGAGGCACCATGTTGCCTTTGTTTTCAACGACGCCTTCTTCGGCATCATCTTCATAAGGAGGCAACTCTACCAGATGAGGCCATTCTACAAATTGATCACCGTGACGGAGTGAGAAGCGACTGGCCGTAACGACTACAGAGAACCAGAAGCTAAGCCAGAGGAAATAAGCCCTGCGGAACTCAAAGCCAGAATAATCAGGGCGGAATATGTTCAACAAAAGCATGAACATGGAAAACACCAGAATGTAAGGAACCTTTAAAAAAAGACATGCACGTGTAAGAGAAAGTTCATTACTACATTTTTTTTATATACAAAATATGTATTTTATGGGAGGTTAAAGACTTACCACACGGATTCTCAAAGGTTTCTCGGATACAAACGGGCTCTTATATTTTCCGGTAGCTACCAGAGGTTTGATGTGATAGTGACCAAGGAAGAGATCGAATGCATCCATTCTCTTTCCGTCCATAAAGTTGTTTTTGCAATAACGAGTGATAGAGTTGGAGAGATCTTTAAGTGCTCCAGGCACGGTACGCTTGCCGGTTCTTTTAATACGATAGACAATAAAGCATATTAGTTTATAGAATTGTATATTTGGTTGAAAAATAATAATACTGATAGTCTTACCTAGTGAAATCAGTCTTGAGAGCACCAGTTCCAGAGTATACTGAGCTTACAGCATCAGCATTATCGGCCCACACTAATTAAGAAAGAATAAATTTAAGGTTTAATTATCCAGTTTGAGGGGGAAAGTAGCAAACTTACCATGTCGGAAGATAAGAATAAAGTTAGGATGATCATCCACACTTTCATTTGCACCAAGAATATCAATTTCTCGCAATTGAGCATTAAGGACTGCCTTTGCAAAGGTGCTTTGGGCGACATTGGTACGGTCTAAGCAATCCATACAGTTGGAACGAATGACAGAGTTTTGCTTTTTGCGAATTATGAGCGAATCTTTGTTAGAAGCATCATAGTACATATAGCCTTGCTGGTCAAACTGGTCCTTCAATTGGTCTACCAAGATGTTTATACGATCCCATCGCATATTCTTGCACTCGCTGTGGAAATCAAAATGAGTGTAGTAAAGGCGAGGATCATTCAGTTGCTCTACAGTACGAGCATATGCCTGTCCCATAGGAAGCTCATATCCTTTTTTGTTAATCAAATTGACTAGGATTTGGGGACCGTAGATACGGATCTGCTCATCAAAATGTGATCTTGCGGCAGAAAGCTAAAAAAAAAACAACAACCATAAAAGAAAGTGAGTACATTAGGAATACATACACACACACAAATTAAAGTGATATAAATAATCAGACTTACACTCTTTCGGTTTTCTCCCACCCAAAGACGGGGTGTATATTTCAGGTTAATGACCTGTGTCCAGTATACAGGAATGGAACCTCTTGTTTGGACATAAGAAAGTTGCTTCAAGCCAGGTGAAGAAGAAACCGCACCAGGACCATCATAAAGTACCAATTGCTCAGTTTCTACAAAGTTAGACACGTACCCATGTTGATCAACACCACGCGAGAAAAAGCGCGTGCCTGCTCTGTGTCTGCTGCGACGAGTGATCAACGCCAATACAAAAGGCTTGTTGTTGATCTCAGTGGCCTGGAGTTCGACAACTAACAAATTGTTAATACCTTAATAAACCTCCTCCTTAGTTTATTCGGGCTTACATCCTTGGAGAACAGGGAGGATAAAATCGCTGAACTATTTACAGTATTGGTCAATGTCAGGTACTAACCATATAAAAGCACAAATGATATCCATTGTATTCGGACTTACGTTTTTTGCAGGATTTCCCGAAAGGGTGGCCTCAATTAAGCGGTTTACAGGGTCTTTATTCCAGAAGAAACGTTCGTCTGCCTGAATGAATGAATGGACTTGTTAGCTTATACATATCTTAAATTATTTACTTACTCTCTTCCATAAGGGCTCTGAAAGAGTTTCGGTGGTAAATTGAGCCTGCCTCTGGAGAGTGTGGGTCAGGTCATACGTATTAGAGTAGTAGAATGTGGTTCCTCTCAAATGTGCTTCCAAAAGATCAACATATGTCTGTTCATCCTTTGCCTATAATACCAACGTTTCTTTTTTAATATTTCCTTTTATTCCTTCTTATCTTACCTGTGCCTCTGACAAGCCAGTCAAGGATTCCGGAAGAGGCAAGATTTGGAAAGCTGTGATACGGAACACTTCGTGGCCACGGATATTTCCAATGGACTCACGACCAGTAATGACAATAAGATAATCTCCTGCGTGGATTTATTATCAGTTATCTTCATCTGGATACACTATATGCGTACGTAGAATGTTTCTGTGTATAGCTATTTACCTGCTTGGAGTGTAACCAGACCCATGATACCTGCTACAGCTAAGGTTCGGTCCTGCTCAGACACAGGAGGAATAGCATCTGATGAATGTTAAGGATGATTATGATGTACGATTAAATTTACCCATCAAACTAATTTCACTGGTCTCTCGATTGATGGTGAGGTTAGGTCCAGTTTCTGGAGCAAACACGTAGGCACGCTTAGTGACAAAGCTGAGAGAGGAATGAGTTGACAGTAAATGATGCTTATAGTGCTTACAGTCTCATTTCTTTATGCATGACCATTTGAATGGGTGAAAAGAGTTAATGAGGTAGATTACAAGCGAGTTCTTTTTGTTTAAAGTGTTTTCATATTTTTCTCTATTGTAAAACAGCCATGCACATTTGGAAACCCGCCTAGAAGTGATCCCACCCCAAAATGTGGTATACTTTGGCTGTGGTTTATTCAATACTCCCACAACATCCTTTTGGTTTCTTAAGAAAATGAGCCACAATTGCCCTTTTTTTTATTGAATCTAGACATATTTTATTTTTTTACAAAGAGAGATACAATAAGGTCTTTGGAAGGCTATTGATATATTACTACCTTTTATATTATTATATAGTTTACGCAGGATTCTTCCATATGTGATTGAGATAAATTTCTTGAATCTTGTTTGATTCCCGAGTGAGTTTTACTTTTTGGTAGGCGATTCATCCGTATAATTACAAAAAAGACAAAGCACTAAATAGACAGATAAATAGATATTTATAAAATGTGATATCTTATATTACTAACATCTCTTTAAGTTCTTCAAAATTAACTGTAAAGATAATTAAAGAAATGTCTATCAGTCAAATGATACTAGCTGGTATGGAAAGGTAACACGTTTATTGATGATTTTTCCATGTGTTTCTTCCCTTCTATTCTTTTTCGACAGGTATTGTCTTTCCACAATTAGAGATAACCAGACCATGAAATTCATCATTTTGCTTCTATCTGATGAAAAGTAACAGAGCATGTCAAGTGAACTACCCGATGTATAGAGAAACATATTTCATTAATAATAGTAAAAGAAAAGAAAAAGTGGCTTTAATCCTTGTTAATGGTTCTTGATGTACTAAAAATTGTGACAAATTAAAGTATATATATAGAGCGAAAAAATTTAGCTTGTATTAATAGACTGTATCATTTTTTTTAAAAAAAACTAAAATACAGAGTAGTTGTAATAGTCACTTAAAGCTTCTCCTTGTGTAGAATTATGAATATATATGAAATATTGGATGTGAAAGCATTGATATACTTCTTGTTCACAATTCAACAAAATTTGGTGGGAAAAGGGAATATATACTCCGAGACTTTAGGACATGTGTCTGTGAAAAAATATGTCACTAGCCACACCGCAAATGCGTCGGCAATAATCAATAAAGAATTACCAAAAATAATAATATTATTATTATGTCAATTAAAAGGCTTTGTTTTCATGTCAAATTACCAGAATGGTACCTCCGACTTACAGCATTCTTAAAGCACCCCTTCCACCTGTGATTGTACTATCCGATGTACGAATCAACAAAACGATTCCAATCGATCATGACGAACAGTTGTCGAAACTGAACAAGCTCCGAGTATCATTCAGTCAGCGAAAGAAATTCTGGATCGACGTCGAAGTGCTTAATAAGACACAATACAGACAACGTAACCAACATCGTCAATTCCATCGATTCAGACGCGCCGAAGAGGTTATTTTATACTACTATCACTATTTGTTGTTAAGAAATAAAAGCATGACAAATTCTATCCCTATTTTATTTTTATGATATATATATATATTATCTGACAGGCTCGTCGAATCTTGAAAAGGTTCAAGTCATTAGCAATAGACCAGGTAGTCAATGATATCTACAAGGCTTTCTGGAATGCAAAAACGTAGGTTACTTTAATAAATATAATAAATGATCTGGCTATTAAGCTTTTTCTTCTTCTTCTTCTTCAGAATTGAAGCATGTCAGGGAAAATGGAATTTTATCCCTAGCAAGGAGTTTGCAGAATATACAATGCATCGTTTAATTTCTGCCACCCTTCTTTTGGATAAGGTAATGTACTAAGAATCCAGTAAACGTATGTAAATCAAGTTTAAAAAATAATAATAATACAGTAAACTTTCTGAAAATCCAAAGCCTTACTTTTGATTATTCTTATTTCTACCTTGTTTTCTGGATGGTTCGATTATCAGCTACAAATGGTCTTGGTAGAGACCTATAGAGATCATTCAAAGTTGCTCAAATTGGAGCATTTTGTGTCTCTAGGGTTGACCTACATGGCTATATGTAGTCGACTTTCAATAATGTCAGCTACCTGGGCAAAACAGCTCGAGGATTGTTATCTCCTTCTGCAGCGGTGGCACCTTGCATTTCCTTCAGGAATAAAGCAAAAAAACCAAGAAGCCTTTTTATCCCAGAGCAACCAAATTTGTGGTCCACATACAATGCAAGATGCTCGTTTAGAATACATTCGAAAAGAGAGTCAGGAAAGGTAACCAAAAACTCATTGAATAATATAAAACATTGAATAAACTTATATACTTTATTTTATGTGTGATATAGGAGCACCTTTAAAGAGCCTCTCCATTTTTCCTCCTATGTGGCTCATAGCTCGAGACTCCCCCCAATAGCCATATTAAAGAAGGAGTTGGAAGAAGTCGAAAAAATGGGGATAGGCATTAATGATGGTGGTGGTGGTGATAGTGATGATGATGATAATGGCAATGATGAATGTGATTTTGAAGACATGGGAGGTAAGATATAAAGCAATACGGATTGTGTTATTCTATCTAATAACCCCCCAAAAAATCAAACCAACCAACAAACAAACAACGAATCTTATTAGAGGTCATCCAGCGAGAATAGGCAAAAAATTCCAAAATAAAATAAATAAATAAATAAATCAAAAGACAACCCTTGGATATGATCAACAAAAGAAAAAAAAGAAGTATATTCTACTCTTTTTTTTTAATATCTAGTTCTTTAGCGAAAATATATACAGAAAAGACAATATCATAAAACAGAATAAATGCCATAATTGCTTGTACCAGAAACTTGTGTCAAACCATAGAAAGAGAAAGAAAACTACGAGATGAAGATGCAGAAAGAAAGAAAGAGGTTGTTGAATGAAATCTAGGCGGTCTTGAATGTGGCGGGTATTTCGTGAAGTGGGTGATAAGAGGAAGTTTCAGAAGCGTGGCGCTCGTATGCTCTTGTTGGACGTTTGAAAACAAGTGGTTGAGGTGCAGTCATAATCGACGAGTTAACTGGGAGGGGAGGTATTCCTACAGTGAGAGATTCAAGAGGGTGTGGGGAGGACGGAAAGGCAGGAAGGGCTGGATGTTGTTTAGCTACAGGAGAACGCCCGATTGTGTGCCTTCCGAGCTCTGATTTCGTAGAAGACTTCTTGCTCTTATTTAGTGAACTAGAAGAGCGTCTGCGGAATAGAGTGGCCTTATTGTTTGTTTCAAGTTCGTCAACCAGAGCATCAGAAGATGTCTTGTAAGAATTGGAACACATTGGCCGCTGCCTTTGACCAGCCCTTGGTTGGTGTTGGTGCTGGTGCTGGTACGACTGTTGCGGTTGCTGGTGCGGTTGTTGTTGAGACTGACCAGAAATTGTGCCAAATCTTTTGGCTGCAGCTGGAGGCAATAGTGGGTCTGATGATTGAGATGTCTCATTATCATCAGAAGACTGTCTGGTAAGATTGGTGTGGCTAGTTTTCCAGAAATCTTTGCGGAAAATTGTAGCCAAAGATGGTTGAGAGCTAAAGCTACCTTCTCGATGAGGTGGTCCAATTGGTCTGTCACGCTTCTTGAGAGTGTTGGACGACTGCGCTATGGTACTGGCTGGTTGCCCTGTCGTAGTTTCTTCAAGGCCGTCCAGCGAGAAATGACGCGGGGATCTCTGTAGACCTCCTTCTGACCCTATTTGGAGATATAGCGAACCAGCGTCTGAAATCTTGGGTGCAACGGTATTTGGAACGAGTGGTTCAGCGCTCTTTCGCCCGAATAACCAAAAACCTGATTTTGCCTCCTTTTTGTCCTGTCGACCTTCATCCAAAGGCCCTACTAGTTTTTGGATACCTGATCCTGGAAGACCTAGTGCTGATCCAGCAACATCATAAGGGTCTATACCGTCCGGTTGATCTTCCATGCTAATCGGACGACTTTCTCCACTACTCTCTCCACTGGACTGACCAAGCGACAAGCTACCAGAGCTGTTTCGCAGTCCTTCTTGGTTGACCCAGCTCGGGCCAGGTGGACACAAGGAATTAGTGACTTGACCTGGTAATAAAGATACCGAGCTATTGATGGATCCCATACATTCTACAGTAGAATTACTGCGTGTTGTTTTTGGAGGCTCCCGAAGTAAACTGAGCTCATCTACAGTCTTTTCACCAACCCATGATCTTGTTAACTTTTTTTTTTATAAAAAAAAAGTATTATTTTGTACATATTAGACAATGAGCTGGTTTGGCTATATATATATATACATTTTAAGATCTCTTACCAAATATTGTGTTACAAGACATTGTTGCATTTCTATACATACTTCGCCTGCCTCATCATCAGCTGTTGAGAATACGGGGTGCTTTTTCATAGATGATCCACCTCGTAGTGCATGAGACAGCTTATGTCGCCGACTCTTGTGGAGATCCTTTACATAGGCAGGTGAAAGAGTTGCCGAGTACAATGGTCGTTTTTGGTAATATTCAAAAATGCCCATGAGTTCATTAACGCGCTGATCACTCGGGGATGGTAAGACAGCAGGTTTTGTTTGTCGATTATATTGCTGCTGTTGCTGCTGCTGTTGCTGCTGCTGTTGTTGAGGAGGAGACATAGGCGGCTTAAAAGATGGCCCAAGTCCTGGTTTGGTTTCTTCCGTACCTCTTTTTGATTTTTGAAGGGCGATAAGATAGGTCATGTCGTGGATAAAAATTCCCAAAAATGGGACTGTTGGATCAGATAGCCAGTCCTTCTTGGAAGACAATACAGATGAGGTGGTTGTAGTGGTTGTAGAAGACGAGGTCTGCTGTTCATGAGCCGGGCCGAGCTTTTCTCTGTAGCGTTCATAGTTGTTGGCTTCTGACATGAGTTCAGTCAAGGTCTCGAGACGAGAAAGACTCTTTTTTGGAACAAAAGCCCATGTGCGCTTGAGGCGTTGAATAGGAGGCGTGCCGAGTGCAGAAATGATGGCCTTTAGGGTCTGGTAGTTCTTAAGCTCATGGCATTTAAAAGCAACTTTGATCCAATGATTGACGTGTTGTGCTCTACCTGATGCTTCCTGCTGCAGCAGAATAGCATGCTCGATGACTCTGGTAAGGTAATTAAAGAAATCGGTAGAGGCAACGATTGCAGAATGAGGTGTTTTTGCTGAGTGAGAGAGAAGGGCGTTTGATGGTATATTCCGGAATATGGCCGAGTCTATGAGCGTCAATTGGTAGGCGATGAGGACGGGCGGAAACTGCAGGATGGTCGGCACAGCGGTGGCGGAGATGTGTATACTGTGAACTCGGTTGAGGGTAGACTTGGCGTCGGCAATGGTGATGGCTAGTTGATGTGGGCGATTGTTGTCTGCATCTTTTGTTTTCGGCTTTAATTTGATCTCTCGAAGAGTGCTTTCTAGGTCATCGAGTTTCTTTTGTAGAGCCTTGTATACAGAAGACAATGGTGCCTGAGGAATTGCAGGGACTAGGCGGACAGGATGAGCAGTGTTTGTTTGGCCAAGACTGTCACCACTGCTGGTCTGGACATGAACAAGTTTTCCAGGGTCAATAGCGTCCTGAGTGAGCATCATAATTTCATAATATTCATGAGCAGCCCGACTAGACTCGGATGACATTGGAGGGGCAACGAGGCCGGCGGTCTTTTTTGAGCCATCAGAGTGAGATGACATGGAGCCAGGGAGAGAGAGGAATGTTTTTACAGCAGTGAGTGGATTAGCAGATAAGGGAGAAGGTGGAATTGGAATATTTGATGTTGATGAGCGCCTGCAAGTTTGGATCCTCGGTCTCGTTCTCGGGTCCTTTTCTTTGTACACAGCAATATCTAAACTGAGTAATAAGATAGACTATTTCTCGAAAAAAAAAAAGAAAAAGAAAAACTAGCAATGCTTGTTTCGACTGCTTACCGTCATATTCTTCATCAAGATCCAGATCAAAATCCTCGTCATCTTCATCATCATCAGTTCCACGATCGTCGTCAGATACACCAGTAGTTATAGCGGCCGGTTGTAAACTTCTGAGTCTTAAGAGTGGGGCTGGTTTTTGGTAACGAGCACGAATTGTTTCGTTCGATGGCTGTTTTGGTCTCACAGGTAGAGGAGGCGCTTTCTCGACATAAGATTTTTGTTGAATGGTTTTAGGTTTTGGAGGGAGAGGCGGAGGATTCTTCATCTCAAATGGCTCTTCGACTAGTACTTTCTCGGGGGCACAAATTGGCCTGGTACGATATGCAATATCTTCTGCGTTCTGGAGACATGTTTTTGCTATAATGAACACTGATGATATATCTGCGGGAGAGTGTAGAGTATCTAAGAAGCCAATTGATAAGAGACCGTATCTGTAGACGAGAAACATAAATTTTTTTAAGGGCTGAATAATACTTGCAGTTGTGGTGAAAGGTAATTTTCTGAAGTTCAGTAATGACAGCCAGTAGGGCTTTTAGGTTTAACTCATAGGAACTCTAATATAATTAAAAACTGGTTATCATTTTATATATTTATATTTGTATATTTTTGGTTCTCCTGTTTGCTTGTCAAGAGTTGGTTTGTTTAATTTGGATCTCCCTTCTTCTTTATAGATATTTATATTGGCCATCAACCAATGATATATGTATAGATATATAGCCATATTATGAACCTCGAGACACGCGCTTATTCTAGAATACTTTGAAGAAAAGTTAAATCACCTGTAGATTTCCACAACCGAGACGATCAGCTGCTTCGCAGAGAATGGAATGAATGCTGTCCATGACCAGTTTTATATTGGCATGTCAAATGGAATGACTAGCAGACAATCTTGATGACAAACAGACAAATAAAAAAAAGTAAAAGCAAAAGTAAAAGAAAGAGAAAGAGAAAGAGAGAGAGAAGGGTGAGGTGAGACAAGAATAATGATGATGATAATAATAATAATAATAGTAATAGTAATATAAAGAGAGATAGAGACGGCTTGAATGTGAAAGGGGTGGGGGTGAGGTTCAGTTCAGTTCAGACTGGAATAGAAGCAATGTAAGATCGTCGCAAACTAGCAATGATTATGTGCAGCGTCATCCTTGGCAGTCTTTTGCCCATCTCTCTCTTTCTCCCCTCCCTCTTCTAGTTGGGACCCATCTAACACGCCCCTCCCCCTTTATATTTATATTTATATTTATATTTATATTTATATATGTATGTATATGTGTATGTGTATGTTTTTATGTGTGTGGCCGGATCAGAAACAAAAGGAGTGTTTTCGTAAGGGGCGTACAAACAAGGGGGATCGGGTCTGTTTGTCTTGTTTGACAATCTCTATTTTAGCATTTAACATTCAATTTGAGATCTTGTCCACATCAATTCGAGATCCAGAAGGAGCAGCAACTCCACCAGTCATTAGAATTAAGCGATATTTATATATTGAACGATGAAGTTCAAATACAAATACAAGTAGTATTTTACATGGCAAACCAATTGTGTTTTTTTTTTAAAAAAAAATTAGCAGTAAGTATACTTGTCTTTAACCTTTTTGTAGTGCGCATATTAATATACCATAAAATCGGGCATCTGTTCGTAAACACATTCTCTTTGGGTAATCCCGCGGCATAGGAAGCAGCCTGAGCCAAAAAATAAATAAATAAATTACCATTTCTCTGAGGGCTTGGCTTGTGAGATGACATCAGATAGAATTGAATAACTACGCAGTTCTACAAACCCTTTTACTTCTTCACTTCTTCACTCATTCACTTACTTACAAGCCTAAGCTAGCCTAAGCTAGCCTAAGCTAAGCTAAGCTAGGATAGCCTAAGCTAGGATAGGATAGGTCAAGGCAAGGTAAGGTAAGGCAAGGCAAGGCAAGGCAAGGCAAGGCAAGGCAAGGCAAGGCAGGGCAGGGCAGGGCAGGGCAGGGCAGCTATGAAAATTTCATCATGCGTTGTCTGTCAAGGGTTTATTCTCCTTCGCCACTGAAACATGAATATATAAAATATAAAAAAAGGGAATAGAGTATCTGTTTGAACTTTTTGGATCAAATCAATTGAAACCGATAGTCTTTCAAAAATGACTCTTTTTATGATTAAACCGGCTATGATTCGCATAGTTTACTAAATATTTAGAATACAAAGCCATGACTCCACACACCTTGTTAATTACCGCATTACTTCTTCACACTACTATCTGGCATGAGCACAACTTTACATATAAAGGACATTAGCTTGTAAATGTGGAGAATCACCCCCTTTTTTTTATGGTATTCATTTATCAAAGTGTTGTTGTTGTATCCTGCGATTCTCGCGTGTCAGTTCTGTAAAGATCTTCAAGGTAGACAATAAAGAGCTTTCTAGTACCAATTATAATGTGCATCGTTGTGCATTGACGAAACAAATGTCTACCATGGCCTATCTGCCCGTTGCCTAGTAAACCTACCTTGATCGTCAATCAGATTTCAGCATATTCCAAAACACTTCAAACCCATGCATTAGAGTCAGTAATGTTCTTTGTCCCCCCCTTTTTTTTATATTTATATTTATATTTATATTTATATTTATATTTGTATTTATATATATATATCCTATCCATCTTCTGGTAACCTCCTTGGACTTGGCTCTGCTGTTTCCCTTTTATCATTCCACGCACAAGCACTCGCATATTGCCTCCCAGATCTTTCTCTTTTTCTTTCTCTCTCTCTTTCTATTTTGCTGTTTTTTTTGCTTCTATCTATCTTTATAACCTTTACTTTCTTTCTTGAATAGTTACTTCTTAACCTCTCTAGCTTGATCTGGCCTGACAAGACTTTATCCGACCTAAGCTAGCTAGCTAGATCTGACTTGACTTGATTCGAGAGACCTCTTGCCAAAGTTAACTTTTTTTTTTGAGGATTAGACCGTTCTACTCGACTCAACATTAGGCACCTATACACGTACACCTTATACACCATTATACCATCACGCACTTGACAACATCTAAATATCCAAAAACCAGAAAATCAGAAAACCAAACCAAAAAAAAAAGAGAGACCGAGGCTGATATCATCTTCTATCCAATATACACCTTTTATACATCAATGCCCTCAGGTATACCCCTGATATCTACTGTCCAGTCTCAGCCTTCTTTACTCGCGCCTTCTGAAGGCCAAGATGTAAATACTCCACACACTCCACAAACAACACTTCATCCCAACGAAGCATCCTCTAGTCTCTACTCACCGCGCCCATCTTTTCATTCCACACCAAACACACCCCTCTCGCCCCTGTTACCTCTACCGACTCCCTCTCGTTCGACCTCCCTTTCTCAACAAACCAAAGACCACCACAACTACTCCAACCCAGAAAACATCTCCATTGATAATCAAGTACCGATTTCTATGGATCCAAGTAGCCTCGGTGCACTTCCTGTTCAGCACACAACCTGGTGGCAGAGGTTTATTGATGCAGAAGACGTCTGGACAGACTCTCCCTCATTCCATCAGCACATTGAACATTTAGAAACAGGTCTCTCAAAGTACATTGCATGGCTAGAGATGATTGAACGATGCCGTCAGCTTGACATTGGTAGGCACAAGAAAAAGAAAAAGAAAAAGAAGAAAAAGACAAAGACAAAGTTCCCTTTTGTTGTATTCAGTGACCTTTCTTCTTCTTCTTTTTTGATTTTTTGATTTTTATTTTGATTATTTTTTTACTGCAAATTTACGATTAACTGGTAATTTATTTTTTATTTTATTTTATTTTATTTTATTTTATTTAATTTAATTTTTTTAAAAAAAAAAAAAAATCCCTCTATTTTTGGGTGTAATTGTGCCACACATATGCAGTGTACACCCAGTCCGTCAGACAGCTCGCTAGTCACACAAATGCTATCCTTTATGGATCTTCGCCTGTTGAAGGTAAAGTTCTGACTGGTGACAGAATCGAGATGCTAACATTAGCGTATCACAACTAAGCTCCTGAGCAGTGCAAGGTCGCCAAGGAAGTGCATTGGAGTCAAGACGAAGAACTAATTGAAGCTATTCTTTGCAAGTACCAAGCTACACAACCTAAAATAAAATAAAATAAAATAAAATAGCACTCTAATTTATGATTTGAATGACTTGTATATTAGCCCCCCTCAAACTACACGCTACTAGTATCACAGAAGCCATTTCAGTAAGCAGATTGATTTCATAAGAAATATAATTTGTGCGTGGATGAATGAATGAGAAATCTAATCGACCATTATTCTCGGATCATCCGACTTTAGCGATTTCAAAGTGCTCTTACGGATGCACGGGAGAAACATGAGCAACATGCTGGTTGCTACTGTGCAGTGCAAAAGGCACGAACACCATCCACTAAGCCTATTCCGTGTGTAAATATCACCCTATCTTTTTTTTTGCACCCCTTAATTATTATTTTATTTTATTTTTCTTATTCGGATTCACGCCCAATTATTTTAGTCATTAAAAAAAAATTGCATACATCTTACTGATTACAGGACACGACATCCTCGCTCTACACTGCAAAACGGGTCTTGTGTGAGCTTTCAATGGACTATATAACTATTCTTAATGCGCTTGTCAAGAAGACCCGTGCATTAGTTAAAGAAAAGGCAAAAAATAATAATAATAATTCGATTCAATCTTTAGCAGTCTTTATTGATATCCATTTTGTTTTAAATATCTTTAGATCGCAAGTATTCTTCACTGTTTAGAAGACGAAAAAAGAGCAAGTCTCGGTTATTTAAAAGCAGTATTGATTTCACTGGATGAAGCTGACGAAGAGGATTTGCTGGTACCAAGTCTGGGTGTCGATCTGACGACGTGCAACATTTCGTCTAGACCAGTCAGTCCAGCAGATTCTTCCTGTTCGAACCAAGTCTCTATAGAAGATGAAGATGAGGTAAGATAGATATATCGAAGAACTTTCTATTGCTTATACTGGACTTCTATGGATTACTTATTATTATCTATTCTTTTTTCTCCCATCTTTTATTTCTCTTACTTCCCCCCCCCTTTTTTTTTTCTTCTTCTTCTTCTTTGCACTAGTTTGGAGATCATATGACCTTTTACATACAAGAGAAACTTGCAATGTATAAAGAAACATTAAAACAGCCCCCTGCAAATGCCGCACATAATACGAACGCAACAACCAGTCGCGCACGGCCCTCCTCACCCTCCTCACTGATCTCGATCCCATTTCTCAACAAGCCTCGTGTGGTAGTAAGCTGCCAATCTCTTTTTATTTTATGATTTTTATTGGGAAAAAAATAGAAAGGGAAAAAGATGCTATGGCCTAATAATGACTGGCATGATAACTAAGAGAAAAGAATTTAGCAACGGTACAGTAGTCTAGATTCAATTATCGTCAAACCTCCACCATCTACAATCACAATGAGCTGCGGAACAGCCAAAGGGCATTTGTTCTTGAAAAGAAGAAGCTGTGGAAATTCTGCGCCTGTGTGGGCAAGGTAAATCTTTTTTTTTTTGGTTGATGTCAAAAACGCTTCGAGAATAATTAATGTTTACATATAAAAAAAAACCTAGACTATATTTCTTTATCCAAAAAGATACAGGCCTTCTAATGCAGCAACCATTGAAGGAGGTGAGTGGGAGTGAGAAGAAAGGGTGGAGGTGGGGGAGGGGGGTTATTTATTAAATAGTCACGCTATAACACCTTCAGTCTAGGATGCCTTTTCTGTTATCAACCTAAAATATACTACTGTCCGACCAGCAGAAAACGAGAAGAGAGACTATGTGATTCAATTGACTTCGATATCTAAAGACATGTAAAAAAAAACAAAAAGCAAAATGATTTTCTCTTTCTTATACACAAAATATACTTCTTCTTTTTTGTTTGTGCCCATTCTTTTGGCTGATCCATAATTACAGTGAATTACTCTTGCAACCAGAGACTCTCATGGAGTACACCAGCTGGTTCGGTGCCCTATCTTCATGGTCTGCAGGGAATCTGACAGCGCCCTTGGAATACAATTCAGCTAAACCGGCCTTAAAGGCACGATGTAGTGCAGTATGTCAAATACAATCTGCATGGACTGTACCAAAAACAAACTGACCCTAATCTAGCCTAACTTACCCAAACCTAACCTAACCTAACCTAACCAATCTTTCTTTTATTCTTAAACAGACACCATCTCCACGAGGAAGCAGCAACAATGGGAGATTATTCTTGACAAAAAGACCAAGTTTCTCTGCAGCCAGTATTATGATGGAGAACACCCTATTCAAATCATCAGAATCGGTAAGATAGAAAGACACCTTTTACTCTATTTGTCGTTACAAGATTATAGCCATTCAAACTCACATTGCATTCACTTTGTTCTACTCTCCCTAATTCAATTCAATTCAATTCAATTTCGAAATAATAATAATAATAATAATGTTTATAACAAAATCTTTATCCGTACCTTTATTGCCATACCAAGTTTAACAGCATTGGTAACAGTAGTATAAGTGGAAGCAATAGTATAAACACAATCTATACACAAGCAAAGTCATTCCAAGACCCACCTTCTTCATACGATACAGGAAATGTACCTAGAGTTATTCGATCCACCCCGATATTTATGCGAGGTAAGGCGATTCATTGGCGAGTATAAAATCACCCATTCTCCCTCTCCCTCTTCTTTTTATGTATCTGTTCTTCTTCTCTGCCTGATCGCTGAAAAAAAAAGACCAACTTTTATTTTTGGTATAGAGCCCTGTAGTTCGAAAAACTCTGGTAGTTCATCAAATAACAATCCAAAGACAGGCGGATGGTGTGAGCTCCAGGCTGTTTTGATATCTGATGGTGTTCTTCAAATCAAAAGCAAGGATATAGTAAGCCAAACTAAAAATGATCTTGAACAAAAAAAAATATGTATATAAAATAATATGAATTTTGTAGCTAGGAGAAGAAACGTTTAGCCAAAGACACCATCATTCAATTCATCTCGGGTTTATCCAACGGCACCAAATCTATATTCTGTCTGAAACAGTCTATACCCGATCCAATTGCTTTGCCATCTTTATCTCGCCTCTTGAGATGATACACATTTCAGTCAGCACCCCCCAAGAGCGAGACCAGTGGATTGTACTCCTCAAATTCTTTTGTGTTCCTGATATAGTCTGTAGTACACGTCCATCGACTGACACACTCGGATCCGCTTCTGCCTCAGCAATCGCCATGTCGTCCTACACCCACCCTGCCGAAGCATTCTCTCACCGCTATGGGCGTACTCTTTCGATTAGCATACAGGAAGGAAAGAATATTCACATGAATAGTAAAGGCTTGGAATGCAGCGAGCTGTACTGCGACCTCTTAGTAGACAATGAAAAGAGAGGGGTGACAGGAAAACTCAAAAAGACACCCACTCCATTTTGGCGCGAAAACTTTGTATTCACGTAAGAAACAAACAAACAAACAAAGCAATAACTTTATTCATTTCTGTATTACAGAATATAATTTTTCTTTTCTTTTAATTTTCTTGCAAAACTTTAACCCCTCCTTATATTTTCTTATATAGAGACGTACCTATCATAAGACAAGGTATTACGGTCAACATTATGAGTCGCAACAGTAAGAACGAACGAGAGACAAGAATAGGTACAATCAAGCAAAGAAAAAAAAATATACTGGAATCTTATGTCTGTCAAGATAAATACTCAAAAATAAAAGAAAATAAAAAAAAAATAAAAAACTATCAAAATCATCATCATATATATATATATATATATATATATATATTTCAGGCTCTATTTTCATTCCTTCTGACCAGATTGGGATTTGTAATACAAATGAAGTCTGGTACGATATCCGAAAACAAAGTCGACACCGTACATTTGCCTCACTGGCCAGTCTAGGCTATGCTCAATCCTACGCATCTGCCGGAGAACTCAAGGTTGGAACAAGATTAGATGAACAAATAGTCTTGCCGTTCTGTCAATACAACGAGCTAGTCGAGGTGAGTTTTTTTTTGTTGTTGTTATTATTTTAATCAAAAAATAAAAATATTACCTCCAACTTACTTAAACTTTCTATTTGTTTCGTAGTTCCTAAAAGAGTTCCATAACGACTCAGTATATGAAATTGCCCGCAAAAATTCGGATCTCGAAGGGGTCACGACCACGCTAGTTAGAATTTATGAAGGTCTTGGACTCAGCGTTCCTTGGATAAAGTCACTTATTGATTATGAAGTATCGACTATGAGTTCTGGTAAGCACCCTCAGCAGCAACATCAATACCAACCATGGGCACTAATATTTATATATGCAATTAGACGATGCAAACATCTTGTTTAGGTACTCGAGTTAAATAATCTACACTCACATAGTCAATAGCCTGCTAAAGTACTACTGCTTTAATCGTTTTTTTTATTTCTTTCTTTTATATAGAGGAAACTCCTTACTTACAAAGGTGATTGATGTCTATATGAAGATGGTCGGAAAAAGTTATCTAGAGGAGGCGATAGGCAGTATTATACTTTCGATCTGCAGTTCCAGGGTGTGCATAGAGGTAATTTATAAGATCTTCATAATAATATTATTATTATTATATACTTGAGAGGGGTATTCATTATTTTTTATAGGTTGATATTTCCAAAATTGATAAAAAGGAAGACATCACCCAGAATTGTGAAAAACTTGCTCGTTATGTCCAACTATTGTGGACAAGTATCGAGGCTACAAAATTAAAGTGTCCAGAGTAAGTCTTCAATGAGCCATCTTTAGTATTTTTATTAGTATTTTAATTGAGAGACAATAATCTAATAAACATATATGTATATTAGAGAGCTACGACAAATCTTCTCCCACTTGCAGTCGGTAATCATTAAGAAATTCCAGCTGGATACCAATCCAGATAGTCCTAAACAAGCAGCCCGTTACACATGTGTGAGGTAAAAGAGAGAAAAATAGAGTATAATTGGGGTCTGTTGATACACATTAGACCTCTTTATTGACTTTTACAATCTGCAGTGGATTCTTATTCTTAAGGCTGATATGTCCAGCTATTGTATCTCCAAAGTTATTTGGCATTGTTAAAGGTGAGATATAATTGACAAGACTTGATACAATAATAACTTTACCTTCCATAGACTATCCCGATTTAAAGACAAGTCGCACCTTGACACTGCTAGCAAAATGTCTGATGAACTTGGCCAACTTGGTAGATCCAAGTTCGAAAGAGCCCTGGATGAAACATCTAAATCAATTTAGTCAGGTAATAATAGACTCAAAGCTAACCAAAAGATTATTACTGACTTGTATCTTAGAACAATACTCGAGGCTTTATGGACTTTATCAATTTTATATCGGTAATCCAATCAGCTTCTTTATTTTCTTTTTATAAATCATCTCTACTCACTATCTCAAGTATGTATTAGAAGGCGCAACCAGCATCTAATCGTCCCAGTCTACCACCTTCCTGGGACAATATCCTTCACGACCTACCTGATCAATTACAATTAGAAAAACCTGTTTATATGACACTCCAAGATATGAGCATGCCACCATACTATGTGAACCTTCCGCTTGAACTCTCCCAGTTCTCTACATCATTAATTAATGGAAGTCACCACTATGCAACCATTCAGCACGGAAAATCCTTAAAACAACTGTTGCAGATATGCCAGGGAATTGCTTCCGTACAGCAAGAGATACATATATCATCAAAAACTGCCTCTAGTTTTCAGAGTCGCTCGAGCGTAGGTGACAATGTCAGTGGGCCCGAGTGTGTTGTTAACTGGGGTATTCCATCCTCCCCTTCTTCCGCGTCAATGAACGACATTAATACCTATAATGCTGCTGCTAGATCACCTTGTCACTCAATTGATTATTACAGGGCTACAGAATAAAGATAACTGTGATTTATAGAATAGGGTTGCAACATCACAAATATCATTGGATTTCTTTTTGGGTTTTTTTTTTGCTTCAAACCTTTAAATTGTGTAAACTGATTTATAACATAACATAATATAATTTATTTATTTATTCGTAAAGAGTATTTCTCGGTTAAGCAGCTTAATGTTCCTTCATAGTCTAAATACTTCTTTTAAAACAAACTTTGATTTCTAAGCTAAATGATATATTCTTTAATAATATTAATAATAGAAGATAAGGTCCTGCTGCTATAAAAGAAGCCAGCGATTCTTAATTGTACGAATAATGTTATAGTGATAAATGTACAGAAAGACAATAGAAAAAGTATATTGGTTGTTTAAATGAAAAAAAAAACTCTTTATTTTTTTTATTTATTCTACCATAGAACGGAGATAGATTGTTCTCCATAAAAGTAAAGGGTCAAGTAAGTAACTTTTACTCATAGAGTCCCTCCTCCCCCTTTAGAATCGCCTCTGAAATCATCCTCGAAATCGCCCTGAATTTTTTCTTTCTTTCTTTCTCTCTCTCCCATAGTGTTAGTACTCACAAACAGAAATATTAGATGATAGAATTCTATACAAAAAATTTAGTATTCTGATAAATCCAAATGAAGGAGGGTTACCAGGTTCGATCAGAATCTCAAGAATATGCTATTTCAAAGAGTCGCACGCAATTCTTGATTTTCTTTAATACCTGTAAAGAAGTATATTTATAAATATTTATTTATACAAAAGAGAAAAGTTAAAGGAAAATATTTAGGTAATATTATATATATATATATATATCTTTCTAAAACAAACCATTTACATGCACTGTCCACTACCTTTATTAAACAAGAAATCAATCGCGGATTAAATATTAAGGAAAAAATCAAAGTACTGATTGCCATTGTACTGTACTGCACTGTACTGCACTGTACTGCACTGTACTGCACTGCACTGTATTTCTATACCCGGTTTGGGTGTAACATGTCTATTCAATTGTTCAACCAAGTCAAATTGATAGACACCAACCATTTTAGGTGCGGAATAAATAAAGATATATATATATATATATATATAAAGCGAGATTTGCGAGGACATCAATAAGGAGTATGGACTGTTAAACATGAACCATGGGTAAAATAAAAAAAAAAGTAGTTATTTATTTATTTATTTATTTATTTTGCTTTCTTATATTATATGTATATATAGTGTTAAATACTTTCTTATTGTTTTAAAGGTACATAGATACATACATATATTAAATATCTTTATTTAATTATTTAGTCTACTATGGTTGGCATGTCTGCCGTACAATATACCACATTTAGACCAAGGAAGGAAAGGTTTATTAGGCAATTTACTATATAAAAGCCGTACACCAGATATTAGCAAATTTATTAATTAATATTTTATTAAATAGATAAATAATATAATATAATATAAAAAAATAGTAAGCTGTACTTATAATATACGCATGTACAAAAGTAAAGTAATATTTTCTTTAGAATATATCAATCCAACATATATGAGACACTAGTTTGTGAATAAAACTAGTTAAATGCAGTTACAGGTACTCGGATTAATCGGTATTTTTTTTTAAATAATAATAATAATAATAATGTAACTATGGTCAGTAGTGAGTCTTTAAATCATTAAAGAAAATATCATGCGTTGGTTACAGAACAGGCAGGGTACATGGGTCTGGGCGAAAGATTTATTTCCTTAAATTGAACCCCAAAACGACCTACTTTCGATAAGACTAGTTGGGCTAAAAGGTACTCCATTCATTATTTATTACATGTAACCCGTCATTTAATGCGGTACTACTCTGATGAGATAAACAGTAAAATATGTTATAATTCTTGGAATACCATACAAAAGTCCAGTAAAGCAAAATAACCAAAACGATATTTGTGATTTAAATTATTATTATTATTATTATTTCAAGAATACAAACTCCAAACTAATTGATATTTTACATATACCATAGAATGGCTAGTTTTATTTTTTATTTATTTATCTGACAATAATCTAGTAAGCGTGATTATGATTATTATAGCGACCATCAATGGCATCTTGCTGGTTAAGATCGCCACCATCCACACGAGCAAGCTGTGGGACAGGTGTGGTCACTGCAATACCATAGCTGTGCTGACTTGAGGTTGAAGATCCAGCCGAACGACGGGAGCCCCATGAACGAAGCGAAGAAGCGTTACTGGCAGCACGACGGATGCTACCAAAAACCGATCTCACAGCTCCTTGACCACCTGCGCCGTTATTCTGAGATGAACTTGAAGGACTACGTTTCGGCAGCTTTGCAACAGCTCCAGCTACAGCAGCCATAAAGGACTGAGGGCGCCAGCGTGTATTGACTTCTCCTTCTGTACCGGAGCTTCCCATGCTACGTTCGTGTTTCTCCAGATCAGACTCTTGACGGGCATTTTGACGGCGGCGTGTAATAAACATTCCTGCAAGGCCAGCAGCAGCTACACAGCCTACGACTGCACCAATCGAGATACCAATCGTCTTGTTTTCACGTTGAGCGTCCACCGCTTCAGAGTTGACACTCTGGGATACAACAGCGTTGTCAGCGCCATCAGCATTGGGATCAGTAGCAGAAGGTTTGGCTGAAGAAGCTGCCTCGGCTTCGTTATCACTACCACTATCGTTATCACTATCATTATCGCCATCATCGTAGGAATCGCCATCATCGTAGGAATCGCTGTCATCGCTACCATCGCTGTCAGAGTCACTGTTATCACTGTTGTCATTATTTCTGTCTTCAGAACTATAAGAAGATTCCACACTATTATCGGTGTTGGCAACTTTAGAATTGGTTTCAGGAATAGTGGTTGGTACAGAAATGGGTATAATAGCAGCATATGTAGTATGTGTGGCGCTAGCAGTAGTATGAGGAGTTGAAACAGTTGTTTTAGCCGTAGTGGTATGCTTCTTTGTAGTGTGTTTTGTGGTTGTAGTGGGCTTCTTGGTGGTAGTATGCTTCTTGGTGGTGGTATGCTTCTTGGTGGTGGTATGCTTCTTGGTGGTGGTGTGTTTCTTGGTGGTGGTGTGTTTCTTGGTGGTGGTGGTGGTGGTGGTGGTGTGCTTTGTAGTAGTGGGTTTCTTGGTAGCATTCTTCTTGGCTGAAGTGATGTGTTTCTTGATCGAAGTAGTACTCTTTGCAACTGCATCCTTTGTGACGGTGGATGTCTTTTTTGTCATTGTGTAATGCTTCTTGACTGAAGATCCAACCTTCTTGGTCAAAGTGTGATGATGTTTCTTTGTGTGGGAGACAGGCTTAGTTGTTTGCTTGGATGCACTGTTATGGGTAGTAGTGTGGTGCTTCGAGGTAGTCTTTGTGGAAATGCAGAGAAAGGTGGTCGAGTTCTTCACGGTAAGGTACTTTGTAGTGCCATTGGTAAAGTTACAGTGTTGAGAATCATGATAAATTCTAAACTCTGTAGGGATAGCTCTATGTGAGGTCGATGTACTGGTGCTACTTTGTATGGTCGTCGGATTTGCACTCGAGTGGTGAGTTTGGGTCTTGTTGGTGATCACATACTCTGGTTCGACATCACTTTTAGTATTATCTTTTTCGTCGCGCCTTTCGAGGTACTGGTAGGAACGCGGAGAAATTCCACAAGAGAGACCTATGATAAACTGGTTAATTTCTGGTGTATATTTTTTCTGTCTATTTGCTCAAATAAACAATTAAGCCTGTAATATTAGCTAATTACCACTGCAGTTCAGGCTTTCATTCTGTACGTCGGTCAGAGCGTGGCCTATTGAAAGCAATTGAGGGTCAATTGGATGAATTGTTTTTTTTTTGCTTGTTTGTTAGACCTTACCTGAGATCACAAAGATCGACGCAATGAAGACGGCAAGAAACCAAGTTGGACATTTCATGATTTTGTCAGATTAAAATGTCGGTTAAGTCTATCTCCGAGGAGAGGAGGGTCTATTGTGATAGAGGTATAATGAAGGAAAGTGTGGGGCGGGAGGCAGGGATAGCTCAAGGAGAGGAAGAGGAAGAAGAGGCAACCAAGACAACAAATAGAACAGGGTTGGAATATGAAATAAGTGGTTGGAAAAAAGGTAATTAAGGCACGTTTAAAGAGGTTACACTCCATATATTATGCTTGTGACACCAATATTCAATATATCGTGAACCTTCCTAAAATACAATAAACCGCGCTCAGTTTCTGTTTTGGATGTTACATGATCTTCCTTCGCCGCTTCCATCATAGACTTGCCCGTCAACTACGGCTTCTTTTTGATTAGTGGTTAAACATGTGTTATTTTCGTTTGGCACACCGTCCCCTATTCTCAAGATACTGGTTCAAAAATGGTAAAAAGAGTAGAGGACAGCTATCAAACTATTGAGGGTACCACCAGTTAATACTTGGTTTTTCTATCTCATCTGTGCACAGGCAAAATCATCAAGTCTTCATTTACTTGTTTTAATTTAGTTTATTATAAGCTTCACTATATAAATATCATCAATTTTATACTTGTATTAATATTATAGTAAAGAAGCGTAAAATTAAACTAAATTAACTAAAAATACATATAGCCTATATATACACTTTCCTTTCGAAACAAATCCTTTTTCTGCTTTTCATTAGCTTTTCATTAGCTTTCTTGGCACCTTGATATATAAATGCATATAAATCCCAGTTTTCGGTTTATGGATTCAATTTCTCATTTTTTTTTATCCCAAGCATATACATATATAATTATTTGCTTGTAATCCAAGAAAATTACAGAAATTTTAAAATTACGGGTAATTAATCCTAACATTTCATCAAACGCTTCTTTACCACCGCTTCGATTTGTCACTGTTTTATTGCTGAGGATGTAATGTGTGGTATATTGCTTCTTTAGCTCGCATCACGTTAGCCTGCTAATGCATTAATCGTGACAAAAAAATAGATCCTCTCAACTCTTAGTAGCCAATGTATCCAGCTCATTCACAAAACGTGAGACATCGCTCAAAAGTCGCTTCTTTAAAATATCCCATCTTTCACCACACATGTCTGCTCGATGACGGTCCCCAAACTCTGGCTCAACCTCTTTCCATTTGCTTAAGATCGGAAGGCCAAGTACATGGTTTAACAATTTCTCATCATCTTCGATTGACCAGCCTTCTTCAGTGGTGCACATATCCTCATCTGACTCGTCTTCTAAAGGAAGTGATCTTGGTGTAGGAGGCAAGCATTCTGCTTCATCTTCTCCTAACATACTGTCCTTTCCCAGGCTTCTTGCACGACCCCGATTACTGTCATTACTATCAGACATCGGAGGTGAGTCCGGGCGCTGGCATGAGTTCTGAGGTAAGGTATCAAGTGAAGTCTACAACAGTCAAGATTCGTATGACTTAATACGTTTAACGGCCAAGCCCCTATAACAACCTAAAGCACCCATTTTAAGCTTATGATCTTACCTGGGTCACTGGCTCAGATCGAGAGCTAAGTAGCACATCTCGAACAAGAAGAGCTGTCGAGAATCCTTCATCAGTATACTTTCGAGGTCGTCCTCGCTTCCTTGATTGTTGTACAGTTATTTTTTCAGACTTGGGGCTGCTCTACAAAGACCCAACTGTCAGAATCAATTAAAGTATACCGAGACAATCAATGACGCGTCATCGCTGCAGACTTACATTTCCTGAAATATTGGCGGCCTTTCTTTTTTCTAGAGATCAATCGAGCATAAGGCTTGATGTTCATTCCATCAATCTCACTTACTTGGACCTGCATCCAGGATGGAAGCCATGCTCAGAACAGATGAATGAGGAGAACCCAACTTTTTAAAATTCTTGATGATGTTGTGTGTGGTAGATTTTGGAAGGCCAGATAGATTAGAGCACTCTCGTTCGGTTGCGCCTGCTTGATGAGCACCGATTACGAACCAGCAATCTGCCTCTGAGATTTCTTGTTTGGTCATCATTGTTATGTAAAGAGTTTAAGATAAAGAAGAAACTTAATATTTGCTCAGCAGAATAAAGAAATAATTAAATGGCTCCTTTACAAATAGGGTGCGAACTTGTGAATCTTTTTGTCCACCACCTTCGCCTCCCTTCCTCACTTCACCATAGGATGTGCATAAATCCAATCGGAGAAACAAAAAGGGGATGGTGCGCACAAGCCAAACCCAACACTAGGAAAACAGACGTCATTTTGTGAGCTTTTTTTTTTTTTTGCTTTTTATATCAATCCTAGCACTTTCAAAGTGGAGAATGTTTCATAAATCTGTATATATATGTCTCTTTTAGTGAATATTAATAAAATAAAGGAACTTGACTGCGATATAATTGTATATGATTAATGATGGAGCTCTTTAACATTATATAGATACATAAAACTAACCGTATTTACAGAGAGACTTTCTTGTTATGGTGTTCAAACGGCTCTAAATCATCTTCAACAGTGCCAGAGTTGTCGTGTTTGCGTCTGGGCTGAAGCATAGAAAAATGTTCAGGCAGGATTTCTTGGGGAGATTTGCCTTTTCGCCTGGAGTCATTGAAAACTATCTCAACATTGTTCCAGCATTCATTGTATATCAAATCCCGCTTGATCGCAGGGGACGTTTGAAGCGCAGTATTTTCTGTGCTCTGCATACTTGTCCGTGCCATGCATGCCTTTAACGCCATTTGGAGCATCTTTATACCGAACTGGAGATCATTAGGTTGAACACCATTCTTGCCTTTGACTTTTCCCAAAAACGGATTTCCGGCTATGAGTAAATGACAAGCATAAAGTGAGAAGAAGTAAAAAATTAATGGACAAATTAACCCCCCTGATCTAATATACAATTTGCTTAAAGTAATTGCGGGTTAAAATTCTTTTATATAGTCAAGGTCACACAAACTCCAATAATATTGTACGTAGATGGACTGGTCTGTGTAACCTTTGAGAATTAAGGATTTAGATAGAAATATTTACCTCTTCCTGCCGGTCGTCCAAAGATTTCAAGTGGAAGGTCAAGTACAATCTTTGGAATACACCCTCTAGCAACGTCGGCAAGTAAACTACAACACCGGTATATTTTCTTGTCAACCTTTATTGTTCCGTCAGTCACAGCTTTCTTTATCATCGAGTCCAAAATCAATATGTCACCATAAAGACATCGTGAAATGCATCCATGCATAATGAATAGTTTACTGATAGGCTCCGGATGCTCCCAGCAATACTGAGAGAGAATATCATGCTCTTCAAGTGTAGTAGCCAAGGCTAGAAAGTCATCAATCGATCTATTGCTCAACTCCTCTATGATAGACAAAAACATGGATCAGTTTACTTTATCTGTCGCTACAAATGTTATTTGACTTACTCTTTAAAATACCATCTGCCTTGCTTCTAATAAACTGCCCCCTTGAACTAGTTTCAAGATCCTTTCCTTTTTTGAAATTCTATACACAAAAACCAAACAAACATATTTAGTAAGACAATCTTGTCAATAAATGGATTTAATTAAAAACAAACAAGTGAACAACCTCAGATCCAGATGATTCTGGATGAATAGTTCTTTCCAATGATATTCTTTGCTTCTTGTAGAGGTTTCTATTGCTGAAATCCAAGGCTGATTCTGTTGGTACTTCCGGTATGTCAATCTTATCAAAATGCTTGGAAAGTCTGTGGACTACTCTGGTTACATCATTAAAGTCGAGTCTTGTAGATTTGAATAGATCTATTCCTTCCTAAGTTTTTTTTGTTGGATTAAATATATGCATAAATAATACCTGCCATTTCAAAACAAAAAAAAACAAAAAACAAAAAACAAAGAGTTGAATATCAAGTATATACCTTGTATTTTCCGTTATCCAAGTACCAAAACATATCTAGTTTTATCCGTGTATCATTTGGCAATGTGATAGCGGAAATAGCTTGTGGGTCTTTGGGAACCATCGAATTGGTATCATTTGAAATGTAATGGAGAGCACACTCCTTGATATGATCGTCAATATTTAATTTTGAAACAAACTCGATACGTTGAGCCGGTTGAAGAATGCTTTTAAAAACATTAAGACCTAAAATAAAATAAAACCAAGAATATTAGTATAAAGGCATATGTATATATTACAAAGTCGATTTAAACTTACATGAAGGATCAACATATCTTATTAATGTATAAATGTATAGTTCGTCTGATTCGTAAAGGTCCAACGCAATTGTTGGAGATACAGTCTCTATAACGGGTTCAGGAATAAAACCACCATTCGTTGGTGGCTCACGGGATACTGAATTTTCCCTACGCATAGGCATTCCTACAAAATATTTATTTGTTGTTAAGTCCAAAGGTATTCATCAGGATTTTTAATTGAATATGTCTTGGATTGAAGATTATTTTGTTTTAGTTTTTTGAGAAGAGGGTTTTCCTCAAATGAAAAAAAAAACCCTGGTTGACTCAAGAAGTAGCTTTTGTGTGTATGTTTGTATGCTTGTGTGTGCGTGTTTCTTAAATGTATATCTACATATATTAAAGGAACTTTGCTTCTCAATACCTTTATCAGAAGTAGGAACTGCTGGTATATTTGTACTTGTATTTTCCGAGAGATGAGGTTTATGATATATGACATCGTCCGGAAGGTCGTTTTCATATAATGAAACAGAGTTTCTGGACACATCTTCAACTGAAGAAGGTTCTATACCAGGGGTATCCACAGAGCTATTGCCATAATTACACCCCTCCAGTACGTTGCTGGCGGTCTCGTGGGACAAACCTTTGTCAATCGTAGGACTTTCAACAGGAACAAGAAGTTCAAGATTTCTCGATGAGCCAATAGTCTTGTCATACGAAGGATCGCCCGAATTGCTTAATAGTTTATCCAGATTAGATTCAGTAGTGCCGACACTCTCTGAAATATTTTCTTGAATGAGATCTAGATAAGGTTCTGTTGGATTAGACTTTTTGGAACTTGTTGGTCCTTGGGTATATTCCTTAATTTCATTGTTTGGCATGTATTGAATCTCTTTCGTTCGGTCGTTGAGTGAACTTTTAGATACTCTATCATCAACATCAATAGGTACAGTAGGGTCCTTTTCAGCAGTGATTGAACGGCTATCTGAAACGTCTTCAGTATCGAGTATATCCAAGCTCTTTAATGAGTCACTTGGTTGCTCTTCAGCTGTATAATTGATAACACCAAATTTCTCAACAGACTTTTCCTCAGTAACTGTTGAATGCCTATTTGAAGGCCCATCATGATCAACTTTGTACACAATTTTCGATGGATCATTTCGTATTTCTTCAAATGTTTTGTCGGTAATAGTTATATGCTCACTAGGCTTTTTTTCAACAACCCTTGGGCGGCTATCTGAGTATTCATCGTGATCACGTACGCACAACATATTCAACCGGTCACTGGGTAGCTTAAGACTGGCAATATATTCTTCTGTGGCTGTGTATTCAATTTCATCTACTTCCATATCAGCCGCATCAAAATTATCTTCACCATCATTAGAAGGCAGGGGTTTGGCAAGCTGATTGGGATCTTGAGAACACTTTACATGAGAATATCTACTAATACTAGTCAATCCAATCTCCACATAACAGTTTTCTGAAACTTTTGAAATAGTTGAATTGCAAGAATATTCTTCCGTCTGATCCTCAGTGTGTATGCTATCTTCTTGATTCTCGGGAAGAACGATTCCGTCAGTACATTCTTTGAGTATCGACAAAGGACTTATTTCGTCTTCCATCTCTTTTTGCTGTATTGGACTATCCAAATCAGTGTCAATATCACATTCGTCTTGGTGTATAGAAGCTATTGTCTGTTCTTGGGCTGGTATATCACAAAAGTTGATTTGGGATTCATGCTCGGCTATCTCTTTTTGACTCTTCAAAATACTATAATCCTCAGTAACATCTTTCGCTAAATCATCCATTACACTTTTGGAAACTGAGCTGGATATAGATTCTGTATCTTCAGTCGTTTCGTCGAAGCCTTCTTTTTCATTTTTGGTAGAATTTGACTTGATAGTAGTTCGATTATCTTGGGTATCATTCTGGATTTGTAAACTAAGACTAGTGAGTAGAGATATATCGCTTTCTTTATCAAGGACTGTATCGTGGTAAGGGGTAGATGTTGAAATTGGTATTTCAGAAGTATATGATGATTCTTTCTCTGGCTTAGAGATCTCGCTGATCATATCTTCCATATGTGTTGGTTCTGGCGAGTCGTCTTGAATCTCGTGTGTTTCAAATACATCTTCTGAAGTATATCCAGTTTCCGAGATCCGAGATTCTGTAGGAATAGGCAGGTACGTTATTCTGTCCAAAAAGAGAATCATACACCCTGATGCATCATCGTTAATCTTTATATCCTAGTAATAGTAAGTTTAAAGATACAATCGATATAAAAAATGACTTTAGACATACTTGGATCATGTCATTAAGACCATTACAGGCTACTATATGAGACAAAGTACGGGTGCACGTTTTCTCAGTAAATTTCCAACTGCTTATTTCAATTAAGTTCTTGTTATCGTGTCCTTGAAACACAGCCGTAACAATGTAATGATCATCCTCTAGAATACAATGCTTTTAGCAACCATTGTTCTTATTGTTGATCTCATTTGTTTATCAATTTTTCACCTGAAGCTAAGAAAAGTTTTGCAATAGTTGATGAATTCTTCATGATATCTGAAGGCCATAGGTACTTCACTAGCCTTGTTAATCCATTTCCTAGCACTTGAATGATAACAACGTACGTCTTGCTACAATGATTGATAAGATATCCAGTAACAAAAGAAAATGCACTCTTTTCTGAAGGAGCATGATTTACCTTTTTCGTCTTCCAAAATTTTTGTTTGAATCCTGACCCATGGAAATTATCGACCTGACATTCTGACTTAAGCGTATTCCAGAAAGATGAGTAATAGGTTCTAATGATTTGTATGTTGTTTAGTACCATAAAGCTTAATAAAGTCATAAATGAATTTCTCTCACCATTACGGTATAAAACAAAATCCCCAATTGGTGTAACCGGAACTGACTGCATATTATTCTTATCGTGAACCTTGATCCGATATATACGAGCAAACCCTTTGGACGATCCAAATATAATTCGAGGATCATTGCGAATGAGTCTATTATCCCAGGGTTCTTGTGGGATAGTATACATTGCTGAAATAGGGTCATTTGTGTGTGACATGTGTACAGCAATGGTTTTCTATAAATGTCGTTATGATTACCTCATGCTGTAAATCCAATTATTTATCACTTCACTTACAGCTAAAATGTGCTTTTCACCAAGCTTTAAGAGTGCAAGTATTGCACTCCCATCGAATTTTCCAAGAGTTAGTATATGTCTTGGACATTCCTTGTACTTTGATTTTGGAGGCAACATGTTGGTCTGGAAAATTGGCAAATTAGATTTGGTACAGATTATATTTGATTATATTATTTGTTTACCATATCACAAGGTAACCGTGAAACTGCTGCTGTTGAAATTGGTCCCTCAATAGGATAGTCGAATAGAACCAGCAATGTATTTCTGACGAAAATATTATGCCAAAAAACATAGTAGCCTGCTTCGTTTTTAGCAGACGCGACTATAATAAGGACTGGGGTATTTTGACATGTGCAGCTAAAAACATAATCAATGGATAACTGCGGCAAAAAAAAAGAAGTAAGACAGGGACCATTTTTATGTTTTCTATACAATCAGTGTATTGATAAAGGCCACTTGCCTTGATCTTCTTTGAAATTATTGAAGAAAGCTCGGCTGATCTAAGTGTGGTGTGGATCTGCTCATCACATGGTGATGTGAACCTGATCTCCACTATTTGATCATCATATCGAAATATCAAGTCGGGATTATGGTCTGAGTCGTGGGATTGGCATGAGGATACAAAACCAGATGCTTTCGGGATCGTATTATTGAATGAGAGATTGCAAGTGTCGAAATGTTGTAAAGTGTTCATCATAAGAAAGTTGTATGTACCATGAATGACTCAGTTTTAGCTTTTAAATTATTCAAGAATTCCCGCTTATGATCGAGGTGCTTTTTTCTTTTCTTTTAAAATCACTTTCCGCATTTGTAGGCTAATTCCTGCAGTGTACACACACACATTATGAATATTTAGCTACCTACTTTTGTAGAGAATTTGTACTGAATGAAAGTTTGGTTTGTAGTGATATTAAATTGTTCAAAGAGCGTATCTGGCCAGGTAATAATAAGCCTTTTTTGATGATATTTCATTATCCTTATTAGCCCACAGTCTTTACCATTGTGTATAAATATTAATCGACTCAAGGAGACATTACCTTGATTAGGCTAGAACGAATAAAACTATATAGTTTAGAGCTTTGAATACAGCATCTGAATAACCGTTTACTTTCTAAATGATTCAAGATGTCTATGCAGCTCACAAATGTGCAAGAGCCTTAACCGTATATATCACTGTCTCAAATGATAGAAAGTATATTATAAATGTCCATGTTTTCAAGCAAAAACTATTTTTAATGCAGGCATGCAATGAGTTACATGTTTATAAGTATACACAGTGAACTTGAAAATGCAGTTTTTTTGCCATTATTAAACTCCCAAAATAATAATAGCCCTTTATATATGCAAATATATAGATAACACAATGAAAATACGATAAAATCTACTGCAAATACGGATACCAGTATTAGAGAAGCTACGGACATTCAGCACCCTACCAATCTGATGGTAAAGAAAGTACAGGAAACCATAGGATTGAATATATTCGGTTGTCTGCCAGTCATATAGTACATCATTTGATTAAAGCCAAGTATAAAAAAGAAAGTCTATTCATAATCTGATTAACACAGACAGATGAGCTCAATACATATATTACAAGAATATAATTTACTCACCTCCGTATCGGTCAAAGTATATTGTTTGGCTTTCGATAGCAACCCAGGTAAACCAAGATGTTAGTTTCAGAGTAGACTTTTTTTTATATTAAATGCATATTTTATTCGGGATGCTATTTGTGCTTGCTTTTTTTTTTTACTTTCTCCGTGAGTGTTCTTACAATATAAAGTGATAATCTGGCATTCAGAATCTTGTAATCTAAAGCGTTTGAATGAATGAAAGCTTAAACATCTTGGTTTTCTTTGGCATACTACATTACTACTTAGGTTCTCCAAGTATATCATAGTTCTCTCTTTTAACTATCATACCGCTCCTTTCAATACTATACGCATCTGATGAGTCATACTTTGCTACCTACTTTTGAACAGGAAGCTTTTTTAAACCCTGTAATTGACTGGTACTATTATTATCAAAGATACTATGGTCAAAAATTGGTAATTTAACATTATATACCAGCAGGTTTTGGATACTCTTATATTAACAAAGTTAGAAAATATAAAAAAAAATAGGTTCTATCTCTTTGAGAATTGGAAGCACAAGGTGTATGCATGACACCTTATTTGTAACTTACCGTATATCTCCTTATATAACAGCGAATAAATATTTGGCTAAAAACATATAGTTCTGTATATAGTTACTTTCAGTACACAAGGCGCCTGGTTTTAGTTTGAAATATATCTTGGCTGATTCACGTCCGAAACGTTGGTTTTTGATTATCCTCTGAATATGTATAGAATGAGAGAATCTACCTGACTATATTCTTTTAGGCTCATTGGGAAGAACCATATAGCCCTTTTTCTTTACCCTAAAGATATACTAGGTTTACTTTTAGATATAATTGCTACACATCCTTTGTTCACAAGGCTCTATAATTTATTTAGACTATAGGCATATATCAAAGTATAATACTATTAATTAAAAGTTCAAATAATAGACGTTTACTACAAAAAATACCTTCTTCGGTTTATTAACTCTACACTCTAAACTCTACACTCTATGCTCTTAAATATTAGTTTTTTTTTGTTGTCTTGCATATTATGCTTAATATACACCGTAAACTTTTCTTTTTCTATATTTAATTTACCTAAATTCAAGCGATGTTTTCCCGTGTTTTAGTATGTGTATGTTTCTGTTTATAACTTTTAAGGGATATACTTATACTAGGGCTATTCTGGGTATGCTTGTTCTGTATTCTCCTTTTATTAGTTAATAATTTCAATAAAGTTATCTTGAAAAACTCAATTGATACAGCGTGTTCCGTATAATACATCACTCCTGTAATTGTTTGCGTGCCTTTGCATCTGATATATTCTTTCTTCTGGTGCAAAATAATAGGTGCTTTGAAAAACTTTATTTTGCAAATCAGCCATTTTTTTCTGAGTATAGGAGCGTGTAAATATATCTATAATAAAAAGGTCTTTCTTATAGCTCGCTCGGTCAATTAGATGCTTTAGTAAGATTGTTAAAATCCAATTAATATATAAAATGAGAAATTTAGATACATTGTCTTAAACATAAGTACATGGTAATATTCATTTAAGAACTTACTTATTATAATATGTAATTTTTCTTTAGTTTATTAGTAAGATAAATACTTGGAATCCATTGAATAAAAACCATTGATATACCTTTTATTAAAACACGGCTTTTAATGGGTTATATATCGTTTTAGGTCTATAATATCACAATATTTGTGGTTAACAAGGCTCATTCTATTAATGGAAACCATACTATATTTAAAAGGCGTTAAGCGTGGGACTTTGTTATGATTTATGTAAGTTACAATTTAAACGATTTGCTCTATTGATAACAATAACAATAAACAAACGGCTTATTTTATAGCTCTGACATAATTCAATATGTTGAAGCCTTTATAACTCCAACACGTCTATGAAAATTAAGCCTCGCCGCTTACCACCTTCGATTAGTTATAGAAATAAAGGTAGGAAAAGAATAGATATTATTGAAAGTAAAAAGATGAACATTTAATCATGAATATATTATAATCATACCCGAAAATTAAACACTGGAGTACCCTTCCTATTTATCTGTTTATGTAAATACAAGCGTCACTATTTTATTTGCATTACAAATAAATATGCATAATATGCTATAAATTTACCCTTGCATTAACTGAAATATATATTAGTTAATCATTTGTGTATAAATCTGAATATATAACTTTCTAATTTAGCCAATACTCGATCTAAGTAAAAGTCTAGATCTCTTATAAAGTGTTTCAATTATCAGCTCTGAAAAATAAGCACAAAAGATATATAACAGATATAAATTGGGCGATAAATAATAATGTATATTTGTATCCTCTGGGTACCGTACTTCTTGTCAGTAATAGCTTGATTCCTTTTCTTTTTTTTTAAAAAAAAACAACATTAATATATATATATATAACCCTGACTGTAACATAAAAAGCAACATATACATTATTAGTGCTTTTTGACTTCCCATTGGCGTAAATTAAGGACTTTTTCGTCTCATATATAATACATAATGTACGAAATTGAGATAGATATACTATATTATTATCTATTTTGTCAGTATAAATAACTATAGGCTGTAGTTTCAAAATTATAGAGATAAAGAGTGACGAGAGTAGCTGTCATTATATGTCTGTCTATCTCTGAGAACAAAAACAAAGTTACTTGTTAGAATCGGTTAAACACGTATCTGCAGATAATAAATAACAACACACGCCTCATAACCAAAAAAAAAAAACATTCGTACACACAACACACAGAAAACACAACTTTGTTTAGCTTGTGATTATTCTAAATTCCTGTTTATTCAATATATCCTCCTTTCAGTAAACAGAATTTCTCATGTTATGTTTGCATACATACATACCTGTTTTAATATATTTGCACGCATAAACGTTTGTGTTCTTGTTTGATTTATACAAGAGATATGCTTTTATACTTACATATATATATGTCATTATGTGTTGAGAACATCTGATATAATGGCTAATTTCCACAAGATAAATTGTAGCCTCTGATAATATTGATCATAGGATTTTTAAAAGCTATTATTAATATATTCCTCATTAGAAGAAATGTCTCTCGGGGATAAAACAAAACACTTACTAGACTTCTTTGATATTCAGTAAATTACTTTGGGTATATATCGTAATATAGTTGACCCAGCCTACTTTTGTGGTATAAAACTGAGAGCAACCAATATTATATCCCTCTGTTTTTAGATGCACAAATTAAAAATTTGTAAATATTTTTTTACCAAGTAATATAACTCTTTTATTCTTTTATATATATAAAAAGAAAGAACCAATATGTAAATACTCAATTATTACTTTGTTAAAAAAATCTTGTTATTTTTGGAGACTTGTTAATTACATCTCGCAAACCATACCTAGCTCGATATCCTGTATGAGAGCATATACTGTAATATACATTGACTAATCACTCTTTAAGTCTTCTTTACTATTTAAAAAGGCCCAAATCTTATTAGAAATAAATATAAGTATATTTCATTAAATTTATAGAGGTATTTCTTATATACTTTGATGCTAACTTTGTGCTTCTTAAAGAAAGATATATCTCTACTTCTGTCCGTAATTCTTGCTGATATACTTCTACGTGCTTTTATCTTGTTTAACTTTGATAAAAAAGGCTTTGCAATCAGCAATGAAACAAGTCTTGATTTACCTCAAATAATGTTTATTGATTCATGATAAAATCCTGTTTACTTGAAACTACATTATGTTATATGATTAAATTTTGGAAATAAATAGTATATAATAGCTCTAAATTCATGCACTCTATTTCTTTTACTATTATACTTAAAAATGGAAACTTCTTCTACCACCCACTATATTCTTATCACCAACGGAGAGTCGTATACAGGCCACGCTTTGACTTGGTATCTTGCAAATCAGCTAGAGCGTCAGCCTGGTCGTCTTCACAAGAAAAACTGGAAAGTTCGTGTGTTGTGCGAGAGTCTTAAGAACATGAAAAAATTGGAAGGCATGGGTATCGACATCAAGGTAAAAAAAAACCAATTGTTTAATAAAGCCATCTTTCAATATTCTCACATTTAAAAAAAATTGTATACTTATAGGAAGTTGACTACAGCAGTCAATTTGCTCTTAGGGATCATATGAAGAATGTCAAGTGTGCCCTATTTGTCCCAAACATGTCAGATCATTGTGTTCAGTATGGAATTAATGTCCTTGATGCTGCTGCAGAAGAGAAGCTCAAGTGCATTCAGATGATTTCTATGTAAGTTAATTTGAAAGTAGTTTTGTGTATATTTTTTATTTTAACAACCTACTCTCGAACAGGTGCTCATCAGAGCAGGCCAGCTATGAAAATACCGTCTTGGGTCAGTTTCGTCAATTGGAAGATCATCTTAGTAAAAAGTTTGCCTATGGAAGATGGTGTGTGTTCAGGCAAGTATTTTTTTTCATATACATATGTAATGAAAATAATCTAACACATTTTTTTATCATTTCAGAGTCCCGTTGCTTTACCAGCTAGCCTTTTTCTGGTCCGGAATGATCCAAGACAAGGGCAAGCTTGGTCTTCCGTTGAGTGACAATACTTCCTTCCCTGCAATTGATGTGCTTGACCTATGCGACGCTTGCGCGACACTTTTGCTTAGTCCTCGAAAACAAACCGAGAGCGATAACCAAGATGATGAGCCAGATATCCCCGATCAGGCCTTGAAGCGAATCTATCATCTCTCTTCTTCCCATAATTACACTGGAAAAATGATGACAGAATCTCTCAACAAAGGTCTCGAAAATGAAGAGGCGTGTGTTGAGTACGAGAAGATTTCAAACAAAGACATGCGTGACTATCTTCAAAATCTATCTACTACATCCGCTATCAAGGATATGGTCTCTTCCATCACTGAAAATATACCAAAGATTCCTTATAACATGCGTAGTTCTTCTGGCACCTCCAATTCAGACAAAGAGCATGATCAACCAACTTCCTGTGGCATGGATCTTCCCGCTCTTTTACCAAACCCTGGACACTATCTTAACTCTTATGTGATTGATTTGATGATGGATCTGTTTGAAAACATTGAAAATTACCCTCAAGAACATCCAACCCACGACCTACAGGGCCTTATTGGGCGTGATCCAAAGAGATTCTCAACCTTCTTTGCTGACAATCGTAAGCACTTTACACCATCTTCCAAGATGTTGTAGGGCTGCAGATTTCCTGTAGTCACTCTAAGGGTTTCTTTTTCACATAGTATATCGTAGCATTCGAAGTTTGATATATACATTCTCTTAAAAAGCATACATAAAATAAATGAATCATTTTTTCTTGTGTAAAATTCGCCTTTAACGCCATACATATATTAATGATTGTTATGGCTAAAGTCCTTTCTATACTGTCGCCGGAATTCAAAAAAAAAATAGTTGTCCACACCTATTTCGTATAGAGTAACAATTTGGCAAGTTCTTAGTACAGTAATAAAGCATAATTTTTCCCTGACCACCACAATTGGTTGTTGAGCAACAATTGACATGGCGAATGGCTCTCTACCACTTGAGATTCTCGAAAACATTGCAAATCACTTGAGTATTATAGAACATATTGAATGCACCCACGTTCACAAAACATGGACTGACTTGTTTCGTCAAGTCCTGTACACGACTATCAAGATAAGAACACGAAGACAGTTCAAGCAGCTTTATTCGATCCTCCTTCAAACATCGTCAATAAAAGGAGGAGGGCTCGGTTATTTTGTCGAGAGCTTGATTATTGGGGATCAAGTTGGATTCACCTCGGGCGAATTAGATCAATTAATACAGTTCTGCCCTTTCATTCAGACTATTGAATTCAACCCTCGTCTCTGGCGCTATCTCCGCAGTCCGAGTAAACTAGGCACCCTAAAGCTCTTAAAAACTCTTCCGAGCCTCAATCGTGTGCGCATTGCAAATTCACTAATCAAGGAGGTTGGCAGTAATCTGACCCAACTCAATCTCAATGGCATGATTGTAAACGAATGGCAAGAGAATCGCCGGCTGGTGTTCATGTTATCTCTTTTGCCTGGTCTAAAGAAACTCAACCTGGCTGGAGAGTTTGTTATGTGGAATCAACGGGATAGTCCTCGAGCACAATTTTCTTTTGATGATATTGATACCATAAGTTCATCATGTCCATATCTTGAGCATCTAGGCCTAATGTGCATTAATATCCAGTCGAGAGTGGCTTTTGGGGTTATTGACCTTAACCCTACCAAGATAAAACAAAGCAAAAACCTTCGTGTTCTTTCACTGAAAGATGTTCGCCAAAATCATTACCAGAATATGAGCTACTTTATTCACAAATACCCCAATTTGGAAGAACTTTTATGGACAGGGTTCGCCAGAGAAGAAATGACAAGACTTGGTCAGATACGCTTGGAAAACGAAACCATGGAGAGCCCTTATTTAAGTTTGGCAAAGCGATTATCTCGGTTAAAGAAGCTCCGGCTGCACAGAATACCTGTACGACTATGGCCAGGCCGAGCGTTTTTTGAAACAATTCAGAACAAAAGGGTTTCACTTGAGAGTATTCAAATTGGGTTTCTTTCATCCTCAAGAGATCGCTTGGATGGACTGGATAATTTTGAATCTATGTTGGAAAGCTCAAAAGATACCCTCAAGGAACTTACTATGAAAGCATGGAGAGGAGCCCACTTTCTGAATGTCATTCGCCCTCTTTATCACTGCCGACAGCTCACATCTCTATCAATATCTGGTGACCTTCCTCAAACTGTATTTATGTTTGACTGGATTTTGGATTTCTGTCACCATCTTGAATCAATATCAATATTTACCTGCCATGTGTCAATCTCTGATGAATCTCACGGGTACCAGTATTTTGGGCTCCATCGGTGCTTAACAAGTCTCTCCATCAAGTTCTCTATTCTAGATATACATGACATTATTTATCATCTCGCCCTTCGTTGCCCAAACCTATCTTCTCTGGCCTTAAATTCGGTGGAAAATGAACAAGTGTTCCCGGACAGATCTGTGGAGATAAACATGCCTGAGCACACCTTCCAGAGTATCGTGCTCAATGATATAAAATGTATTCGACTCAACTCTGATTGTGAGAGAAGAAGAGGGAACTACTTGGCTCTTTTATCTGTTTCTGCATTAGACAAAATGAACAATATGCTAAGACGAAGGGAGTCACCGGCTCTACGCTGGTACGATCAGGATAAGCAAGAAGAAGATGTAGAGTTTGGGATGTCGCGTTGGTATCACCGGTATGATGAAAATGCGGATTATGAAAAAAGAAGAGTTCGTAGACTCTCTGGAGAAGATGCAAGAAGGGTCAGAGACTACGAAATTAGCTCTGAAGAATGGGATCAGATTTTGATGACCAATATATTCTCTTACAGCGGGAAAAGACAGTGGAAGCAGGATATTCCTCAAGGTTACATCCGTATACGGTGTCAGTCTGTCGCACAGATTATATTTAATGAAGTTTCTTTGTATTGATGTCCAAAAATTAACTATATATTTAGTATTGGCAGGATAAAAAGTTCAAAGATGTAAGACATATTAATGAGAGTGTAAAAAAAAATTGTTCAAAAAAGCTCAAAAAAGTTCAAACAATTTTGACTGGCTAGTCTTCTTCAGTTGCCAATTTGATTGAGAAAAAGATCATGTTTTTGGTAGAGGAGATTTGCCACAAGGTGCAAAGTCTAGAAAAACCTGTAATAAAATAAGTTTTCCAAATGGAAGATATGGTATTTTAAGCATTTATTTTATCGAAGCGCATTTGAACCAATTTTAACTTTTTAAAAAACAAAGTCCGGCAGCCATAAATTAATTTAATTGGCCAATCTTACTTTGAACTTTTTTTTCGAACTTTTTAGCCTGTCCATACCAATTAAAAAACCCATTACTCAAAAACAACCAATCAACCACGCATCCACTCCCATCCCTGTCCCGCCAACCTTGCTGACCTAAGTAACCTCTGTTTTATCAAGTTGCCATGAGTCCAAAGGGATCCACCAACACGAACGTCTTCAAGACAGTTCCTCCTCAACAGTCTAGGCTGGCAAAATCGTCGGCTGACCAAATGTTTTGCGACCCCGAGAACACTCGGCTAAAAGCCATTTTGGACGAGGCGCTTGCACGCGCAGCCATACACGAAGAACAGCAGAAAGTTCTGCTTAGCAAGATAGATGTAATTGTAGCGCATTCAATTGCACTTCAAGAACAGAACAGCACTCTTACCGAGGAGCTCCGCGTCGCAAATGAGCACGTAGAGTTCCTACACAACCAACTCCAGCTTCAGGTACAAGTACCTGGTGCTTCAACTTTCATCACCACCACTCTCCCGCCCACAGAGATTGCTCCTGTTGAGAATTCCTCAGCGGAAGCCTCTGCCCATGGTCCTGTCACCATCCCTACACCCTCACCTACCACGTTTTTGGCTGCTGCCAAGAAGGCGATGGGGAAGAAACCCAACCAGCCCAAGCTCACCACTGCCCAAGCTACCCGCGCCCTGCAACCAGAAAGTGGACCATCTGCATATGCATTTGTATACCTGCCCTGCCGCCACCATCTCAAGTACTCCCAAGTACGAAAGCTCTTGAGAACATTCAAGATCCAACAGTCCCGTGTCTTGGACATTGCGTTCCCGGAACGCGGCACTCTCTCCCTCCTTGTGCACAACGACTTCAAGGACAAGATCACCCAGCTCTTCGCAGACATTGGCGTGTCTGTGAAGACAGATTTTGATCCCTTGGACCATCGGATCATTGCTGATCCGGCACATGCCCACAAACCTGTGCAGGAACGCCAACAGCTTGCATACAAGCTACACCGCCAACGTCTTCTCGCTCTCTGCCTTCGCCTCCCTGCCCCACTGGGCAAAAGTGTCATGAGGCACTTTTGTACAGTGGAAAGTAGCTCTCTTCGCCTCCCTCCAGTCTGCCTTGAGCAGTATCTGGAAGACCGAAACCTTCCATCTGGCCCCCAAGCCAGTGCCATTGACACTGCCACTGCCATGGTCATAGGATAAATAAGCTTGCTTATAGTCTTCTCTCCTTGTCCTGTCTTCTCCCCTCCTCTCTGTCTCTCTTATTTTAATCTGTATTATTCTTTCTCTTCCCCTTAGCTAGTCTCATCAGTCATATTTTTGTTTTTTCTCTTATTTCTTCTGCCGCAGCTCTCTTGGGTCGCCACTATGCTAAAATGCGCAAGGCCTAGACAAACCCACAATAAAAACATTTTCACCTGTCCATACCAATTATTCATAAAATATACTAAAACACATTTGTAAGGCGCATTTTTGGGATAAGACTTTTCAAAGGATTTTTATATTTAAATAAAAGGTTGATCATACATTATATACATATAATAGTGCCAAGATGTTTAATAAGTTAATATCCTAAGAATACTTTTCTGTACTGTTTATCTGAGAAGAAGATCCATTCATAACGGCTAATAACTCTTAAAAATCTGTCTTGTATTCTCGAATTGCGCGATTTGTGCAGTCTGTTTTACTGTATAACCCTTTTATTGTTATTAAATGCTTTGGTTGCGACGAAGGTATGTAAATAGAATTTTACTTATAAAATAATTAAATAAAATAAAATTCAATTAATTATAATTGTGGGCAAGCATTTCTAGGCTTCAAAAGAAGCTTGAAGCTTCCAGATTCCAAAGTTAGCGTGATGTAGTATCTCTTTTCATTTGCAGCCATCATTTCTTTGGGGATATCGTCCAAATCGAAGTTCTTTATCAATGCAGATATAACAAGTCGCATCTCATTTATAGCAAGTGTTTTTCCAATGCAATTTCGCGAACTGTACAAAGCCAGTTTTTAATAAATAAGCATATATATATATATATATATTAATCTCTCTATAAAGAAAGAAAGAAAGAAAAGAATACTTCCTACCCTGTGCTGAATGGGAAATAAGCTTCCATATTAGGCTTTGAATCTGTGCCTGGGAGCCATCTGTCTGGATTAAAAGACAGGGGTTCGGGCCAGTAATCTGGGTGTGTCTGGGCAATCCAGGGACTGCATCTTACTGTAGTCTAAAATAATAATATTTTGAGAACATTTGATTACTATATACATAAACGCATTCTTATATATATATATATAAGATAAATACCCCTTCTGGTACAAGAACATCTCCTTTCATAAAGATATCTCGAGTTGCAATTCTATCAATGCCATTAGAGACAATAGAATTTAGACGCATCGTTTCATTTATAACTGCATTGAGATAAGGAAGATCCTTGAGTTGGCTCTGACAAGGAAACTTCTTTCCTTCCTCCAAGACTATTCCGTCAATCTCATCCCGTAGCTTTAACCAGACATTCTTGTGTCTACACAATTCAATAAAAACGAAGCCCATTGTTCCACTGATAGTTTCTGTGCCTGCGACAAGGAACATTGTTATTTCTGATATAATGTCATCTGTACTCAAACGATCTTCTTCCTTGGCTGCTTTTTGAGTATCTATCATAATCTGAAGAATATCATTGCGTCTATCGCCTTTCTCTAGACGACCAAGAACAATATCGGTAGCAAACTTTTCGGAAAACGATAAGATTAGAAACATATCATATTTTTTTTAAAAAAAATCAAAAATAGAATAAAATCAAAATCAATCAGTCAGTCATTCTCACTTACAGCCACTAGGCGTGGGGTCTTTTTGGCTTTTTTAATACGAAGAAGTTTCACAATCCACGGATAGTTCACAACCTAATAATAATTATTATTATATATAAGCTTAGTAATATGTTATTATAAAACCGATTGGTCCAAAAATAAAGAAAGAAAAAGATGACTTACAAAACCTAGAGTTCTTAATAGCTTGCTTATCGTCACTGGTACAACATGGTTGCTGTCTTCTAGCGCATTAAATGTTCCTCCAAAAGAAGTTTCGCCAACAACATCCAATGAAAATAATTGAAAGAGTCTCCAAATGTCTATTTGTCCAAACCCTTTGCTTGACTTTGTGCCTTCTATATCCCTGTTAATTCGTGCAATTAAAGATTCTGTGACAGATTCAATCAATGGCTCAAGAGAATTGATGTATTTGATTGAAAAGGCTGGAGAAACGAGACGTCTCTGCGAAAAAAAATTAATATACGCCAACCACCATATGTTATTACAAAGGTTGTCATAGCTTACACGCTGTCGATGGAACCCTTTGTCTGTTGTGTCAAATATATTTGCTCTTCCGCCATCTAGATTATGCATAGTATATTAATAAGATAATCTAGAGTGACAATTGAGTCTTTTTTTCTTTCTTACTTTGAAATCTTTTGTATCCTAGGCCTTTAGAAAGGTCTTCTGTTACCAAGATTTGCTTTAGCATGTCTTTGTCTGAAATTGATATCTCTGTAGGGCCAATTCGAACTATATGGCCATATTTTTCGTGGTATTTCTTTAAAGTAATGAATCTACAATAATGGAACGTCATTTATGCCCGGAATGTGCTCAATTAGCAAGGGAAAAAAATAAAAGAAAAGAAAGACCATCTTTTGGTTCAATACCTTTGGCTGTGATGTTTACCGAACAGTCCACCTAATTCTGGAAATATTTTCTCAATCCAAGGACCAGGTATCTTGCTCAAAGGTCCAATAAAAGCATAGTAAAATCTCTATTTACAACAAAAGTCATTACAATCTTAATTTTTGTGTATATATATATATATCTGCGCATTTATGCATATGAGCTTATATCTATGTATATATCATAGAGTGTAATTATTATTATTTTTACATTTGAAATATGGTACAAAAAAAATAAACCAATTGTGATTTTTCCAATCTGTATAACTTCTGGTTTTTGACAGAGTCGAGTGGCCAGGCCATGGCGAATTTCCCTTTGAAAGTTCATAGCTGAAAAAAATTAAATAAGGCTTCTTGGTAAAGGTTAACTTAAAACTAGCAAAGGAACAGATAAAGAAACAAACAAAAGACATCATAGCTATTCTTCTTTATATATGACGCCAGTCACGACCGGAAATAAAGGTAGATCACTGTCATTATAATCATTTTCGGTTCCTAGTCGTTATGGTGGTGGTGATTTAAAAGTGAAGTAAAAGACGGTTATTAAAAAAAATGTTTATTTTTGATTTTCTTTGGAATTCTGAGTATTCACCTGAATCCACACAAGAAACCACGAATTCATAGGTTTTATTTTATGGTTTCTTTAGTATATATTGACAGCCATTAGGATTCATATCTAGGCTTTGAAGCTTTGTATATTTGGCTGTGTAGGATGAATGAAGTTTTGATAAGATTACTATATGGCATTATCAATGTTTTGTGTTTCATGCCTATTTGTGGTATGCGTAGCCTCGAACCAATTGATCGCACACGTATATCCGTATATTAATCATCAGCTAGCCACAGGATAATAAGCCTTCTGACTCACAGGAGAAATAAATAAATAAATAAAATGCTGCAAAATTTTCAAGATAGAAAATAATAATCTTTACAGATTGTGTGTCTATATGTGTAATATAATATCAAAAAAAAAAGAAAGTATAATAAAAAACCTATCTTTTTTTTATATTAAAATAAAACCCCAAATAATTTCAATAGATTAGCCCAAAGATGTATCTATCTATTCAAATACATATAATTATACTATAGTTAAAGGGGATCAATATTTACACTCTATATTTTCTTGGGTGTCGGTAAAATATCGGGGAAAAAACTCTGGGCCAGATGGGGTCTTTTTAATGTAAGATTGATTGTATTTCCTGTTCTGAATTCTTGATAAAAAAAAAATAGTAAAATTTTATTTTTGGACGCATGGTTTTGGGGGGAGGTACCTGAAAATACATGGTTCCCGCAACAATTCTATATATACATGTGTGTGTTTATAAGAGGGTGTAAACTTTAAAGCTTAATATTTAAGCAGGATTCTTGCACTAAAAATCAGTTTGATCTTCACCAACCTCAAATAATACACTGCCATATCGACTGCACAAAGACAAACAAATAGACAAACTTTATATTTTTGGCTTTCATTTCAAACGCATATAACTGAATGAATATATACTTTTAAGAAAGTCTTTAGGAGATTCGAAAAATCAAACTGACTTTAGTGAATATGTGTATGTAGAGTAGTGTATCGTATCAAAGTACACAGTTTTAAACAAGAAATGTCAAGTCTTGGAATTAGATGAATTACACAAAACACACAAATGTTCGTTTAGCTATCTATCCGGGTGGCTTGGATTGAACCTTTTGGAGCAAAATGATTTAAAAGATTGAGGCTGCAAAGAAATCCCTGTGAGCTTTTCTATCTACTGCAAACAATTAAAAAATCATGTACAGGTCTTAATTCAAACATGGACTGCCAGATCATTGAATTTTGTACCATCTAGTATTTGTGTGTGTAGGTATATTCAACAGATTCTAGAGTTAAAACGTGTATAGATATACTAAACAAGATCTAATACATCTATACATATATATATGTATGTAAAGGTTCAGATAAACTCGAGTAGGGATATATAAAAAAAAAGTCTACCTCAATAAAGAAGCGAAAAGAGCTACGATTAAAATACAAGTAATTCTAGTATGCTTGGTATCCTCTCGATGGCGCTATCAAAGAAAACGGTGTAGCTACAAAAAAAAGGAGGATCAAGCAATGACGTTTTGTACCACAGTCTTGATCATCTTTGGAGACTTTAGAAAAGAGCATTGTACCAGCTCAATCTGATCTGATCCGGGGTTTAGTGGGACAACTTGGCAAAATGCCTATATTTGTCCACATCTATTTCTATATGTATTTTGAGTTTTTTTTTACACATCAAAAACTCTTTATTTTACATAGTCAAGGTTTTTATTTAATCAGCCCAAGACTATTGATCTCAAACAACTTGTTTCTAAAATATTGCAGATAGACTGCACATCTGCTGTAACATAAGAAAAATGGCTGCAATCCTTCTTGTCCCTTTTCTGCCAAATGATCGTAACTACTGACCTATTACTTTCTTTGAAACAAAATTATGTCTAAAATATATATTTTGCTTTTGTTTTGGTAATAAATATTAAGTAATACCGGAAAGAAACAAGGCAAGGTTTTTTTTGATCGTATGAGCTATTGACGGTATCCATGGATACTAGATATAAGTCTTTTGAGATTACTCTTCTTTATTGGCAATATATTTATATCTTGGTGTGCAAAAGTATAGAAAAAATCACCCTCTAAATATCAGTGTAAAATAGAAAAAACAAAAAAAAATATTGGCAGTGTAACATATCATTCGTCAGCTATCACTTGCTAATGAAATCAATGTAATTATAACTTGCAAAGAAGTACATGTGTTAATTTCCTTATTTCCCTTCCTTAAACTCCTATCGTTCTCCTTTGCTCAGCAATATAACTATTATACATTTGTGTACAAGTCATAAGCTACTACTTGACTGCTGTTTCTTTACAGGCCGATGTGGCTGGTGATCCCTATAATAGCCACCGTGCGCTCTGAGGATTCTGGTAATTCAAAAATTACACGCAGAAATTCTAGGTACCGAGCTGAATACTTGCTGGCTTTTTTTTAATATCCTTCATTATCACTTGTTTGAGCTTGATCTGGCTTTTGAAGAGAGAAATCGTGCCATATATTACATGGTAAGAGGTACGGGGAAGTCATGCCTGTAGCCGAGTGCAACATATTAAGTGGCTGACGTTGCCCTGGTAAAAAGTAAGCCACATTGTATAATTATAGATGACTTTAGAATACCAGAAATGTCTCAGCAGGTGTACGCCAAGAATACTTATTCAATTACCGTAAATGTGTAACCTAAAGGACTAAAAATATAAAAGGCTCGGCTTTTTTACTTTGTCCTCCCCTTCTTCTTTTTTCTTCTTCTTCCTCCTATTATTCATCAAATCCACCTCATTTAATCTATGACAACAAAACGACAGACCCACAAGGCACTCTACTACCTATATATAGTGGCCGTGTTGCTGGCACTATTTACATCAATTGCCAGTGCATCTTCTCTTGTTTCTAGACAAGAAGCAACGGAACCAACAGAAAAGACAATCAATTTCACAAGTATGTGGATTTTGTACTTGACTTTATTTTATCACTTTGATTTGTCGATACTGATGTTTTTTTTTTTAATTTCATAGTCGCCGGCCACACAGTATCTGTTCATGGAATCGTTCTCAGTGTGATCCTGTTCCTTACTGGCGCTTATTTGTGCTTCTTAGGAGGTAATTGTTTTTGTGACATGCGAGTCCAAATATCCAGACCTGCCCCCTAACTCTCTCTCTCTCTCTTATTTATTTATTAATATGTAGGTGTTCATCAAAATACTACCATGTTCCTTGTTGGATTTTACGTTGGATCAAACATTGCATATATCGTATTGACAAACGCAAAGGCAGACTACGGTGAAAATACCGCAACTATCTTACTAGTCGTGAGCGTAGTAGTTGGTTTGCTAGCAGGATTATTGCTATCTTGCTGCTTCTTTTTAGCAGTCTATTTACTCGGTGCTTTACTTGGATACATGGCCGCCCTCTGGTTGTTGGCCTGGGCAAACAATGGTCTTATTGAAACCAACTGGGGCCGTGCGATCCTAATTGTATGTTTCGTAATTGCCGGTGTCATCTTAATGGCGTTCCTTGAACGTCCAATGATTGTCATTGCAACTGCCTTTATTGGAGCCTTTGCCATATTCATTGGTATCGATTTGTACGTTAAGACCGGATTCGTCGAGGCCGTCGAGACATTCTTGAAGGTCAAAAACCTGGGAGTATTCGAAGCCACAACACAAGTTCGTGGCATGCTTGGTGGAACACTTGGCTTAGCAGTGGTTGGTTCGCTTATTCAGTGGTTGCTTATCCGTCGTAGTGATAGAAATATTGCTTGGACACACCACTATCCTAATAACCAGTATGGCTGGAGACGTGTTTAAGACCTATCTATTTTTTTTTTGTAAAACTCCCTTTATTTCTTGTATTTTGTTACTCATGTTATTTCTGGTACAGCACAAGAAAAAAAAATACCATTTATCAATCCCATGTATATATATATATGTATTACATAAAACGAGGTTGCTTTAAGACAGCCATTCTATCATACCCATACCTATACTCATACTCATGCATGCATTTAATGTCTTCTTTTAATGATTTTATCGTGGGGGAGGTTTCGGGAAAACGGAGCAGAATATTCTGTACGGTTTAATTCAATTCCACAGCTACAATAGCTTGATAATATAGCGAAAAGGGAAGAAAAAAAAAGGGTTTCCAATAGACGTAGCACACCGCCTTAGCGTGCGGTATTTTTCATTCACACTCAGAATAGACTTTCCAAAAGGGCACCCGATTTTCCTATACAAGGTATATTAATCAATACAGAATATTAAACCTTTGCTCCAAATACATGTACATCCCTTTAGTTCTTCATTATGTTAATAACCAAATTCTCCTTTTTTAGTTTTTAGTTCTTGATGATCTTATTCGTATTTAAGTTTGCTTTATTAACAGTGCTTTCTTTCAATTGATCTATACAAGGGCCAATATTCATTTGACATTTGTATTGTCATAATATACCTACATACTGATAACTATATATATATATATTGGAATTAATTCGGACAGTAAGATCTACCGTGCACAGTACGCGTGTTGATTAAAAGAAGTTTATTTTGCCTTTAATAATAATTTCCACATGAAGTATTTCCTTTAGAGTAAGCTGCAACTTCTTGTAATATTGGTTCAATTAGAGCCCTTTTAATGGTTGATTGATTCTTAAATAGACAAATATCCATATTTAGGACACCTGGCTAACCATAAAAATTGCTTAATGTGCTGCGCAGTAGTTGAGGCCCAGGTTTCTTAAATCACAGCTATCTATCTCACATTTAATTATTCGGCAGTCATAATTTATTTATATTAAATAATTATGGGTTAAAACAAGAAATACATCTTTCCTGAAAGTATAATATAAATAAAGCAAAGTACTGTCAGCAAAGACTTTTTGTTTTGTTTTGTTTTGTTTTTGGATATAAATTACAAATGTACACACACTTTTAGTTGTTTTTATGTTTATTATTAAAAGGCGATAATTTACCCAAGATTTCATCGATGTATTAATGTACATAGTAACGGATATATACATACAGAAATAGGGTTTAAAAGTATATATAAGCACCTTCTTTATGCAACATACTCCCAGGTCTCATAGGCTTCTCCATTCTCTTCCAAGAATCTGCGGATAATATTTGGACTCTTTTGAAGTTCTCGCTCAGCTTTTTCCCATACAGAGAGTGCCTTTTGTACATCTTTAATATTAACAGAATCCATCAGAGCAACCCGTAAGTAAGGAACAGAGCAGTATTTATGCGGATTTTCAGTAGGATTTTCAGAGTGTTTCTTGTGCTAATAATATAGAGAGCAATATGAGTATCTCGATATCTTCTCTTAGAAAAAAAAAGACAAAAGGTGTATATTTACTTGATTTTTTAGAGTCTTGATAATTTCAGACACGAGTTTATTAACCTGACGCTTTTCTTTGTAGGATATGAATAGTCGGTACATAAAAGGTAGCGATGCACAGAACAGCAGAGCGCCAACTTATTAAAGAGCAGGGTATAGTACATTACAAAAGAGGATAAGTGCCTGTTGTGTGTGGATAAATGAAGTATACTTACGTATTAAACAAAACTTTGTAAATATAGACATTGTGGCATAAAAGAGAAGGATTCGGCAACCAAGAGTACAATACGCTTTGTTTGTACTATAGGTAGCGTTTCCATCGCTACCAAATAATAATAATAATCAAATAAGTAAAAGCAAATGAAGATAACAGTAAAGATTTAATATACTCACGTATTCCAGTAAAATATATTCTCATTTGTCAAGACTGATTTTAGAGCAATGGGAATAAGGTCTTCAAGTTGGGATTTCGACATCTTGGAAATAAGCTGTCCAATTTACATAATCGTTTTTTTGTAAGCCTTTGATAATCATACTTTTTTTTTCATTTACCTCTTTAGAATTTCGTAGCCTTTGTGTAAGATCATCAACATGAATAGATGCGTATGTATTCGTTACATCTCCATTTCCTTTCTTTACTGCATCGCACAAAAGTTTTCCTTGGGCTGCGTAAAGAGTTCTTCGTATCGTCCTTTCGATAAGTTTAACACGTTTTGCCACCACAGCGTCAAGTACACATCTGTCAGCAACAGGAAGGAATCCAAAAGGATTGTACCACGCTCTGCGTCGCTTGTACAGTGTCGGGCATTGTAGCTCTCCAAAGAAACAAACTCCGTTTGGAGGGCAAGGAATACAAGCCAAAGAAAATCCATGATGAATAGGCTCTCCATCAACAATACCTATGTTTTAAATAGTTTTTAATAATGATAATATATATATTTAAGCGTCTCCAAATAACAACAGCAATAATAATAGTGCTTACTTCGATTGAGGGTCTTTGCAGAGTCACAGTAGCCATTTCGGTTGCGGGCGATACAAATTAAAATCATTGCCATCAAAAGAATGGAAGTCAGTGGTACAATTGAAAGAAGTATAGATTGTTTTGCATTTTTTGACATTTGGACAGCGTGACGGAGATATCTTGCAATTGGGTTTTGCTTAGGGACATGTATTATAGGAGGTGTCTCTTGATATTCACTATCATCACGAGTATAGTCCAGGATGGGCTGAATTCGGTAAATATGTTGTTTTAAATCTAACAAGCAAGAAACAGCTCAGAACACACACACACACACATATATATATATATTAAAATACATACCGTCAAACAAGCCAAGCACTTCATCTTCATCTATAGAGTGCTTTTCTTCCTTAAATCTATCATTAGACACAGTACCATCTACATCGAGAGGAGTATAATTTGAATCATCGCTAGAGTCATAGTCTTCAGACTCATCGGCACAACTTTCATCTTCACTACTGAATAATGATTCACCGTTGTACGTCAATTCATTCTCATCACACTCAGGTACATATATTCCTCTAGGTCGATAGTTAACCTCTCGAGATACAGCGTTTGATCTTATGCTTCTATCAGAGGATCTAACCAATTCCTTTGTAGATGAACCAAATCGATGTGGGACCATTTCTTTGGAGGAAGATTCATTAGGTGAATTTCTGAAAAATAGATCATTTCTGTCAGGAAATAACTTGGCTAACATGGCAAACCTCTCGAGCACTGAGGTCGGATTGGTCCCAATTGGTGCCAAATTTGGATTTCTCCATTGGCGAAGCACAGTACGTAAACTTCGCAGCTCATTAGCCTTTTGTAATTGCTCTTCTGCTTCCTGTCTAGCCGCCTCAGCCGCTTCATCTGCAGAAATTTCTTCGGCTTCGAGTGAAGGTGATCTACGCCATTCATATGATTCCACGAGTTCTTCTGCTTCTAATTCCGGTGAGCCAGAATCTCCTGAAGAATGTGATTGTGATGGCCACAATTTGCTGATCATTGCGTCTAGACTGTAAATTTTTTTAGCACTATTTATGCTTTCGTCTATCACAGAATTTGCGATATCCATTTGATTTCGACTCGGATCCATAACCTGTTTAGCGTAATCGTCCTGTCTAGAATCATGTTTATTGTTGTCAGAAGTTCTCTCGCTGTTGCTTGTGGATAGCAATGGGATATTTCGTCGGATAAATGACCAGAATGTGTTCGACTCTTCATCCGTTACCGATTCATCAGAAGCATTGTGGTTTGAAGTACCAAATGAAAATAAATCTGTCAAGCTGTTGGACTTCTTTTTATGTTTAAGCACACACACACACACATATATATATATATATATAAAGGAAACATTGATTAAATATTATTAATTCTGACATCACAAACATAGATATCATTTACCTGTGTTTCAAATTGAGTGGAATCCTCTGTATTTCCAGACCTAGGATATGGTATAGCGAATCCATCTTGGTCCTATTCAGATAGAATAAAAAATATATATTAGTTATATGAATATATACATACATATATATATATATATATTCCAAAAGCTGATTTGGTAAATCCAATTACCCTTTTAGGCCAACCAGGTGGTGCAGGAAGAGATGGCCAGTCCTGGTTTGAGGAACCACCTTTGGTCACTGACGACCAGCTATTTCCAAGCATTCTTATGAGAGCTTCACGACGAGGGACAATATATTTGTCAAATAAGAGTATACAATCCTCCCAAGAAGCATCTTCGGGGATAGTTATTCCTTGTCTTAATAACAGCTCTCGTAGTTGGTAGTCTTCAAGTGAGTGCGGAGTGAAATCTTTGTCTAAGTATTTTATTTTTTTAAAAAAAAAGCGCAATTTTGAATGTTAATGAGTAGTTTCATGAGTAAATCTTATGAGATAAATCAGCTCACCAAGAAATTGGAAGTTTTTAGGATAAGTAAAAGTAGTGTCTTTCATGGTTTAAAGGAATAATAATAGGAAAAAGCGCATACAGGAGCTGTCGAATAGATTTGCCCGTGTTCAGTAGACATTCCATTCAATAGTCACGTGGAGTACGTCCCATCTGGCAGTCACGTCGAGTAAAGAGGAAAACCAAACGAGAACTTGACGATTCCAAAAGCTAATCATGTTGTTCTGTCCTAATTGTTCAAATCTTCTCCTGATCGAGAACGAAGGAGGACAGATGTTCTTCTGTCAATCATGCCCATACCAATATGCAATTCAGAGTAGAGTAAGTTTTTAACTTAATTATTATTTATTCAAATTTGTTAATGTAACATGTGCTTATTTTAATTATATCGAGTAGCACACAACACGCAAACTTTTACATAGAAAAGAGGTTGATGATGTTCTCGGAGGAGCAAAGGCATGGGAGAATGTCGACTCTACAGAAGGTAATTTTTTTTACACAACAGTAATAGTAATATTTAAATAAAGAAAGAAAACGAAAATGAAAATGAAAATGAAAAAAAATGGTTCAATATCTAATGTGTATATCTGTGCAATATTGCAGTCACTTGTCCAAAGTGTGAACACACCAAGGCATATTTCATGGTGATCCAGATTCGTTCAGCTGATGAACCCTCGTCTATTTTCTACAAGTGCTGTAACGACGAGTGTCAGCACCAGTGGCGTGAAGGATAAGACCTATAAAACCCTTCCTTTTCATGTCAATTTCTTTATTTGCCCTATTCATTCGATATTACATTCATATGTGTCACTTACACTTTTACATCCTATACATATATATGCCTTTAATAATACCTTAAAGGCTAATTTAAATGGGTTACCCGAAATACATTCTGTCAACTTTAACCATATATACACACACACATCCCGTATTATTATTAATAATATTATTATTTTTCTAAAAAAAAAAGAATGAAGAGTTGGTTTGTGGTTTTTGGGCAAGAGCTTGTATTTGGAACAACTGGTATAATTGATTCAATAAACTACTAATAATTTATGTTTAGCATGTATTTATTGTAAGAAAAATACCAGTCAAAACGGGATAAATGTATACACAGTTATTTCAAATGTGAAGTAAAATATAATTATACTTTTATTATGGTAAATACCCAATAATTGTTGCAGCGATCAGACATCCACAGCCTCCAATTGCGATTATAATAAAGCAAATAGACATGAGTACAAAATAAGCATGGTAATTAAACTTTAGGGAAAATATTCCCAAAAGCAAGATGGCAGAACAAAGAATCCAGGATAATACTAGCCATTCAGTAATGCTCTTGGCATTGTAATCCGCCCAGATACAAATAAGCAGAGGAATTCCTACGCCTATAATTGAAGATATTACGATGTTGAGATAGTAGTTTTGAGCCCACAAGTCCTCTCCAGGTCTTTGTTTGAATTCGCGCCTCTCAATCGTAAATTGTAGGAAGCTTCCTTCATACAGTAATTCATAGTAACCATCGTTACTAGAAGGGCTAAGTCTTTCTTTGTCATTGTCAAACACCTCCACTTTTCTCCATGTATTTGCATCATTCACGACGTTGTCGGCCAAAGCTTCTCTCCAGGGTATATCTTTATAGTAGTATAAGCTGAACGGGGAACTTTGTTTGTGCAGAATAATAAGCGAGAGTGTCTGAAGGATTGACATTGCAGTGTATATAATCATGATAGATTTTGTCCATTTGTCTCCGGTCATTGTAATGCACTCAGTTGTAGTGTATATTGCTTGCCCGATAGTAACACATATTTCGATGTATGAAGTACTGTCAATATTGCAGGCAGTTCTGAGCTGGCTTATCATATCGATTGATAGATAACGGGTATTTTGAGGAACAATCTCGGTTTGATATTCACACTCTGAACCAGGGCCAGCCACTGTAAATTTTTCAGTCAGAATTACGGAGTGTCTTGGCCTACGCGCATAAATTGCAGAAGCAAACCCCAGAATAAGATGCTTATTCAGAATGCAGTGTTTAATTTTTTTGGCCTTCTCGGGGCCAATTAAATATAGAAATGCAGCAAGATATGCTGCGTTGTCGTATTCCTTAATCATAACATTGTCATTTGTCTTGAGATACTCAACTATCCAGTCTCCCACGTATTTTATCTCTGATACCGATGGTCTCGAGTGTCTGTTCTGGTTTGTAAGGTCCACTTTCAAACCTTGATTCTTTGGGATTTCCGTGCTTGGCGATATTGATGAGCCCGATGGGTTTTGGTTCTCGGTATTTTGCTTAGGATCCTTTGGGTATATGTTTTGAGCCTGCTCTGCATACTTTTCTAACGGTACTTTGAATTGATTGGTTCCCAGAATTTTTTCATCATTGTACGCATAATATATGGAATTGATAGCCATAGCAGTACCCAGCGAAGGGAATATAAAGCACTGAAAGCGACGAACAATTGAATTTGTAGGACCCACTAATTCAGGTCGAATTGTTGCGATGTGAGCCAGATACCCGAGTAGGATTGTTCTTAGGATTGTCATTGCAACTAATGCATGACTCAACTCGGCTTCATTCAACTCTATCGGAGGTGCCCGGCAGCTTGGTACGAATGTCAAGACCAGGGCACATAGGATAAGCCAAGGGTTTCTTAAGCTCATTTTCCAAATGTAGATGGCTGGTTGAAAGACGGATCTATCTTTTTCTTGGCAAAGACATTTTGTGTGTGATGGGGGAGGCTTTAAACACAAAGACGGAAAGAATTATTTTGTTTTATTTTTACTTACACGACAGTTAGTGTTACCATGACTGTCAACTAGACTTTCTGGACAAGAATATCAAGTATTGATCTAGTGTTTCCGCGATTTATTTTCTCCTTATCAGGGTACAATATAGTATACGCTATACTTGATGGATCGAAATTGTAGATTTTGGTGTTTGGAAGAAATGAAGATATTTGTGGGTAGTATGGGATCATTTTCTTTGTTGGGGTGTACAAACGATGCTTAACTGATCATCCTTGTTCCACTCAACAGCCAAACGTTAGTCATGGACTCTTGCACATAAACCATATTGGTAAGAAAACAGCAACCTTGTTGTAACGGTTCACCACACACAAATATGTGGCCTTGTGAATATTATCTCTCTCCCTCTCTATCTCTATTTCTACATTTCTTTTGCTAAGCCTTGTAGAAGTTATTGAATGCTTGGGACGGGAAAAGTAATTTCCCCGTAGATTACTTTGTGTATATATTTAAGAACCGATTTATATCTACGATCTGTAATTTATAGCTTGTTTGAAGGGATATATTCAAAAGTAAAAGACATTTCTTTGCCCAAATAATTCACGATTTGTACATTATCCAGTAACTGTACACCAGGGTACTAAATATGACTTTGTGCTTTTTGTTAGTTGCTTTCTACTAGGTATATTTTAGTGAGATCAGTCATATGAAACTTCATGTTTTGATTAGTACGATACACAATTTGGTACTTGTACAAGAAAACTTTATATTTTTATTAATACATATTCAAAACTCGACTAAAAGCTCAATATTTTTGATCTAGCAACCTTTATAAATGAAAGTAGTATTTAGAAAATAAAAATAAATTTGATCTATCAAAGGTTTAAGCACATTTGAAGGATATTAAGCAGTGATAGAAGCCAGGGTCATTCACTTTCTCAATAAGAAATTGTCTGTAAGTTTTAGCTTGTTATTTTTTGAAATTTTATCAGATATAAACGCCCTTGTAGATTCCATTCAATGTTCAATATACCTGTATTACATTCTTTTTCTATGTGTTTTTTTTGGGTGGGTCGGGACTTGTTATAAATTATACAGAAACTGAATGGGATTTTAAATGCGGCGTGGAAAGTCTACTTGCACAAGTTATTGATAGACATCCTCTTATTTCTAGTAATAATACTATACAAAATAATAATAATAATAAAAGTTCTCATATTCGCCTTTTGTTCCTTGTATATCTCCAACCAGTCTTTATAGTTATCATCTTTGATTTTTGATCTTTGATCTATGGTTTTTGTTTAATTCGAGTGTATTTTTTTTATTATCGCAGGGTTATAAAGCTATTAATATGTACTTGACAATTGACTTCTATTAGGTACTATGGGCTGATTTTATGAGACTGATTACCATTTGCTTATTACAAAAGAAGAATGACTGATAGCAATGACATTAATATATTTAATTATTGATTTGCGAATAGAACTTTTATGGCTATAAATATCAGTATTCGTTAGTATTTCTCTATGTTTGATCCTTGTGTAAGAGAAAGAGAGATAATAGAATCAATATTTGATTTTAATTGATAAAAAAACTATTTAAAGAATCTCTGCAGACTGTATTGCTTAATACAGGTTGATTCTTTTGGTATTTATGAGTTACACGTAGTGGAAGCCTAATAAGGGGATAGGTATAAGCCGGGCTTCGGAAAGTAAGTCACGTGCCTTGTGCGGCCCGCGACACCCTTACCCCACCAACACTTTTGTGAGTTCTTTGCAGCATTATTTTTCTCTTTTATTATTCACTAAACAGTTGGAACCTGTGACATAAGCTTATAATAGTTTTCAACTTGGGTGTTGCAGAACTCTTGGCATAGCTGTGATTATATACGGGTTAGAATACCTGGAAACTTGATATGATTCAGAAGCCAAAGAAAGTTTTTATGAGCTGGGAATTGTCAGTTATAATGTGGTGTGATTGTATTAATCCAGATACATTATATTGACTTGAGATAATAGCAGTAATACCTTTATTTATTACTCTTGCTCTTATTATCTGTGTACAATGATAAATAGACAACTTTAAGTAATTAAGATTACCCAAGATACATCTCAATGTGTATGTGTAGAAGTATTAATGTGAATATGATGGTATTATAAGCTAAATATGTTTAACTGTACACCAAGAAAAATATAGCTCACTACCATACTATCCCCCATCAATTTTATATATTTTCTATATTTTCATTCGCTAATATCCTTTAATACTCGCATCTATCTCAAAGGGCTACCGTTACGCCTAATATATATATATATGTATATACATAGCCCAAATTTATACAAGATCAAGTTTTGGGTTATGTGAGTGTGAGTACATAAGAAATATGTGAGTACAAGCTCAGAATATAGCTTTAATACCCAAAGAAAAACATAAAGTTTATAATTAGAAAATAGAAAAGAAAGGGATCCTTGGACAGCTTGCAATACAAAAAAGAAAGCCTTAATAGTAAGGATATTACTGTATCTGTAACTGAAATTACACGCCGAATGTATTCTCTCTATTATATACAATAATTTCACAAGTTTTCAACCATTTAAAGAAAGAGCATAGGTATATTTATATATATTAGCAGTAATGATATATTCCTAGAGAAGGTAGAATATAATATATACCAAGTATTATATTACCTTGTATTGATCTATCAAACTTCAAACATCATTGGCTGTTTTAGACACCATTATGTAGATACCGACAGGAACATCTTTAAAGGGTCACCTTATTTATTTACTATACTTTGTATTTTCTTTTACGCGCTTTTCATATGCTTTGTATTAATAGACTCAACGTATTCAATCGCAGAATATATGTTTTTAGGGCAAGAATTCAATTTTCATTGATACAGTGTATGGTTTTATGTTTTAACGCCGTCTGTACCAGATAAAAAATGCTACAAAAAAAAGAGGGTTTTTTTTAAAAAAAATACTTTTATAAGTAGCTTTGTGTATTAATTTACATAGTACTAAAATGAGCCTATTATTTTGCTTGCAAGTATCGGACTAGAAATCATAAAAGACATGTTCACCAATTATTAAACATGTATACTAATGTAGCTTTCATTTGTAACTTTCTATAGTCATACAAGGTTTAAACCTTAAAATGCGTAGCAAAAATGGTAACATTGATAGAACTACAGTTATATTCAGCGTCTAGTACTTGAATCTCTATGTTTAAAAGACTCTTTTGTATACATATATATATATATATATACGTAAGTACTTCTTACTTTTGAGAACCTTTGCACGATTTGAACCCAAGAATATGAAGTTTTTTTATTAGCAAGATAGTTTTGAACATGCAATTTTAAGCTATTGCAATTCTTAAGTTCAAATTTTATATTTTGTACGTGCGCGCGTTGTTTGTATATATATGCTATATCAAAACAAAAGTAAACGTTTATTTTAGTACATTTTACCTGGTATGTGTTTTTTGGTTTTCTTTTTATTTTATTTTTATTCCAAAAGAACATAAATACTCTCAGGTTCCTTTTTTTTTCTTTGTGTATTTATTTCTCTCTTTCATTAATTTTGATTTGCATTTGTAAAATGTTTTTTCCAACGTATATATCCTTTCTCAGCACTCTATTGCTGATTATTGTGCCAAAATGCTGTGCTTTACCTATACAACAAGGCTTTATCGAGATATCCGGTCAATCAGCCTTCATGTCTATACTGATAACAATTGTACTTGGTTATATTTCTCATATTGTCACCGTTAGATCTGTAACAGGATTAAACCATCAATCTACCACTGAACGACGGTGTATGTGCTTTGTATTCCCTACACTGGGTATTTCACTTGCTATGAAATATATATACTCTGTCTATTATGCAGACCGGATCCTTGGAATCGACAAATGCAAACCGTTTTTGGAAAGATACGAAGATGAAATAAACAAAGTCGTTGGCAATAGACAAGACACTTTTCAAAGTCATGTATCATTATCCGTGAGCCAAAGCCCATCCGACAATCACATTATAGCAGCAGAAGGTTTAAGTGGAGACTTTGATACCGAAACTGTATTCCCCGGCGTTACCCAACTGAAGAACTGGCTTGTAGACGAAATGGCAGACAGCGGAATTTACTATCAGAAATACGACAATGCACCTTATATGGCATCCCTTCTGCACAGCTTTGGCCCAAAAAAAGCAAAGAAGATAAAACACTGTATTCTTAACCAGCATATACTCGTTGGATTTGACTCTGCAGTCTACATGCATTCCCCATTTAATAATGTAATGTTAACCAGTGATATATCAGTCAGTGGTCCAGGAGGATTCAATCAATACCAAACATCTATAAACCCTAGTTACATTCGTTTTCTATCAATCGCCATGATAAGCCAACTTGAAGAAACCTACACGCTAGATGACAGTTCATACACCGAGATATTTATCACCTTTTCCCAGTTAATATTTATCTTGCTCAAGTGTATTGAAACCGAAGGAGATCGGTGGACCAAGTCAATTATGATTATTTACACTGCAATGTCAATTCTTAATACTCTCTCTCTCGTTATTCTACACAAGCAGCTAGAGCCCTTTAGTTTGCATTATAGCTCAAATATTACGCTAAAAGAAATTGCAGAGGACTATGACATAATCACAAAAAACACAAACGATTTGCTTTATATTGAAGATACCCAGGATATACCCAGTCAATTCGGAAGCGAAGATACGACTGACTTACTGTATACAGGCAGCTTTTTACACTTTATTCTGGAGGGAGGCAAGCTTGGTAACAAATCTGGCGGGGGAATATTCGAATTGGACGATTTCAACCATGGAGGATATTGTATATTTGGAGGATTACTAGGGTCTACGCTTATTTTTATCTGGGCTGATTACACTAGTTATAAAGTAACTGAATGGCTAGTATTGTTCTGGGTTGCATGCTCTGTAATTATTAGTTCCGTAGAGTACTTTGACTTTATTCGTCAAACAAGTTCAAGCTGGCTCTTGAAAATGTGTCTTATTCCTATTGTGGCATGTAGCTTCGTTTGTATTATTAGCGCAACTATTATTGGATATTCTACAAAATATAAAAGCTATTAATTTTTTTTGGTTAAAACCATTTCATACATTGTTTTAATACCTAAATCGGTAGCTGTAAACACATTCGTGAATATTAATCATGATAATTTTATGTATAAAAAAAGTACCTTCTTACACTTTTTTAGCGCGTATATTTAAAAATAATAATAATAAATATACTTTCTTTTAACTAATATATATATGTAAAATTTTATATATCAATTCTTAATTTCATACTTCAATTTTTTTCATAGTCTTTATTTAATTTACTTTTATTACTATTCGCATATTTGTTCTATTTGCAAATCATAAATTTCCCTAAAAACGCGTTCTATATACAATATACTTGACTACAAAAATGGTCAAGGGGTATAATTAAATACTCGCTAAATATAAAAAATAGTGGTACTTTTGATGATTAGCTAACCAGGCTCATGTCAAAAAAAGAAGACCTCCAAAGATTACCGATAAAAACTGTGGACAGTACAGTACAAAAAAATTAACGCAATTTGGGTCTATTTTATTGAGTCGCAAAGAAAAAAAAAGAAAAGTGGCTCAGAGCTTCTTTATGATTAAAATCCATGTTATCTCAAAGTAAAAACTTGACTGTAGAAAATTGCTTTGAAATTCAATAGTAACTTTGAACCAAAAAAGAAAAGAAAAGAAACAAGTAACAGCAACAAAATGATATGACTGGTTATCTCCTAAAATATTATACAAAGATATTTGTACAATCAAAATATCTTTTCGCAGGTTACAAGCCGTACGCGTCCAAAGCAGGCAGACAGAAATTATGGGTATTCTAGTACATATCTAAACATACCACCTGTAAAGAGTAAAAACAAGATAACAGAATAAGCGCGTTATTTGATTTAATTACTTTCATTTTATACTTTTATTTACAGCTCTTTACATAAAATAGAAACCCTCCTTCCAGTTAATTACAATATTTAGAGAATGCTATAGTAATTTATTGAACTAAATAGTCGAAGAGGTAAATACCAAACTACCGGTAAATTTATTCTAATAATAATAATGGTAAAAAAATATAATAGAATATACAAGACAGTCAGAACCACCGAAGTATTATTATCATATAAATTGTAGCTCTTGGTGATACTTCAAAACTTTGCATTCATGAACCTCTTTTACATTAAATGATTAAATAATATCTAATAAACATTCTGCTTTTTTCGAAATGTTTTTGTTATCGGTAGTCATATCGTATTTTTTTTTCTTATCAAACATTTTTATGTATTTTCTGAACAATATTTTGAATTTTTTGAAAAAAAAAATGAGTGAACCTATCTTGTGCAGCTTCAACCAAACGTATACCACTTGTACTAATATTTTTTATTGTTAATTGTATAGAATAATAATGACTAAATTTTGTTAGGCTTGGCGCATTTGATGTCAAGACTTGTACATTTATTAGCATGGTTTTTATTGACAAGATTGTACGGTATTTTGTAAGAGTGTTTATTAAGTTGAGTACATCATAAACCACTTTTTAATAAAATACATTGATCTTAGGTAAAGGCGTAAATATGTTTGCTTATATATATATTAATATGGATTATATACATCGTTTCTTTGTTTGTTTATAAAGTACCAAATTTTAAATACTCAATCTCTGCTAGAACCTCAAATATAAAGAAAAACAAAGTATTATTACTTCTTCTTTAAATATATATATATAAAGTACGTCTTTGGATTAAGTGACCGAATATAGTTGTATGGTAGGGAATTTTTATATGTACGTATGTGTGTAATTTTGATAAAATATTATATATATATATATATATATATATATAAAGATCAATGGCCTTTTGTTGTTGAGGTATGTGCATTGTCCGATGTAGATATCCTGCCTCCGTGACTCATAGCATCCTTCATCATATTAAGTTGAATAGTGGAGTCTTCCAGTTGTCTGTTCGCTTCATTCAAAGCTTCTTCACGTTCACTCAGTAATATTCGTAGACGTGCAATGTCATCCATGCTTTCTGCCAAGTTTTGCTTTAAAGAAGCAGTCTCATTTCTGGTTCTTATATTTGTGGACTCGAGTCTTGAGATCGTAATAGCCGCTTCTGAGAGCTCATCGGACGCCGATCTGTGAGCCAAGGCTTCTGAAAGCCGGTTGGTCAGTTCAGTGATACGTAAGGAACTGTTGCGTAAGTGCATCTCGGTTTGCAAAGACGAGGTATACATGTCAGACAGCTTCTCTAACGCAGCCTGGTGCGCTTTCTGGGCATCTTCGGCTCGTTCGTGGGCTTCCTTGACTCGTTCTTCAGCAGCTATCCGTGCAGTGTGATCAAACTGGGCGCGTTTCTGCAATTGTTGCAATATTTTACTGTTGCTTTGGTTTTCTTTCAATGCTGCCGACAATCTGCTTTCAAGCTTCTCTGCTCGCTCAGTTTCAATTTTTGCAAGTTCTTCTTCTTGCCTTTCTTTCATCGCCACATACTTTGATCTGTAATAGGCAGCTTCCTGAAGTGCCATTATACGCATACGGTCTGCTTGTTCGAGTTTCTGAGATGCAGGCAGCGCCTGTTGTACAATGCTTGCTCTGACACGTCTTAATTCGGATTTTACGGACACAAGCTGGTTAAACAGTTTAGCCATCTTGCTATCCTTGTCCCCAATAGACATCAGATCGGTATCTCCATTGCATTTTTCGTCTTCAAAATCGCCCTTGGAACTACGTGCTTTTCTTGCTAATGTAACTTCTGCCTTCCACCACTGCTCCTTTTTTTTCATGTCCTTGATCATTTCGTCCCTTGATCGGAGTTCACGCAGTAATAGTACCCTGTCATTATGGAACGGATCGGACAAATCGGAGAGCTTGATAGGAACTTGCTCCGTTGTCTTTGTAGAGATGCTGTGATCCGAGACTTCTTGTTCTTCGTCCTCCTCCTCTTCTTCCTTTTTCTTTTCCGCACGAGATTGATTCTGAGATTCTTTTTCATTTTGGCTACCAGCTTGTGTTTTATCCGAAACTGCACCGGATAGCGATTGTCTTGGCGAAGGATTTGGTTGTTGAGAGATGTGAGATGGTAACGCATTGTTCCACAGATCGATATTACCACTACCATTAGCTGAAGACTTTTGGAGGGTTGGAGAGTCAATAATTGGAGATCGTAATTGGAAGGAGGTATCTAAATTGATTCCTTCACGTGAAGGACGAGCGGGGGTTTTTCCTATATGCGAAGCGATTCTTGGAGGTCTTTGAGGGATGTTTTGATGAATGGATAGAGTAGAAGGTGAGGGTGGTTGAGAGTTGTAGGTGGCAATACTTTGGTTAGCTGTTGGTGGTAAAGAATACTCCTTCTCTGCAGGTTCACTTGGTTTGTATGACCCAGACGGGAGGTTTCCATCGTGTGTGGTGTCCAAGTATGTGAGCGGCGAATTATTGCGTGCACGACGTATGGCTGCTTCAGGTACTGTTGTACTTATTAGTGCTGGCTTTGGAGACTACACAAATATACACACACACACACACACACACAATTAAGGATTTTCCTGAAATAAAGTAAAATAGCAGCGCCAATTTACTTTGTATGAGCGCCATGTTGGGAAACGACTGATTTGGTCCGGAGGGTTATTTCGGTTTTCAGGAGGTGGTCTTTGTTCTTCTACAAATCTGGCCATTGTCGGTTCGTGGGGATGAGGTTGTCTGGTGTGAACTGATCGTAGGGGTGTACTTTTGGATACTGGCAGGGTTGCCGGAAGAGGTGTAATTCGACTTTGTAGATGTGTTGAGGCAGACACCGTAGGATATACCTGAGGAAATCCCCTTGTTTGATCGGTTGGTGAAGAAAGATTAGGAGATGGAATAGTGTTGTAACGCACAGGAATTATTTCAGGAGGGTATTTGATCTTTGCTGTGAATGTAGTTATTGCTACCATTAATAGTTGCCACTTTGAACCACATTTTTATTTTTATATATTTCTTTTCTGTACTTACAACTATCAAGTGCATGAATCATCAAAGAGTCTTCGGGTTTTCCATCAAATTCACCGCCAACTACATAGATCTTTTCTTTGATGGCGGTCATAGTGAGACTGTGGCGTGGTGAAGGAGCTGGTCCCATGTTTTGAAACATATACCATCGATAACCTTTTTAAACGAAATCATTAATATCTGCCTTTTCTTTTATTTTCTTTCTTTCCAAAAGAACGACTGTCTTACCTTTGATTCTAAAGGCACACAGATCACCTAGTTTTACGCCATCTCGGCCTTTGCCTCCAAATACGTAGATGAGGTCATCGATTAGAGCACATGCAGCGTATTCTCTAGCAGCCGGGATATATCCAACAGCAGGAATTTTTGACCAGCATTGTTCCGCTAGATGAAAGGTCCATATGTCCTGATAGAGCCTTTCAGAGTCTGTTCCTCCAAAACTGACGATGATCTAAGCAATCCATTTTCTTTTGGTGTATATAACGTACATGTACATCTCGTTACCACTGATTACAGAAACATGGCCGGCTCTTGGCATTGGGCCTTCGTTTCTGGGAGATATCAATTTCCATTGGAGATTGTGGGGATCTGAGAAAGAATTAAGAATAATAAGACTAAGAACGGACTAACAGTATATGGATGATGAAAAGAAAAGAAACTTACATTCGGTCATATTAATAGCATAGAGGTCATCCAAGTATTTTCCTTTTCTTTGACCGCCCCACACATAAATGATGCCATTCAAAACAACGCTTGAATGACCTGCTCTTTCTCCTGGTCCGACGCCATCTACACGTACCCGAGCCCATTGTCGGTTGTCTATCATACTTATTTAGTAATTTAAGCTTTTATGACAATAACAACTAGACAACTAAATTGCCAATTGATCTTACTTGTATTTAATATATAAAGATGTGGATCCCATAGATCTCCTTCTTGCAGAGGTTCACCTCCGTGAACTGTTGAAGAATAAAATCAATTAGAGAATGGTTTTGTATGGAATTTAAATGAATAACCTACGTAATACATAGTTTCCTACACTTTGGGCAATGGGATATGTTCTCGGACTCGGGATATCCCCAGTTGAATTGTATGGACTGGTCGATAGACTATCTTTTCTTTTACATGTCAGTGTGCTTGTATTATAGAGACAATTATAAAGTCAATTAAAATAATATATATATATATCAAAAAAAAACATACTACTGTCGAGTATAAAACTGTCTCGTTTGGCAGGTCCTCGATGGATGCCATTAAAAAAGAGGATGTTGTTATTTGGTAGGGCGATTGTGCAATGGGCGGATCGTGGAAGTGCATTATTACTACTGCTCGATTTACGTTGGCTCCATGGGTAGATAGATTTTTCGCTGGAGCTTTTGGTGAGTTTTGCGAAAAAGGCCATGTTGAGACAAAAAATAAAAATAAAATAAAAATAAAATAAAAAATATATGTAATTTCTAATGAAGACGATTTGTATGTTCTGATTTGAATGAGTTTGTTTGTGCCAAGCAGAACTGTTGTCTGCGGCAATGTGAGTTTTTGGCTTTTTTTTTTTTGCTTTTGTTTAGAATGAATGTATTAAGTTAAGAAAAAGAGGTTTCGGAAATCAAATGTCGAACGTGAATAGACTTCCAGGTTGAGAGAGAAAGAGAGAGAGAAAGAAATCACAACAAAAAGAGCGCACCAAGGAACGTGCTTCGTGTAAGTGTATCGGCGGGATGTCAATTGGTAGTGAGTTTTTGGCTATATGTCTGTCATCAATATTTGTTAAATGGGCAATTGTTCAAGTGCTTATAAAAGAGAGTAAAGTGGTAAATATTATAACATGCTATTCACATGTTGTCCGTGGTATTTTATGATCCTCATATTAAACTGATAATTAAATCAAACAAAAAGGACTTCTTTATGTTTATTGATCCAATTAGGATACGATTTGATTAATATTAAATGTTTAATGATGATATTCATATAATTACTTTTAGACAGACTGGAAATGATCTTTTTATTTTTCATTTTTATTGGTTACTAAATCAATGTATTTATGCATTTATATATATATGAATATATTGCCAAATTGCTTATTGGATTTCGAGTTATATACACCAATCAACAAGACAATGCATGTATCACCATAGAAACAGATCATCATAATCGATATTTGTGGTTTGAAATAAGCTAAGAAAAGAGGAAGAAAAGAGCCGCAGAGATACTTAAATATAATTATTTTTTCTGTGTTATTTTTTTTAATTTTTTTAGGGGTATTTATAAGCTGTTCATGTTTAATCTGCCTTTATTTTTTTTTACTATAGAATTCGATTTAGAAAGTTTTTATTGTTGCCTTTCCAGCCGGCGGCAAACAATGGCCCGATCACGTGAGATGACCGTAAACAATGCGTCCGGTTATGTAACACGATTAGGAAACCATTACAACAGAAGAAGGCACAAGAAAAAGAAAAAAGAAAAATCTGTCTTATTGGTTCAAATTTTGTTGGTGATATAAACTTACATACTAATTACAAAATTGCTGTTATCCGGGTACATTATTTTGTTTATATACTTTATATATATAAATTATTTATCAAAATGAATATCGCAAGAAAACAAAATAAATAAAAAAAAAAAGGTAACAAATAGGGTCGCAGACTTAATTAAAATTTTGACTTTTAAAAGCAGAAAAAAAAATCAGTGTCACATCAAAAAATATATGTACAAATGTCGCATATACTATTGATTCTGCAATTATTTCGCGTCTTGACCAAGGAATAGATGCTGCGTTGGATTTGCCAACAATGAATCAGTCTTTCTTTAAGCGATTTGTTAAATGGAGAGGGGAAGATCTTTAATCCACAAACCAAAATACAAGAATTACAACATTTTGAATTTTGGTTATATCTTGGTTTGGACACCGCCCTTAAACAATAATGATAAAGCTTGAACACACACACACACATACAAAATACATGTCTATTTAGTTTCCTTTGGTAGCTATATCCGATTTCTTTTGGAGAAATTTCCTGTATTTAACATCCTTTTCCCATTTTCTGCTCTTGTTGTTGTTTTTGTACCTATTGATCGGCTGTTGGTGTAAAGACACTGAGAAATTAACTTTGTAGGCCTGAAAATAAATTTTTGGTAATACAAATGAGAAAAGAAGAGGAAAGAAGAGGAAAGAACTAGACAACTAAACCGAAAACCCCCGCCGCTGTATGTATAATCACAGCTGTTTTCTGGCTATAATTACACTAGAACAGAAGGACCGTTTATTTACAACACAGGTTCAATGAAGTCTCCCACCAAATTATAATGTATATGGTAAATGTTACGTACAAGCCCTTGTGTGTGGGCATGTGAAAAGAGGTCCTCAAAGTATTTCAAGCTAATTAGGGTTATATTTTTTCAAAACTGACATAAATACAGAGTAGATTAAATGTTTGTCCTCCACAAATTCCATGGTCTTCTAAAAGACAAAGGATCTGATAGGCAGACCTTTCCTTTATCCCGTAGGACCCTTTCACAGCACAAGTCCGTACGACTTTTGTGTAAGTTCCAGGTTTCCTAAAAAACCAAATCAATGTTGTTTGAGGAATATCAAGAGTGTTTATTTGTGGGAAAATGTGGCTATGGAAATCAGATATGGACATTGTATACACAAAGGTGTTTTGATATTTTTTAAAGCTCATGTGAGTGAAGAGAGGCTTTTTCTTTTCTTTCAAAGTGTGTTCTAGTGATTTGTGAGCTCTACCAAGGGGTATTAGTGTTAGGGTATGTGCAATAAAATAAAATAAAATAAAAAGAATTGTGGTACTACAAAGCATTACTTGGCTAAAAAAAATTGTCAAGCCTCCCTTCCTATTCATCTGTGTCAGCTCTTCATCCGTATTGGTTGTATCTCGTGAGACTATCGGGGTCTTGACCAGGCCACTTTGGCAAGTCATAAACATACTTAACCAACGAACAATATCACAAATAGGTAATCATATGTTAACGCTTCGTTAGATAAGCTGTACTTTCTTTCTGACATATTATAACGCTTCAAAGCCATCCATTTTTAACCCTTTTACGAACCTTTCCAATCAAACTTGGTAGCTGTCAATATTTTGAGATAAAAAAGACCATGAACATAACTTCAACACGGATTATTACGTTGTTCTCTTTTATTTTCGTCAGTAGGTATATTTACAGCAAATCTCATTATATATACTGTCTTTCGCTCATAAAGGTTTCTGTTGATCTGATGGTTGGCTGTCACTGAAGCATTGTGAAGTGTACAAGTGCCTGGTGCGTGCGGGTGTGTGGTACGTTTCTGAGATGTGATACCGTCAGGCTCAGTAACAGCTATATATTATCCGTTCTTGAATGCGAATGTTGTATTTCACTCAATTGTGGTGCGTATACTACAATGCGGCTCCTAGCCACCAGAAAATGTTCTGTAGGCATGTTGTATATATAGCAAAGCTCAAAAACAAGTATTGCATAGATTTCTTGTCATTTGCACCTGAGTTAATTCTCTGGATTCAAATATTTCCCTCTAAAAGGATAAAAACTACCCGAGAATATGTGAGTGCTATTTACTAGCCTGAAGGAAGGTTGGGGTGGGAAGTGAATGAGAGGTAAGCGGGTGGGCGCAAGAAACAATAGAAAAGTTTGAGTTTGAGAACTATCTACATAAAGTCTTCTAGTTGAGCGTTACTGTGTTTACTTGATTTTTATTTTTTAGGTTAATTAGCATTACTTTAGCTACATTTTTAAAATTTTCCGGGTGCTTTGATCGGTTAGTCTTTCAAGTACCACGTTAGAATAGGTTATCTCAGTTAGAGCACCTTTAATGGAATCATAAACACTCATACCCTTCCAATTGTGCAGGTTTTTACACCAAAATCTAAAATAAAACATGTCTTTCTATGGCTCAAAAAAGAAGAAGAGCTCAGGAAGAAAAAACACTATGAGAATTCAAGCTGGTTTTATGCAACAATATGCCTTTTCCCAAAAAAGAAAATAAAAAATGACAGATTGAAATTTCTTTTGCGACAAGTGTTTGAATTGGCGAGAATATCAATCATACAGGCTGTATCTGTAACCAAATAGGAAAAGATATAATTGTGGCTAATAAGCTTCTTTTTTTTTTTTAAAAAAAATGATTAATCTAAGCACCACTTTATTTCTAGACTATCATGCAGGTATCTTTATACGACCGGTGACAGAATGCTTGTCGATGATACTGTGTAATACTCTTAATAATATGACAGCCTATTCTCGCTCTATTATAGTGAGAAATATAACACAGTGGGTAGCATGTGTGCGCCTATGAGGTCAAACTTATCCGATACTGGCTAAATGTGCAAGAGTGCTTCTATACCTTCCCAATCAAATAGTCATAATCTGTATCTCAAAACAGAAAAACAAAAACAATAAATTGCTACCCCTGGTGACCCTCTTCAGATCTATCCAAAACCACTTATCTGCCACCTTGAAACCAGTTGCTTCGTGCTGACCAAGCAGAAGAATTCGATGGTTTTTATTGACAATAATTACTAATGTATTGGGAAAATTCAGTCGCGATTTTGCTCATTTGTTTTTAGCGTCTGATCAATAAAGCAACATAAAATAGCTAAAGACTCCAGTATATGTGACATATATAGACATTCTCTTATTTTAAGATAAAATATTAATATTACAATATTGTTATTATTTTCTTGGAACATAATTTTGATAAAAGGCAAATATTATAGTATATTTATATATATTATACATATTAAAGTCGGCTCAACTGGTTAAGTAAAAGTATCTTGTTTTTTGATTGTGCTTATGTGCTTGTGTCTGTGTGTATCTGTATTTCTTTATTTTGAAGAAAAAAGGAAAGCTATTATTTTTTTGCTCGGGAATCTTTTTACCCTTTCCATATGATTTTGCCTATTCTTGATCATTTTGGCATCACAGACCGAAGAATCTGGTTGAGCCTCAGGTGATCGCCTCAAGATTAAATCCGGCCCCGACTATATCCGTTCCCAATTTGTACCTGTATGGGTTCAGACAACAGCTAAGAGAGAGAGAGAGAGCTGACTTTATATACAATTTTGCGCTGCTTCAATATCCATTGTTACCGAAAAAAAAAATTACACACTTCAGGAACAGTAAAGTAACAAAAAACGAACCTATCAGAATACGTATCCATGGCGAGAAAAAGGCACAACTATTACTTATTTATATTATAGCAGAAAAATAAGAATAAGAATAAGAAAATGGACCTTATATAAAACTTTGTATCTTCTGTTCAACGTTTCACGTGAGACGTCAGTGGAGAATGCACTGAAGATGTACAATGAGCTCACTTATACGCCTCTCATGGATCACTCCAGTCCGTTGGAAATTCTAGATCTTCAAGTATAAATAGAGACCCATAATTTCGGTTTTTTCATAGTTTCTTTTTTCTTTTTTTCTTTTTTTTTCTTTTCTTCTCTTCACATTTAATAAAGTGTGATGCCGTTTTCATTCTATATTCTTGTTGAAAAGTTCGGTGCATACGTAAATGACTTATTCGGATTAAAACGGCACCCAACCGAAGATCTCGTTCAAGTTCCCAAGATCACTATCCCTGCAGACGCCAACCTTTCTCCGCGACAGATCACGATAAAGAAGTACTGGGAACGATTCAAAAGACCTATAGGCGTTCCTTTAAACCATTACACCTATGTAAAAGTGCTTGGCAGAGTCGGCTTTGTATCGAAAGGCATCGTTTATGCTGTCATGGGTGGCATGTGTATTTCAACAGCAGCCCATCTTGACCCCGAGGTTGATGGTCTTCAGTCTCCAATGGTAATATTCATAAAGTCCGTCCATTTTTATGAAAATATTTTAATTTTTTTTAATAAAAAAAAAAAACCAACTAACTAACTTATGGATTTATCTATTATAGGGCGTCTTTATATATCTTGGTCTTTTCTCTATAGGCACACCACTGCTTATTATTATGCTTATTGGCATCTCGTTTTACTCTACTTGGCGATTGTAAGTATTTTTTTTTATTGTGTTGCATGATACATTCCAGGTAAATATTAACTCAAACTCTAAAGTTGGGAAGGTTCTTATGGTCAAGGAGGTGACAAAACACAGTCTGCATTCAAAAACTTTTTCCGCTGCCGATTGTCGCCCATTGTATCAGGCTGCGTTTACATAGTCTACCTGACATATATTGGAAAATTACTGGCAAAAACAAGAGAGGAAAGAATCGCATTAGGAGATGTAACCTCAGACGATTGCTTCCCAGCTTGTTGGGGACACTCTGAACATTGGTACAAGAAAGCAGCAGTAGTCATCTTTGGCATGGCATTTCTAATTGCATGCATCACTCAACTGCAGAATGTCTTTACCAAGCGATGGCACAATGATCTAATGGTACATCATTGTACTCGTATTGAAAAATGGGTGATGATCACTCTGGGTCATCTCGGATTTTTAGCCCGCGCTGGTGTAAGCAACAACAACAACAAAAAAAGAAGAGTACAATTCTTAAAACTAAATTTCTACTTCATCTTTTACAGGTTTTTATGTTTGTCGGTGTATATATGTTCAAAGTCTCACGCCATGATATCGAAGTTAAACACGATTCGTTTGCAGACGCAATCAACCAAGCCAACAATGTGAAAGGCGGAGCAGTTCTTTTGTGGCTACTAGGAATAGGCTTGATTTTTTTCGGCGTCTTTGCCGCGGGTAATGCCTACTACAAGTATTACCCCACACCGCCACCACATCGACAGGCATTTTACCTAGAGGACAGTGAACTTCATTTCGAGCCAAAACCCAAGACAGCTGAGGAAGAACTCACGGCAGTCATTGTTGAAATTCCAGAAGCCACTTCGGCTAAGCAAAATACCCCACCAATGAGTGAGATTGTGACCCCAAACAATAACTATCCAAGCGGTTCATCTGATAAGAATCCTATATCCATAGCAACCACAGAAACCATGAGCATTTCTGCTAGCCAAACAACCGAAGATTCGGATGTGACCTCCATTCCGTCGCCTGTAGAAGAATCTGTCGTTAGTCCAGGTGCTCCTCTCATGATACCTGAACGTCCACCTTCCCCATGGGAGAGTACCGGAAGATATCGAATGAGAAAATAGTTCTATCTTTTTTTATTTTGTTTTGTTCAAAGACAAAAGACGAAACAAGCCCTATAGAGTGAGCCACACTTAACCAAAAAGTCATAGCTATAATTTATTTATATTAGATTCCTACATGTACACTTACTTACAAACCTTACTTAATTTACTATATACACTTAATCTTAATTTTCTTTGTACTTTACCAATAATACCAATAATAATAATAATATGCATCTGTAGTATAGGTTACAATACATCTTAATACATTTCGAGTCATAAAATGTTACCCATTCTTAATTAGTTCTTTTGACTTTTTCTTTCTCTTGCTTTTTAAGTAACAGCTCATACTACATAACACCTTAAACGATATTAAATCGAATTGAATTTAATGGTTTATCAAATCAGTGTATTAGAGTATGTCAGTTTGCCTGTTTTCTTTTTCTTTTCAACTTATGAATAATATCTGTTTGATAATCAATGAAGGAGGTTTTTCTTTAAATATTCAATTATTATTTTTATCATAGTATTTTTCTTATCTTTCTTTAAAGTCATCCTGTTATTCAATACTTTTTTATTGTGAAAATGAAAATCAGTTAATCAAAACCCATAATCTTACAGTTTAGTTTATAGCGTTCTTTATATGTAATTTTGGGTGTCATTGGAGTTAATACAATTGTTTTTTAATGATGCGTTTTTTTGTTGTTGTTTCACTACTGAAAGTTCATATCAACCCAAATTATTCATTTAATACAAGGTTTTCTTCGCACACACAGTGTAACATAAATATCAGTCCTCTAAAGGCATCACCAGACAAAGTTCCAGGTCTTATTTAAACAATACCATTCGATATAAACTACGATGATATTTGTAAAAGAAGATAAGTAATTGCTAAAACATTCTGATAACTGTATGTAAACCATATGATTATAGATAGTATTATTATTCAAAATGATGATGATGACAATAATATAACGATTGTGTGCATTATTTATAAAGGGTATCAGAAAACTTTATACGTAATTCATTACTCATGTACGTTACGTTATTTGTGTATATTTGTTTTTATGCAATGCAAGGAGTTGATATAACTAGCTTGAAAAAAAAAGCAAAACAAAAGTCAATAGATATTATTATCATTATTTTTCAAAAATATAGTAATTATACATTTTTATTTGTAGAAAGAAAAAAAAAAGAATGAAAAATAGTACAATGTTTACATTGAAAAATAACATATATCCTCAAATTTTATTTTATTTTTACTCAATAATAGCAAGTAGTTGACTAATAAGCATTGAAGTAGGAAGGGCATTTGGTTTTGTAGGAACATAATTTGTATCTGCAAGGGCAGGGAATTCAATTTCTTCAAGGAGAGTCTTTTGGTTGCGTCTTTCGGTAGTAGTATTAAACACCGGCTCTGAACAGGCAGTCAAGAGAATTGCTTTTATGGTATCGATAAGAGCAAAATTTTGGCTTGAAACAACGATTTGGTTCATCTTTGGTAGAAGTGCCTCATAACTAAAATGCCGAATTAATATTATGATTATGATTATTATTTTGTAAAAAAAAATCTTTGCACTTACACAAGTGAAAACACTTCTGGTATAGATATGGCAGCCTCAGCCAAGAACTCGTAAAGGAATAGTCGTTCAGACTCATTATCAGAAGCATTTACCATAGTAACCAAAAGGGATACAAGAAGTAATCCAGTCGTGTTGTCAGGAATCTCCAGTGTATCAAAGATTTGGACATATGAGGACTCAAACTCGATTCCGTCGAGCTCAATATCATCTATTCCGGCCAGTCGCAAAAGTTCTCGGAGTGCACCGTTTTCGACCGCGAACGGAAGCAAGACTGCGAGGTAGCCAATCGTCCGAGACTTGACAACGTTCTGTTCAACGGATCTCTTACAGTCGATCTCAAGGAATGTAGTAAGACACTGCAGTGTGTTGGCTTTTGGGTCACAGTTGATCAATCCTTTTAACAATATACCAGCTACCGCAAAGGAGAAATGGGTGTCAAAGTTCACGCCGCTCTGTAGATCGATCTCCCTTGCAATGTCTGACATTGGCTCGCGTGCTTCCATAAGAACATCTGCCAGCGATCTGTGCACAAACAGTTTACTGTCATCCAAAGCCTGTAAGACTGACTGGAGCAGCTGAATAGCAGCAGGGAATATGGCAGGGCGGTTCATCTGGACAAGTGCGATGGCAATCCAGAAAAGTGACTTTACATAGCGCGAGTTTGCTGGTAGATGGTGGATAATGTTGCCAAGGCACATCATGATACTGACAACCAAGTAAGAGTCAGATTCATCGTATTCTTCTAAGGCTCTTTTCAATGCAATCAATATTTGATAGATAAGATCATCATCTACTTCATCTTGAGCTAAGCAGCCAAGAACAACAAATGATCTGGGCTGGATTGCAGGGTTAAACTGGAAGGTTGTACTAGTAACAAGGCTCATCCAGCGTGCTCTCCACATGTTTGCGACATCTAAAATCATTTAATTTAAGTACGTAAATAATAATAATAATATTATATTTCCTTCCTTTTTTTTAGCTATCAAAAAAAAAGAACCTTACCTGTTGAAGAAGCTCCAATTGCCAAAACATCCAATAAAAGGCGAACAACCGACTCTAATGATGTTAGGTTAAGTGGACCAGAGGCGTCTGTGTTGGCCTCGGGTGAAATAACAAAAGCATTTCCGTGTGATTTGATAAGACCAAAGTTGAGGCGGCACTTTGTGTCGCAAACGTCGTTTAACAGGAACTGCAGCTTTTTTTCGTTATCTTCGCTTAAGTCCGAGCCAGTGCATATTGTGTGTATAATATTGATAACAAGTTCATGGACAGAAGCTCTGATAAACGCTGGGCCTGTTGCTACCAAAAGAGAAACGATATGAAAAATCTCTGGAAGATAGGGTCTGGCTGTCTTGACGTTGTTAAACGAAAGCATGAGAAGAAATCTAAGAAGAACGGCAATCTCTGCCCACGCAGGATGATCGACTAAGTTTTTGCATGGTTGTACCAGCGTACGTTGTATAGTCTGTTTTTAGATGAGTGTCAGTAATGTAAGATATTACGGTCCATCCATCTACAAAGGGCCTTACATTGCGCATTCTTGAAATAACTTTTGCGCGTACAGATGTGCCTGCCATTGTAACAAAAGTGTCTGCCAAGGACTCTGCTCGCAAAGAACCGACACCACTTTCCACAGAATATTGTATAAATGATTCCAGAATAAGGTTGACCATGTCATCAACTTCTGCTAATGGTTTCCACACCTTGGCCTGAATGTGTTTGTAGAGCTATACAAGTAATATGAGCCAAGTGTATCTTTTTTAAAATATGTATATACTAAATGATGTCCCAGTAAACTAGTCAAGTACATACCGAAGGTTGAGATACAGTAAGTTCAATAAATAAACGCAGAATCTCTTTTGTTTTTGTGAGACTACGAGAGTTACTACTTGAGCCACCACGCCCAAATATGGCCAGATTGCGAAGCCAAGGAGACATATACTCCAAGCAGAGGAGTTGCATTTGCTTTTCAGACTTGTATAACCCTGCAAAACTTTCTGCCAAGAACTCCAAGGTGAGCTGAGACTCGGTATGGGATAAAATTTTACTGATGTTGACAATAAAGTTTGTGCTGTTTGCAGGAATACATAGGTCTATGAAAGAGTTAGGCTCGAGGCTTCTGGTCAGTTTTTTTTTAAGTTTATAATATGTACCTCTTGTATGCATTAGTTGATTTCCGACGTCAAAACGGAACGCTTCACTCAAAGAGCATAATAAACAGTATGCAGAGACACGCAATTCAGGATCACTACTACCGATATTGAGCAAGGCCATGTTAAGTAGTCGACCAGGAACATCTGTTGGGTTAATCGAGTTTTCATGAATGTTTGCAGGTTTTGTAATCTCATCGTAGCGTGTTTTGTTGAAACGGAGAAGCTATAGTAAATATACAGACATACATATATATATATATATATTTATATAAACATTTTGGTTTTTTGTATGTTTTTGTAAATTTTATCTGATTTACTTACAGCAAGAATAGAGTTTCTCTTGGAAGTAGCAAATATCAAGGATGTTTGTCCATGATCAGTTTTGATGCAGAAATCCCCTCCTCCAGTTTCTGTACTCTTTGAGCTTGAGATAGGAAACACATTATCAATCTCAGAGATATGATAAATATCGTTCAAGACACTATTCAATCCCCAGAGCATTTCCTGTTTGCGCACCTACACATTTTTGTTGTTGTTGAACATATTATCCTTTGTTTGATACTATTGAATACTCTAACTGTTTATGACACTTACTGTCGTAATCTGTAAATATTCAGGACCAAGTTTAATAGTAACAGGAATAGATAGAACCATATTAGCAATTCTAACTACAGGCGAAAATGCAATACATTTCTCCTTATCAATGTCAACTATGATATTAGATAAAAAAATTAAGGTGAGTCTTTTTTTTTTACGACACAACACACATATTATATGTTTTTTTTTTCTCAATATACCTGTTGATTTTGGGAGGCGAAGTTCAGAAGGAGCGATATACTCTTGCAGCTCAACTGTGCTAAACAAAAATATGGTTCTCTTGAGAAGTCTGTTGGCTAACACGCGAGGAAGTTTTCGGACGTATCGTTGGAATTGAGTATTTGGGTTGAAGATATATAGCGCAGAGAATGTATCATTGATTTCACTGAATATAAGTTGAACAAGCTGATTAAGCCAATGGGCAGGCATGTGGCAGTCTGTGTTGAGGCATGTTGTGTCTAACAAAAGTTCAAATGGCTTTTTGATATATGGTTCCATAACCTAGATACAGAAGAATGATTAGAAAACTATAATTCAACATGAAAAGAGGGAATTTTTTTTTGATTTTTTTTTATAAAACTTGATATCACTTACACAAAGCGCATAATAAGTAAGAAGCTCAAAATCAAAGTTTTCACCTTTTGCTTTGTTGAGAATCATATAAAATACAGGACGTCCACTTCTAGAAACACCACCCTGGTAAAATATATTGAGTGAACTGATGGTAGTGACATCGCGGTACCGGTTGCGGTTGATAAATTCACAGTAATAATGGTTATTGTTTGCTGTCGAATAATTTACTGAAAGCGTTGTAAGATCTTGTTGAGAGATATCAGGAGGACGACCAAGCTGTGCAAGCAAGCTCGATAGCTTATCAAGTGTTCTCTTCCACTCAAGCAATTTTTGTGTATCAGAAATCTCCTTGACTTTGCGCTCGCTCAAATCTCTGCCCATGCGTTCAAAGTTGTCAGAGATATAGCGGTGAACTCTGTGGTATGTTTTGTGATCGAGCTGCACAGCAGGGATCTGGATTGCCATGGTTTCTTCACTTGGGACTGTAGATATCTCCCGCAGGAAGCCAGCAACCTTGTATATGTTGCTCGTAAGAAAATCGTTGAGGACAATCATGTGGGTTTCTTTGGCTCCAAAGAAGACATTGTTGGCCAAGTTTTGAATGATACGTGTTGCTTGAAGTAGAAGTTTTCGAACATTTCCAGTTCTCGAGGTAGTTAATTTGGAGAACATTGAGTTTTCTGGAGCAACAATTGCAGGTCCAAATAGACGTAGAATGACAAATCCACCGACTGCAGAGTATTTTGCTTCTGGGAATCTGACTCGAACAGCGTCGACAATCAATGAAAGTTCTTTTCGGAAGATTCTAATAAGAGAAAGTATATATGCGTAAGTAGAATAAATGGCATAATCAACAGACTATATGCGTACCTAGGTGCTTTGTTGGATGATGAGCAGATTGCATTCAAAAGGATTTCAGTCGCGTGAACAACATTCTCTTTGTTAGTTGCGATATCTTCTCCTGGTTTAAGTTTTTGTGCATCAAGTTCCCATGTTTGCATATGTTCGGGTAGCATGTTTATCTCGTCCATTACAGATTGTAGTGTACTTTGAATATAGGCACCGCAACAATTTTGCGCGAATATAGACAATAGTTGAGTTGCAACTGTTGTACCTCTAAACAAAGTAGCTTCTTGTTCTGTAGATAATATTTGTTTGGTTATTTTATTATCCATCTTACTAGATCATTCACATTAGCAATCATAATTACCTGTCGAAGCAACCTCTTTTTTTATTACTTCCTTCAGTAGATGCATGATCTTTTCGCGAGATTCGTAGCAGACCAAAATTGTTTCCATAATAGATGCGGTGTCAGAAGGTGGACAAACGCTACAGAGGGACATCACGACAGATATATCTGAGTCAATAAGTACCTATTTGACCAAAGAGAAAGCATACACACACGCACATACATTAGTCTATCTAATTTATAAGTAAAAATAAAAATAAAAACAAATTTTTACATCAATCATTTGTTCATATCGATCAGTCATTAGATTATCTGCCAAGCTGTCAAATTTGGCTCCTTCGTCAAGAATATTTGCAAGCACTTGCATAAATGCTGTACGTGTTCGTATATCTTCATGGTAAGCCATGGCCAATGAATATTTAAGGCCAGTCTCGACATTTGCATTCAAAAGGTTTGACATTGCCAAGATCGTATTGTCTTTCAGTATTACCCACTCATTGGTGTTTTCGATCTGCGTTAGACAATATAAAGAGCATGTTAGTCAATCTGATATGTAGCAATTTATATTTTAGCTATTTACTATTAATTCCGTTGTTTCTTGGATATGTAAATATATCAAATGAATAAATAAAAAAATTATGATTTAGCTTTCTATGTACCTTGTTTGTCGCATTTGCGGCCTCAATCTAATTGATGGTTGTATAGGGCAGATAAGCTTACAATAACAATATATATATATTACCTTTATTATTTATTAATATTATTTTTACCTCATTGACTCGGCATCGATTTAGAAGCTTCAAAAAGAAGGCGAGATACTTGTAAAACAGTCGGCTTTTAACCTGGGCAGCTTCACTTTCTGAAACTGGCTCAGATGTCTGTAGTGGTAGTTGATGAAGGAGTGTCGCAATTGCTCGAATACAGGCTTGATCGAGATCACGTTGTAACTTTTGATTCTGTGGCCCATCTTGTAAAGCCATGGATGGTTTTAAATCGGATGCTTGCTTTAATAACAAATTTAAAGATAAATAAGTTTAGCGCTAAACTATAAAGCCTAATATTCATTTTCTTATATATAACATACCAAAGCAAACCCACTGGTCCATTCGACAATAACCTCCAATAGCTTATTTCTCAATCGCATTTCGTCTCTCACCACAATTTGCTCTTTCTTCAGGACAAGTGTTTCTATCATGTGAGCAACCTTAATTTTTACACGTAGTGTGGTTTGATTGTTCGGGAGTTGATCAATGTAAGAGGTGCAGTAACGGGTCAAGGTACTAAAATTGACACTCAACAAAAAGTCATTCGGATCCACCAATCTATCCAAGATCGACTTTAAGATAACTACGACTAAATCGACGAATGTTGTTCTCGAGGGATCACAAAGAGCCTCCTCATCAGCGTTGAAAAAAGTCGACATATAAGTTTCGAGGTGCTTGAAAAGATTAGAGTAAAGTTCGGGTGCAAGTTCAATTCCAAGAATCTCTCTGACACTCTCTCGGATTGTCGCTTTGTCAGATGCCAATAATTCTACCATTTCAGATACAAAACGGTCCACCATAATCTCGGGCTCCGTTGGCGAATAGACACGACGAAAATCTTGGACATATTCGACAGATTTTTTGGCGCCAGCTAAGGTAAAGTTGTCTGTGAAAGGTGATTTGATCAGGCAACATCCGCCAAGTGAAGAAAGAAAACCAGCATAATTCTCCCATTCTACTCTCATATCTTCTTTTGATTCTGTACGATTTTGGTATGCAGAAGCCAGTCTAGATGCACTTGTTTTCATTTTTTCTCTTCCGGGACCCATTCCCTGTCCTCTTTTTCCAATCGTGCTATCGTTGAGGTCTTCAGAGAACGTATCTGTGACAGATAAAGAAAGTGGGCCTGTCAAAGCCTTCCACCTCTTCCAAGCTTCTTCCCATGCAGCCAATATTCCGGGTGTGGGTGTCGAAAGCATCCTTAAATATTTTCGAAGGCGTTTTTGTTGGGCTTTTCGACCTATAAATGCAGTATCTTCTCTCACAATCTCTTTGTATATATCAAGGTTCCGAAGCATGGTACTGTATTCGTTGATTTCATATTCAGATCCGGTAATAAAATTTGTTTCTGCGCATAGGTATCCAACACATCTTGTCGAGGCAGAGCACAGCTCTGGTTTTGGAGAGCACATAGTCAGCAATAGGGCAACTTCGATAGCAACAGCCGATTGAATGCGAATCTTTATAGAGGATCCATCGTTTGCATTTTCCTAAAAGCAATCGCATAATAAACAGTAAGAAATATTTAGCTCACATAATAAGCATAATAATACTTTTGGAAACTTACTGCGTTGTTGCGAATGAATATGGACCTTGTAGCACATAATTTTCCTTTGAGATTCATGAGGAACAAATTCCCTTCATCATCTTTGGGTTTTTCAAGGATCTGTCTTGCTATTAAGAATCCTAGCTGAGAAGAAATTCGCCAGAAATTTGGCATTCTAGTTTCAAAAGGACCCCAGAGGTCGATGTGCTTTTGTTCGTGTAGTTTGATGAGACATTCACCAGAAAGTTGTCTGATATTTTGCTCTGGATGCTGAAGTAATTGTGTCATACCCGCCATAACAGCAGCGTGACTCTCCAATGGATCTTCTTCTTTACCCTTTGAAAAATGGGAAAACGATGATTCGAATTGTCTGGTTAGCAACAAGTTTTTACTTCATATCTCATTCTGGCTTACCATGAGAACCAACAAAGGGTCGGCTCGATAAAGACGCAGGATGTCTTCAAGAATCATGGTGTTTTCTTTTTCTTTTAATTTTATGTCTTTTCTCGGGTTTTTGTCTAGTTGGGCTCTCCGGGGGCCCAATTGGCCGAGTACGGATTCCATTCTGCTGATTGTACCGTATTCGTATCCACTTGCTGGTAGGAATATTTTTCTTAGATACCCGCAGAGCATGGGGTACATACACTCAATCTTTGGATTCCATGGAAGATGTGGATCTTCCTGAACAATGGCAAGACAAGACTTTACCAAAGCCATTTTAAATACGACAGGGGCTCCGTCTTCAAGGCAGACAGGAACAATATCGCACAGTGTTTTTTTTGTGTCAAGGCGTAATCTGGCCAAGAGATAATCTGTGGCAAATGCTTGTTGGTCAATTGTATATCCTCCATTTGTTATCGAAGGTTGAGGGACTGAGAAACGAGCGATGTTCCAGACACACTCTCGCAGGTCGTCTTCAACGTCAGTTGCGATGTGACGTAGTACACTATTTTCGGTTGGAGATACATATGTAGCTGCTCTGCAAAAGTCTACGTAGCACATTGCAGCAATTTCTGTTGATCTTGCCGTTCTCAAGGTTTTCCCCAACACTTTCAAAAACGCTGCCTAATTTTAGAAAGCCATAAATATTGTTAGTTAGTCATACAATACAAATTATTCTTTTCTCTTCCAAAAATTAAAACAGAACAAATCATTTTACCCTTCTATTTTGAGAAGAGGGGCCATCAAGATAAGCTTGTATCAAGACATCTGGGGAGAGGATGAGTAAAAGAGATCGGAGAGGCCAAATGATGGCTTTTCTTCTAAGGCTATCTGTATTCGAATTGCAAAGATCAAAGAGGATCTCTGATCCGTTCATGAGACGATTGTCACTCTCGTACATTTCTGAGAATTCGGTGGGATAAGACTCGATCCAGCGCCAGATCGCAATTCTCATCAGTTTTGCAAATAGCAATTTTGTCTCGTTTTCAATATTTAAGAAATAAGGACTTAGGTCTACAGGAAAACATTAACTTTTTGTTAAAAGATGTATAATGAAAATCGATTATCATTTCTCCCCCTTTGTTGTTCTTCTTTGGTCTTACCTGTTAAGACCGTTGAGAGTCTGTCTCTGGTCAAGCAACAGCACTCCAAAAGACGCAATTCAGTCAAGCTTGCTTCTGTATTGTCACTGATAATGCTCAAGGTGTGGACAGCATTTTTGATTTTTGCATAGTAAGTCTGCCAGTTACTTGCACTCACATAATGCAGAATCTTTCCAGCTGCACTATGAATGCTCATGACTAGTTCGTATGACTGACAGTCAATTCTAGTTTGGAAACAGGCTAGCTCGTTCGCGAAATAATCGGGAGAAGAATAATTGTAAAGTTCGTTTGCCTCTTCGAGTACATGTGCTTGGTAAATAAAGCGTCCTAAAAGGACCATGAGAAATGAAACCAAGGCTTCATCTAGGGGAGGCGGATCGACTAGAGAAATGACTTTTTCTGTGGCGCCCTTTTCGTCCGAGTCTTTGGTTGATTGTTGATTTTTCGGTGCTTCTTTGAGAAATACGGTGGTACTGCTGGATGAAGTTCTTCTAGATACACTGGACAAAGATTCGGCTGGTTTTTTCGTAGGCTGTTGTCGAAACCATGTCCAGTGGTGTCGCATACAAGCCGATAATAGTCTGAGGAGAAAGAGCTGGGATTGTAAGACCTCTATTGAAGCTAATGGGTCTGAAATGGAGTGAAAAGGTTGAGCAGTCTGAAAGTTATTGGTGAGTAAAGATAATGACCGAGATTTTAGATTATATATATATATATATATTTCTTTAAATAAAAAATGATGGTTACTTTTGATATCGCATCAAGGGCAGAAGCAAGAGAATTGACGATAGTAGATAGCTTGTGGATTGACAATTCGATGATAGCGGCGACTAAGTAGACATACAAATTATTTACTCAGATGTGGTCCATTATGCTTTTTATATATATATATTATATATATATATTGAGTCTAAGGTTATTTTTACTGCTATTATTTTACTTTATATTATTTATATATATATAGATTGATTCCTTTTGTTTTATTACCTGTCTGTTGCATAACTGGATCTTGCTCGAGACTTTCAATCTTCCTACCATTATTGACCGGGAGCTAGAGGATGTTGATTGAGAAACCAAGATTTCATGTGTAGATCTCTTAATCTCTAAGCTTACTCGCATGGCGACTCGATTAACGAGACTGAGGATGAGCTTTGTGTTGGAACGCATATTAGCTCAATGAGATGCTGGTAGGAATGGATTCAAATGTGCTGTCAGAGAAATCTCAATTTCTCCATGCAAACAAGAAAGTGGATTTTGTCGAGAATAAGAGAAGAAAAGGGCAAGGAATGAGCTATCAAAAGAGTGAGAATACCGATAGTAATCAAGACACATAAACAGGCTTTGTTTCACCAAGCCATATCGTACCAGTTGTTAGCACGCCACCCGTGTTCCTGAATACTTTCGGGTCTTTAACACAGTTGCCAATATAATATGAGCAGCACAACGGTACACCTTGTCAAAGAGAAATTTAATTATACTTAATTATATATTTTATTTGATATTATGTCTATTATATTTATAGAACGTTGGTACATGAATATATGAGTATATAAAGCCATGAAGCCATGAAGCCATGAAGCCATGAACATGTGCTTATATATAGACTACTACTATTTTACTTTTA